TGCCCGCTTGGTCGCTTGCTCTCCTAACAAAGGCTTTACGCCCACCAGTCGTCCAACCATCTTTGCTTCCTTTCTTGCACAAGGTAATGAGGCGATGTGCTGAAAATATCCCTTGAACATGACCCAGTCAACTTTGGGATCACCCACGATCAGTGCATCAGTCCGACTGTGATAATCCACTGGACTATCTTGAATGAGCTTGAGCGTCATCAATGAGGGAACTACACGAATGCGACGAGTCTCCGATAAGAATTCCCCTTCCTTTTCACGCAGGGCAGCAAATGGAACTTTGTATAAGCTACTATGAGGTACAATGATGACTTCAGGTTCCACAAGGAAATCAGCAACGGGGAAGATGAAGAGTTTGGAACTCAGAGAAAGACTTGATTGGAAATCTGAAACAACTTCTTCATCATCTTCTTCGAGAAGTCTCAGATCTGTGAGGCTTCCCAGCTCATCGGAACTGTGTTGTGGCTCAATGACAAGAGGCAAAGATCGATCTTCACATTCCCATTTGGATTGCATGCCAAGGCACCGAAAACTTTTGGCAAAAAAATCACTCAAATTACTCTCCAATCGCGTGCCAAGAATTTCCTCACCCACTGTCCTTCTTTTGAAATGAATTTCTCCACTAGTTTTAAGGGTCCACATTAAAAGGTCATCATCAGCAATTGAAATGTATAAAAATACACAGTCAGTTTCTTTTCTAGTAATATTTTCAATCCCAGTCCATGATTTCGGATTGGCTGAAATGTTTGTTTGAACAGAATATTTAGCAGCCTGCAGGTCTGTCAGGCCTCTTGCTCGTCCCAGCTCTTCAACGTAGAGAGCATCTCGAGGATTGTTGGTGGCACAGAGAAAAACACTTAAGAGTGTGTATGTACGAACACCCTCTTCCTCTAAGAAAGATGTTTTTAAATGATCATCATTTTTAAGGGAAAGTCTCAGGTGTTCGTATGTTTCAACACGTTGATAAAGATAACGAAGAGCTTCTGTGTTGTTTCCTTGCCGCAAATTGGATACAGCAAGGCCACCTAAGCTCTCTAACTCAACTTCACGGAGCCCAATGTCTTTGGCGATTACCAGTGCCATCTCAAAATGCTTTATAGCAGCGGCATAATCTTCCAGACACAGACACAGACTTCCAAAGTGGTTATATTCTCCTGCTTCTCCTTCTCTGTCGCCTAATTCAATTCTGATCGCAAGTGCTTTCTCATAATACTCTCTAGCCTTCCCATATTTTCTGAGTGCGCTGGACAGAGAACCATAATTTCCATAGGTTGCTGCTTCTCCTTTTCTGTTTCCAATTTCAATCTCGATTGCAAGTGATTTTGCCAAATATTCCTCAGCCTTGACAAAGTCATTAAGTTTAAGAAACACAACGGCCAGGTTTCCATAATCTATAGCTTCCTCATGTCTAGTGCCTATTTCAGTTCTTATTGCAAGTGATTTTTCAAGATATTCCTTAGCCCTGATATATTCTCCCAACGATCCGAACAAACTTGCTAAGTTTCCGTAATCTGTAGCTGCTCCTTTTCTGTCGCCAATTTCAATTCTGAGTGTGAGTCCTTTTTCATAACATTCTATAGCCTCGGCGTATTCTCCAAAGGAATGAAATATGGTTCCGAGGTTTCCGTAATCATTTGCCTCTCCTCTTCTGTCGCCAATTTCTCTTCTGATCGCTAGCGCTTTCTCGAGATATTCTTTGGCCTTTGTAAATTCGCTGAAAAACTGAAATCTGTTTGCTAAGGCTTCGCAGTCTTCTGCTTCTCCTTCCCTGTCGGCTATCACATTTCTAATCGCTAATGCTTTCTCATAATATTCTTTTACCTTTTCACCTTCTCCAAGGTCAAAAGAAACACCTCCTAAGCATCTGTAAAGACATGCTTCTCTTTTACTGTCGCTCATGTTTATTGTAATCGCAAGAGCTTTCTCATAGTATTCTTTAGCTCTGATAACATCACCAAGCGAGTGAAACACATGTCCTAAGTTTGTGTAATCCACTACTTCTCCACTCCTATCACCAATCTCAGTTCTGATCGCAAGTGCCTTCTCGATATGTTCTTTAGCCTTAGCATATTCGCAAAGATTGTGAAACATAAGTCCTAAGTTTCCATAAGCCTTTGCCTCTCCGTGTTTGTCGCCAATCTCCTTTCTGATCGTAAGTGCTCTCTCAATGTAATCTTTAGCCTTGTTATATTCACTCAGCTCTAAAAGCAGTTTTCCAAATTCTCCACTGGTATCTGCTTCCATTTGGCGGTCACCAGTTTGAACTGTCAAGTTTATTGCTTTGTCATAAAATTCTTTCGCATCGACAAAGTTATTTAGTCTAGATGACATTCTTGCAATGGCCAAGGTAAATTCCACTGTTTCGTAGGGGTCAGCGGAACCGCGTCTTATGAGGAAAATCTTTCTCGCATATATTGACGCATTTTGGGAATCAGAAATAAAGTAGTATGCTTTGAACATCATCAAATAGATATGTTTGTAAATTTTCCTTGCAATTTCACCTTCTTTTCCTTGCAAGCTGGCATTTAATAGCTTCAAAAATTCGTTGCCGAGCTCGATGGCTTTGTGAACTCGACCAGTGTTCATAAGAAAAGAGGCAACTCGTACACCTATGAGGGTCGTCCATATCCCGGTTAGAGGATCCATTACGGAGTCACTTGTAACTGTAAACAACTGAAAGAACACAGGAGAACTATGAGTTTTCATATCAAGACAAGCACAATATTTTAAAACATAGGGCTGAAGGCCAAAGGAAAGGAGAAGATTGAGTTAGCCAAAACAAGGAGGAGAATAGTTCAGAGCGAAAGGCAAGCAGCCGGCTAAAGATGATTGTCAAATCAAAAGATCAAAGCGGATGGAGGTAGAATGCCAAAGCTTCATGTGCCTCACAGCATGCCGTAACTGTGGGATAAGATACGGTATCAGAAACGGGGACATATTCTCTTGATGAAAAGCACGGTCTTTCGTTTCCTCGAATTAAAACATGAAAACCTGGGAATTTTCATGGTTTCATTCAGGCAACCTGTGGTCAGTTGTTTTTAGGCATTGTACTCCCACTTAGTCTGAAAACCGGAAGCATTTCTTTACTGTTGATTTTACCCCGTTCAGTTTCGACGACATTTGCGGCTACTTGCATTGCATTCAGCCAAGAGATTGTAATGTCTTGATTCAGCATGCATCATTCGTAGCGAGGATAATTTTGGAACTGATGTTTAATTACCGTTCCCTGCGCATAAAAGAGACAACCGAACGATCTCTACAAGGATAAAAGCCTAAGTGATGTGACTAATGAAAGCTTCCGAAGGGAAATTTTAAAATTTTCATGCGCGAAGGGAGTTAAATTTTATATTAATACAGGTCTGTAGGAAAAATTTTTAACTGAGGGGATATCACAAACCTCTTCCCCCCTCAGCCCCCCCCCTCCCTACTCCTACGGCCCTGTAATACGTGCCTTATTTACTGGCTGAGCTGGCTGTCTTTTAGGCCAGTGTGGGTGGGGTCTTTGAAGAGAGAAGTGGGATACCAATAGACCTTAAACTTGTCCATACATGTATTGACAAAAGCCTAAAATAATTGCAGTATATCATGGAAACCAACTACCAGAAATTATTGTACGCAACATCTCTTGCATTAGTTTTGAGATGAGAAAACATCCTGCATGGGTACCCGAATGCCATGATACCTTGGCCGGGCCTGTACTTTGGCATTGCGTTACGATTGTCTTCCTATCTCACTGCTTCGACACTCGAGCTGCAGAGCGAGTGTGGACCCTGCTGTAGCGTGACTTCTTTTCTTTTTGCGTGACTTTCTCAGCAGAAAGAAAACATACATTTATGCAAATTAAGGACACGGAAATGATGGGACTTCAGATCGATCGTTTGATCGATTCGGTTTTCCTTGACTTTTACGCAATAAGTTTTATTTTGTTTCTTTTATCGATCTTTTTGGAGTTGGGATTAAAAAAAACATTTATATTCAACAGAGGCCTCTTGTGAGATTGAAGGTGAACCTCCAGGTGCGATTTTCGAACTTTTGAGAATAGAACGAAACATAAGTAGAAGCATGCACACATTTATCCTCCTTGAAAGTTATTTGCTCTCTCATGATTCATCGTTATCACAGCAGTCCACCTTCAGTCGCTTTTGATGTCTTTTGATTACGTCCTTTATCGCGATTTTTCAACCATGATCATTTAATATCATTATTCCGATAAATTCGTTTTCTACTCACGGTCAGGCGAGTCCTGATCAAAGAACCTAGAAATCCACGCATCAGGCGCTAAGGAGATAAAATACGCCTTTCACAGACATAATTATTTGCATGATTTATCGTTTTGCGAGATTCGATAACTAATTAAGATCTCAATTGATCGAACAATCGGTGTCTTTCCGATCGGAAGAATCCTTTTAGCGCTAAGAGTTAATAAGGCTCAATTTATTTTAGTTAGACCAATTTGCCGGCGGTCGGCGACCACAGTCATCATACATGCAACCCGAGCTGAACGAGAAACAGAACGCTGCTGAAAATGCTCAGTAGTGACCTAATAAATACGACTTACCAAGTGGTCCGAGTCTAACCTCCGAAGGATAAATTTTGTTAAACGGGCAATGTCTGTAATGTCATGTTGAATCTCATTACCAGGTCCTTTTTAACTCAGACTCGACGAGGGAGGACTGGGTAAAAGACTAGATTTCTTGATTGGGACGATCCCTTGGGGTGGAGAAGACTGTATGAGGGTCTATGTATCGGCCAATCAGAGGAGGCTCTTCTCAACAAAGCCATGAAGGTTCAGCGTTTATTTTTGGGGCGGTGTTTAGCCGAGAAAATAGGGCAGGTGCCATAGTTTTTCAAACTAAAGGTTGTTATAGAAACGAGTGCGCTGTGACACCACTATAATTTCTTACTAGCGGCAATTTACTAACGACGATTTTTTTGGCGAAATTTTACCCGCAATCCGCTGCGTAAACATGCCACCAACCAACGATTAGGTTCTCCCTACATGAATTGCGAGGAAATCAACTTTAATAACATACCGGTATTCACAAAATGTATAGTGCAAATACTAGATAGCTTCTTTTAAATCTAAACAGTTGTTTTTCTATGAAAATATTTTACATTGACAACGATTTGGAAATTTTCACCTCACAGCACTCAAGTATCAAGATTTTCCCGATGTGCGAGATCCACCTCGAGAATCTTCTCAACTTCAGCCTTGTAATCCATATCCATTTCTTGATCATGTATTACCCCAAAGTGATGCAAAGCTTCTCGATACATTTACCTTTTTTTTTTCGATAGCCCGCGTAAATTTAAAGTGATACAATAAGACATTGAAAACACCACCATTTCCATAATATAAAATTTATAAATATTTATATTAATTATTTCATGAGATATAAGATTACTGAACAATACCTTCTTACTAATCAACACCCCCTCTGACAATCGCCTAATAACTGGAAACTATATTGGTCGCTTTTTTTTCGAGCGGAAGGCCGACAAATTAAAAAAAAACGACAAGTGTGTTTTCAATCGACTTAGTACCTATCCTTTTGTCTGTTACAAAGGAAATTAGGAAAAATATTGGAAATAGGAGCAAAGCTCTGAAGGAAAAGGGTTGAAGAGACAAGAGCTTGGTGAAAGATGTGAAACTCAGAAAGTATCACACACGACTAGTTTAAAAACAAATCGAGTGACCAGGATAGAGCTGGAACACAACTGAATGTACAGGTGTGTTTAAGTGGTTAGTTTCACAGAAATTGAATGGTCCAGCCACTCTATCAAATCTTTTAAAAACTTTAGGAGACCAAACTGCAGAAGCGAAACAAGAAAATTCAAAGGAAAGACCCGCTACCTTTTCATCTCTCTGTCCCCTTACTACATGTTTTCCCCAAAAGCCAAAAAAAATTCTGAAGAAATACAATGTTATGAAGTACTTTTGGTCAATCCTTGAGGCCAGGTTGGATTGAGAGAGAAAAAAATCTGAAAGGAAAAAGTGGAAAAATGTAAAAGGGCCTTTCTATTCCGACGAATCCTTCTTCTCCCTCCACCCCCCCCAACCACCCCCAAACCAAAAAAAATAAAAAATAATATTCAGAGATTCTTTGGGCGCTAGGTGGACAAAGAAGGTCGTCCCCTACAGCTGCGATGCTCAGCCCAAAGAATTGTCATATCTGGTCGGTATCGTTTGGGCTCCGGGTATGAGATTCCCGTAATCATAATAGTTTGATTAAATACGTTCTCCACATAGCAGAGCCTTTTTTTTTAGCATATATTAAAAACACGTAATGATTGTTTAATTTTATGAATCAGTGAAGGATCCCTAAAACGCGAACCCTGATACGTAGCTCACGATGACTTTAAAAATAACGCTCCTAATTTTCTTTGCCATTTCCAAGTTCACCACAATCCCACTCAACTCGATTTACTAGAAGCCCACGTATAACTGATCAGCGGTCACCGCAAGCTCGCTCACGAACAGTCAAAAACTTGTCAAGATGGCGTCCAAGTTGACAACAACTCCAAACGCAATCGTCCAGAACACCACAACTTTGCTAATGATACGACTTTACTTTGTACCGCAACACTAAATAAGCCGCTAATCTCAAAATAATGAAGAAAAGGGAGAGGACGAGGCAATCGAAATAAACCTTCGCGCCTTCTAAATACAGGGCATTTTCTTCCACATCCATAGACGCCAAAACTTCTTCACTGTTCGTAAATATACATCGTCTGTCCTTGCATTCTAAAGGTCCTCTTTTATTGCCATATATGGCCACCACCGTTCCTTCCCAGCTGTACCGCGCGTAGGAAACGTATGTGAGCCACTGCATGTACTTTGGAATGGTATCAAAGTTAACGAAGAAACCGCTGAACAGTAAGACAGGGATACCAGTCACTGGAGCGACGTAGACCGCAGTCTATGACAGGAAATAAAACGATAAGACATTTTTAACTGCCCATAAAAAATATGCAATCAGTTAAAAGATGGTAAAACGCTCTGAACGACAGCAAGCGTAAGACACATATTAAGCCAACAAAAATCGCAAGAAAAAAATAAAACAAATTAAAAAAAATAACGGAACATTTGTGACCTACGCAGCGGTTAATGCAGAGACAGAAAAAATATTTGCGTATAGCGGATAACGTAAAAACGACAAACAACACGAGAAACTTAAGACTGGTGTCGTAGACAAAGGCAAAAAAAGAGTCAATCAGAGGAGGGCTCAGGAAAATTCGTAGGCAGTAGAATATGCTGAAAAAAAAAACCAGAGGATTTAAAATGTATGAGAAGGAGAACAACTGTATGTTACGTTTAAGTGTCACAACTCACCGGAAGACTGGGCGCGACTGTCCCTATTAAGAGCCCAATGGATTGCGCCACAAGACATGTCAGTATCGTGACGGCTACAAACTGAGTGTAACGCAATCCTTCGTTTGGTTGATCTGTCATGAAGTATACTATTGTACAGTAAATCACTGGAAACAAGATCTGCAAACAAAACAGGAATTTGCAATTTGTTGAAACTGGCTCCTCACAGATAGTTTGTCCACAGCCGTTTGATTAAAATTGAGGAAAAAAGCACGAAAGTGACAGCTATTTCCCCCGACATCCCCTCCCTATTCCAACTCCCGTGCGTTTACGTTGGTTACATCCCCAGAGGATTTTATTACAATCGCGCTCTAGAAGATAATCTTGGAGACAAAAAGGGGCCTAAGAACAGGCTACCCTACAATTTTCTCAATTCGAATGAGTAAATAGTTTGTAGGCTTGTCCAGATGCAACCATCAACTAACCTTTTTGATAAAGTATTAACTTTTCCGGGTTGTTGCTACGGGGCTAAATCAAATTTAAAGCCGTTTTCCTGGCCAACATTACGCACATGACGTACTGACTTAAACCCAGAGTTTGACCAGTTATTACCAACAATCCTTCAAGGCCAGGCCCTGGTTGTTCAAAGGCTGAATCACACCAAACCTGTGAAAACACTGACCACTTGATAAATTTCTATCTCGTGGATAGCGCAGAATGTTTGGTTGACACTTATTCACTGGACTGCGATTGATCCGTTGGATAGCACTATCGATAGCACTGAAAAACTGGACCCAGACGCATAAGTGAAGTCATCACAGGCAATTATTTTTTCAACACCACACAAAATAGAACTTACGTTTTCGTGCGTGCATCAGTTGATTAGGAGACGTAAATTGTGGTAAGGATAATAACGAAACTAGCCTAGAGCCGCTTATTTTTCAGACCAATTTTTGACACCATCTGTGATTTGACACTCAGCAGACCCACAACAACATGAGAACTGATTATCAATCGCGTGTGAACCAGTTTCTTTTTAAAGTTTTCAACTATCCTTACCTGTAAGGGAACGTCCGCCATTGTATTTGCTAGGTAGTAAGACTTGAGGCTATACCAGTTGTTCAAATGCTCTCGAATAAACACTAGTTTTTCCATGGGGACTGAATTAGAAAAAAAGGGAAAGAGTAAAATTATTTCGGTACTTGACTTAGCAAACGGTATGAGTCCCAACCCTCCTCACATCAAGCACTCCACCGCCTCTGCGTTTTATGCATGTTGTAAGGAGTGAAACGCTGCAAAACAAACAAACAAACAAACAGAAACCAAGAGAACAAAACAGAACTGTAAATACTCCGAAACTGAAGCATTTAGAAACCAAAATCGAGTTACAAGGATCTTGCTTCCCTTACATGTTAACACAGTGGGCATAAGAGATGTGAACATGAGGAACAGAAGCGAGAAAAACAAGCAGCCAGTGTTGTTGAAGACTTTACTGCCGTCATTACCAATGCCGTGATACAGGAGTCCAATGAGAAGGCCGACAGATGCTGTGGACACGAAACGTAGGTGAGTAAAAATACGATCCCTGAAGATGGACTGTGCGGCTCTTTTGAACAACACCAGGAACTGTAGACAAAAGAAGATTAAAAATTAAGCATCTTGGCAGAAGAAAAAAGCTGCCCTTAACTAAGCAAATTCACTTTTCAGGGAACAATCCAAACTCTGTTGGCAACCACGAGAGATAACAGAACATTTTCTGATTTGAAAAACACTTCTTTCTCTCTGTTCGCGGGTTTACCGCTCTCAATTCGTCTGTGTTACGGTATTATGCTTACTTACACCGATTTTGACACTTTAAAAATCATAAATTATGTGTTCACACCACGCCGAATCAGTTCACAATGGTAACTTAAACCCTAGGATTGACCCAAAATCTAATTTCTCCCTACAATATCACCCCCGAATCACACATTAAGGTCATGAGAACACAGGAATGATCATGAACCCATGAAATTCTTGATGGTTAAGCAAATTCTCCTCGTCAGCACCTTAGGAAATGAATAGAGAACAGTATGGAGAATATGCATACTGATGTTAAGGTGTAATGGGTTGAGATATAATCACTCTAAGCACCTGGGTGGTTTGACTTGCAGCATGTATTATGCTATCAGTACTGGTCTTGACATTACAGTTTGGTAGTATTGACACCACCATGTTTCTTGAGTCATAGCTACTGCTGGTACTACTGGTCAGGCTCTTTTTCTGCGTCTCTGCCTCTTCACGCGCCTTCCAGGCCTTCACTAGCCTGGGTATCACGTTCTCGCCATACTCCCCAGACGCTACTTCTATAACTAAAACAATAAAACAACAAAGATGAGGAGAACTGACATCTTCGCTGCTCAGAAATGAGCCCGCGCTTCTTTCCCGAAGTTCCTTCTCAAAAAGTTCGGAGAACAGGAGCTCTAAAACTAGTTAAGAAATATGTCGTACGCTCTACCAATCAGAAGACATAAAAACATCGAAGAGAGCCAAAGAGGAGTCGAACTTTCCCTGGAGCGGGAATATACGAGTGAGAAAGTCACGATTGGATCAATTTTGCTTTTGATTGGTCGCGAAATAAACCAAATCCAAATTCATACCAGAAAACTTTTGGATCCACAATTTATCTACGACACTAGCGAGAGAAAAACGAAGAAACAAAATAAAACAAATAAACAAAGGAGACTAAAAAGCGCTCGAGCTCAAGCAAGTACTTACTGTAGTCTGCAGGATTGTGGTACTTGGGACATTCCAGACCTTCAGACGCCAAGTAAGGTATGAGATCTTGTACAGTGCCTTGGAACAAGCAGTTACCCTCTGCCAAAATGTACAACTGAAATACACATGGAGGGAAATTTTAATAAAAATACCCTGACCATTCTGAAAAAAAGAGCTTCCCATTCTTCTCAATTGAACCAATTTTTTTTTAAAGTTTTCAAATTTTATAAGCAATTTTCATTGTTTAAATAAGAAGGAAAAAAAATTGAGGGCTCTCCACAATTGACGCCAGGGCAAAGTTGAATAGGGCAAGTACGAGGTCAGCTCACCTTATCAAACATTTCAAACAGTTTTGCACTTGGTTGATGAATGGTACACACCACAGTCCTCCCACCATGAGCAAGTGTTCTCATGAGGCTGATACATTGAAATGCGGATGAACTATCCAGACCACTAGTTGGCTCATCTAGAAAAATCAATGGTGGATTGTTCACCAATTCCAGTGCTATTGCAAGCCGTTTTCTCTGTCCTCCAGATATCTCATTCAGCCTTGTGTCAGCAGTCTCTGTAAGGCCCAGGTTCAATAGGATTTCATTGATCTGGAAAACAAATAGGAAAAATTCAAATGCTTATGCACACTAACAAACAAACCTCTATCACAGAGGTCATGGGTTCAAATCCCGTGCAGGCCTGAATTTTTTTCAGGTCCTATTTTCAACTATTCGTTTCAGTAGTGTTTTTAGCTGAGAGGAGCTCTTAATTTCATCTCTCCACTGCAGTGCAAATATATGAATTTCATATATCTAAAATCATCAAACTGATAATTATTAGAGACTGATGAGTTTAAGATTTGGAAAGATCTGGTTTCTGTTTCCCTAAATTTTACAGCCAGTTTTTTTAAGACCATAATTGAAATTCAATTAACTTACAACTCTTTCTTTTTCTTCAAGGGATAAAGATTCTCTGAGATGTAAATTTGCAGACACCTGTAGGAAAATGAAAATATTAATAAAATACATGTTTTACAACCAGTCCTTGTATCAACTTCAAGTTCAGTTGACTGCAGTTTACAGCTGCTGGAAGGCCATAATATCTAACTGCTAGCCTATTTTAGTCCTTTAATCTTACTTAACTTATTGAAAGTTGGTCAATTGGTTGTCTGTCTAAGCATTGTCATGGCTACCCAAAATGTTAGACAAGACTTTTCCACAAGAAAAATAACTTCTGCCAGTCAACCAACCAAATACTATTACCATAATAAATCCTCTTGATGGTTTAACACAAAGTAGGAGCCGACATTTTTCTCATTGCTCTATGCAACTTGCCAAATATCTGCATGTAATACAAGTTAAACCATAGAGTAGGGTTTATTTTTTGATTCTTAAAACAAAAACAATCTTACCATCATGGATTCCATGACCGTGAGATGTGGCAAGAGCACATCATCTTGCATGATGTAACAAGACATTTTGCGGAACTGCCGCAAGTTTCTCTCCACGCCATTGACCAGTACTTGGCCATTTGCGTCTTTGGTTCTGATGAAAAAGTTGGATAGGCAGTTTTCAGGTGCTCTTTATACTTATCAAAAATAATTTGCAAAATAAGTAGAGTTGAAACCTAACATTCACTGTCCAAGCCTTAATTACCTTCAAGATCTTAATGTACCTTCAACTCTAAATTAATAAAGAAAGCTAGTTTTAACAAACTGAATGCACCTTCACCTCTAAGTTAACAAAGTCAGAAAGAGAGAGAAACTTCTCTCTTCTATCATATATTTTTTTCAACATTAACTCTTTATGCAGAAAGACTAACACGTAACTTCTCCATTTAATACCCATACATCATCCAAAAATACAGAGAGAAAAATATGAGAAAACTTGAACTTATCAGGTAAAAGTTGCCATGTTTATCTAACCCTGAATGCAAATGAAAAAGGAAATATGTGACTGCAAGAGAGGATAGTTAACAATCAGATCATAGGAGTTTAAGGGCTAACTAGTTTAAACAAACTGCTCTCATCTATCCAATTTTCCACAATAAAAGAAGACATTCCCCAGAATGGAAGGTGTACACATTCAACTTGGCAATAACCAGGCAGCAATTTTTCAAACTTCAATTCAGAGGAAAACATCTTGACATAATTTATGCAAATACAGGTAGATACAAATTGAAGATAACTTGGCTCAGTGCAAAGAAACCTGCTGAGTAAAGCTGCTTCACATCAAAATAATCATTGATGACAAAAACTGATGTTTGCTCAAAAATAACTCTCTTTGTTGTGGTATTACCAATTTTTTCAACTGTAACAATACAGTTAAGTTTATTACATCTGAAATTTAGAAATAGTGACTACTTTTGGCAAAAATGTTTGCAGCTGCTCTAGAGTCTTACCTTGAACTTCGCAAATTTATTCTGAATTTCGTAACAACAACATTGTAAATTATAAATTATGACAGATATGCACCTGTATCCTGCTAAAATATTTATCAGTGTGGACTTCCCAGCTCCTAGAGGAAGACAAAATACAGCATACCATTAACACATGGAAATAAAATTGTACAGTTTAAGTTAAAGTTGCAATGAAAGTTAACCACTTCTAGCATTACACAATTTAGCCAAATTTCCCCTTTAACACCAAAGAAAGTCAGCCTCATTCCAAGATGAATCATGGTGAATTTAGGAAAGGTGCAAAGTATCACTAACTCATGGCAACTTTTTCCACAAAATTTATTCTTTAGGCAGGAGCATATGTATTATTCACTTCTTTATAAAATTGCCAAGTTTGGGTTCTCATCTTTTCTCGACTTTGCAAGATAATCCAATGAAACTTAATATACAAATTGGCAAAACACCACATTTAATTGATGTAGAAACTGAGGTGGCTTTGAGATTAATTCCGAGAACAACAGTAAAAGTTACAGGTGAAAAAAATGGAAAGAGAGCTTTCCACTTTTTCAGAGTAGCATATCCAGTAATTAAGCCCTGCAAGCAACATCTTCCCATTTTCACTTAACCCTTTAACTCTTGTAAGTGACCAAGAAAAAATTTCTCCTCACAATGTCAGTACAATATCAAGCAGACAGGTGATGAGAATGAAGAAAAATATCAACTAGGGGATCATTAGTTGATCCAATAACAAATTCTCCAAATGAACCAGGAATGTATGGGAAGCACTTTGGAGAATTACAAATGAGATCATAGGAAGGAAAGCATCAAGTAGACCAGGGTTGAAGATGCAAGAAGGCACAACCAGAACCCAAAATTTTAATTAAGTACAAATTGAAAGTATGCATTAGTGATGTTTGAGCTTCTTTTTTAATTGTCTGACTGCTTAGGTCACAAAGTTAATCCGTCAGTTAATCGTTTAATATCTATTTCGCTGTTTACATACCTGAGGGACCAAGGACAGCAACAAGTTCTCCACTCTTGAACTCTCCCGACACCCCATGAACAATTGTCTTTTGCTCTACAAAACAAATAGGTGTAGAAAAACTTTTTACATTGAAAAATAATTCTACAGTAGTCTTGGTTTAGACCCTTAACACTTCAAGAGCTGAATGCAATACATTGAGTGGCAATCAACAACAGTTTGAAATTTGAAAGAATGCCGAATCTTATTGTAGTCAGGCCTACTGTCAGAACTACAAGTATTGATCATATCATGTTATTGGTTCAACAGGAAAAATGTTTCTATTGTATATATTTTTTTCAGTTTTCTTTTATCAAATATATTTCGTTTTCTGCTTGATTTTTTTTTTAAAACATAATTTTGCTTTGGTGGTTAATTCATAGAAGTTTGACCATCTTTTTTTCACTTATTTCAGGTCTGCATTGATTACATTGTTAAGTCAACATCAATTACATTTACTTCCACTATTTGGCTTCCATCAAGTCGAACAATGCTCCAGTCACCAAAAAAGACACAGCTTATCCGAAACTACTTGGCCATTACTACTCAACTTAGCTTCTGTCTGGAAGGTCATATAGCAAAGAATCATCCAGAGATTAGACGGTTTAGAGGAAATCTTTTAATCAGCACAATCAGCAACAAAAAGTTATTACTGATGAGAATTTCAACAGATGAGTTGTAATTTGCTACCTTTAAATATTTCTTAAATTTAAAGATTAAACTCTCAAGGGGTAAGAATAGGAAGTATCATTTTTCACTCAGCTTGCAAACATGTGACAGGACACTTACATTCATGTGCCAGATTTGACTATTTATAAAATTTTCCCAAAGGTCAAGAGGTCTTGAAAATGGACATTAAAATACCACACACATACCACATATATTTCTAGTCCATATTTGTGACTAAATATAATTTCATGGAGGAATGTTGTAACTGTATGTCTTTTAAAAGTGATGAAATGACATTCAAACCAAAGATCTGTTCTGAATCATGTATATAATAAAAAAGCTAATGAACTTCAACTAAACTCCACAATTACTGTGCATGGCTAAAGTTAACTTGATTTCCTAGCTAAAACTGGTTTTTCCTGTTTTAAATCAGCTGTCACGTGCAAGGACAGCAGGCTTGCATGATTCTGGACTCATACAATCACACCACACAAAAAGTATTCAAAGGTCATAATTTCAATTGACTTGTAAATACATGTAGTTAGGCAGTTAAGTCAGATATAACAGTGGGCATACACAGTTTAAAAGCTGCTGGTTACTACCAACCCTTCATGAATTGTGCAGCTATTATGTAACTCAGTGTAACTGAATAACCAAGCAATGAAAAAGAGTTTGAGGGTAACATCACACAATAAAAGTTGACATGGAAGAGGAAACAAGGTATTAACAAGCAGGATTAGTGGTCAAACTTCTGTCTTCCATGGATACTTCCGACAGATGTTCCAGCTAAGTCCAATTCTACAGGATCAATCCTGCCACAAGTAAGCAGAATTGGCATGTACTTCTGTTACCTCCTGTCAATCAGTAAGTCTGTCTCAACAGGATATAACAACATCGAGTGCTTGCACATGCAAAGTAGTTTAATATAAGTAGGAGTGCTAGAACAAATAAGACATCTTCCTGGGTGTAATTTTTTGGAAAAAGTTTAATGTTTATCTATACATAATTAGGTAATAATGGAAATTTGTTTAGACTTGCAAAAAATCCTGGTGGCACTTTGCACAATAATCTGGAATATGTTATTTGAATGATCTCATATCAAGATTAAATATTCAGAGAATGTAAAGCATAATCAGTAGTATTACCTTCTCAAACATCTGAGAAGTAATTTCATTATTAAATTTACATTATTTACAAAAATGCTTTAAGCTCTGTGACTTTAATGTGAGATTATTTTAAATTCTAGTACGTTTTGGGTCTATCAAAGAAGCAGAGTATTACTGTTTTTTCTGGAAACCTCGAAAACAACAGAGGCAACTTGCACTTAAGGTCAACATCGTGCACAGACTTTCCTGTTATATTACACCGCGGTTAAGTATGAAGGTCGGTTTTCCTGACAACAAATATACTTAAATACGACTGGATGAACTGAATGTTTTTGGGTTTGAGCGCCAAGACCTTTCAGTAAAAGACACGTTATTTCAATTGCCTATGTTTCTTTTTTGCCTCGAATATGTTTATCCAAACAGGGGCTTAACGAACACTTAATCAGTCCTTTTTAGCTTCTGATTTCACGAAAGTAAAATACATCAATAAAAGTTTGCCCTTTTCTCAGGCAACCAAAAATTGTATATTAAACATTTAAAATTGTATAAATTGAAATTAAATCTCGGGCTGTAACCAAAAGAAATTGTATTATTTTTCTTGTTTTTGTGCCTGAACGGAACGCGAATTTTACATGGTTTTCGTTGCTTAAATCTTTGAAAATTAAGCGGACGAACGACTTGAAACAAAAGAGTATCAAATGCTCTAAAATAGTCAACAAAAATAATTCAAATAATGCAGGAAAGTTGACTTGACTGATTGGAGAAAAGATACGTTTATAACGATTCATGCGCTAAAACTTTTAGGAAAAATAAATAAGCATCAGGGGAAACCCACTAGCTAAACCCACGCCTGGAAAAAGTCTACAGGTACTAAAACTTTTCCCGTTGTGATGTGATGTCGTTATGGAATATTTCTTCTTCGAAAATCCTTTTTTTTGAATTGAAAAGAAATTCTCCCAGCTTAAAAACGAAAGCCAGAAAACTGTTTACCATAATAAGGTATTTCCAATAATGTTTGTTGCACAACTGTGAAGTGCTCTCTTTCAGGAGAAGCCGAAACACGATTCTCGATTTCAGGGAAAATTCACCAAAAAAATTAATCAGAGTAAAAGATATTACAGAAGGCAGATATATATATTTCATGATTACAGGCACGCCGGGCTAAATTCAGGCAAATTCTTAACAACGTTTTGTCTTCCTTTGTCGACCATAATGTGACCGTGTCGAGTTGTTATGCTCGTCAAGCCTGAACGAAGGTCTTAAAGAAAGACTTCTTTCTGCAAATATTATAATTTTTTAAATCAAAATTTACGTATTTAAGATGAAGCTCTTGAAGACACATTAAATTTAGGGTCTGAGATAAGTCTTTTTTCTAGAAGGGTTTTCGTCAACATCTTCCTCCTCGTTTAATTTCGCTTTCGGTTTCCTAATCGAGTCCGCACTCAAAGAATCACCCAGAGAGATCTAGATTTTCTGCAAGCTTTCAGCAATGAATGTTGCTTGTGTTCGCTTGTAAAATATGTTTCCTCTTACCTTGTCGACCCAGCTTTACACTGTAAGTAACATCGTTGAATTCTAGATCGACTCGCTGTCTCGGTCGCTGCCAAAAACTTAACCGTTCGAGGTATTCCCCGGCTTCGAGCATCGAATCCTTGCTATCCACGGAACTCGCATCCTCTCCTGAACAGCATTTTACCGCCGTTTTGTAGTTCTCGGCTCGTCCAGTGATAAAATTTTCCATTTACTTTGCCCACTTGCAATTCCTGGGTATATTGTTTCTCAAATTATTCTTTTCCTTGAATCATGTGAGACCTCCTTTGTGCTCGTCTACGTCGACTCAAAGTCCAACCTGTGTAATTAATTAATAATTTATAAGTCGCATTTTCGGCGCAAATGTCTAATTTTCTCTGTATTTCGGCAACTTGCGGTTGGATAGAACAGGTTACGAACCACCAGTTTTGTGAGGGTTCCTGCCAGAAGGTTCTCCTTTAGAAATTGAAATTATGCAGATTTCCTGTGCGAGGTCAAGTCAAGCTACTTTAATAGCGGAACGGATTGTTACGTCACAAACTTCTGGACAAATTTCCAGCGTAACAAAATATCGCTAATAGCATTATCGCTCTTGTTTTCGCGGAGTAGCTGCAAGGAGAGGCTTAAAGTTCACAGCCGTAATAAAACAGCGCCGAATTCTTTATTGAAAGGGCTTGCTAGAGGAATCTACTTACGGGACAATTTTACGCTCTGTATCGTCTTTAATCGAAACATGTTTTTTTCACAACATTAAAGGAAAGCCCTGCTCAACGTCACATATCGTCAATCGAGACGATTTAATTTAATTCATGGCCCACCGTTGTTCAAAAGACTTTAGAAAAATTATTATAAAAACAAAAACGAACTTGAGACGGCCTCCCACATTTTTGGAACCGGAGATATTGTTTATTTTCAGTAATACTCCACGTGGCGAATACGCACAATAGGTATCAGCCGAGTTACTCAAATGGTCAACTACGACCAATCAAGATCATGCGAAAATCACGAATTTTACTCCAGAAACGAATTTCCTCCAAAAAGATAGCCTGAATAACCACAAAATAAAATTACTTGCTAGCCCAGTTGTAATTTGAACTCGTTGACCGTGAAATAATTGAATTCCTCACATTAATTGATTCTATGATTCACATTATTCTTAGGTTCTCACCAAGTCTTCTGACTGATTAATGTGAATAATAAGTAAAATTGCCCTTCAGTAATCTGAAATACTTCAGAGCAAGATGTCTTGATTCAAAATAATTTTTGGTTATTGGACCTTAAATTAAGGTATTGATCACATGTTGCAAAGAAAAATATTCAAAAATATGGTAAAGTGAATTTCCAACTCCAGGCTGAGATAATAAATAAATGAAATGATAAACATCAGATGTTACAAAGAAAAATATTTAAAAATATGGTAAAGTGAATTTCCAACTCCAGGCTGAAATAATAAATAAATGATATTGATCTTCCTGACAGATAAATGGAAAGAGCATGCATATTAAACATTATTTTCAATTTCTCACTTTCCCTATCTTCTTTTTTTACCTCCTTACACCCTAACATATCAGTATCAATATTCTTCACACTCTCCTCTATTCATCTTCTTTGATACAGACAAGGAGAATTTATTCAACACTCACAGCTTCTTTGGCTGGCAATCAGTACCTTTATTCTCATCACAGATCTTGATTAATGAGGGAGGGCATTCGGATTTTCTGTTTTGCACTGTTGGCTGTTTTTAGATCGGTTTTTCAGTTTTGGGCCAAAAAACTGTGGTTTTTCAGTTTAAGTGTGTATTGCAGTTGGTGGATTTTCTGTTTTTCAGCATTTGTCTTTTGGTTTTCATAAATATCACCAGTGAGTTTTTGGATTTGGTATCTGATGCGGTTTTTGGTTTTTCCTATTTGGGTTCCTGTTTCTCCTCTATTTTAACAGCAATTATGCACCTCCACTGATCTGGAATAGCCACAAAACCTCTGCATGCTCCACTTGTCACTGACTGTATTGGATCAATTAGGGTTTTGATAACTGGGATGTGAAAATTTATTGGTTTAGATGGTTTGGTGAGTGGTTTTTGGTTTTGATAGAATTTTCTGTGGTTTTAGGGTTTTGAATGATTTTTTGTACAGTTTTTACAGTTTTATGGTTTGACCCTGATGCCCCTCATTAATAATTCACCAGTATTACTGTAAGGAGAAACTAGGTGCTGGTCACTCTTAAGGTTTTTAAAAAGGGCCAGTTAGCACTTTACCTCTGCATAGTACAAACAATAGAAAAAACACCAAGGAAAAATGCACATTCCAAAGCAAACAACGTCTTTCTGTCTATTTGATGAATTTTTACCCTACCCAACATTTTGAGATGTACCATCAGTATGCATTTTTCTCCATACTGTTCCTTACACATTTCCCAAGGTACTGACAAGGAGAATTTGTTTAACAATCAAGAACTTCTTTAGTTGCTGAACATTTCCTTCATTCTTGTGACCTTGCTGTTCAATTCAGCTGTGATATCGTGAGGAGATAATAGCTGATTGTCACTCATAGGTGTTCAGGGGTTATTTCTTTTGTATAGTGAATGTAAAGGAATTACCCTCAAATTAACCTCAGACAGCTACTAAAACTTAATCCTTTAACTCCCATGAGTGACCAAGACAGAATTTCTTCCTACATTATCAATATAATATCAAGCAGACAAGTGATGAGAAGTTAAGGTAAGTTAAGAAGTTAGAGAGAGAAAAAATAAGCACTTATCAAAAAAAAATGGGATAAGCCTGTGAGGTAGCTTGATGTCAATAGAACTGGAGGATTAGCACCAAAATTAGACAGCAGCATTTATTGTCCCTTTTAAGTTGTTTTTAATCACAACAGTCAGGTTTGTTTCCAATGGAATGATTGGATAAGACAAATTTCTCATCCAATGTCCAAGGCCCCCCTTCCCATACTTTATCCACTCATCACAGACAGGAAAAGATATAAGCCTTCAGAAAAATTGTTGAAGTTTCTTTTCAAAATTTCCAAGAATTTTTGTCAAATCTCCAAATTATCCAATTCCCGGAACCTCCATTTCAAATTGCTAGAGGAATTAGAAATTAGTCACCTTTTCTTTGGTTTTACCAGTTTTTGCATGGAAAGCCAAAAACAACTGTATCATAATCCTCTAACTCATCTTCCTTCTACCAACCCACATAACTGAGCATGCAAGAACTCTCCGTGCCCCAAAAGCAATGCTAACCCCTCCCACACCCCCCCCGCCCACTCGCAACGACTCCAGCATAATGAGAGATTATTGAAAAAGCTGCAGTCTAACGCGGCAGAGGGAAGCAGACTTGCAGACACATCATTTTACTAAGCAAGTATGCGAAACATCGTTAAGAACAAGCCAGCAAAAGCATGCAGAGCGTTAGCCTACGTGTAGCCGTGCCCTCCTCCCCCTTCCGTTTCTCCTTGGGGAGGAGGGTACGGCTACACGTAGGCTAACGCTAATAGAGCGTTCATAGGGAGAAATGATGAGGCGAATGTAAGCAAGACTGACACGTCTCGCATTGCAGTTACACGGATTCGAGAACTATGCGAAGGTGATTGAAGCGATTATAGTCAAGGTGAAGGTTATTTTATCGTTAGCAAGGAAATCTCTCGATCCAGAAAAAACGCACGTTGAGTTGTTGAGTGTTATTTGACTAGACGGACATGTCAAGTGTTTCGTGGAAAATGTGAAAAATAAATTATATTGTCACCCTTCTCAGGACTTCACTCATCCGGACGATCACATGATAACTCCTGATTCAAACCATTTACTGTAAATTGTAATCTTTAAAAACAACTTTAAAAAAAAACTACTGACGAATTCAGACGGGTTTCAGACGCGCCATTCTATACACCTTGACGGCCAGCTGTCCGCCTCCTTAGTCCTTCCAGTTGCCTAGGTGGTATTGAGAACAAGTAAAAAGACAAAGCAAAGATGTCTACTGTCTATATCATTCATGTTCCTCTAAAGATCGATCTGCGATCTCTTAATCAGGACGACTGCTGCTTTCCCAGTAACCAACGGCGTCCTCTTCTCCGGTCCTCTCCGGTCGGCCATTGAGGTGTTTGAGCCTACAGTCTACCAGCGGTGAAGTAAAAAAAATAAAAATAGGGGCGAAATGGCGGAGTTACGCAGCAGTATGTTAAAGTTATTTTCATTTCTCTTCTTTTTGCTCTGCTTTGTCACTCTGCGAGTTTCCTCGTGTGGAATAAGCACACATATAGACATTGGCCATCAGGCTATCAACTGGTTTAAAGATACAAGAAATAACACTGATTACAGGGAAATCATTCTGAGGCACCAAGACGCGTTCATAGGCGGAAATCCATATCCGGATGCCATGTATTCGGGTTTGTGCTTTAAAGGAAAATTTCATGCGGTCGCTGAAGATACACATTGGGCTCCCTTTATTAATGCCACTGTTAGGTATATCAGGAAGAAATACCCAAAACCTTGGGATCAGGTGAGTGGAATCGATAGATCATATCCTTTACTTGAACTGCGCTCTTGTCATGTCCAATCACGATCCTTCATTTTCCACTCTTAACAACTCAAACTTGACCCCACTGATCACTTAATTTTTTATATGTATGGCTACTGCTGAGTTTACTATCGCTGTTGAATAATGGAAAGTTGAATAATGATCATATTTTAAGGTTGTTGTGGTGATTTACAGACTGAAAAAGTGGTAAATGGAAGGTTAATTGAGACTTTCTTGAACCATCACGCTTCAATGTGTCACGCGATATTACCGAACATTGCCTTTCCCCGTGTTGACCACTTTCACCTCATTTTTACCATTTGGATTTAAAACAACAATCCCAATTTCTCAGCATATTAGCTTGTTAGGAAAGATTCGGAAAAATCCCATCTACAGAATCTTCGGAAGAATGTCAACGAGGACATGAGTTAATCACGTGTCACTCAAATGAAGAATATGATTGATTCTCATCATATAGTCTTTTAGATGGACATTGTAGTCCCAAACTTTTTGGGCCAAAAAAGAAATGTTTTTTTATTTATCAGTTGAAAATTTATAAAACACCAATTTCAATGAGAGAGGGTGAGTCAGGTCATCTTCCAAAAGCAATTTTTTAAACAAGAAAAAAATTGGCATGGGGAAATCTTCTAGAAAATATACAGTAAAATGAAAAGCACCTCTGGAAGAAACTTTACAAAATAGGATTCAAGCTCTCCCCTTCAAAATGAAATGCCCCAACCCTAAAAAGAGAAAGGCAAGGAGACCAATCTAACTCTTTGGTCAACATTGATGATTTCAAACACACATCATGTCAAGGAGGATAAAATATTTTTGCTTTGTATACAGATTGTATTTACATGCTGTAACAGCAACCAAATTGGTTACTTGGTCACTCAATTTATTTTCAAGGTACTCCTGAAGGATTTCCACCCCATCTATTCTTATATTAACAGTCTCTTTTGTTTGAGTAAATTTACATAGCTACTCACCACATGATGAAAAACATCCTATAGTAAACATATGCACCAGTAAAGCATTTGAAATATACTTCACCTGATTTGATAGGAGACAGAAAAGTTGGTTGCTTTTACCCTGGGATTTGTATCACACCAAGTAGCAGATGTGACATGGCACAGTCTTGGGATTGATCAAGGATTCCTCACCACAATGGGAGATGTTAATTTCTTTGGTTCCTTTCCAGCAGCTCACAGTATTGGTGACCCTGGTGGAGATATGGTTGCATCATTTGAGGGGGACACAAGGAATATAACTGCTAGCATTAATGAGTGGTAGGCAACACTGTTTTGAAAAATCATATTTTTGAAGAAATATTTTCAATCTTGTAACTTTTGACTCCTGAGAGTGATTAGCATCTAATTTCTCCTTACAGTATCTCCCCTTAATCAAACATTCAGGTCACAAGAATAAAGAAAATGATCATCTGCTAAAGAGGCTGATGAATGTTAAACAAATTTTCTTTTCTCATCAGTACCTCAGGAAATTTATATGGAAAGGCACAGAGAAAATGTATAGTGATGTTAAGGTGTGAAGAGTTGAAGGAATACACTTGAAAGTTATCTAGATTTATTATTTTGCATCAGGTATGTTCCAAGTGGAGATCTAGAAGATATTTATCTTGAATATTATGGGGAAAAAAAGATTGACAAAAATGAGATAGAACTCTGCACTGCCCTCCTTTTGCTTGGTTGGGTTGGAGAGCACATTGGTGGAGCTAAGTTGTTTTCTAAGTATTCAAAGACTTCGCCCTTTTTAATGGAGGACCTGCACTCATACTTCCAAGGTGGGTTAGTGTTTGTATTTGATTGTAATTAGCTATGAGATATTCATCCTTAGACTGTCTTAGAGAGGCACATCAGTTCTTATTTTCAACAGTATGATTCCTTTGGAGAGAACAAGTCTCAATAAAATCCCAGTAAAAGTGATGTTTGTAGAATGAAACTTAAGTCAATCAAAGATCATTGTATGTCTGATCTAAGCTGAATTAACCGTGTGTTTTGATTGGGTCTTAATTACAGTATTGATCTATTTGAGGACAGATGCATAGATGACATTACCAATAACAGTATTTTCCTTTTTTAGTTATCATACAAAGCGAATAAATTCCACTTTGCTGTGGATCTGTACAGTAATAGATCACAGAGGAAATCAAAATGTGGCAAGACCATCAGTGACACACTTGGCAGTGCCTTGTGTGCCATTTTGTTCTTATCCACATTTTGATATCATCTGTGATCTGTTACTGAATAGATGGACAGCAATATGGAGTCTATTGATTATTTTACAGTTAGACCACTTCTGATTAATTATTAGTGAGGATGTGATTTTAAATGTCATTAATAATCTTTTGAGGTGCAATTGATGCTTTTAGGGGGTGTAGCAGACATGGCAGCCTGGTCAGTTCTTCTGTGGCACAAAACTATTGACATGTTAGAACATGGAACAGATGTATGTGTTATTCCACACAGCCCTCTCTTTATTTCTTGCAATAAGAGTGATTCTGCTACAGCTTCATCAAGGAGACAGTTGGACAAAAAACTCAAGAATCCTGGAACAGTTACACCAGCAGAAATACTTAAGCTTGCCGATTTTTCTAATATAAATATGAAGCAGACCAAGAGAGGCACTTACTTTTCATTGTCAGAGTCTCTTCATGAAAAGATGTTGAAAAGCAAAAGTTTGTCAAGGGATTGCCATGGTTCTCAAAACTGCCATTTAAAAGTGATGTCAAATGAGAACAGTGCAGATAAAAGGGCATTATTAATGTCTGCAGAATATTCATCATCTGTGCCTTATGCAAGATTAGGATGGTGAGTAAATTGTTGTTTAACCTTTGAAACTCAAAGATCTGAAAGAAGCATTATACCTGCAAAAATGTCCCAATGTTTACAGGTCTCTTGCCTATGGCAATTTCAATGGTCAGAATATTTCCCTTGTGATTGGAGCACCGGGGTATGGTACCCCAGGCAACAGCCAACATGGGCGGGTATATCTTGTTACTGGTGATGCTGACAGTGGCTTACCTGATAAAGACTTGGACTTGGATGTGTCTGCAAACACGATTCTGGATGGTATTGTGGAGAACGGACGGTTTGGTACTGCTCTGGCTGTAGTGGATTTTAATAAAGATGGAGTGAATGACCTCGCTGTGAGTGCTCCAGCAACAGGTATGAGTTATTGACAGTTTCTACTTTTTTGCTGTCAAAGACTGTGATGAACTGCAGCGAATATAGAGGCTTTGGGTGAAGCTACAAACATGAAGCAAAAGGAAAGGCTTCGGGCAAAGCTACAAAACACTAGCACAGTCAAGCGCTATTTTAACCATAAGGAGTTCTCATGAAAAGTCCTGTATACAAAATATTAAAGCATGAGGGGATTTGTCACGCATGAGAAGGCATTACATAATTATAATAATTTTACAACATTGTGATTGACAAGTTCAATTAATAAAGTTATACCATTGACCTATCAACCCTTCAACCACTTAGAGTGGCTAGAATCTAATTTCCCTTCACAATATCACCCCTGAACATATTAAGGTTGCATGAACATGAGGGGATGCAAGTGGCCTCAACTGTAAGTACTTTTTAGAAATGCTAGGATATTATCCTAGCATTCCTAACATTCCGAGCTGCACGAGAGTGTCAAAATCCGTGCGTATGTCAGAAATGTCACTAGAGCTAAAGTATGCTAGATGATGGCAAATAAATTTGAGAAGATAAATGAATTAATGCCTGATATCAAAATGTCATCAGCTAATGCTTTTGTTTCACATGCAATCAATAGTGCCTTTATTCCTCGGCCGGCTCCTTTGCATTACATTGTAGATTATAAAGAGAAATATATCCACACGATTTATTTGCCCTTATCTGGCGTACTTTAGGTCTAGTGACATTTCTGTGACATACACATGGATTTTGACACTTTCCCGCAGCTCGGAATGTTAGGAATGCTAGGATAATATCCTAGCATTTTTAAAAAGTACTTACAGTTGAGGCAGCTTGCGTCCCCTCATGAAAGGAAATGATCACCAACTAAAGAAGCTTTGATTGTGAAACAAATTCTCCTTGTCAGCACCTTAGGAATGGTGTAAAGAACAGTATAGAGAATATGCATACAGATGTAGGGTGTAAAGGGTTAAGGGAATTATAAACTCTGATAAATATATTTTATATTCATGTTCTGTATAGGTGCAAATGATCTTCAGTACACAGGCACAGTGTACATCTTTTTTGGAACCAAAGGAGAGGGACTTAATCCCCACCCAAGTGTTGCAATCTATGGCAATGGAACATATTACAATCTTGGTACATCTCTATTGGGGACTGATATTGATGGGGATGGATTTAAGGACCTCATAATTGGGTCCCCTTATGCTCCTGAAGGAGGGCCCCAGAGAGGATCTGTTGCTATATTTTTAGCCAAGACACATATACAACCTGGTTTGGATTTGTCTGTGCATAATGCAGACTGGATGGCTCTTGGTGAACAAAATTACAGTTGGTTTGGTTATTCAATGACTGTGACAAAGGAAAGTGGAAAGATAGTGTTACTTGTTGGTGCACCTACGTTCAGGTAAAATTTTGTTATCTAGTGAGCTGGTAATTAAATAAATAAATCATAGTTCTTCCAATAAATTAATGGTGAAAACCCCATTCAAAATCCATAAAATTATAGAAAGTTGATAGTGCATAAATATGGGGTTAACTTATGGTTGTCAGGTTTATTCAGAAAATTTCCAACACCCCTTTTATAATTCTTGCCTAAGAACTGAAAGTAGTGTCTACTTCAGGGCTAAAATGTTACTTTCTTTTACAATGAGTTATCATTTACATTTTATTAGTATTGATTGAACTCTATATTATTGACTGTAGTTAACAGGTCATGATTGTAGAGAAGGTTTTTAGTTATTCATCACATGGTGAATGCATTGTTGGAGATCAGGGAGAATGCATCTTGGCTTTAAAAGGCACATCTACTTGTACACTGTATATGAAAGGTTCTTTGTAAGATTGAGCTTGCTTGCCAACAGCATGTTGTGGTTGTTTTTGTTAACTACTGACTGTTAAAAAATCCATGTCAGTTTTCCAGTGTCAAGGTTAGAATTCTTTGATGTGATTGGCTAATTTGTGAAATCATGTGCACCCCACATGAATACAAAGAAAATACAAATGGGGAAAAGAAGAGAAGAATTGTAATTTGAAATTTAAAAATACAAAAAGATTTTCTACAAAAAAATTTTTTTTTTTGCAGATTATGTGCCAATAAGGACTGCAGTTACTCTAAGGATGACGTACAAAGTGTTGGCAGAGTGTATTTGTTCCATCCCAATCTATCAACCCAACCTATGGCAACAATAACAGGGCACAAGACTTTCATGAAGCTTGGAACCAGCCTCTCTGTAGGAAAACCTTACAACAACAGTGAAGACATCCTTGCAATTTCTGCTGCAACTCTATGTAATCTATGTTCTTTTAAAAAATTGATTTAACCCTCCACCTGTTTATTCCCGGTGAAATACTAGACATCCTTTTAATTAAATCTGAGTTATTTTATAACTGGGAGTTTAAGGGTTAATTTTTCTTATCAGTTATAAGCTTTGTATCAACTTTTCCCCACCATGAAATTTAACTGATTTTATATTTATCAGCAATAATAGTCATTAAAATTTATTAATCATAAAATCTTTTGTTTGTAGCATTTGAAGGCCATTTGGTTGATGTGGAGGATATGCCAGTTTCTTTTACCCAATCAGGTGCCATCTACCTGGTAAACTCTACAAAAGTTCTGCAAAGTGGAAGTGATATCTCTCTTAATGATTTGCAATATACTGCCATTTTTGAAGGTGATCGCAGCTATGGCAGATTTGGTTGGAGTTTGGATTTCACTGATGTGAACCATGATGGTATCACAGACTTGGTTTTCTCTGCACCATTCAGAACAGAAGATATTACTGAAGAGTTGAAAGGAGGTTTGTGATTAAAACTTTTTCTTCCTGGTGAAAATTAACTTAAGGTACTTCACTCTAACTTGTAATTCTGGCTCAGATAGTGATCTCATTTAAGGTATTCCCCTTTCTGTCAGCCATGCAATTTATGTGATGTTGGTTCTGAGAATTTGGAATTGAATCAGCTAATAATCCACAAATTGATAGTGTACTTTAATTCTTATCATTTTTCTGCTTGATATCTTATTGATATTACTGGCATAAGGAGAAATTCTACCTTGGTCACCCAAGGGAGCTAAAGAGTTAAGAGATGAAACTGAACCCATTATATAATAAGTCCTTGTTTGTATTGAACTAGATAAATAAATAATCTCCGAGTCAAATTATCTTTTTTTAATTTTCAAGGAATCCTCAACACATGTACTCTTGACTAACATGTTTGGTATAATGTTCATAATAAAGCTAACCAAGAAAAAAGCAAAACAACACAACATAAACAAGTGAAGATAAAAGCTCATGGTGTTTCCCTAATTTCTTTTTTTTTTTTTTTAGCTGAGGAAGGAGGGCTGTATGTTTTTTATGGTGGAACATCTTTTCCATTGGGGAATGCCACAAGAGGATGTAAAGAAGTGGAACCCTGTCCTGGAGAAAAGGTAATATCAACTTCTTGTGGTGTGTCTCCAATTTACTTTGAATTCAACTACCCTTCAATCCTCCTAGGCATTCAATTATAATTAAATTTGAACAGCACATGAAAGTCTTTACTTTGATAGGCAACTTATGATTGGATTTACTACACCTGTAATAGTTGTAAAAATTACCAGATATTTAACAAGATGTTAAAAATGTTCTTTTCCAGGCATCTAATGTGATGAAAAGCAGTGAGGTAAAGTATTAATAATCATTATTATGATGATGTACATATGCTATATTAAGTTTCCTGCCTCTCCCTATCAGCCCCTTCCCACTGTTCTCAAGGTGATGGTTTTGGGTCAGGGTTTACAAAAAAAAAAAATAAAAAAAAAAAAAGTAGTAAAAATATTACAAAATGCAGCAAAAATATTTCTACAGGTCAGTGTTAATAGAATTTTGAAATTCAACAGGTATAACTTCAGTGTATTGCAGTTGTAAATGTTTCACCCAGCTCAGTGATCTTGTTGATGTTTTTTTTTTCTTAACAAAAATATCATCTATAACCCACAGGAGAGGTCTCGCATGGGAACAACATTCCTGAATATCCCCAATGCAAGGTCATCTGGTTCAACCCTAATTGTCTCATCACCTCGCAGCTCATATAAAGCTTTTCATTCAGGTTCTGTTCATGTTGTTCAACATGCCTCTCAAATGGCTGTTGTCTGACGAAGATGAATGTAAAATAACTGATAATGAAAATCACCTTTATAATTAGATAATTTGTTTTTATCAGCTGAACTGATAATATAAATGGGTCAAAGAGTCTCTAAAGCTGATCTCTCAAGTGTTAGCCCTTGGTCAGAGCTAATTAGCCAGGGTAGCTGTTTATTTTCTTTCCTTTATGCCAAGCTAAGAATGCCAAGGTGTGGTGTGAGTGATAGGAAGACATGATGTAAAAGGGAGCAAATGCACTCATCCTGTGATTTTTTGCTTCCTTTTACCCTTAGCTCAAGTTATGACTCACTAGCTCTTGGCTGAAAGGAAACAGGAAAAAATTATTTTTATTAATTTTAGATGCTTTTTTTATTAACTTTATTTCCCTGGAATGATTGAGTGGGAAGCAAATACAAGAAAAGAATATTAAATAGTTTTAATATTAATTTTTTTAATACAAAAAAATCACCAGTAGGTCATGAAAAATAATTCCAAGTGGGGTGTAATATAGATTTGGACCAACAAACTTAACCAATTACTTTTAGGTACTAGTTCCATATTTTTATTTTTCTGTTTACAAATCAAGATTTTACTCTTTCTGTGCCTTCTTTATCCATAAATTTGCATCATTTCTGATGCAAGCTTCAGTCATGGAGTCTCGCTGCTAACTTTCACTGAATGAACCAGCAGAATGTAGCAAAAATGTGTTGAATTTTAGCAGTGAAACTTTTTGGAATCAAAGCCATTACTGAGCTTTATGAAAGATGGACTAAAGGTGGTTATCTCCTTTTTCCCAACTCAAGTGAGTTTGTGGCTTCAGGAACTTTTTGTAATCAGATAAATTATTATAGTTGCCTATAATTGTGAGTACTCATCTTTCAAATAAATTTTTACATCAAAACCCAAATGAATTAAGTATCAAAGGCATTGCAATTTAATATTGTCGATGCAAAGATCTACTGTGTCTCTATGTTCACCTGGTAGCCAAACCCTCTAACCCCCTAAAAGTGAAAAACATCTTATTTCTCCCAACAGTGTTATCTTTGAATCTTACTTTAAGGTCATGAGAATGAAGGAAATGATCGTGAACTCAAGAAACTCTTGATTGTTTACAAAGTACCTCAGGAAATGCACACAGATTTGAATGGAAAAATTAGGCTCTAAACCCTTTCCTGACCAACAGTGCCATATGGTAATTGTGTGTACCACCCCACAAATTTCCAATTGTGCCATATGGCACTCTTCACAATGGTCAGTTCTAACCAATAAAAGATACTTATTTTTAAAGTTTCTTCTGGCCTATTGTGTTTTAACCAATAAGGTGAGAGTAGTGGCTTAGTTCAAGCTAACTTTCAGGGGAGGTATTCATATGAATTTACTGAGATATTGTGAGTTGAAGATATTGGTAGTTGTGTCTGTTGTTTTAGTAGTGGCTGTGCTTTTCGATTCAGATAGCAAAGAAGAAGAGTTTATTGGCTTCAATATAGAACCACGCTTTCAGAGAAATAATCACAAGTTGGGATCAAATCACACCAAGGATGGCAAGAATTACAATGGAGAGTTACTTACTTTGTATTGTTGTGTTATTTATTTTTAGTTGAATTTTTTATGCTCCTTCCATCACACCCTAATTGTGAAACCATTGTACTCTTGTTTATTGGCAAAGACACGAAATAATTCCAAAGTGATTGCACTATGTTGAAGAGAAACCAAAGGTGAAAATACTAAGATAAACAGCTTTGTGGTAATCATCCACATCCAACCCTATTCCATTGAACTGTGTAAATTCACCAATTCCTGGGTTCTGGAATAAGCTGTCAGATACAAGAGTCCAATTGTGAATTTTTTGGTGGGAGTACTGTGGCCTGCAACAATACTTTCTTCACTCTCCTTAGTCCTCCTCACAATCCTTTGATATCTATATGTTTAGTACAATTGCGAGTTCACCCACTACTCATTGAACCTGACCTGAACAAGCTTACTTCATCAAATAACGAGTTCACTCCTATCTTTTCCAGTCTGCCCCAAATTCTTCAGTTCCCATTCTTTCAACAGAAGTTATCCCTTTCCTAATGAAAAAGTAGGGGTAAACTTGGTATATTCATCGTTCAACATAAGGGCGAAACCTCTTTAAATCATTGTTTCTCCTGCTTAACCCATATTTCATTTGTTCCAAAAAACTTTTTTTTGGTTGATTTTTCTATCTGTCAATCAGATGAAACAAAACTAAGTAATTTCCTTGTGGAACCTGTGTTAAAAAGCGAATTTCAGACCCGAAATAACTACATCAACAGCCTAATATATGGCTAAAGAAAGTTACCATGATGGAAATGTCTGATGATTTTTCAGCAATACTTTAATCAGTATTCCATGACATCTAACTATCATTTGACTTTTACTTCAATCCAAGTTGAATGTCTCACTTAACTAAAAATATACCTGAATGTTTAACCAAATATCAAACATCAATAAGTCTTAAAATATTCACTTGTTAATAATTTAACAGCAATATACAGCTCCATAAAATAATATACATTATAAAATTATACTTGTTTGAGCTATTAATTTCTTTATAAAATCTCTCATTCTCCTCTTAATTTTTACAGCTATAAATCATAGTCTTAAGTTGAACGCAATATGTTTGCAAATTTTGATCACACCTGCTGGACTGATTACCAGCTGGCATGATTCATAAAAAGAAATATGTCTAGCTAAGGTAATAATAGCAAGAGGAACAACCATGCATTTTGCATGGTACAACACAACCAATAATGATCTTGTAACAATTCAAACTTAAACACACCAAGACAACTAACACTGTATCACAACTCTTGTAGCTTTGCAATTTTGGGGATTGCTAACATTCAAATTTGTTTAACTCTTTCCCTGTAGAAGGAACCACAGCCTTGGTTCTCCCTACAAATTTATAACACTGTTAAACAGTGAAGGAACCTCCTGCACTCACCAATGAGGGCATCAAATTATTACTTACTCAGCTGTTCAAGTATCACATAAGTGATGAGTGTTCTCCTCTAGGATTAGACTCAAAGTGAGGCCAAGCTCTTTAAATTTGCTTCAAAACACTGCTACATATACCCATGATCCTACATTTTCAGCATACAACATGCTTTTCACAAGTTTAAACTACATAAGAAGCATGTAACATGACTAAAGGACCAGGACCAGACATATACTCAGCATGTATAAAACCAGATGAACATTCAGTTTCCCACAAGAGGCAAGGCTAATGACTATCATGCCATCAGTGCGTCCATTTTGAGCTTATTCATCTCAGTTTCAAAACAAGCATGTATACTCTCCATACTGTTCTACACATATTTCATAAGGTGCTGACAAGGAGAATTTATTTCACAATGAAGAGCTTCTTAAGCTGGCAATCATTTCTTTTACTCTTGTGACCCTAATGTGTGATATTGTAAGGAGAAACTGTCACTCTTGAAGGTCAAATGGTTAACATAACGGTTTCAATTACATAGCCATAATCACTCAAACAATTGAAATGTAGACTTTCTTTATAACAAGCCTGGTTTTGAAACTGAGACAAAGATAGCTCAGAAATGGAATAATGCACAGAGGAAGAAAAAAAACAGAGTACCAAAGCTAACATTTACACCATTTTCAACGAAACCGCAATTTCCCTCAAGTAAAGATTACCATGGCTAACAATTCTCTTAAGATGATTACAGACTTAGAGATACATGAAAGAACTTGGAAAGAAGGGACTCTAAGCTGCAAAGACATTATTCACATTAACTAGACTGACTCAGTTCACTAAACCTCTGGAAACTGCAGCAGAGTCAAGTGAAATGGTGTTAACTCCAACCAGATTATCTTGAACACCAGCCATGCTAACGCTTGAACTGACAGGCATGTGGTGTGGAGAACTAACAAGATTACTCTCCCCACCATTTTGAACCATGGTCGGCAATGGAGAATTCTGAAGAGATGGACTGCCTTGCTGGATGTTAGAATACATGGGAGACAAGCTGCTTACAGAAACAGTTTCAACTTGTGACGACACAGTTGGTGCAATCATTGTTGGGTGTGTTGTGACCGCTGATGAACTTTCCGATGCTGACACTGTGGTGACATGGCTTGCTGAGGGAGGTAATGTGACAACAACCATTGTGGTTGGTGTCCCTGCAGGTTGTTGCAAAGTGACAGTACCTGGGATGACTGTGGTACCTTGGACATTAGGTATTGTTATAGCAGTTGGAAGGGCCACACCAGGAGGTACTGCCTGTATCTGGACAGCACCCTGCACCATAGCAGCTTGGACAGTCACTGGAGCTGGAGCTATTGGAATGGTGTTGAACTGGCTGGGAACAAGAGTGTCTGGCCAAAATCTCTGAGCAGGCCTACTCTGGATTTTAGACTTTTTGGCTTTAGGTCCTTCAGGATTGCTTGCATCCAACATTGGTTGTAAAATGCGACGTCTAGCATTTATGAACCTATATAGAGAGATAACTTTGAGTTAAACAATGAAACGGAGAAACCCTACCCAAAAATCCTCTTTAAAATGAAATAATTGTATGACAGTAAGATATATATTGCCCAGTGCATAATGAGTCCAGCTATAAGCTTACCAGTTGTTCACTTGAAGTATTGTTAGATTTGTTTGTGCCGCAATAGCCCTCTTTTCATCCTCTGTTGGGTATGGATGCTGATTAAAAAAAAAAAAGTCAAAAAATGGGAAAAACAATTATTTCGTTCTAGAACTTTTTATTTTCTAAGACTCTTAATTGACTATCACAGTGAAACACTGTAGGAAAATAATTTTGTAAACCAGTCAAGTCTCCATTGTGACCAGATTTCTTCTGGAATATCTGCACCACACAAGGGTTTTATGTTAAGTTTTGAAGCCATATCTAGAAGGAATTGCAACAAAACTGATTATCAAAATTAACTCACCACCAGATGTTGAAAAAGCCAGCTTTTCATAATGTTTGTCGCCTGCTTGGGTAACACTCCTCTCCTAGTTCTCTTTTTATCAGTGACCTCCGTTGGCGAGTCCAGGGCAGGGAGAGGAACACTGGAGGGGACTGTTATTTCTGTTGGAGATTCATCTCCGGAGGAATGTGTCTGCAGTCTGGGTGGTGTGACAGTCTCGACAGTTGGTGTGCTGACGTAAGTTACATTTGCTGGCACTGTGGTGTATGTTACAGTTGCTGGTACTGTGCTGTACGTGACTGTTGATGGCACGGTTGGTTGTTGGGGAACCTGTGCTATGACAATCTGTTGATTGGGTGCCACTCCTTGTGGAACATATGCAACAGTTGCAACTTGTTGTTGAACAGGAGAACCAATAACACTTGCTGTAGGAGTTGCATTAGCTATTGTGCACGGAGCCACTGCTGGGGTATAGTAAGTGATTTGTTGCTGTGGGAGAAATGTTGGTTGTTGTGCTTGGATTGGAGTGGTTGGCTGTTGTTGCACATTTGCATTTAACACGTTCACAGCAGGAGAGTATGCTGATTGAAGAGGGCTACGCAACAGGTTCTCACTCTGCATCTTCCCTTTCAGACAAGCTATGTATCTCTGGCAAAAATCTTTGCAAAGTTCATTTACTTTTTCCAGCTCTAGTAGGTGTATCCTGAGTACTTGAATAGCTTTCACCATCTGTTGACAAGACAAAACAAACGTATTTAAGTGACAGACACATTTCATTGGTTGTCAACTTTCACTCCCAAGATCTCATTAATAAATTCTCCTTACTGAATGCCATACAATTCTCTTTTATGTTAGTTTGACAAATTTGGTATTACATCAACTGATAATCCCCCAGTTGATGTTTTTCTTTCTTTTTATCACTTGTCTGCCTGATATTGTAATCATTTTATGTCTGGGTGATTCAAATTTTGTTGAAATGAGAAAACCTCCTTTGTTCATAACCATGTGTGCTGTATTTCAATCCCAACAATAAAATCTTGAAAGATATCAACAGAAAAATATCTGTTCTCTTGCACAATAAACTAAAAAGTAAGCAAAGGTTTTTTTAAACCAATAAAAACCTAACACACAAGTTTTTGATAGGTTTAGCACACACAAGCTGGCTTTATATCTCTACACAAGGAGGAAATTAAGAAATTAACTTCCACCCCCACGTTTTGCTAATAACAAAATAAATCGCCTAAAATCTATAGAAATTTCAGACAATCATATCCTGAAAATTTAAATAAACATCCTGGGAGAACGAAAATGCTATCATTTGCTTGGAGAAGTATGAAAGTAAAAAAACATACGTAAAAGATGAGGTCCGTGTTTGCTGAAAAATTTACATTGACAACAAAACAAATTCTAATTCTTAATAAATATTTACATATGTAAATAACAATTCATTGAAATTGCTTCCTTCACAAAATTCGGCTAACTCTGAATGTAATACCCTTAGCGAGTTAATGTCAGCAGTAATATATAAAAAAAATATCAAGACGTTTTTATAATTTACCCATATAACAAATAACACCCAAATCTAGCCATCAGGAAAACATACAACAGGATTTAGGATGAAAACAGGAAATCTTCGATCAGAAGGAAAATGAAAAGTTTTCAACAAAAACGTCATACTTCTGCTTCGAGAAAGGGGTACTCGGAAATTCAGAAGCCTGAGGGAAAACAGGGTTTTTCGTGTTCTTAGAATAGAACGTTCTGTAATTGATTTCAATAGGTTCATGGATGATTCGGTATGAGATTTTCTTTCAGAACGCCATTAAAAGCTTACAGTTAATCTGGATTAAAATTTTCTTGTATCATTAGGAAGCAAAACGAAACGCCATTTATAGTACCTGTACTGAAACACGCGAAAAGTGAGTGTTTTCATTGCAAAATCTATCCACCCGCCATTTACAATACATAGAAACATGGCGGGCACTTTCAACAACAAATGCGTATAAAAAATTTCGAAGAACCCATGACTGTGAAGCTTTCGATAGAACGACGCAATAATTTCAAGTCTGTTGATTACAACATTTGAAACATTTTGTAGCTCGAAGTTCAATCCATCAAGAGATTCACTGGTAGATAGCGAAGGTCTTCAATGTCATCTGTGACCCAAAACAAGTCTTGATTACTTTGAGATTTGTCAAAATTATGATCAACTCGTCTCAACAAACGAAAACCTTTGAGATTTAAATCTAACGAAGTAAAGAGTAAGCTTCGGCTTATTCTTACCAAGTTGTCGAGATCTCGATCTTCCGTATAGAAAGGCTTTCCTTCCCTGTTCATCTGTAAAATTCCATTCTTAATTTCGTTGTCGAATGCCGTGGCAGGCGTGCATTCACAGGTTTGAGTTGACTGCTCGCACTTTTCAAACAACTTCGCCAAAAGAGGCAATAAAGGATGGCGGTAGATTGCTTGCTTTTCCGCCTCCATGTTTGAAAGCTGTTGCAAGTCGACCGCTTGAACAGTTATCTGGGCTTCGTCGTAAGAAGGAGGGGGCATCTTGTCCGCTGGTGTCTGTTGAAGAGATATACCTCCATAATGAGCCGAAGTAGCAATGTTTTGGCCTTGAAGCATGTGACTGGTGGCCACTCGATTCGCAAGCCCTTCCATCAAAGGCTGCCTGTTCGAAAAGAGAAAAGACAACGTTATACTCGACTGGCATGTTGGCGATGAACGGACCCGGCTGGAAGACCAAATGAAATGATAATCGTTGTTCTGTTAATGTGTTTGTATGGGAGGTTGAAAGACTTACAATTGGTCACTATTAAAAAGAAATGCACGAGGCGATGGAACAGCGACGGTGTCACTCACTCGTCAACGTCAAAAACTCCTTTTGGCGCGGCCTTGCCTTGCCTGATTGACAGCGCCAACCGACGAATTTCTACATAATTACTATTGTCCCCATGCTAATTTATACCTGTCGCACATTGGGGAATAATTGATGCATGCATAATTAATGATTTGAATAATGCCTATGTTGGCTTTTGAGCCATGATGTGATTCAGCTGCCAAAACAACATCGTCGATATTCTTTTTACCGCTACATATTTTCTAAGATAAGTCACAACCGGAAACTTCACCTCAAACATAGATTTTTTTCCCCTGCTACAAGCTAAAAATTAAAAAAAAAAAAAAAAAAAAAAAAATTGCCTTCGACCCCTAATGTGGGAGGTTCCAAGGAGTGTTATGAAAACAAAGGTTCAGAGAACGGGTGGTTTTGGTGATATGTGGCGCATTATTGGGGGCGTACTTGATTAATTATTGTATTTGCATTCCTTCATATCAGAGCCTGGAAGTTCAGAATTTCTCTACCTTTTCCCTCTTGGCAACAATTCTTAGTATGGCATAAACTTTAGATGAACTGCAGTAAACATTTTTTATTTACGCTTAGTATATTTTTACACCTTACGCGAACTTATCGAGAAAGGGATTTTTAGAATTCGAAAAATTGCAGTTACACCACGCGATCAAGCGTTTGTTTTTAGTTACTTTGCGATAAGGGACATGGATTCAATAACTTTCCATTTTTCTGCTTGGAAAAATAATTAAAAGAAAAATGTGATTGTAGGTAAAGAGAATTTAAAATACGTACTGAGGCTTCAAACGTTAATTCTTTGTGAACAAGATGTTCAAATACGTTGACCGGTGTTTAGTTTTACCATACCCTCAGAAAAAAACATCTGTACTACTTCAAATCATTTGCCGAGTTATTGAAATGTATTGGACCACTGCCACGTAATTTACGATAATCTTTAGTTACATTATTCAAGATCCACTGATTTCTTTCTTTCAATGGCCTTGTTTTTCCTCCCTGTTTACCAGATGTATGTTTATAAATGAATTAATCTTCAAATTACTCGCCAGATTATTTTTACCTACCCCTCCCCGAAAGACAATTATAGGCCTATGCAAAACACGCACGCATCATTTGTTGAGGTGATTGACAGCAGATGAATAACTTACTTGACATAATTTTCGATCAGAGTGAATGACACGAAACAAATTGTCGGTCAAAATTAGGAGAATAGACAGGACTAATAACAATACATAAAAGCCACCGACAGATAAAGCAAAATACTGTCAATTCTGGGCATGCAAATCAGTCCATCCGAGATATGTGATTGACAAGGTCTCGTAAATTCTGCAGAGATAATATTTGATTGGCATACACGTCAGCAATAGATGTTTAATTTTCTTTTCTCGAGAAAAAACCAAGAATTCGTTTTTATATCCGGTGCGTTTAATAACGGGTTCAAAATCTTCATCAGGGTAAAAAGCTGCCTGCTGGTGAAACATGTCAGAAACACAGACAAACTACAGTTTTGAAATTTTTCTCTTTCAATTAAATTTTTTTCTTTAATGTGTATTTTTTAGCCTTCACATTCGTACGCGAAATTAAAAAAAATAATAATTTAAAGAGTTTCTCACAAATTTTTCTTTCTGTATGCTTCAACAACGAATTTGCCACGAACTAAAAAAATATACATTGTATCTTTTTTTCTTGAGATGAAATATTTATGATCCCAATCTGGATTAAATACCTGTTTAAGCAATATAATATATATATATATATAAGAAGAAAATGATCCCCATCGCACAAAGTTTTAAATGGAAAGAGAAAAAAAGGGTCTTCCTTTGAAGGTACAGTTTTATTTAGTATCACAAACTGTGAACGTACTAAGACCCTACCGACTAAACCAAGGATATCGCGGCGTCTGTGAATTTGTATTGTTTGTCATCTTTGTGATAATGGCTTTATGGAAATTGAACTTGACTACCTGAGCCGCCGATTAAGTGTCACAGTAACATACTGACTCACTGAAGGAAAAAGAACCCAGGACTAACCACAGGGTCGAATGTTCGCACGAACGAACAAGTGAATAAATGAATCAACGAAAGGACAAACAAACGAGCTGACGAAGGAGCGAAAGAATAGACAAAAAAAACGAACGAAGGAAGAAAAAAAAAACATTGAATGGACGAATAAAATAACGAATGAATGAACAAAAGAACGAACGAACGAAAGAATGAACGAATACACGAACAAATGAACGAATGAATGATAAGAGGAACAAATGCACGAACGTAAGAACGAACACTGGAATGAATCAATTAACGAACCAAGAAACGGATAAACGAACGGACGAATGAACGAATGCACGAACAAATGAACAAATGAATGATAAAAGGAACGAATGTACGAACGTAAGAACGAACACATCAATTAATCAACGGACGAAAAAATGAATAAACGTACGAATGAATGAATGAATGAACGAATGAATAAACGAACGAATGAACGAACGAACGAACGAACGAACGAACGAACTAACGAAGAAAGGAATGAATTACAAACCGAAAGAATGAATGACCGAACGATATTAGATATGTGAACAGGAATGGTAGGATTTGTTTACTGATATACCGACCAATCCTTCGCAGACAATCAACGTACAGGCTATGTAATAGACCCGTTCACTGGCTTTTAAAACAGTCCGTGCTTAAAGGTAATAAAGTGTTCTTAAAAAGTTAAAGGTCGAAAGTATTTCTTTGATTTTCGTGTTCTAGTAGATCTTGCATGTCTTCATCCAGATTTGCTGTCAATTCTTCCAAAAGAACATCCAATGCCTACGTGGAAAGAACAAACAATTCCTTTACCGTCTATCGCGAAATAAAATGTCTACCATGGAGAGTTTTTTTAGAAAAATTAAAGCATATTTGATCCTCTAAATAGGTACATTATGCTATTATTAGCGTTATCACCAACATCACACCTCTTCAAATTATAAGTTGTTTCCTAGTGCCTACATCTGGGTCTCAATAAATATTGCTGAAAGCACTTACTACATCAAACAGCATTTAAAAGAATACTGCAGAAGATTTGCAGTTTTTTATTTACCACATCACAGAAAACCTCTTCATGAAATTCTTTTACAGCAGCGCTGCTTTGTGTCGCTTCCAGTTGATCATTCACGGCCAAATAATTACGGATCAGCAATCCACACAACATGCCTGTGACAAAAAATGAAACTGTATTTTAACGATGGGCAGTAATTATATCTATTCTATTGGAAAAAAAAGAAAAAAATTGCAAAAAGGAAAGACGAGCAGTTTTCTAAGATTGTCGCTGGAAAATTAAAAAAAAACCGTCCAAAATTAATTATGAAGGTGATGACAGCACCAAAAATTTCTCCCGAGCATCAGGGATGGAACTAACGGCCGGTATTTGGACAATATCCGGCCAAACACATGTTTCATCGAGTCAACTCTTAAGAGGACCAGACATTTTGTCCGGTTGTTTACGCATGTAAAGGAAAAGAATATAATTCCGAGCTAGGTTTGGGTAATAAATATTTAAAGGGTTCTACATTATTGGCGTTCTTTTGATAAACAATCATAACTTACAACAGTGATTGCACAGCTACAGGTGGTTTAAAATTTCCGCGTTCCCATTCATCAATTTGTCATGGCAAATTTAAAGAGTCTTCCAATATCAAATCGTAACTATTGTCTAAAATGGGACCCTAGTGTCTAATCTCGGAAACAAGATTGCAAAAATGACCACTGGTGTCCACTAGTGTCTAAAATGAGACACTTGAGTCTAAAATCGTATACTAATGTCTAAAATATGAAGCTAGTCTCTAAAATCGGAGACAAGTGTCTATAAAAGAACACCAGTGTTCAAAGTCGGAAATCGGACAAAGTGTCCAAAATCGCACACTAGTGCCTCAAATCGGAAAATGGCGTCTAAAACTGGACATAAAATTCGACGTCGGACACTTATGTTCAAAATTGGACGGCGGAAATTAGTGTTCAAAATTAGAAATCGGACACTAGTGTCTAAAAAAAAAATAGACTCCAATGTTTAAAATCGGAAATCAGACACTAGTGTCTAAAATGTCAAATCACACTCTAGTATCTATAATCGGAAATCGTCTCCTTACCGTCTAAAGCCTGTTGTGCATAACCTCTGACGTGAAAGGACAGATTATCACCAGCTAACTGACTCAGAAGATGCTGAAGACACAGTGAGTCTAACAGGCGATCCTCTGCGTACACAGACAGCTGCAAAGACAAAACCAAGGAAAATCATTCTAACTCCTTTTTCACCTATGTTTTTCGCAGAACTTCATATAATTTCTTCAAATCTTTGTACGAGAGAAGTAGATCTTAATTGGACTTGTTAACCAAACATCACTGCATGGTCATCAAAATACCTAACGTGGCTTTCAGTTCAAAGTTGAGGACTGAAAGTGATTCAGGATGCTAATGCTTTTGTTTAACTAAGCTGAGTAATTGATCTAGAAAACTCACGTCACGCTATGTGTGAAGTCTGGAAAACACGCGCCACGCTCCATGATTGGTTTAAAAGAAAAACTTACGCCATGCTCTGTGATTGGGCTAGAAAATTGCCCTATGGCCGATCGCACCTTTTCTCGAGATAAGTAGTTAACTTGTTTCTATTTTGATTGTACTTGAGTTCCTTCTGATATTTTCCATAGTACTGATTGGCAGTTGTGAAATACTTTGATTTTGGTCATGCGATACTCTATCGAAATTGGTTCTACTACCAACAAAGTCATCATTTATAATCAAAAATTTTGCAAAATATCTAGATCCATAGCGTTTCAACTGTGAATTCAAATTCGCGCTAAATGAAATGGGTATTATCTTAAGCTAACATTGGATCAAAATTATTACTTTTCACGACCTTTTTTATGACCATGACCACTGTAGTCCCTTCCAGAAAATACCAGCTTGCCAAGGACTTTTGGCTGTGGATACAATAAATATTGCGGTACCATTTCGGCTCGCAAGTTGCAAGGAGTTACCTTTTTCACTTGTTTCTCTCTGTCAACCTCCATCATTTCCCGCCAAACATCGATAACGATTTGTCTCAATTCAGACGTTATGACCTCATCGATAACTTCATCAAGTGGGTCATCATTTTGGAATCCATCCATGGCTTCAGAGACCTGAAGAGCGAATGAAAGTCAAATACCGTATTGTTTCTTGTGGTATCTTAAGGCTTTTAAAGAACCAAGCTGCCTTTTAATTACCTTTCATCATAGTGTAACTTAAATTATTTAAGAAGGGAAAACTATAGTTTGTGTTAAAATTTGCTTAACCATTTTACCCTAAGATCAGTCTGCATACTCTCCAAACAATTCTCTTTACATTTCCTAAGGTGCTGACAAGGAGAATTTATTTGACAATCAAGATATTCTTTGGTTGGTGATCATTTCCTTTATTCTCCTGCAGGATTCGGGGTGATATTGTAAGGAGAAATTGGATGCTAGTCACTCTTATGGGTTAAAGAGTAAAGTATACATGAAATTGTCTCCTTTTATGTTTCATATGGTAAACTCAATACCTACTGGCATCTTTGAACTGGATATCAAAGTCAAGACTTATTCACAAGTTACCTGCCTAATCCAAAGCTAAATATCCTAAAATGTTCTTCATCAAGCTGAGTATCTTAGCATGATGAACCCCCAACATTATTAGTTATTATGATTTTTTTCTAGTGTTTATTTACTGGTGGTTGGGAAAGAGGCAAAAAGTAACTAGTCTTTCACAGTCAAGAACATAACACAGGGACCCCATACTGGACTCAAACCTCAGCCACTTGATGTGGAAATTAGCTTGCTCTCATTAAGAAACCACAGCTATATTGCTTCAATGTAGAAAGAAAAAAAAAACTTACTAACAAAAACAAACAAACAAACAAGCAGACTCTTTGAAATTAACTTTGAAGTCCTGGATAATATTCTTACCACTACTGGGATCATTGGTTCAATTGTCTCCAATATGAAGTCCTCTAACCAATCACCAGCTTTGATTACAGCCATGTGACCCACGACCTTTTCCTCCACCACAGATCGCACAACTTGCCCAGCAAATTCCTGTACAACTTCACCTATGATACTATCACATGCTTTTACAGATGGATCTCTTCTGGAGTAAGCACTAAGCATAAAAAATTTAAACAAATAGGTAAATAAATATACATTTAAAAAAAGAAACTAGTACACATCCATGAAAACACAAAGAGGACAGAAGAGATGAATTTTTTGCCCTGCAGTTCTTCCAAACAGATGCAAAAAGGATAGGATAGCTGTTTTGAAAATTTCATGCTTCGACTTTTTTGTTCTCTTCAAATTCATTTATTCCCAAAGGTGTCTAAAACCTTATTTTCCTTTTGAACATCATTGCACTGTACAGCAAATGCAAAAGGAATATTCAGTAACTGATTATCTAGGAAGTATTTAAACCTTTAAAACCCAAAGAGTGACCAGTATCTAATTTCTCCTTACCAGAATACTGCTAAATTGTTTATTAAGACCAGGAAAATAACCAAAATGATCACCAGTCTGAGGAGTCTTGACTAAGGGATTTGAAGTACTAATATTCTAACAAATTTCTGACAGCGCAGATATTCTGGCAACACACTTCTACTGTCAAGGATATTTCCTACATTTCAAATAATGGGAGAGTTGAGATATCCAAAATTCAAGGGACTGTACTGTAGCACAGGTTGTAAAAATAACACTCACATTCCTTGATGAGCATAATAGACACCAAGGGTGACCTCATGAATAAAGGAAGTTACATCTTGATCAATGATCTCTTTGCAGACCCTTTCACTGGCTTTGTATCTAGGATCTTGCACAGACTGAAACAAAACTTACCATCAGCTAACACTTGTTTTAAGTTAAGTTGTATAAAAGGGGTAACTATTCTTAAGAAACTGTGATGCTGTGTCAGTTTGAGAGTATAACAGGGTAACTTAGCAATAACACCTGAGTCAATTATGTAAATTGGCCACTGTAAAGAGTTTCAAAGGTGACCTTTCGAGGGTTAGTCCTTTGTCTTTTGCACTTATGAAGGGGTAATGCTTGAAATGTCAGCCTTGAAACTCTTTACAGTGGCCAATTTAAATTATCAACTCAGTTAATTTACTAATTTTCCATGACTAGTTTAGTTTCAGAGCCCATTGGAAATTTTTAATTTGATTATGTTTAATGTACTACCACTAAGAATAGTTTCTTATTGATAAGCTGCTTTTTAAGACTATTTGGATGTATGAGCCCATACTCTGATATTTACAGAGCAAAATTATATTACTTTAAAATATCCTTGTAATTTTGGTCTGATAATTTTTTTATCCTTGCAACCCTAGAAAATTGAGCATCCTCTGAAAATCTATAGTGGTAATCAAGAAGTGTGCAGAGTTTTAAAATTATTCTAAAAAATTCTTAATATTGGAGATTCAAAGTAAGTCTCTTGAAAATTCATCAAAATTACAATAGGACAACAAAGTGATGGGACTTACCAAGAATTTCTTACCAACCAAAACATCAATCAAGACATCTGGAACAAATTCTTCAATTAGGAAGCTGTTAATCAAATCGTCTACAAATTTTCGCGAATATTTCCTATTACACATGTGGCGCCAGAGTGCAAATCGAGGACCCTGCCAGAGCAACAAAATTGAAAACAAAAATACTTGTTTAGAGTGTGGTGTTGATTAAAACATATCTCTGTCGACTTAAAGATAGTTTTTATACATTCAGTGAAGTTGCAATGCCTAGCCTAGTAGTTTTGTATATTATCATACATTAACTTTGTCCCTAGTGATCACAAGTGCCTAACCTTCCTGACTTGCCAGCCTCTGTGATATTTTTGGATGACAACTGCTGCTTGAGATCGGGATAACTGGTGAGGTGGTCTGAGAAGAAGAAAATTAAATTCATTCAGAATGCAACAGACCTGAAACAAACCAGGTGGAGCATCTAAATTACACCTGTTTGATCATCTTATCCGAATGGGCTACAAAAGATCTAAACATCATCCACAATGGACTGATCAGTGCAAATGAATTAGACTGTAATTGACTCTTCTGATACCTGGCTCCATCAATCCTGCCTATTATTCCGTACAGCTAGTACTTTGATTTTATTTTTTTCAGTTTTGTAACTATATATAGGTTGGGCTAGGAAGAATACAGGTTGTTGTTATACAAGTCCCTGTAACCAAAAACAGTCCTTCCCAAACCTGCAGGGTAAGATCCAAGAATTTTTAATGAAGGTGGGGGAGTGGGGGAAGGTTCCAGGCTTTGATTAAGAAAACACAAAAGCTTTTTTTTTTCCTCAACACAGTAGCCCAACTGAATTAAGAAAGGTTGTAAGTTAGGTAAATATAAAATATTTCATATTGTGTAGTAATAATAATTTGTCATCCTGTTATAGTAAAAATTTTGGTGTCAAACTAGTAATAAAAAAAAAAACACAGGTCTGATAAGAAGGAGGGTGCCAAAATACCTTGGAACCTCCCTGGTCACTGACCTGAATGATCACAGAATGATCAGAGACCTTAAATCTGTTATCATTGACATGTTGTATGTCTTATTTATGGTAAACATTGTTTGAAACCTGGGAATACAAGAGATTCTGATCCATCTACCGAGCTTTATGCATTACCTTTCAGCATGATGCGCATTAAAAAGACCACTGTTGACTCCATTAAAGCCTTGCTGGGGTGCAATCCAAGGTGCATACCCAGGATGCACTGGGATCATGGGAACTGGGTACATCAAAGGGGGGTGGGGAGGGGGTGCCACAGGTGGATGGGGATAGTAAGATGGCAGAGCTGCATATGGATAGCTGCTGTTTTGGCCCTGAAAAGCCTGATTTTCTTTTCTTGAAATTTTCCTTTTGATTCGATCATCCCTGTTAGTGGAAGAAGAAAACAGAAATATACATCACTCTATAACTCTTTCCAGTGAGAACAGAAACTCATATAGAGTTGAAACATAAAGTTGTATTCAAATTCTGAATTTCTCAATTATAAGGGGATATTGTATTTGGAAATAAAGAGTTGACAAATCTTGTAACTACAGACACCACCTTGGTTTCCTGGGGAGTTTTATTACTCATTGAAAAAATTGCTTGAATTATTCTGAAAGAAGGAGTTCAAGAAATCCTGGATATCCAGACCCTGTTATCCTAAATTTGAACCATGTTTGGTCCTTAAGCATTGTCTTTAATAAGTGCATCGCCCTTTCATTGCCAAAGATATCTAAATAAGAATCCTCGCCATGTTCAGTAACATGTACCTTCGAGATACACCATGTTGTTCTCCAGCAGGTAATGGAGGAATGACTTTCAGGTTTCCACGTTTTAAATCTTGTTCATAATCTGAATCCACTGAGGCTGGACGGTTTTCAAGTTTAGGGAGGTAAGCAGGGCTTCCCGGTTTCCTTGGAGGGACAAATTTCTCCCCTGTATAGGAATCTGCTGACCACGATCGATTTCTGTAGGTCTTGTCAAGTGCAGACCAGTCCCTGCCTCTTTCTCTGTCCCTTAGCCTAGCACAGAATGTATGCCGCGTTAGCAACTTCAAGGTTCTCTAACGCAAAGGAAATGCAATAGGTATAATACAATTGCAAAGAAAGCAAAGTCATGCTCAAGGCCATAGCTAGATTTTTTAAGGGGGAGGGGTGAAGCAACAGCAGAAGGCACCCTCAGGAGCCCCCCTCTGAGCTTTGAAATTTTTTCCGATTTCCCTCAACATATTTTTAAAATCAAGAGTGGGGCTTAATTACCAAACATGTACTAAAAGGAGTTCCAAACGGAGGATCTGTAAGCACAATGAAATATGGGACTGCGCGGAAATCTTGCCAGACTTAATAATAAACTTATCATGTTCCAGAAAATTTGAATCTTTACCTCTCTAACACGTTCTTTCGCGGATTTCCGTCAAATGCTGACATACTTTAACTGTCGTCGCCCAGGAAACATAATCCTCGCTGCACTCAAACAAGGAAGTTTCATTTCTCACCGAGTATTCCCTCAATAATGGTGACACAGATGGAAACTCTGCATCTTAATCTCACCTTTCATAAGCAGAAATTTTTGAAACGAAGAACGAGATGGAAATAATATTCCCTATTTGTTAAAATTCCTTGAGCTTGCCTGCGTCGGCCATCTTGAATGTCGAGCTTGGCCCTAGACCCCTTTCGCACAAGCGCAGCGCCCTAGATACCAAATTTACATTTTTTTACTACAATGATCTCAGAATAGATAGCATCTAAGGTGTATGATTTCCCATTCAAGAGCAAGAATATTAGTCAGAAATTTGGAAAACATCTTTCCAGTCTGATAAAACTTCAAAGTACCCTGAGGTGAAAATAATTTTTTTCTTCTTCTTCTCTTTTGGATAAGAGTTTGTGTTTGGCGAAACTGCACTCTCCACTCTGCATAATTTTGCGCCCCAATTTAAAAAATCTCCACGTTCCTTTCTATTATTATTATCATATTTTTCCTAGACTGTCCGCTAAAAACAGACTTTTTCAGAGTTGCTTGATGAGGGCTGAATCGAGAACAAAGGAAAGTCAAAGGCTCTCGAATCATTTCCCCAATGTGGAAATCCATGTGGTAGGTAGAGGAGTGAATGTAGTAGTCTTGAAGGGTGGTGGGTGTGGCCACTTGAGGAAACGTACTTTCATACCAATTCTCAGATAATGACAAAGGGAGATTTCGAATTTGACTCTAACCTTTAAACCCTCACATCAGTGAATTTCTCCATACAGCTCCCTATACATCTGTTAAGGTGCTGACAAGGAGAATTTGTTTAACAATCAAGAGCTTTTTTAGTTGGTGATCATTTCCTTTATTCTCACGACCTAAATGTGTGATTTGGGGTGATTTGAGTTAGAGAAATTGGATGCCAGTCACTCACAGAGGTCAAAAGGTTAAAATGAAAATTACTCTATATGGACTAAAAAATCTTTAATGAAGTTGATTACAAGGAATATATATGCTCTCTTTTTACACTAACTTTTCATATTGTAGCATACTAAATAAAAATAAAATCTCAATAACTCATTTCCATTTCAACTTACATCCCAAAAATACAATTTATGTTTATATCAAAGATGTGTTGACAGTAATACAATTCATAAATTACATTAAAGAGAAAATGATTGAGCAGAAAAAAATGCTCGCAAATAATCTGTTTTTTTGCCTCAGTTATAAGTGGGGACAAATGTTTTAAATAATGGTGGCTGTATGCTCAGGTGACATCTTGCATAATGAGCCATACATCACTTATTGGAAACATAAATAAATCGTGTCTAATATTTTCAAGCAAATGCATGTCAATTGAATGAACAGTATTTTATCTATAATAATTTCAATACCTTAAGTAAAAATTTTGTATTCCCTATGCCAAAATAATGCTACCACTGCGATCATTACAGTGTGCCAAAGAGATTATCATTTTTCAATCTTAGTTCTTTAGCTCATAAAGAAGTTTAAATGAGAGGCATTGATCGATGACTGCTGTCTAATATCAATAAATAAAGTATAATTGTCTCATATACCCTCATTGAATTGATTTTAATATACTTTACTGACTCCAGATCTAAATAATTTCTTTTTCATATTTCTTTTAAAACCCAATTAAGGCTGGGAAAGGGAGCTAGGCCTCTCTCTAGAGTAAATATCTTGGATTGGGCTGGCTTGAGATCTATGATATCAAAGGAAGTTGAATATGTTTGTTACATGTTTAAATGGCGTGATTTGGAGATGTGCATTTGTACATTGGACACATGTTAACAAGCAGACATACACTAGACACGTGCAGCTGTGCAAAGTGTGCTCAGTTCCTCTACCAAAGTCTCGTGACGGAATGCAACCCGAATATCCGGAACATTGGTCTTCGTTACGTCATTTCCGGCAGGTCCTTCTTTGCCATAGTTATCACCAATCCAGTGACGTTTCACCTGTCAAAACATTTCACCTGTGATGAGTTTACATTATTGTGTGCCAAAAGTAAGTGAAAATCTGGCTCAGGTGGTTTAAAATTGGTGGTCAAAAAAAACATTTAATCTCTAGTTTTGCTGAACTAGGACCAGTGAGTGGCAGAGTGGACAGCTTGAACCAAGGACCGCCAGATATAAGACCAGCACCCTAACCTCTTTGTCACACTACTTCCCCTTGAGTCCAAGAACATAAATTGGGGGCATTCTGAAGTTTTTGCACAGTTTGGTACCCTTCAAACCTCTGTTGTATTTTCATACAATTACCTTGCAATTGCGATTGTAACACATTATTAATCATTCAAGGCAAAATTCTCCAAAAGTCTCTCAAGTCAGAGAAACATCTTACCTTATTTTCAAAGCCACTCATAACCACACTGTTTCTAGCCAGTTCAGACATGTCACATGGACTGAGTTTCCAAACCTGAGCTGCAATGCTGTACTCCTCCATCAGTGGTTCCTGTCAATTTAAAATGGAAATTAAAAGGATCAGTTTCTTCTCAGAATACTAAGTAAACACATAGCCCAGCACAGGTGAATAAAATATACCCATCAATCACCTTGATGAGAGAGTCTAATGTGACACTAAATTCTCATGACTGAAATTAAGAGGACTGTTGTTGATCAGGTAAAAGAATGGATATTCTGAGTTTCAATGTCTAGTTTGCTACAAGTAGGATCAGCCACAAGTTTGGAAATTCAGGCTGCCATACAGATATGTCTTGGATAGCCAAAGGAACTTTAAAATTTGGGTAAGGTGGGTCAGGCAGATGTTAACAATCAAACAGTTTCTTCTCTAGCATAAATCTCAAGGTCCAAGGGTCATATGTACAAGTGTACTCCTCAATGACAAACCAGATAGACTAAAAACCAGGAGACTCAAACATACAGCATCAAAATTCAAACTACCTTTGTAAAATGAAACATGAGGGGATCATCTGTTGACAATGATACCATCAGGCCGCGACCCAGGAAATCTGGAAGAGGATTCCTCTGATAGTTAAGGAAGAGAGAGTTGTTGCTCAGGGGAGACATGGCAATTCCAATCTGAGCCAGGTAGTAGAGGTACTGCAGGGCTGGTACCTGTAAATAAAACAAAATGAACATCCATGAAACCAAAGCAGTCCATCTTTAACTACCTTGGGCTGATTGTAAAAACAAAATTCTAGATAAACTCTGCAAAAACCAAACAAAAAGACTGCTTGCAAACTCTACAGATGCCACTGAGAGATCTCACAGGCAGCAGTTGACCACCAGTAACTGGTTTTTATAGAAACCCCTAAAGATACATAACTAATACTCGTGGACAAAAGAGACACTGTAGGAGTACAGTATTGTGCTGAACAACACAACACAATGACCTGATCAAGTGTTTAACCTTCCCTAATGGGTTGGCTATTGGGGCACCCCTTCTCCCGTACACAAACTCAGACTTTGGTTCATAATTTAATAAAATTTGTGAAACAGCAAACCTTTCTAAGAAGAAGACCATGAGAGATGTTCTCAGCCAACATGAAGGCTGATACCAAATGATGGGCAGGACCAGCCTCTCCACAATGAGGTCGCAAAACAAATGTGTTAAAACCACGCTCCCTGTGAAAAGCAACCAAATGAGTTCAAACTTACCTTGATTAAAAAAATATTTTTATTACCAGTAACCCTTCACACTTAAAGATTGACCATCAGTTAATTTCTCCTTACAGTAATAATGCTAACTCTTTCATTAAGATCACAAGAATAAGGGATATCATTGCCAACCTAAGAAGTTTTGATTGTCAAACAAATTCTCCTTGTCAATAACAAAGAAAGTGTACAGAGCAGAGTATGGAGAATATGAATACTGATCTTAGGGTGTAAAGGGTTAATAACAAGGATCAGACCTACTTTCGTAAGTGGTTTAGCACCACTATGTTGGAATACATGTAGTAGAGGTAATATGCATAGGGTGGGTTGTCTGTGTTGTTCCAGTCGGCAGGCAAAGGGCTTTTGGTTGAAAACAAATGACTTTCAGCTTTGCTCTCATCATCCACACTGTCAAAGCCAAGAACCTGTTGACAATGAAGTAGAAATCAAAACAGTGATCCTCTCATAGAATTCCCAGCTAAGAAATATTAAAAAAAGAGACCTTAGAAAATTAGATGGTGTCAATAGTTGGTTATCTTTTATCTGTCTTACGACATATCAACATCTTTCCTTTATTTTTTTTTTTTAATTTCACCAAGTTGTCTCTCATTTTTTCCCTCTTGTTGCTCTGCTAATGCAAACCTTTGTTAGCATCTTTATAACTGTATGAACAGCAGGTAGATTCACAAGTAAAGCTCTTGCTTTACTGTTATACAAAAAATATGTTTTAATATATCAAGAGAAATATTGTACTATGAAGACCTTAAAGTTGATAAGGCAAAAAACAAAACTGTAATCAGGAACAATATTTGCTCCCACATCCTGATTACCAAATGAATACAAATCTCTCATCACAACACATGAAAGATCCCCAGAATGTTCCAAATATTCATACTTCATCATGTTACAATTGAAAGTAAACACTATATGGGATAGAGAACTTAACAATAAGCACAGAAAGCCCATTTATTTCTGAAGACAGCTAAATATGAGTTGCTCTTGACTAATACCTGAGTAAGAAATTTGTGAAGGTCTGGGTGTGCCTGTGGATTGACTGTGACCTCAAATAATGGATGGAAGATGTTCTCCAACATCTCTTGGAAATTGTTCACAATGTTCTTTGATCGATAGATATCACTAAAATGAAAAAGACAAAATAGAATACAGTCTAATTCAACAATTAGATTAGACTTTATATTGATTATCAAGTGTCACCAGATCAAAGCCAAAATACATGTAATCACCATAGCCAATCATAACAGGGGAAAACACCAGAAAAGGCCAATGAGAACTCAGTGCAGACAATCATAGTTGGCTTATAGTGCAAGAAAAACTGAGGGACCAAGTTGCACTTTAATACAGCATTTGACTGGATTGATTTTCTTGCCCAATTGCAAGAGTAAGGTGATGCAAAGCTAATGGAATTCTTGATTTCTTTCAATAACCAGTTGAAAATTGCTCTTTGAATAGTATTTTGCTTTTTTGGGAGGCCAACTCATTTTAACTCAACTAGGTTCTGTTGTTCTGAAAAAAAAAAAATACTGTAATGAAATTGATTTGAAAAAGGCTTCTGATAATATTCTAGACAGAGGTGTATATTGTGGATCGTAATATTAATTAAAATAACACTACTCACTACAGTCGAGGAATTTGAATGAGCCAGCGCACATTGTCTGAATACATGTCATGTTGAACTGCCCAAGAAGCCAGGATATCCCATTCATTCTTTGCTCTCCCATAAATGGATATCCTGTATTCAGCATTCTGATATTTGCTTTCTTCTAAATCAGCTATGACTTCCTTCAACATCTCTGCAAAGTAACGGCCATTGATGTGGTTGTCTGTCTTAAGAAAGATCTCCCTCAACCTGCTTTCACCTAGAGGCAAAAAAATATCACTGAGCTTCCAAACAAATTCACAAATGACAACCCTCCCAGCAGTGACCAAAAAGGAATTTCAACTCACCTTTTAGTTGGCTTATGAGTACATTTTACAGCAGAAAGGTTAGGGGATATTGTTTGATTCAATACAAATTTTTTGGAGCTAAAATTGTAAGAATTGTATTGTGGGCAGTATAGAGAATTAACTTTAACCCTTTAACTCCCAAGATCTCATCAGTAATTCTCCTTACTGCCAGCCTAATTATTCTCATTATGGTAGTTTGGAGAATCTGGTATCAGATCAATTTGTAATCCCATAATTGATATTTTCCTTTATTCTCATCACTTGTCTGCCTGATGTTGTATAGATAGAGTAAGGAGAAGTTCTTTCTTCGTCACTAATGGGAGTTAAAGGGTTAAGATCTTGGGGAGTGAAAGGGAAAAAAAAGAGAAGCAAAAGTCAAACCTATGGGGTTGTACTTGGTATTGAACTTGTCAAAGCGGTGGAAAGTGTTCCTGTCCTGAAATATATAAAGCATGTATTTGTAAAATATTCCAAACTGGTTATTTCGAGTACATTGGTGTTTTAACATCAGTATATCCATATTCTCCATAATCTTCTCTATGTCTTTTGTTTGGTAATAACAGGAAGAATTTGTCAAAAAGTCAAAGCTTCTCTGGTCAGAGATCATTTCCTTTAATCTCATTATCTTAACCCTTTAAACCCTAAGAGTGACCAGCATCTAATTTCTCCCTACAATTCACTCCTGAATCACATATTAAGGTCATAAGAACAAAGGAAATGGTCACCAGGGAGGAAACCTTTTGACTGGCAAACAAATTCTCCTTGTCAGCACCTTAGGAAATGTATAAAGAACAGAGTGGAGAATATGCTTACTGATGTTAAGGAGTAAAGGGCTAATGAATGATTTAGCAGTATTAAAACTGTATGGAGGAATTAAATGCTGGTCACACTATCTTTCTACAGCTGCATTAAATAATGTTAGGGTTCAACTTTGAAAAAAAAAAACTGACTTTGAAAAAAATTGTGAGCTAGTTGGAGTTTCAGTTGCATCAGAAGTCACTAACTAAAGGATATTGCCTCTCTCCCTGGATTGCTTGCTAATTTCAATGGCAGGTTATTCATTTTTCTTCAGAGAGCATCAAGTAGGGATATATTATTCAAAGTAACGATCCATCATAATCATCTTTCTGAAATAACAGAATACAAGACTGACAGAGAATCTAAAAACAAGATAACATATACAATATTGAATCAATACACTCACAGCATGTACATCCAATCTGTCAACACTTAGATCATATGGGGTCAGCTTCAACATGGCAAAGACCTGATGAAAAATCAAGAATCACTCATATGAGGCCTATAATAGGTCTGCAATGCATACAGTGTACAAAGATGTAGGCCTCTGATAAAGGCAACTAAAAAAGTTTAGGGGTCATATCTTTTCTAAGCATACAGATAAAAAATGACATATATCGCAATGTACAACACACATATCCTGTAACTGATCAAGAGTAGAAGTTTTATTGGTTTACATTATCTAGATTTGAAAGATACCACAAGCAAAAAATCTTTACACAGACTCTAATTACCTATCATTTGAAGAATTTTCTGCCACTTTGCACCTATGGTAATCATTAGTTTTTTCTTTGCCCCACATTCATGAAAAACGTTTACCAACATCATCTCTAATAGGAAGCCTTTAACACAGCTAATCCTGGCAGAACGCAAGATGCTTGACTCACCTAACTGACCAATGAGTTGTCATGACTGATGCTATGCTGGAAGAGGATAAAACTGCCAAAAGGCATAAGGTTTGAATCCTCACAAAGGACTCTATTTTTTTTCTTTCTCCCCTTTAATCAAAAAATGTTTCACATCTTTCTCTAAGAAATCACATACTTCACATCCTTACCTCTCGTAATGTGATCTCCCTTCCTTCATGGACCGTAACTAAATCCTCAGCGTTATACTTCATTTTCCGTTTTATAAAACGCAGCAAGTGTTTCTGATTCATACAGGATGCTCCATGTACATGAGTGTCAACCTGAAGTTAACCATTCAGCCACACATATCAGTGACAATACTAGCCTTAAACCAGTATACAAATAAATTGCAATTCCCCCCCCCTCCAACCAAAAAATGAAAAATGAAGTGCTCAAGAGGAATATTGATCATTCAATCCCCAATTTCACTTTCTATGCTACATCATCTTGTTTCAACCTTCGCAGAGGTTATCATCAAACTCCTATGAGTTACTTCCCAGTTCAAGCTACTTACTGTCATAAATAAAACCTTGACCAACAAGAAAGTTAATCCAATACATAGCTATACATTAGCACACAAGAACAAGCAAGATTAAAGAACTTGACAAACCTTTCTAACATTGTAAAAGTCCCTATGTGGAACATCCTTCATAGCTGCTAGTTCCCTGTTCTCATTTAGCAGGGAATGAAGACTGTGTCGAGAATCTAGGTACTTCAAACGTCGGTGCGCAAATGACTTTCTGAGAAAACACAAAAATATAATACAGCCAGAGTAAATTAATGAAGCGTCTGAGTGATCGTAATTGTATCAAACATTTTTTCAGGCCAAAACATTCCTAGAGACAAGAATGTTTCTTTCCCCATCCTCCCCCCTTCTAAAATCAGACTGTAATGTCTACTTTCTGACTATGAAAAAATTCCTGGCTTAATAACTGTTTACAGAACCTTGCAATTCTCTCTTCTGGTTATTGCGCATTTTCCCATAAATTTCTTAGGAGAATTTGATGATTAACAAGAGTGAAAACCCTCTAGTTGATAGATGTATTTATTCCAGACCATAACCTTTTTGATTGATATTAAATTGATCTAACAAGGAGAAATTAGATGCTGATCACCTCTGGAATAAAAGAACAAAATATTTATGGTTTGCTCATAATAAGCTACTTACATAGGTCCATGAGTTGATAGAGCCAGGAGAATGTTTTGATCTTCAAAAAATTCCTGGAGATTTGGAGCAGGGTGTGTTACTGGTTGGGCTGAGTCACTGACAGTAAAATCACTGGTGACGTCTCTTTTACAAGCTGTGATATGGTAGACACCATCAATCATCTCAAAGATATACCCACAGTCACCAGGTACCTCAATGTCAAATGGTGACTGAATTGAAAATGGCTGTAGAAGGCAGGTGTCTTAGAAAAAAAATTTGAGAATAAATTTAGTCGGATAAAAGGAAACACCAGATGTATCTTATGGCATTTCAATGTCATTTCTTAAGCTCTAATATCATGCCTAATTCTAAACACTGAGTAACAGCAAACACTTTATGAAACAAACACTGGCTACCAGAAGTGATCAACATGTAACATCTCTTTATAGTCTCCATACATTGTCATTAAAAAATGTAATATAAAAACTTATGTCATGTACACGTTGTCATCTTGAACTTCAATACCAAGTTCTTGAAACTAATTTACTGGAAAAAAGTTCAACAGCTAGAATGGAGAATTAACAATCAGATCTTGGGAGTTGAAGGGTTAACCATTAATTGGCCTGAACACAGATAATTCTCTCAGTGTCTCTTAACACTCTTGAGTATATACGGGTACTAGCAGACTATGAATAAACTTTAAGTTAACGAAATGCTAGAGGGAACCTTGCATTCCAAGCTGGGGGAGTACCTACCTAAATCGTCATCAATGGAATGTCTCTTTAAGTGAAAATACTGCGCCTCTGTATCAAAATCTTCATGCACAGTCTTCAGTTTCCGAGCAGTTGTGGAACAAAAGCTTTGCATACTCATGGCCATATACTTTGATCTGATGAACAAGGCCTCTACTAGGAGCTTGGCAGCCTGCTGCAGCTCATCAATGGACACCTGAAACAAAACAAATTTTATTGCTGATTCATGAGTTGGAAGCTGTTGGGCAAGTACTCCTCGAGAAGCTAGAGCACTGCAAGTTAATCCTTTGACTCCCACGAGTGATTAACATGCAATTCCTCCCTAAAATATCCACATAATATCCTTTCACCACGGTTATTTCGTGGCATTTGTAGAAATCTTTAGAAACCGAAAGTTACTCAACTACGGCTAGAGCTGGTAGACTACATGCAGGTGCACTGTCCAAATATATTTACATACCCCGCTTATATCTCCGCCGGAAATAGACAGCCTTTGATAAAAAGGAAGTCGCTCTGCACCATAGCCTAGCTCATCGTCTTTATCTTTCTTCAAGGCTTCCTCTATCTCTGAGAAATCATCTGGAGTTAAGCTCTCTATCATCTTGGACTGTTGTCTTTCCAAGTCAATTTCTTCGTTTTTCATTTCAATCTGCTCTATGGGATGGCGAGGAATTTCAAATGGATGACACCAAAGACCCTCTTTTTTGTGTGAATCCCTTGATACTTCCGCCTCATCTTGAAGGACCCCCAATGTCTCTTGCAAAGTTTGGAAAACATCGTGGTTCTTCGCTGCGACAACCTGCCCGACAACTGCTGCAAACTTTGAAGGTCCAGAGAAAAATCGATGCCGCCTGGCCGAATCTGGAGAGAAAACATGTTCGTTTGAGCGAGAAGTCTCGGGAGTTTCGTTGGATTTCATTGGAAATCCGAGAGAATTTGGACGTTCGGTTCGGACTTGTTCACTACCATCTTCTACTGCACGGTTGTCAGCCATTTTATTGAATTATTATGTAACGCAAGCTGCAATTGGTTTAAATCGGTCAAGAACTTCCAACGAATGATCTTATTGGCGTAGCCATTCAAGCAGATATGTCAATAACAGTCCATAACACGAAATGTACCGGGTAAACATCTTACATGCCAGATTGTGAGAGTTTATCCGAAACTAATTCCTAAGCCAAACAGATCGCAATTATTTAACTTACCCCTGAGACACACTTGTGAAAATAACATTTAATTTTAGGAGAAAAGGGGGTCAAGATGTGTGTTTGACTTCCTCACGGTACATGTAACTTGTTGAGCGAAAAAAAAACAATCGCCCTTCCCAAGGGAGTTTAGACAAGAAAAGAATAATTCTTTCGATAAAATTTGATGTCATAAGAATTAGGGAATAATAGCTCTAATAACGTCATTAAGACGCACGAATAATGAAAAGATTTTACGAATTCTGTAGGAAGCATGAAATTTGACGACAAAGATCCATCGCTTTGCCGAAGGAAAAATCTTGAATTTAACCCGGTCTTAATGAATAACCTAAGTGAGCAAGCAGCGCTGGCAAATGTAACCGGTTCACGGTTAATTTCTTTTCAATAAATTTGCGTTTTCAACTCAAATTTAACGAATAATTTTCGTCAGAGACGCAAGAGAAGAGGATAGATTCAGAGCATTTAAATTTAACCTTAAATTTTTTCAACTTCAGACAAATCTCGATCGATTCCAATAATACTTTTGATTTTTCTCACTCATACCAATTCGCCGTATCGGTAGAAATTTCCCAGTGCCTTTCGTGGTAATTTTGAAGAGCACAGAATATGAATTTGAATAAAAACATGTGATTCCAGACGTTAAATCTAAAAATAATTTACATCGAAAGGGACGATCGACCGATCTAACTTCGTTACTGACAAATAGGCGTCAAAACCGAGAAGAAAGTAGCGTCTCGACTTGTTTACCTTCAACATCTCCAACGTGGTCTCCTAATTCGTTAGCTGCTAAAGCCTCGTTTTGTTCCATTATATCAAGATCGAGCGACTGCGACGATATTCTATTCTCAAGTACGTAGTTCTCTCAATGGGCGGCCGATCGGTTGCTTTCCTGGTGAGGTACCTCGATCGCATGTTCCAGTGACCGGAAGTCACGCTAACTTCATAAACAACACAAGTGATTATAGTTTGGTATATTCATTAGTATTGTTGCTATTTTCAAATTTAATGTCTGTTTTTGAAGAGAAAAACAAAAAGTAGGAAAAAAAAGAACTTGAATGGGTTTTCATTTTTCAGAGTGTCTCTTGCCCCGAGGGCGTTTGGGAATATTCTTAATAGTGACATTGACCAATGACCACAACAGATACCAAAAATAGCAGACAGGTCAAGGTGAAAGGATTGGTCGGACAGAAAGAATCAAAACACTCCCGATACAAAAATACATCCTAATCATTTATGCAGGAATGTACAATTACGTATCATATATGAATATATTTAAATATATGCTTAGTTAGCGCAAGCAGGAGCCCATTGTGGCAAGTGATTTTACATTCGTGTTTCTGTTTTAACAGAGGGAAGGGGTGCTTCTAGTTTTCCGTTGGTTTTTTTATTTTTTTTCGCTTTTCAGTTCAAATGGAACTTTTCTTAATCTCCCTAGTATAGTTTTAATGAATAAGAGGGACATAAAAAGTTCATCTTGCTCTAGGGGTTCAGTTATAGTGGAGCGGAGGAGTGAAAACCTCCCTCGTTTCCGCTCTGCCACTGCCACCCACCGTTTATTATTTCGCTCCGTTTAGCTAACAAAACGCCTAAAACAGGCTAGAAAAAGTTCGGACAGAACAAACAAAAATATAAACAGGACAAAAACAAACAAACAAACAAACAAACGTTGATTAAAGTTTGAATAGAATAAAAAACTAAGAGCAAAAAATGAGGACAAAATGATTAATAAAGAGCAACAGAATTCCATTGGCTATTCATTTGCTCTTCTAATTGCTTCATTGGTAAACTTGTTGTTGGCTTTTTCAAGTACATATGCAAAGTTGGAATGTGCGAAACAACAGGAAACAGGAAAGCGTTTCGCAATATCTGCTAAGAGTTAGCTGTACAATCCCTGCAGTAAATAGTTAGAAAGACATGCATTTCATGGTAAAGATTGGGAAGGGCGGTAGAACTGCGGATACCCGAGCTAGAGAGGTGGAGTCCGGGAGATGCAAACTGACTGGAATACCTAATAGAATCAAGCGCAAGTATGTCAACCCTTACATATTATCCGGCAGTCTCCCAGGTACAAGGTGAATTTCCCAGTCTCCATTATGAGCATGAAATCTCACCTTATTTCTACTTTGTCTGAATTTGTCAGCTTCCAAATTCAAGCTGGTTTTCATTTTCTTGCTGAACAATGAAGCGAGCGTCAGATTGGATGATTTCGAGATTGGTATTCCTGCAATTGCAAGAAAGTGGTATTCCTGTGCTGAGAGAAAGAAATGTTGAACTCGTCCCACTCTTCTGTCATCAATGCTTGCGCGATTTCTCCCTAATGGCGATCACACACTTTTGGCTGTCGTTTCTTCTTTTTCCTGCATTTCTGGTCCAAAACGGTAGTTTTACTCTAGTTGTTAACATTAAATCAAAGGATGGTGAGATAGTGCAGCAGACTTTTTCCGCAGATCCCGAAAAAGACTTCGTTACCATCGATTACAAAAGTAACGAGAACAGGTTCGTTTCAGTGTACATCGACTTCCGTCAGGTATGTGTCAAAGCTTCCCTTTTAAAGATATTTTTTTAAGCTCTATATACAATATCATTGTTCATTAGAAACAAAGAATGATAGAATTTTTAAAATCATTTCTACTGTGTTGTACACAACGATTCATAAAGCATATTTATGGGGCCTCTTTCTTTCCGATCTGTTCTTTCGGCATGAAACGTTTATAGGTTCGTAAAGTTTATTGACTTTAGTGGGACTGAAAATTGTCGAATTGCTTCAAACCAATCTGCCGATGGCTGTGATTTTCATTTTGTGTGCTCTTGAGATTTTAGACTTAAGTTAATGAGAGGAAAGATAATTGTTTGGTTATTCTTCAGTTTGGAGAGTTCTTTTGTTAATTGACATAATAGTTTTGTGAATTCTTACCTGAATTTATGATATCCATGGAGACATTATAGACATCTTTACAGGGAGCATGTAGAGCATGTCTTACTGATTTCTCCAAAAAAGGAAGAAAGAAACTCCAACAAATAAAATTAGACTGTCTCAACCACGTGAATACTGTTCATATTTTTGAAATTATTTTTCTCATAGAAACGAAAGATATTTCAAGTTATTGTCCTTGGAGAAATGGATAAAGCAGAGAGTTCTTATGAAGCCATGTGCTTTGTAGCTGAACTCAAAGAAGAAGAATTCATATCATCAGATGCTATGTCAAAACTCAGACAGGTCAGTTCCTGAAAAATCATTGCATTCCATGACTCAGGGGTTAGTTTGTCCTGGCTGTATTGTTGTAGCTGGAATACATACATGAAATATGGGAGATAAAGGGGCCTGAAGTATTGGCTGGTGCACTGATCTCTGCCTTGGAACTTCTGGTTTTAGGCAGTGGCCAGGTCTCTGAGTTTTGGTCCTTGGCATAGCACTTAAACTGTGGTTAGGATACAGCAGCATGATTTTAACCCCTTTTCCATTGGAGTGACTAGCTTCTAATATCTCCTCACAGTATTTGACCCCTAATCACACATCAACAACAACAACAACAACATACTTTATTGACTTTCCCCAAGGGGGCTTTTCAAAGACGAGAATACAAGAAATGATCATCAATTTAACAAGCTCTTGATCATTAAACCAGTTCTCCTTGTCGGCCCCTTAGGAAATGTATGGAGAACATTGTAGAGAATGTGCATACTGATATTAGGGTGTAAAGAGCTATTTTCACTGACTCTCTTCAGAAAGGTTCTCTCAAACCTTGAAAGAATCAGACATTTATCTGAAGTGTTACACGATTCCAAGAATTGTTTTAGGTTTTCTTGAGTAGTAAATGAGATTTGTGACCATTGGAATTTTAATACTTATTGGGTATTTACTGGTCTGTTAAAGTCTGTGTGTAGCAGCCAGGCATTTACCCTTGAAAAATACTTCTCTCTCAGTGCCTTTCTTCTCCTGAGAGTAAAAATGACTTTTGGGAAACTTTTAGGGAGGGTAACATTGCAATGGACTTAAGTATGGCTGGGAAATTAGGAACAATCCATGCTGTTTTTAATGCAACTGAAATGTGTAAGAACTGACTGGATAGGCTGACTGCCATCTGAGCCCTAATGAGTTCCATTTTTTTAATTAAAAACTTCACTTTGAAATTTTTTTTTTTAGAAAAACCCAAGTACAATCAGGGTTCCTGAAGAGGATGTTGCCAGTGAATCTCACATCATGGATCATGTGGTTTTTCTGAATGCAAATGTAACAGAAGGAACCATGGATTGGCTCTGCAAAGATGCTGGAAAAGTGCTCTTTAGTGGAACTAACACAAAACTTCTGTTATTAGGTATGTGGTGAAAGGTTCAAGTCTGCTCTTGTCATAAACTCATGACATATTTCTTGAACCTCATTTCAGAGTAGTATGGGCTATAGAAAAACTAATTTTGAGAGCTCCTTCTTTGCCCAGAAGTAATTGATGTTAAACTTCTCTTCAAACTGTCAGTACAGAATAATACAGAAAAGGCTAACTTTTGAGGTAGAATACAATTTTTTTATATTCCACAAAACTCCATGAGAATAATTTACAGAGGAAGTGAAACACAGCTATAAGTGGGACTTTCTAAATGAATCTGATCTATAAGGGCGAATGGTTATTTAACAGCAAAATGATCTATTTACCAATTAGATAATGAACTTTAGATCTCTATTATAAGGTAGTTAATAAAGGGTGTTAGTTTCTATCAAAACTGTGGTGCTGCATCAGTGGGGGGGGGGGGTTGGGCAGGACAATTTGGTTTTTAAGTAAATTGGCCTTTGCAAAGAGTTTCTAAAGCTGATGTTTTGAGCCTATGCCCTTCACCAGAGTCTTTCCCATTCATTCTGACAAAGGATTAATGCTTGAAACTTCAACTTTAGAAACTGTTTGTGATGGCCAATTTATATTATCAACTCATTCGTTAACCTTATAACTCCCAGGTCAAATTTATAATAATTCTCTTTACAGTCAACCATACAATTCTTATAATGTTAGTTCAGAGAATTTAGTATTGGATCAACTAATTATCTGCAAATTGATATTTTTCTTAATTCTCATCACTTATCTGGTTGATATTGTATTGATATGGTAGGGAGAAATTCTGTCTCGGTCACTCATGGGAGTTAAAGGGTTAAAAGCAAATTATCTTACATACAATCAAATTTTTTTTAAATTTGAATCTACTAGTTGCTCAAAACTGAACTAGAAGGAGGGCTCACAGTTTTCTTTTCTTTTCTTTTACAATCCTTTACTGGTAGGATACTCACATAAACTATTATCATTATCTTTGAATAGGAAATTCAACCCGAGAAGATCTTGATAAACTTGAGTTGGCATCACAAGATCAAACTGGCTTTTCAAAGGTGCTAAAGCCATGTAAAAATACACCAGAACTGAGTGCAGAGTGCATCTGTAGAGTTGAAGTATGTCTAAGTTGGTATCCCTGTCACTTGAAACTCTGTCAGGGGGAAGATGACAATGGACAACTAACAGAATACCGTTGTGGAATCAAAACTTGTGGAAAATGCTATGAATTTGACTTTTATGTTGGGGAAAGGCGACAATGCTTTTGGGATACAAATTAATTATAATTTTATCTTTTACAATAGATAAATCAGTGTAAAATAATATTGTTAGTTGTGTATATTGAAGTGTTAACACTTGAAAGTGTGTTTTGTAAATGTATTTATAAATCCAAGCTTGGAATTTTCAAAGAATCAATGACTCAGAATTTTCCTTTACAGTAGGACCAGATCCCTTACTGACCATTCAGATAGGATAAAGGAAACATTTATAAACAACAACTTGGCAAATTTGCAATCTCTCTTTTTGCTCAGCAAGCAAAGCAGGCTATGAGATACTGGCAGAGTGACTTTTGTTCAAACATGCAAGATATTTGAGCAGATACAAGAGGAAGGTTTTCCCAGTCTCTTACAGTTTGTTTCCCTTACAGTTGGTGCACCCTGCATGTCTCTAGGCAATAAAGTGCCAGTTTCCTTTGCGAAGGGAGCAGGGGGTGCTAAAATACACCTGTCAAGTCTGCCTGTATTTCAAATAGGATGCTCTGGATCGGGATTACTGATCCCCTTGGGGGTAGGTTAGGCAAATCACTGGCTCTCATTAGCACTGGGTTATAAGTTACCAAGCTACAAGAGATTGGCTTGCAAGCTAATAAATTTGTTCCAGGCCCCTCACCTGCTTTTCTCATGCAAACTGGCTATTTGTCTGCTGTTGCAATGAAAGCTGACTCACTGGCCTCCTGTCTTTTACATGGTTGAAGCCATGTGAAAACCAGGTTGAACAGTAATTATGGCATAGCAATCAATGAATTCCAATTCATGGTTAAACTTTCTTGATTTCTTGGTTTGACAACTGTATGGTCTTTGAGTGGGAATGTTGGTCACTGTAAAGGTTACTTATAACAAAAAAAAAGTTTATTTAATTTTAATACTCTAATGGTTTTAATTGTCTTAATTTATTAATTTGTAAAACTTGTTTTGCATTTTGGGGCCTTATTAGCTCACTAAACAGTTGGAATGTGTAATTGGAATACATTTGTTGTGAACAGAAGACATTTTCTACTTTTTCTGTTAAATTTATCATAGGATTACATTAGAAAAGTGGGCATACTCAAAGTTTAAATTGAAGATGGTTTTAAGCTTAAAAAAAAAAGTCTTCACCACAAATATTCCGTGTGCAGAGTATTACTTAAACGTACACTTACCAGTTGGTGTGTTTAACTTAATGTTTGGCTAATCCAACATAACAATTTCTGAAAAGCTAGACCTTTCATACCAAACACTTCAAACTTTTTCATCACCTAGTTGCCTCCCCACAACTTAAAAATTCAGCTGAATGGTTTCATTTTAATTTGTCTTCAGGTCATTTCATTTCTAAGAGCGATAAACTTATAATTTCTCCCCACAGTATTACCCCTAAATCAAACATAAAGGTCACGGGAATAAAGGAAATGATCAAGAAACTCAATGAGCTCTTGATTGTAAGACAAATTCTCCTTGTCTGTACCCTTAGAAATGTTTGGAGAACAGTATAGGGAACTTGGATACTGATCTTAGGGTGTAAAGGGTTAAGGGTATAAACAGGGTAATCCCAACCACACTTTTTTTACATCCTCTGTATTTCCTTTAGACAATAAATATTTACATATTTTTTGTGAGAAGCTTATCTAAACATTTAATCTCTACAATTCAAACTTTGCTACAACTAGTAATATTGTGCCACTATGCAAAAGAAACAACATTGCTTAATTGTAATTCTCCATTTGCAAGGCCAAACTTTAATTTCTTTTACTCTAACTGGATCTGAAATAGCCTGTTCCAAATATTCATTTGGTAAACAAAGTGTAACAGTGAACAGTAGTATAGTATGATGGCAGATGAGTGAAAAAGAGAGGGAGGTCTTGGTCCGGTCACATTCTTTACCCAACTTGACCCAAACCCCACTCACTTTTTCACTCCTCCATTACCATTATGCTATTTTGCTGTTTCACTAACTGAATGCCTGGAGTAGGCTAGATCTAAAACTTCAATATCACAACTTCCCCACAGAAAGGCTTTGGTTTAAATTTAAGTGCAGATGTGTATATGTTCCGGTCAAACTTGAAATAAAAAATATCATGATTTCTTTACACCTCTTTCACATGTATGCATATTTGAAGTGATATCTACAGATAACTATTCATAATAACAATATAATCTCCCATCTGATGACTGAGTTGTTGAAGCACATTCATATCTGTACCCTGTAAAAGCCAAGCTTTTCACCCAAACAATAAGCAAATTCAATAATTATTTTAAAGTCATCACACAATACTGGAGTATTTCGTGTAGACAAAATATCTGCCATTTATGGACAACCACTAAATATATTCATTTGTCAACTAATATGAGCCATAAACATTTTTACTGTCTTATGAAAGAAGTAGGTACAATTTCCTCCTTTATGAGGTCTCTACATTTACCAGTACATCAATAAGGCACTTAATATGACTGACAGAAAAAGAGCCAAACAAGGAATTCTTAAATAAGAGAAAAGGTTCAGTTTCAACCTCTATGGCAGAGCTCATGCAGAAAAGGGCCCATGTTTAGGGCTCACTTTTCAACTTACAATGCTTAGTTAGCAAATAGTTGCACTGAAAGTATAACAACGCTACAATTTATGGATACACTTTAAAGTTGACAGCTTCAGGAACTCAGCTGAAGGTCCTAATCATATTTGAAATTGATGTACACAATATTATTAATAACAGTTAATCTAGTCTTCTTCAATGCATTGTTGTGTCACGTCATTTGGTCTTGGTAGCCAGAAAGAGCTTTTTGTCCTGTATCATCCTCAACCCAGCCAACAATTTTTCCTTCCCAACCTGGTACTATGTCTCCATCATCTATCACCTGCCACAGAGGAAGAAGTGGAGGTTAAGGTGAAATTTATGAATTTATTCCAGTATTACATAACCACACCCTGTATCTGGTTGCCATAAGTTTAAGGCATCTACTGTCTATAAAGTGCTGCTGGTCTTTAATTTTTCTTCACATGACAATCAGCAAGCCCCATTTATGGCTGCAAGATAGACTATGCCAGCTTCATGACAATTTGGGGTCATCAATTGAGTTAATAAATTAATGTAAATTGGCCACTGTGAAGACTTTCTAAGGCTGACATTTTGAATGTTAACCTGAGCCTTGAGTAAACCCTCAAAATGAAGCTAACCCACAAAACATCAGCATTTTGGATTATTAAGTAATACATTACGAACTCAGCTGATAATAACCAAATTAACTTGTAATACCCCTCTGACATAGCACCACAGTTTTTTTAGAAACTAACTCCCTTCGTGCTAGCTTCATACTGCAAATATATCACAAACTTTGGTCAGTTATCTCACCTTTGGATCATAGTATTAATAACCCTTTACATACCTCTTCTTTAACTGTTCCAAACTCAGGATCTAAGGCTTTAAAGTGATAACGGAACATTCCAGGTCTGTCAATGGCTTCCTTGAAGTCTCCTAAAGTTATTTCTCCGAGTCTGAAAAGAAACAAAATTTCTAGGGAAACTGATGTCACAGAACCTCTTGAGAAAAAGAACACATCTAATTGATGCAAATGATGACAAAGCATGAATTTGTTAACCTATCATACTGAAAGATAATTTCAGTTTTACCAACTGTTCCTTGGTTAAGTTTAAATTTTCAATTTATTTTTAATACAAACATGTAATTGGCAATTTCTCACAATTTACTTAAATTCCTAAAATCCATCAAGAATAACAAAGTTGAACATGTAACTAACCTTCTAGGTATTGATGTAAGGAAAGGAGTGACACTTTTCTCTGTAAAATACAACACTTTGGTGCTGATTCCTGATGCTTGAACTCTCTCATTACTCTCTAATAGATTAAAAAAATGTTTACATTATATTACAATAACTGTTTAAGAGAAAATTGTAAAAATTAGACATACCCTAACACTATGTCCCAAAGATCAGAAGTAAGAAATTAAAAAAAGAAAAGTGCTCTTAAATAAAATCAAAACTGTATCAATCTCTAGATTCAGTGTTCTCTGTTATTGTGGGCATGACAGGTAAAATATATTTTCAAATTGGTTGAGCAATCCTCTTACCTGAAGAATTTTCAAGAATTCCAAACAACTTAAAGTAGTTATAAGAGGTACTAGATACATTTCTTATCACATTAATTCCTAAAACTTTACTGCTTGAGTTAGGCAGATTTCCAGGACTTTTCAGTCCTAGAAGATGTCAAAATAAATCTCAAGGACTTTCCTGGTTTTCCAGGAAAACCCTGTGTTGCCTGCCAGCAGGTGTTTTAAGTTAGGGTTTCACCTTAAAGCCCCTTTTCCTAGCTCAGCCACCTTCTACACTATCGGCAATATACTGCAAAAAGTTAATGAGACCCCTGGTAATGATTGTTAAATGAAATCACATACCTAGTTGCCGGTGATGTGAAAGTGATTTGCCATTGTATCCATTGCTGTGTTCAAATCCATTCACCCCCTGAAAAAGAGAAACAAATTCTCAAAACTCTGAAGATTATGTCAAATACAAATGATATAAAATTTGCATGGAAAAATACTCGCTTTCAACTTGTGGAGTATATTTACCTTGGAGTTAATTGATGCATTTTCAGTATCAGAATTGAAGGGGTGAGTTTGTTGGTCTGAAGAGTGAACCGCAATTACACGCTGGAAACAAAAGGAAAACTTATCAGATAAACAAAAATATCTATAGTAAATAAATGCAAGCCCAAAACATTCTTTGACTACGAGATTGTTTTGATACGATAAAACAACTGTTCTGGACTTTCATGCTGCAGGCTGAGGGTAGACATGTGGTACCCATTCTCTCCCCAGAAGTAACTACATTTAGCAACACACATCTCCACATCTACCAAATCCTTGCACTCATAGCCAAAGAAAAATCCAAACAGTCAGCTTAATTTATCCACACAAATCAGCTTCCTAAACCCAAAAGACAAATACTTAACTGCATGAATTTAGGTAGAGTAGTCAAGTATCTTATGCTGGGTTTTGAAAGCTGAAAGTTCTACATTCAAGTTATCTCCTTCGACACTCACCTAGATTTGTTTATCAAAAGCCTCATTTCCAACTCCCCCAACACACTTTGAAACTGACCAATTAGCACACAAAGATGAAATTTTTTACCATTTTTTTCCCTTAGCTAATATTGTTTGTCTTCCTCTTTTTCTCCTATTGCCACAGAGTTGCAAAGTACACTGACACTTATACATTATTTTGAGGATAAATAACAAAAATTTGAAATAATAGTGATAATACATTTATAAAGTGTATTCTCCATAGCTCTAACATGAGCGACAGAAAGGATGTCACAGAAAGAAAAGTTCTGACAAGCACCTGTTCTAATGTATCTAGGGTGTGGTGATGTGGATCATGTGGTCTGAAACAGCTTCGAAGACTTTCAATAGCTTCACGCACCACCTCCAATTCCTCTGATCTCTGCCAACAAAATAAAAGGACATCAATCTTTCATCATCAGATGTAAAATTGCATCCCTAATCACAAGCAGAGTAAACTGTTTCTTGATTAATTAATTAAATGATTGTTTAAGTGAACAGAATGCAGTTGGCAAACATTATCCAAGCTCACCTTTAGCCCATGAGAAGCAACTGCTTCACGAGGATTCAAAATCTGGTTCTCTAGTGATGCCATCTTTTCATCCTGTGTGGCAATTCGAGCTGAGATGGTGGCCTAGAATCATTCAAAGAGATGATGAGAGACACTCCAAATTAATTGTAAAGTAAAAGTGGTCTCTGTATTTTCTGTCTCAAACCCTTTGAAATCAGTATGCCTTTTTCTGGAAAAAAAATATATGCAAAATAAGGTACTGGCAGTTAGCCAACAGACACAGGTTTTTCCAGGGATTTGTTCTGCAAAATAACCCAAGTTTCTGCTTCACCTAATATTCACTAATGATTCACCACATTTATCATCAGTGAGTTAAGAAATATGATTTCAAAATAAACAACCACCTTTGAGATAATCCCACATTTGAAATAATGCTAAAAATCTACTAAATGCAGTAGCATTACACCAAGAAAATACCAGTATCATGCACATGACCATCAGATTTTAACACAAGTGTAGATCCTCTATCTAACAGTGATGTGAAATGTTATAAGTTTCTTACCTCATACACACCAACAGAATCAAGCTTATCCTGAAGATCTCTGATCCTTTGTTGCAATTCAATTATTAAGTGATCATCTGCTTTTCTTCCTGTCCCTGCCTGTAATACAAAACATATCATTTTCAAATTAACTGATATTAACAATACACCATTTATTAAAACAACTCCTTAAAATAGAAAAAAATTTTTATTAAGCTACTTTGGTAGGATATTAATACCAGCTGCTAGAAAGTGACCACCCTTCAATTCATAATTTTTCCAGAGCTTCTTTTGTCAAAGAGTTGTTTCCAATGGCAAAATTTTAAATTTTAAATCTGAAAATCAAACTGATCTGTGGTTGATTGGAGGTTAAATAATGTGACTGTGTGGGTCATACATATACTGTAGATGTCACCCTCTTCCCTGTAGTCTGGTTCAACATCCTACAGTTAATAAATTGGTTTAATTTTTTTCATTTTCAAACTCAACAATTTGTCACATGTATACATTGTGGCGAAGTCACACATTGATTGCTTTTTAAAATTAAAGGGTTAATATTATCCCAAACCTGTGCATATTGAAGTTCTTCAATGTGCCTCATAGCATCCTCAAGTTCCATTCTCTGTTTATCCACAGTTTTCTCTCTTCGTACCAGTTCATTTCTAAGGGCAGACACCTCTTTGTCCCGCTCAGCAAGCTGCCACTTTAACTGTGCTACATCTGACTCATGTTTCTGCTGTGCTAATTCATGCTTTAAAGAATCTGACTGTAGCTGCATTATGCTTTGTTCCTGCTGGTTGAGTCTTGACTGCAGTCCTGACTTAATACCTAATAAAATAGTAAGTAAACATATTTTTAATAAATCAATGATTAATTGTTAGATTCTAGCAGAAGCAAATTTTATGAAGAGAATTTTCCTTCGCACTTCAGAGTAGAAAAAAAAGGAGAAAAGAAAAATGTTGAAACCAATGGGGAAATCTTTGGACTGAGGATAGAAATCAACAAATCAACTAAGTGCCAACTTTATAACCAAACACAACTCTACAAACAGAAGTAAACCCAAACTTAAAAAGGATGGTGTTCATAACTTTTCACTACTGCACTACCAAACGTAGAAGAGTTAATCAAAACTATAACAAAATTCTTGAATGTAATTGGTTATCACCAGCCCAATTTGAGCACTAATAGGACAGCATACACTTCATGCTTTTCATTGGACAGTGTAATAGGACAGTTAAAGGGACAGTTAATACATCATGCCTATGTAAGTGGACAGAACGCATCATGAATGCGTGTTGTTGAGTTAACTGTTGATTTTTTATGAAAATGTACAACCTATGTCTGGTTTCTTTCTCAAATTTTGTCATAGTTTTAATTAATTGGTAACAGTACTTCATGTTGTCCAATTCTGTCTGAAATCAGACTTGTGAAAAACAAATTGTACTCCTGCTTCACGGTTGGCCGATTTTGTATGATTACAAACCAAATTGGACTCCACTCAGTCCTATTGCAATAATTTTAAATTTTCTCAAGAGTTCTAACCAGTGTTTGACTTCAGTTGCCAATAAGCAACCTAATAGGCTGATGTCACAGCTTTGAAGTATCAAGTTAATCACTGTATACACAAAAGGTCTCTTGCACTTACACACAAAATTAGCACACACCTTGTAAGTTAATACACTCTTCTTTAGACTTGTTAAGTTCTGTTTTTAGGCTGTCATATTCTGCTTCTCTTTGATCAAGTCGACTGCTCACAATCGTCAGTTGCTCTTGCACTGTTGAACCCTCAAGGCCACAGTACTCTTCAGGAATCTCATCCTCCTCCACTCTGCCATCCAGCAACTGTAAAATAGCCAAAAAAATTGTTCTCAAGTCTTTAATGTGTCTAAAAAAGTTGGGAAATGATAGCAAATGGGGATCATTGGTCTTTAAAATAATTCTAAATTTGATGTCACAATGAAATTATTAGGAGTTTCTTGACAATTCTAAATTCTTGTTTTTGTGTGTTTTTTCCATCATGAATTTTCTACCACGAAATTTTGGTCTCTCGTTTTTCAAAGTAGTTATGGGAGTTTCTGCTCTTAACCCTTTCACTCCCAGGAGTAGAACAGTTGACTCTTTATACCCTAACATCAGCATGCATATTCTTTATACAGTTGTCTCTACATTTCCTAAGGTGTTGACAAGGAGAATTTGTTCAACAATCAAGAGCTTCTTCAAGTAATGATCATTTCCTTAATTCTCATAACCTCATTGTGTGATTTAGGGGTGATATTGTGAGGAGAAAGTAGATGCTAGTAACTCTGACTAGGTTGATTGCCAAAAGTTTTATATGGTACTCAAAAACATGGTTAAACTGTATGATGGTTTCCCTGGTTTTTTTCTCAAACAACAAACAATATTAGTGCTGCAAAGAACCACAGTAACAAAACAAACTCACCAAGTTCTGCAGATGTAACAGAGTTTCCTTTACAGTATTTGTTTCATCTTCCATGTTTTCCAACCCTTCAGTTACTTCTTGCAGAAACTCTAAATTTGGAAAGGTACTGGAATGACTATTTCTTGACAGATCCTTTGATAAAATAGACTCAGAATCAGACATGGACTGAAGTGCTGCAAGGTCTCTGTGTTGTAGTCTGGGTGTGGTAGCGCCACTGCTAACATTGGAGCCATCTGACCCATTGTCTTTGTCATGTCTAGATTCTGCACTTGATGGCCTACTTATCTTGCGAACAGGAGTTCTGTTTAATGGTGTATTAAGGGGTGATGCAGAAAGTAAAGGGCTGCTTCCTGGACTGGCATCAATAGGAGGCCGCTCTGTCTTTGGTGTTACAGGCAAGTTCTTTGGAGTTTTTCTGAAAATTAAAAGAAAAGTTCAAAAAGTAGATGAAAAACTAGTAAAAGACACCACAGATAGGACAACTTTCTTTAACCCCAGGTTTTCTATTAATCCTGTCACTCTAAAGATGAAAACATTGATTCTCTGCACTCAGTGCTCCATCATAAATTTCTTACAATTTTAGATTTGAGAATTTGGTGTCAAATCAAACATTGGTGTCAAATCAAACATTATCCCCAAATTTATGTTTTCTTTGGGATGACAAGCTTCATTACCTGAGCCTGAATGGCATGTGTATTTGACGACCAGCACTTGCAGCCTTCCTGCTGGCTTCACCAATAGCAGCAGCAGCCTCAGCGGCAGCCGCTGCAGCAGATGGACTGCGAGTGAGCTTGGTATGTGAAGGAGAGCCACCCTGATGTGAATTTGGCTTCACACTTCCAGGTTTGAAGTGGGCTGCCAGGGCAAGCACAAGCCGCATTGTGGCTTTTAAGTTCCCATCCACAATTTCTAAAAAAGGAAAAATTATTTTCAAGATTTTGAAGGTAAAACTTGAAGTGATTGCCCTAACACAGAAAGATTCAAACCCTGCCTTTTTGACATTAACAATATGAAAAACCACATCATCAAAATTTTAATGTGCCTATTTCTCAAACTACATAAAATTCTTTTGAAATTGAATTGATATAATAATTTAGTTCAGCCAACACGCTGACCAAATGATTCATAGATTTAGTGCCAGAATGCAAAAGACTTCAAATTGTTTATCACTCTTTTGCTTACCTTTTGATGAGATCTGTCTCATTTTGATTCTCTGGGAGGCCATGAATTGCAAGACCTGGTCTACATTCTCTTTTTTAGCTGCATATGTTGTTGGAGAGTCATCAAACTTCAGAGCTTCACCAGCTGAAAAGGTAAGAAAAAAAGACACATAAAAACCTTGGTTAACTTTATTGGTCCCAACACATAGAGTCAACCCCACGCACTTTTGTGCTGCACACTGTCACCCTATGGGTGAACTCACTGACCGCACATTTCTTGTGAAAATTGATGTGTATTGCACAAAGCAGACAAAGAAATTAGATTTCACTTATTATTGAGCAACAACATAAAAAAGTGCCAGTAAGAACTCTGATTAATTATTGTCAACGCAAGCTTTAACATTCACTGTGTGAAATAATAATTTGAATTATTCTTTTTTAATTCCTAGCATTCTTTGTCTGTAAGATCTACCCAAACAAATAATTTGAAATAATTGCCACTCAGTGTAACCATTCATTCAACAGTCAATTATACAAGGCACTGATAAGCAATGAATAATTTGTCTCTCTTATCCCTGCTTAAGTGACATTTACAACAAACATGTGGTTCTAACACATTAGATAGATTATTTCAGGTGTTGTGCTCAGTAGACCATACTAAAAATTTATTTATATATTCATATGGTGGCCACTAAAACTATTAACTGAATTCAAAATTAGTTCACGCACAGTAACTTCTTTTACAGAGAGGATAGGAAACATCTTGCATAGACCCACATCAATGGATATAGTTTTTCAGTCATTTATTCTGTATTACAGATGGAATGATGACAATCAAAACAAATATGACAATCCAGGAGAGATTAATTTAGCATGCTGAGTTATAAATCCAGTATATTAATAACATATGGGAGGGATTATCAAGTGCACATTTTTAACACATTTCCAAATTATAAATAGTGGTTTTCAGATTCTTGCCAGTGACTGAGAATCTTTGCTTTCCAACTCGTTACAGCTAATCAAGCAGTAAGGCTAAAAAAAAATTCACAAAGAACTTCAAGCATCACAGTCTGTCTAAATTTAATACTTAAGCACAGGTTCATGAATCACCAGGAATATTTTACTGTTAGGGATCTTGAAAATTATCTTCACAAAATCAAGGAATATACACTGAGAGAGTCTCATTGACAATAAAATTTCAAAAGTTTAAGAACTCATTTGGTGGTCTAGGAGTGATGAAACATTGCTTCTAACACCTTAAAACTTATAACTGTTGTTTTTATCACTGACAGAACATTAGGCCAACACATGCTATTTCCAAACAACATTAGTTACCAAGTGTCAAACCAGAGCAAAGATAGTGATAATGAATGTTATTATTATTTTTTCTGATTAATATATCATGGTCTAAATGATAACAAACACAATGATGTGATGTGCACATACTCAGTAGAAGACAACATTAATAAAGAATATCAAAGTCCTTTCAGAGAAACTGGATCCAGACCACTAATTTTGACTTATAATAAGATTAGCTAAGGCTTCAACTTTAAGCACATAAGGATGCATACAGTTTAGTCTTTAATTAAGTTGAGGTGACACTTGTTAGAGGCAGTGTCAATATTTGCACCAGATACCTGAGATATCACAGTATTCTATCACTTCAGTGCAATGGAGTGTGTGAAACTAAGCTGTATGCATGAAAATCCAAGTTAACTTAATAAAAAGAACTAAACCTCACCCAGCACTTCCACAAGCTGAACCAAAGCAACACCATCTCTTGTGTCCCGTGGGATCTCACGAACACAACGGTTCCCAGCTCTTTTCTTAAGCTGTGAATTCACCCACGCAACGTATTGCTCCTGTTAAGTGACACAATAAGACAGAATAATATTTTAGAATACCCCTAAAAAGTAATAGACACCTGCAAAATAAAATAACAACTTAAAAACTGTTTACCGTGAATAGATCTTCAGATTGATTTTTCTCCTTGTCAGACATTTTGTTTTTTTGTTTACACAGGGATCACGACGCATTCTGTTCACCATTATGAAATCCACTTGAGAAAACTATAATGTTAGGCGGTATGTTAGGCATCTTGACAAACTCACAAAGAATCTTGTTTTCACTGGATTCAACTTATGTTTAAAACATTTCAAATCAAGAGATCTCTACTTAAAATGAAATACTACAAAGGAATCAACAAAAAAAATGAAACTTAAGTTTGACTCCTATACAGGGCTTCTGTTTTGGTTGACTGCCTCAAGAAGAATAAATTTTGCATAACAATAATGGATATTGAAGGAATGAAAAAGACATTCAAACCACAAAAAGAAAACCCACAAGAGAAAGGATGCACCACTACAATTGGAAAGTGACAGAAGATAGATTTTCCAATTAAGATCACAACTTCACAGAAATTAAAAAGTCAATTACAGTTAGAACCTTATGTAAACTAATTCCCTGTACATTAAAATTTAAATAGAATCATTTTCTTAAAATCTCCATATTAAATTTAACAAGGGCCGTGACAACAGAAACATTCATTCATTTGAATGCCACACAAAACCCCTTCCGCATTGTTGATATTGCAGTTAATCCCTTTCAAATAGAACATGGCATGAGCTAAATGGAACAAGTTCATTATAGGATATCAGCTGAATAATGTGGCACATAGTTCATGAAAAAAAAAAAAATTGACACACAGATACTGAATAATTAGCAAGGACAAGAGTGTGTCTTAGTAGGGGTGGGGGACAACAAAGAGTTCTCTTTTTTCATTCACACCCCACAACTCCGAACTCTGAAACTAACCAATATCTGGTTGTAAATTTTCATACTGGCCCTGGTTGTTCAAATGGTGTACGAGCCTATACACTGAATAAATCTCTCTCCTGTCGATAAAAATTTATCCATAGGATAGCATTGTTCACCCTATGAAAAACTGGGTCCTGGTATATAAACATTCTGTCAAAGTTAATGCGGAGAATTCAAAATCCTATCAAGACAACACCTCTGACAGGTATTACATGTAGGTATTGAAATTGTAATAAGAAAATATTGTGTATCCTTTAGAACATTAAGGGTTTAGACCCATTGAGAGTAGAATATAGAGATTGGGGGAGATAAAACTTGCATTCACTATAATAAAATTTAAGAGAAGCAGCAAGATCTTACAGGAAAAGCCAGCTTGATTTTGCAAATTAAGTAATATTTTTAACTGTTGACAGTTACTGAGATATACAAAAAAGAGATCACTGATGAAAAATAAAGTCTTATAATGATGACTGCTACCATTCGAACCAAAAATTTAAACACTCAGGTCTCATTGCCAGAGAAAATGACTGAAAAGAAAAGATGTTGACAGCTTGCTATTACTGGATTTCTGGTTAAAATAAAAAAACTTGCTTACTGCTTTGGAATTGTGGTGAGTTTTCATTCTACTGCAAGTGCAAAACTTCTTATTTACTTTACAAGTAGAGAAGTGATCCTTGCAAGTAAGCAGCAATAGTAAAGAATTTCAGAAAAGGAACTTGAAAAACTTCTGGTTTTAGCAGGATTGGAGCCTGTTCCTTCCAGATACAAGCTGAATTTTTTCAGGTTTTCATTCTGCTATTTCTTCCTTTGCAACTAACAAAGTAAGGATAATTTCTTATCTTGTATTTCATCAGCAGATCAATGAATGAACTAAAGTTAAACCTGTAATAAGTGGCACCATTTTAAATGGTCACCCTGTTCTAAGTGCTCTTTAACCCCTTAGAGTGACTAGCATGTAATTTCTCCTTACAATATCACCACTAAATCACATGTTAAGGTTCTGAGAATAAAGGGAATGATCACCAACGAAAGAAGCTTTTGATTGTTAAACAAATTCTCCTTGTCACCACCTTGGGAAATGTATAGAGAACAGTGTGGAGAATATGCATACTGATGTTAAGGTGTAAGGGGTTAGGCAGACATGGTCACCTTTGGATCAGGCCCAACAGCCTATTTATCTTGTCTTCCACTATATGTATTGAACAGTCACTAAAACCAGAACCACTCATGAAAATAAAGCACAGAATAATATTTCAAATAAAAGTAATCCTTGTTTCTCTCCCAAAATCAATGTTAGTGGTATCATCAACCCTTTAACTTCCAAGATCTGATTGTTGATTCTCCCCTCTAGCTGCTAAACATTTCTTTGTAAATTAGTATCAAGAATTTGATGTTAGATTAAGATAACAACTTTAAACGGATAAGTTTGAGTTTTCTTACAACCTGTTTGTTGGATGAGCAGAGGTTATTATAGGGGGAAGTCACATGTTAATCACTTCTGGGAGTTAAAAGGTTAAACAAGTTTTTGTACATGAAGTGGTTAATTATAGCATAAAATAACCCTTTTTTTAATCATTTTTTATATTACCCCTATTCTATGGAACCTATATCAAGTGATCACCCCCCCTCCCCCATTCACACCCCATTCCTGGTGGTTGACCATCTAATACAGGTTTGACTGTATTGATTTAAATGCAAATATAACTTTAATTTCAAGTTTTATGTCTGATTATGTCTCACAATCTCTCATACTCTTGCTGAGTGCACTATGATCTGTAGTTTCTATAGAGCCAGTAATACTTCAAACAAGGTTTGAGTTCCTCTGCATAACAACACTTGAGTTGAAGGTTTGTGAACATACTTAGGTAAAGAAAGGGATTTATCAATTGTGACAATTTTCACTTGACTTGTCCAAACACAAGGCATTTAGTTATCAAGAACTTTGAGGAGTAGCATATAGAATTTGGTTAGTGGTTATTATATTTAGTTAATATAGATACTATGCATTTGAACACTCAATTGAAAAAGTATCGAACAATAAGAACTTACACAATTGTGATGCTTTTTTTAGTTTTGAAGTAATAGTTCTTGTTACAGGATAAAATGGCATTAAAATATTAATAATGTTTGCAGCTGGAATGAAAAAAAAATTAACTAGAGCTGGGTTTGGGTTCATTTACGAACGTCAATTATTCATGAATTTCAAAGTCTCCAAGTTTTCGTTTTCTAGAATACATCATTCAGGAGATTACAGAATCAAACTAGACGTGAATTCCTGACAACTTAATTCAGTTATATAGGCATATATCTCATCAAGTAAAATTTGCATATATGGCTTGACAAACACTTCATTTAGTACTTCTGATCTTCAGTTTTGTTTACATTAACCTCAATAATGTCACATGGAGTTGACAGTAGACAATAACACGACCGCCACAATTTTGAAAACGGCTCCCCCGCTGTTTCCTGTCCTTTAATTAAATTAAATTTTCCATCAAAAATTTTATCTCACATTTCTGTGCAATACCAGAAAAGTAACTTTTCATATCTGCTACTTTTAATACCGTTTTAGACACTTGTCTGGATTCTTAATTATAAGTGTATAAATATCACAGAATGCGTAACGTGTACTCAAACGAAGTTTATCGGTAATCTGAAGAATAGATTGAAGAACAGGAAAGCCTTTAGTCCTGGCGATGTTCTGAGCGAAAAGTGATACATTTACAGAAAAATTTCATTTTCCGAGCAAGTGAAATTATTGACTCAGAAACTTCGAGGCAGGCAAATTATAAAATTCCAAATAATTTAACACTAGATCGCGTTACAGAGAATCAACAAACGCACACAGCAGTTAGCAAAAGTTTTAACACAGCCGAGAACGTCAACACTAATCTGTTTTCATTCCGTTCGATTTTCCAGGAGAGCATACTTGCCAAAGAAATCTGTCATTCCATTAATTGCATTGCAAGTAGCCTTCGAAATATAATTTTAAACTACTGATATCGGCTTTTTCTCTAATTAAGAAGCGGTTAGGTATTGAAGAAGACTTCATTTCCTCAGTAAAAACTAGCTCTGAATTTGTATAAAGAATATGCGAGAATTATTCGGCATAAAAACTGTAGCATTTTATAAGATATGTACACGTACACAAGTATACATGATTCGACAAATGTTCAACCACCGTGGAAACAAAAGCTCCGCAGGAAACGGTTTTAGCAAAGAGTTCACGCACTAAACAAGAATTGTGATCTTTTCAGAGAAGAAGAAAGAACGAAAGATATTCGTTTAATTACCTCTCTCTTGTTGCCTTCTTCCGCATTTCGCTTGAGTGTCTCTCTTGTCAAAGGCGAAGACGACCAACTTTCTGCATAGTAACCGCTTTCTCTCTTCAATTTGCCTCTTACACTGCTCGGCGAAGCAACAGAGACCGGTCGACCAGCTTCGTTTGGAAAATTGTACATGTTGTCGTTATGTCTTGCCTCATAGTATTTTCGTATTCTGACATTCCATCTATAATTTACCGCTCGATACTTCAATTCGCCTTCGCTTGTGTGCCTCTGGCCTTACCAACAGGAAACCATTACTGTAATTCCGAAAGATAATTTATTCAGTCGATATTCGCTCGGTGTAACCTCGATGGGAATGCTAGTTCGTCTACGAAAATCTCTACAGAAGCAAAACCGGCCAACAAAGACAGAACAGATGGCAACAGAAAAAAATTTATGTCAACATCAAGAATTTTCTCAAGCACCTTAAAAAAACAAGGAGATCGAAATGCCTTCTCCTATGAAAACATTATGATGGCCTTCGTAATATTCGAAAGCGGCTTTAGAGATCGTCTTGCATTTCACAGCACGTGCGCGCATGGTTTTTATAGGTGATAACTCAGGTTTAAGCTTGTTTCCAAGACCGCTTCAAAAAATGATTTAAAACAGACTAGCAGTAATTAATAGGATAGTCTCGAGTCAATCGACCTTTTTATATAGGTTACGTTTAAAAATGCTAACACCCAGGCGGCTATCACGATTTTTTTATTTCTCAATTTCCTTACGTTTATTTATCCAAAAAATCATTATTAAATTTTCAACTCCGAATATTGCATTTCTAGTATCATAATTGGTACACTCCACTCCAGTTATCAGCTCATATTCCGAGTAACCTCATGTAGAAATGCATTGCGCTCGCTGTTGCAAAGCTGATAAAAGCTTCGAATATTCCGAACGTTCAGGACTTGATAAAATTCAATAAGACAATCATTCCATTCGTGCTTGTTGGATAGGAGATTGGTTACTGCCAACTTGGCCCTACGCGCCTAGTTGGCTGTTTACCATCTCATATCCGACGCGCGCTTAGGGAACAATTATTTAGTACTCAAGACTGGAGCAATGATCAAGCGTGGTCCGTTTAAGCACCCGCGATACGAGCCGCGAAGCCCGCGTGTTTCGAGCCAACTAGCGATAATGAACGCGCGAGGTAGGCGGGGGGTTCTCCGCATAATAATGAGGGCCTAACTTTCGTTCTCATATCCCCTAATTCTGGGCACCAGAATCACGATTGCATACAGGACAAAGGTGGGATTTTCAATCTTTATTCCGTCATTTGGTGTCTGTAGGTTAGTACAGAAAATTATAACAGATTCATATGGCAAATCTTCAACTTTGAATGTGGTTAAAATTAATGCGCTAACTACCCATATATATATGTCTTGTTCTTAACAAGAATAAAACATGAGTAATCGCCCACCACGAACATTACAGGGCGACTGACGCAACGGTTTCAGTCCCTCGATTGTGACTTCCGGGAAAGTCGCTGGTGAAGAACATCAACGGCCTCTAAGACCTACGTAGTGTAGGGCGTAAACTGTAAACCAAAGTGCGGTTAATCACTGACGAGGGTAAAAATTCGAAGACTTGATCAAACCGCTAAAGTACAAACGCACGACTCGCAGGAAAGCAGTGAACTGAACATACACTTTTTCGATATTTTTGCTGGTTGCATTTACTTCGATTGGTTACTTGAGACAACACCGTATCTCATGGAATGTTGCCTGTGATCTGTTGGAGTAAATATGTCGGCTACGACATTTTTTTTTCAATACAATACTCGACTGTAAGACTGTCAACTGAAAACAGAAGAACTCGAAAATAAACCCCAAAAATTGCATACGGCGTATGGGAAAAATAATAGCAAATTCAACAATTATGCAAGAGCACTTGTCCATTAGACCTCCGTATGTCGTGCGTCTACCAAACTTCACATTTCTTCTTTGGGTTCATATATGATCCCTCTTTACACTTGAAAACATCAGAGAACTCCTTAAAATTTGATAAGGTACCAATAACCCTAAGAATAAAACCAATAACATTGCGTTAAGAAATAATGCTGAGGAAAAATTTCATAAGACAAATCCTTTCTTCATTTTTGTGCCCTTTACGGCGAACGTGCTGTATTTCCTCATTCAGGCTTTTATTCAAAAGGCCCCCACATTCCCTAAAGCTGAGAAAGAGGACGAGGCTCAGGAGCAGGAACAGCAGAGGAAAGGAAAGAAAGAGAGGAAAGGTAAAGGTAAAATCTGTATACCACACTGACTCGCTTAGGCTTTGGTGTTCATTCCAAATTCAGTAATGGGAAGGAATTATAAATGTCACCTATTCCTCTGGATGGGACACAAAAATCCAGAGCCGGTTACCCCACCCTCCCCACCTCAAAAAAAAAAAAAAAAAATATCGTCAGGTTTCTCTGACAGTTCGCCAGAAATTAAAAATTATTCGCCGAAGTAAAGATGAAAACTGATTGATATTTACCAAGCTGCGAAGTTGCAAGTTAAATATATCCACTACTTTCACCGACATTGAGGTGTTTTAGTGGATACCACGCAGAAACCAAAACTTTCAGTTTATTTCTGTCAATATACCGAAAATTGTTCGGAAATTAAACTCTTGAAGGGCGAGTTTTGTCTCTTCAGCTGCTCGAAGATGAATAGTACTTGCTAATCACTTCCGAATTAGCCAATCAGCGCTCGCGAAAAGCACTATTTTCCTGTGTGGTAGTTACTAACCATTGATACTCCTGAGATGTGCAAAAACTTCAAATAAATTCGGTTAGAGGTAGGTTCTGAATCTATTGACGCGGGGTATAAAACAAACGCTAACCATTCATTACGCTTCTGTGTTTCTCAGAGAAAGGAAAGGAACCTCCAGTATTACCTGTACTTGGTTAGGGCGTGAACATCTTCCGTTACTGACAAGAATTCGGCGGCTGGAGTGGTGCGCGTACACTCTTTCTGCAGGGGAAAAATTTCGAAAGAACATCAGGTGTTTGTTCTCACCACATTTTGAAGTCATCCGTGATTTATTACTAAACAGACGCACGGCAGCATGGAATCTATTTGTTGAGTAGGGAAGCAAATGAAATTCACTCAGTCTGCAACACATTTTGAAATCCAGTTGGAAGTTGTGCTGTTCAATTTACCTGAGCATATCCGATAAAGAAAAGCTCTTGACTTGTCATGTTAAGCTCTGGTAGTACTTCTTCCTTTCCATTCTCCTCGATAAACGAATTGTAAGCCTGTCAAATAGACATAGGGTATTTAAGATAATAAGGAAAAGGGAAGATCAAGACACAATAGCTCCTTTATCATTAAAACCTAGCAGAAGTTTTGACAATTAAAATGCAACTTCGGTAGAGCCAGCCACGACCTGCTCTCAGAGTTTTTGCGAGTTTTCCCGCGCCTTGTTCCTGAACTGCATATTTTTATTAGAGATCTCATTGGCTGATTCTGTTATCTGTTTTCCCTGTATTGGTTGCTGCATCAGCCTGGTCATACGTTTAACCGTTCTTTGCATCAAATACACGCATTTCATCTCGAGATTTCATAGGTCGACTACATTATTTTCGTTTGTTATATAATTGGCTGCACTCGCGTACCCCAAGCCTTGTGTGGCCAAGAGGCAGGGACCTTCATCTTAGCGACGCGAGTAGGACCTCGGTTTGACATTAACCAGGCTGTTGTGATTTACATTTTTGGGATAAGAATCTTATGAGTAAATTCAAGCAGATGAACACACTTGACAAATGAATATTAGGCATTGAACTTAAACAAATTTCATAGGAGAACCTCGACGTAGCTGGGGTAATAAGGAAATAATTCTTACGTGGTAAGCAAGGTTGACTCCTCCCAAGTCAGCGATGTTTTCGCCAAGAGTTTTCTCTCCACTAATCTGTTTATCAAATAAAAAGAAAAGTACGATCACGTGAGAATTATCACGTGATATTGCTTACATGGTATGCTAGATTCAGGCCTCCTCCGTCTGCCACGTTTTCTTCCAAAGTTTGAAGACCGTTGATCTGGTCAATTGTTAAGAAAATGTTAAAGATCAAAAAAAGTAATGAGAAAGACGGTGATCTAAAGACTGCACCCTGAACTCCGCCACGTGATTAAGATGGGGGCTCAAGCCTCGTCTTCGTATGTACAACACAGTGCCTCTCTCAACTGAGGGGGGGGGGGAGGGGGTAAAAAATACACCAGGAAACTGTCAGGGAAATCTAACGAACGACTTTGTGTTAACTTGCTATGAACTAACGTTTCTTCAAGAAGGAGTTCTTTGACCGTGCAGGTCAAAGGAGTCATAAGAAGGATTGTTATTGGAAGGTATGACTCACGTTTCGACAATCACCACTACCCACAACCGTTCATCTCAAAAATGATACTCCTGGGTTCAAACTATGTATTAAAGTCGGTTTAATACCTTTAATCCTATACATATCACTTAAACGCTGGTAAATAATCGCGTTTCGAACTTACGTGGAATTTGTTAAGGACTTTGTACTGTGAAAATTGCTCCACCAAGCATTTTGCTTTTTCTTGAAACATCTTGATCGCAGGCTCACTCCACTGAGTTCGTTTTTCAATAAGTTCACCATTCTTATCGAATTTTCGTCCTGGAAACATAGAGAAAAACATATTTCTCATCTCTAACGTTACAAAAGCAAAAACAGTTGTAAAAAAGAATTTAAAGCTCGGCATGTTGGGAGAACGAAGTTGCATGCTAAAATCATGTGAAAACTGTTACCTGTCGTATCAAAGCCATGCGTCAACTCGTGACCTAGCACGTGACCAATGGCACCATAACTTAAGGACCTGAAACGAGGCAATTTAAGGGAAAACTTAAGAACTCACAAGGCGACGCCAGGTTAAGACAAAACAGTGCCACACAAATAAGAACTAGCGATTGTTGAAACACTTCATGAAAACTTTACTAATTCGAAATGTTCAATTTTTGTGTTATCACCTTGGTATGTCGTTTCCATAAAAGAATGGCTCTTGCAGAATTCCCGCTGGTACAACTGAAAAAAATAAAGAAAACGTGTTTGTTGTAACATGTCGCCTAGTTCTAGCTTTACCATTTTTTCTCCGGTACATAATTGCTGCACATTGACAGCACAGTGATATAACCTCAAAATGAATGCAATGTACCTAAACTAAGAGTTGTTTATAACTGATACAAATTAAATAGAGTAATTAATAATAATTTTGTAAAGTGGTCGTCAATCATTATCTGAGTCGCGACCTTTCAACTGCACACTGCGATACTTCTTTAAGCAATGCAGGACCGGTTACACGTTTATTATGCTCGGCTGTGATTGGGCGGTGAAACTTAATCCGAAGAACTTGATTAAAGAAACTCACTGTCTGTTGAATAAAGGTGGTAACTTTCTAAAGAAATTGTGGTGCTGCATCGGTAAGAGAGTATATCAGGGTTATTTAGTATTATCAACTGAGTTGATAACGTAAATTGGCCACCGTAAAAAGTTTAAAAGCTTTTAAACTCTTCACTGTCTGTTGGGCCCAGTTTATGTAGCCCAGGTTCATCCATGCCAACAGTTTGAGCAGATATATGTTAATTGTCGAGTCGTCAACACCAGAGGAATCACGAGGAAAACGCACGAGAACCAGGCCCTTAGTCACACAATGACTACATGCGTAGCGAGACATAATCACAGTAATCTGAATCACTTTTTCTTCACGATTAAAATTGTGTTGTAGTCGGTTTCAAGTTTTATTACTAATCTTAACCTTTGAATATCATGCCATTCGTGCGAATGATTGATTTCTTTACCTATTTCATTCTTAGTTATAACATAGAACGCGTTCACCAACTGAGGAACAGTTATCCACCTGTAAATAGAAGGAAAAAAACACAAGTTTTCAAATAGGACGGAACAGAAAATGTCTATCATAACCAACAAACAAGTTATTCCTGACAAATGTATTTTTCAGGGAAAAGTTTCTTGTAATAAACCTTAGCCAAGTAAAATTGGCAACGGTAATGGAGAAAAATTTCTCTTCAATCTTTTCCTTACCGTTTCCTTCGAAAATAATCTTCCATTATTAGCAAGTTTTCTCTATAACAATTTCTCCTTGACAAGTTCTCCTAATCCCAAATTGCCGAGTTAGGTTTACTTGTGAGTACATGGAATGTTTTATCAAATGCGCCTAGTTTGAACAGTACCGGGGGAAAGTATGCACGGACGACTTTCCTAAAAGTACAGTAATCGTTACCCCACTTACTGATGTCTATCAACTGGGTTTCCCCACTTGTGGTAGGTTTGATAGTTGGAAAACTGGTCTGTGTTCAGTACGTTCTGAAACCACTGGTTCTCTGTAATGTTCAGCTAAAAGAAAAATCACGGGAAAAAAGCATTAAATAAACGGAAAGCTTAGAAAAATTATTGCATTGAAACTTGTCTTATGGCTGTCGCGTTTGAAAGAAGTCAAAATGTAGGCCGTGTCCTTGATCGGGAGGATGGGGCGAGGACGCAGCTGCTATTTCATGCGCTAATAAAGTTTCGAAAAAATCCAAGGCGTAGAGTAATAGCTTTAGTACAATTTTGCAGGACTAAAAAGTTTCTTCCACCGAATAAAGCGAAAAAGAAAAAGAAAAAAAAAAAAAAGACATTCTCCCCGGCGGGGAATCGAATCCCGGTCTCCCGCGTGACAGGCGGGGATACTCACCACTATACTACCGAGGATGCTCACGGCTTGTTTGAGTCAAGTATTCATACACATTTTCTTCAGCAACATTGAATCAATTTGTTTAAAATTACCATTTTATATCTTTCGGAAAATTTGTTATCGTTCCACAAATAATCAGGATATCCAACTTGATAAAGTGCTGCATCCGCCTGAGAACCAAAGTAAGAAATAAAATGTCAACCACAAAAATTGGGGCAACTGGAAACTTTAAAAGGCACATGCACAGGGCATGAACCCCGAGGTCTCCATTTATCTGGCCACTTTTGAAAGTAACTGACTTTCAGCATGAATATTTCTTTCAAGCTTTCTGAAGGTTCTTATCTGGTTATTTTACGCTTCGTTTTGACAAAATTTAGTATGGGCCTAAAATCCACTCTCTTCTCTGTTGGCTTTTGTTTCTGATCCAACAATAGATACACAGGGTGTCGCACCCTTTCACTCCCTGATCAAATTTTTAATTCTCCTCAATGTAAACTATACCATTCTTATAATGTAAGTTCAGAGAATTTAGTATTTGATAAAGTAATTTTCCCCAAATTGATATTTTTCTTTATTCTCATCAGTTATCTGGTTGATATTGTATTGATATTGTAAGGAGACATTCTGTCCTGGTCACTCATGGGAGTTAAAGGGTTAAATGTCTTTATTTAAGAAACGTAAACGATCTATTGAGAAGGTTTTAAGGAAACTCTTCCCAAACGATCATTGACGATCGTTAACGACATGTGCGGGTTCGATTGTATCAAAAGTTTAAGTTCGTTTTTTTAAGACGCTGTTTATTTATAAATAGATCCGTCTGCACACAATCAAATCATTTTGAAAGGGATTTCCTTTTTATGATTTCATTTCATATAAATATTTTGAACTCAACATCTTTTACTGACTTTTTCTCTCACGGCTTGGACAGTTTGATTATCGATCCAGCCCACCCCTGCTACACGGTCTTTAAATGCTCGGATGATGCCCTCCATCATAACTTCCACCTTGAAAAGAAAAATGGCGTAATCAGCTTTACGTAGAGGATATTGGAAGATCTATGATAATGTAAAGTAAGGATCGTTTCACTGATAAAAAAAACAACAATAAAAAAAAAACGATAGCAGTGAGAGGATCGTGAAATGCATGTCATTCTTGCGGTTCGCCTGACTTAGCTTATCAAAGAAAAATCATCATAACAATGATAAGAATGTCCAGAAAAAAGGCCTGTTCACACTCGATTACGAAAATGGAACAAAGAGAGGGATTCCGGTCCAGTTTTTTTTTCTTTTTCTTTTTTTTAAAGTTGATCGAGGAAGCGCAAGAAGGAAGAGTGCGAGAATGCCCTGAGAAGAGGAAAAGAGAAATTGGAGGTCTGCGTAAAGACCATGTAATTACCTGACCAATTGAGACCCTCAGTTTAGAAATAGGGAGACAGCCAAGTATGTCGAATGTAGGAAATTTTCACATTTCAGATATCACTTTGTAAAGGACACCCAGTTATAAGTGACACTGTCACTGAGCTGCTGCAAGTTCCCGGCCAACACGGTGTCGACGCAATACGGACTTCATCAACTCCAAAATTTTGACTGTTTAATGGAGTTTCAATGTAACGTTCGTATTGTTAACAAACTCTCTGAACGCTCGAAATAAACTGGTACTATGCTATCACCCAAAAATTCTGGATTTCTTTTTACGATATCACTACTCAATTCACCATTTTGAAATAGGATGAAGAAACAACACTGCTTCATGTAAATAGCAGTGATACAAACAGTAAATTATCGTGCGAGATTGTTCGTGGTAACGAGAGTTGACTGCATGTGATCTAGCCTTGTTACTTTCACGGCACAGTACCATTTCATATCGTTCAATCTCGTTCCCAGATTTCTCTGAGCCAAAACGAAAGAGGACCGGGCGCAAAAAGGACGAAAGGACCTGGGTATGACATTGGCGAGTTTCCTACCTTCTCCTTGCTGCTCGAACCAAAAGCACTTCTGATGAACAACGCTCCGAGCATTGGGCCAAGGATGTTGTTGGTGTAGCTAAAACAGATGTCTGCTCTGGTCTTGTTTCTTTTACTTCCAAGAAGTTTCACTTTGAATTTTTGGTGAACCGCTCGGAATTCTTTTGACAGGAGAGGCACGACATCCTTAATGGAGCGCCATACCATATACGTTGATAAAACACTAAGAAAAAAAAAACAACATGAAGTAAATACCACGCTGGGCTCATGACTAGGCAGAAGTTTTTAGATACTATGATATTAAGTAATTGGTCGGTGAATTTCACGGGGCTTTCTCTGTTATTGCTGTCACTCTCCGCTCTATCTAGTGTCCGTCTCTTTGAAGATTGTCCGGAAGGAAAAAAAACTTGAAAAATTGAAAAAAAAAAAAATTTAAAAGAAAGAATCACGCAAAACATAATTTTCCTTAAAATATTCCCCCCACTGCTTAACCCCTCACAACATTTCTGTCGGTCGACCAAGTCACTAATTCGTCTCTTCCCTTAAGCCTGATCTCATCCATGGCCCCCGGCTGAAGAGACTGCAAGCTAAACCCTTTACACCCTGACATCAGTATGCATATTCTCCGTACCATTCTCTAGATATGTCCTATGATATCAACAGGGAGAATTTGTGAACATTTAAGAACTTCTTTAGTTGGTGATCATTTCCTTTATTTTCCTGATCTTAACCTTTGATTCCCCTGTGAAACTATAAAGAGAAATTTGATGTTAATCATTCCAAGGGGTTGAAAAAGTTAAGCAACGGAGGAAAACTCGAATAAACTCACTTCTTTTTGGTCGTGCGCAGTAGATTCAACATATTCTGTAAGTAGTCATTCGCTAGCACCACTACCAAGTCGTCTTTAGTGAGATCAGGCCTTGATAACACCTTTTGCAAGTGCTTCAGCCAAGGGAACTATGAACAAAGAAGCAAGAATTTATTACTTAAAGAGAGATTCTATTCATCTGTCACCAGAATAGGAAAAAAATAAAATCTGAGCTTTCTTTTGGATTTGAACCTCAGACCTTCGGATTAGGCGGTTAAATCCTCTAACAAACACTGAATTTATCAGATAAAGAAACAATAAGTAACGTATTAGCATGTTTATGTGGCGATTATAGTACAGGATGGTGGCTATGATGGGGGTACCAAGAACATTTTTGTAGGATTTCAATTATTTCCTTATTTTATCACCTTCCTTGGTGCTGTTAAATTTGCATAAATGCTAGTGGCTCGTGCGTGAAACGCTTTATAAACAAATGTTTATGATCGACCTGATTTGGAAGACCATCAGTTATGTTTGAGGCCCCCTATTTCCCCGAGGAGGTTTGTTGTTTGAGCTCTGCAGTAAAGTGAGGATCGTGAAGCTAAAAACGTGAACCTGCGATCATTTTTCAGCGGCCTCTCTACGAAGTCATGTTGAGCCTCTGAGAGGAAGGGAGGGACCAATTTAGGGGTTTACCTCTGGAAGAGCCTCCTCCAGCTTGCCAATAGGAATCCGTACGTATTTCTTGGAAACTTTTGGAACCCAGTACTGTAAATGAATAAAGAACTTAGTAATACTGAATTTCTCTTAAATTTAGGAAACTTGGAAGGGCATTCTCGGCTACCAGTTTCTTGCGCCTGACGGAAAACAGCCTTTACTGGCATTTCTTATAAAAACGCATAATGTAACTTACATTGACTCAGTAATACAATATATGAGTATGTCAGAAATTTTTGCTTCTCTCTAAAAATCAGATGTTCTTCTTTTAAAAAAAAATGACTGCTGTATATTTGAGTGTGAATTTTTCACTCACCAGTGCAAGTTTTCCTTCAAATAGAAGCAAATCCTTCATTGCTCGTTTGGAGTCTTTTTTACTGACCCCAGAAAGACTCGTGATAATTGACATGTACTTCCACACTTCCTTTAAAACCTGAGGCAAACAACAAAAGTCAGTAACCTTAAAGACACATGAAAATAAGCGCGTGGTGTTCGTAGGTAAGATTTCTCTTAACAATCCAAAGGAGAAAGATAACCTACAGTGCATTGCGGACACTTGAACTCAAAGTGCTAGCATCGATTTTTGGGGGATAAATGTGGAATACATTTGATTCGAGAGATTATTCTTACTTCTATTTGAGTGGTTACGTTTTAAGTGACCGTTCAATACAGGTGGAAAACAACACAAACAGGCCGTAGGGTCAAAGGTAAAAATTACAGTACGTAACGGGAAAAAATTGTAGGACTTTAGCAGTCGACCGCTTAATACAAGGCGACCGCTCAATACGGTTCCGCTTAATACAGGTTCGACTGAACACTGTAAGTCTACGTGGCTATTTCTTTCCCAAGAGACCGTTCATTAAACTCTGTTTGAGACGACTGACCCCCCTCCTTTACCCCGTGGAAACAATGTGATTCTCCCCCCTCCTCCATCCCCCGTCCCCTCCCCTCAGGCGATTAATTGAGGCTGGTCCCCAAAAAATAACATCTAACAACCACTTACTCTGAAAATCAATGAAAATTTTTATTAGCTTTGGCTTCTTACCTTTTTGCTTGTGAAATAGATGATTTGTGGAAGGTTTAGAGTTGCCTGGTCAATCTAAAAGAAAACAGGAACAAAAAACATATCGCCAAAAACCGCTAATACATATTTACCTTGATCCTCTTTACAATTCCTATATATAAGTTTTATGGCATTAGAAATTATCGCATTTCGACGAAGGTTACCTTTATTACAATGAATAGGCTCATGGAGATAATTGGCAAACGCGTGACATAGTCATTTGTTACTACAGAAGTCTAATGTAAAAGTGCAGAACAGGTCTTAGTAAAGAACTTGTGGCTACTATGCTAGTCCAACGATTTCTTGTAGATGTGCCCAAACCAGTCTATAAGTTAATCTTCGTAGTGGACAATTTTTTTTAATAAAAAGATGTGTAGAAGAGCATTCTGTGCCACCGAAATTGCGCTTGTCTAAATGGCGATCTGATCGAAGTTATATCATTTAATTGATAACCATCTCTTTGGATGACCTAATTCGAACATAATGGTGAGGCACTAAATACTTAAGGTGCCTTTCGTCAAAGAGACCCTTATCTAAGCTGGAGCCAGGTAAATCTGAAATAACTTTGGTGTAAGGAAGTGTATGGTAACCTCGGAGGCCAAAAATATTAACCATTCTCGCCTAGTTTTTAAGGTTTCCGGGGAAACTTGTTTTAGATTCACCCCCAGTTCAAAAACCTATTACATTTTTTTCCTGTTTTTAGGAAATGTCTAACGTTACACTTCTTTTCCCATTCAGTTTGTTACGGTAGCAAAAAAAAAAAAAAGGCCAGAGGAAAATCTGCGATGAACTTGCGGTATGTCTCAAGTTCTTAGCCCCCTCCTAGTGGGGGTCAATTTATTTGTATTAGGACAAAGCTCTATCACTACCTATACCAAGGCAAATAGACACACACTTAACGAACTGTCAGGGAACCCGAAAAAAGTCTGGCCCTATAATGTGCAAATATATTGGAATGCTCTTAACGGGGGCAGAATGTCTCTTCACCGAATAACAAGGGCAAGCGTCAGAGTTGCGATTCTCCTGGTTTTTATGCCGTTTAACCATTAACATCGACATGCGTAGAGAAATAAATTTTCTTTCTATGTATAAATACTCACCAGAATGACATATTTTCTTTCTGCGCTTCCCTTCTTCTTGACGGGATCTTGAATAATATTTACACTGAAGAATACTTCTACGGGATAGTTCTTCTGCACATAGCCTAGCGTATCGTAGAAGCTCCACTTCTTTGCTCTCCAGTTTTTAGCTAGAGACCAAGATCCTAAGCTTTCAATGTAATCTAACAGCGGTTTATTTCCAAGATGGTCGATGGCTACCTCATTCAAGCACGACCTGTAAAAATTCTTCACTTTCATCAGCGTTTCCGTGTTATGAGGTCCATCGGCAAGAAGATTTTGTTTCATAATTCGTTCGTTATTTTTGGACAGTTGTGTTATCCTTGAGAACTGCAGATGCCCTTTAGGAACTGGATTCTCCTTGATCCACTGGCCACAAGCATACTCGTAAAAATTGTCACAAGGGTCCACCGACGCATTGCGAACTTTTTGGATTAACTTTGAAATCGCGTTACAACTTTCTGATTGGCAGATAGGTCCAGGCATAATACTGTTTTGTTCACTTTTATCTGAACGAGCGGGTTTTGTCGCATCGATTTTTAAAGGCGAAGCGCTTCGAACAGGAATATTGTCTTTAGGCAAACTAGCGCATGAAACTAAAACGAGAAAAATAACATTTAAAGCAAAAACCTGGATATGGTGTCCTACGATCGAGTCAACTCCTGTCCTAAATAATTTCCTTCCTTCCATGTCGGCTCCAGAAGGCTGTATGTTACAAAGTGACTTATTTTGTGATTACGACATCGGTTCCTTGATTAAAATCTTTTGAGAGGAGAAAAAGGTGAGAGGCTCTTTCGTTGCGGCTCAGTCTTCTTAGAGAGAAGACGATAGAAATACTTTTCTGTGATCTTTCTCGAGTGAGAAGTTGTTCAGGTGATTACGGAATGTGACCGGTACCTGTTTTGACAAGCGAATATTTCGTCTTGCCACCTGTTGAGGGGTAGGAGGAAATATGTCGAGAAAAATTGCAAAAATAAATCATTGGTTGCTCAAACAATACTCTTGGTAAAAACTGATCAAAACTGTACCTTTACAGCCAAAAAACAAAACAATTGAATAAAACAAGACAAAAAAAGCTAAAGCTCTTCTCTTAACACTAAGTTCTATCGGGGCTTTTAAGTAGGATATAAACGGATGGGTTCATGTCCCAGGGAATTTTATATTGGGGGATGGAGACAAGGGGGTTTTCCCTAAGATTTTTTGTCAAGAGAATTTTATATGTTTGTGAGTATATTTGATGTGAGGTGGAATAAAGTGGACTTGTGACCTATTTTTGAGTCAGTGTGAGTTAATGACCTAAAAAGTTTAAAAAAGGGAATTTTTTAAAAGCCTTACATCATACTTAAGTATAATAATGCTAATTAATAGCCTAAAATTGTTTAAAAAAGTAGAGTTTGGTCCCGTTGAAGAAAAACAATGATGGTGAATGTAATTAACTTTTTAAAATGCGCAATATTTTGAGTTGTTGTGTTGCCTTTGAAAACGCATAGTTAGACGTTAATCGATATGAAAATTTTGTAAAAAAAAAAGAAAAAGAACACCATCCTGAGTCACAACACTAATCATAACATTACAATTTTAAGGTTGATGTGTAAATGGTTGGTGTTCATTCAATACATCAATTTAAAGGACTAAGAGTATATTATTTCAACTTTCTATTCTATAAAGACATTTTTCATAGCCATGTAGAAGATAGTAATAGTCTTCTTTAAAAGGGGACAGAAAATGGTCTTGAAGATTAGGTAGCTAAATCAAAAGAGCTTTATATCAAAGAATTCTAGTATAAAAGCAGCCCTGTAGGAGGATCGAACTCCCGACCCCTGGTTTACGAGACCAGTGCTCTGCCACTGAGCTAACAGGGCTACGCGATAGAAGTTTTCATTTCATTAGACATATATACTTTGGGTCGCCAAGTGCTCCATTATCATTGCATTTGAAATTTTGAATAAAATTTTGAAAAAAAGAAAAAAAACACAAATAAACCGTTCCACTTCTTCAAAGCAGAATATGAATGGCTCTCGAAACATCATGGATCAAAGGCATCAGACTACTTTAAGCGGCTTATAAATTACATTTAACATCTTATTCTACAGGAACTTCTTTTCATTAATAACATTTTAATCTATTTAATAGTCTAGATATATATTTTGAGTATGCTTCTATCTTTTTATTTTCCAAAAGTAAACATTTGAACCACGCGGTTACGCATTCCTGCTAAAAAGTTCTCGTTTCTTTGGAAATGACTGACAACAGCTTATGCAAAATTTCAAAGGCTTGCAAAACAACACAACCATCATTGGTCGACTAAAGAACCATTTCCGATTCCACGTTCAATTGCAAGTGATTTTGACTTGCCAAGGGTCACCCTTGTAACAAAGGAATAATCACCGTATTTGGGAAGATCAAAAAGTTGGAGCGTTTATTCTCACGATCTTTCCTGCGTCACATAGTGTAAAATCTCACGGAAAACACTTGTCGAATATTTCGTGATTTTTGAAACAATGAGATCTTCAAGTATGAGAAATGTGCTCCGACTTCTGGATCATATCGGCAGCGTTCTCTCCGTTCTGGCTTTAGTGTTGATTTACAACCATGTCACAAAGAAGCACGAAATAGGCGAGTTGAAAAGATTACAGAACATACGGCTGAAAGAGGTTTCAACAAAAACTTCGGCACCACAAGATGACAATAAGAAAATTATGGGAAAAATAGCAGTTCAAGTTTGGTCAAACGTTTGTGGCGGAAAATTGTCAAATTTGATTAACTCTCCTTTCTTTCCACGGTTTTTCGACGAGTTATACTTCATTTCAAACACGAGGATTCAGTTAAATCGAAGCAACTATGGCCAGCGTGCATTCGGTTATTTACATCCACCAGAAACCGGTTATTACAAGTTTGTTCTATATTCCGATGATGGATCAGAGTTCTGGTTTGGTGCAAATGAAAGCTTGGCGAGTTTAAAACTTGCCGCGAACGTGGCCATGCGTGATCACGTAGGAAGCGCTCCTGTCGGCGAAATTCGCTTCGATTCACAGATTTCCGATGATTTTCTGCTCGAAAGGGGAAATAAATACCCCCTGGAGATTATTCATCTTCAAGGCACCGACGCTGATTTTGTGGAATTGCACTGGATTCGACCTGGGAAACATTATTTGGAGGTCATAACATCGGAGTACATTTCGCATTCTGCAGAATCGCGCCTCGTATCTCAAATTGAGTTTTCGAAGGCTTCATCGGATAGCCAATTAAAAGTTACAAAGCCTTATCTCGTCTCGTTCCTCACGGACAGTACTGTGGAACGCACGCTTCCCACGTGCAGCTATACGCTTCCAAACGCGACTATGCCGAATATACCCCGTTTCCATGGATACAAAGCTATTCAAGAAATAATCAGAGTAACTAATAATGACCGGAAATGGCAGGATAATGTGAAAGCAAAGTTGGTGGTAAATCTTTTTATGGCAGGACTCGAAAAAGTTTTCCCAAAGTAAGTCTGTATCTTGCAAACTCTCAAACGATAATTTAATTTCGCAACAGTACCTCAGTCAATAAGTCAGTTGGTCAGTCGGCGGGCCAGTCAATAAGCCAGTCAGTCAATTAATAGGCAGTGAGTCAGCGAGTCAGTCAGTGAGTCAGTCAGTCAAGAATCATTGAGGCAGTAAGTCGGTGAGTCAGTCAGTGCGTCAATGAGTCAGTCAGTCAGTCAATAATCGACGAGTGAGTGAGTGAACGAGTGAGTCAATCAATAGTCAGTGAGAGTGAGTCAGTGAGTCGGTGAGTCAGTGAGTCGGTGAGTCAGTGAGGCAGTGAGTCAGTGAGTCAATCAATGGTCAAAGAGTTAGTGAGTCAGTCAATCAGTCAGTCAATAGTCAGTGAGTCAGTCAATCAGTCAATCAGTCCATCAATAGTCAGTCAGTCAGTCGATCAATAGTCAGCGAGTCAGTCACTCAGTCAATCAATAGTCAGTGAGTCAGTGAGCAAGTGAGTAAGTCTGTAACTCAGCCAATCAATAGTCAGTCAATTACTGAGTCAGTCAATCAGTCAATCAATGGTCAGTGAGTCAGTGAGTGAGTGAGTCAGTAAGTCAGCCAATTAATCAGTCAATCAGTGGTCAGTCATTCAGGGGGTCAGTGGATGGGTTGGTGGCTCTTCCACTTATTCATTCATGCATTCCCGAATTCAGTCACTCATTCAGTGAGGAAGTCATTCATTCTCTTATTCAGACAGTCAGTCATTCTTTCATCCATTAAGCCAATCAGTCGGTAACCTACTCGGATTGTCAACCTGTCTTTCAGTCTAATATAAGGCATCAGTAAGAAAAAATACATATATGCTCTTGATATGGACAAGAAAAAAAAGGGTCCGCTGGACCTCATTCTCTTTTGATAGAGAAAGGAACATAAGAACTTAAAAAATGACTAAAGTTACAATAACTAGAGTTCTTTCGGCAATTTTTTTTAATCATTCTCCAGAAAGTACCTCGTCAAGAGAGTTCTTACCCTCGAGCGTATGGCAACAAAACAAGAGAGCAACGCTGTTCTTTATTTTCTTGAGATAGAATTAAGCTGTGATGCTTTAGATTACACAGAAAGAGTCGCAGAGTATGTCTATTTACAAAAGAACGAAGTTGGTAAAAACTCACAAGAGAAGGACGTGCAACTTTGTTATCCGAGGGATCTGGGCTGGAAGAAGGAAATTTCAGTTCATTTGATTATTGCCGTTGATCGTGAAGGTCAACGGCTGCATCGTTTTATTGAAAGAGTGGAACAAATTGTGCGAGAGAGCCTAGAGGTCGATTTTCAGTTGGTGATTGTTCACTCTGGAAAATCGGGCTTAGACGTCGAAAGGACTTTGCAAGCCACTTCGTTGCAGAAGTACAAGGTTGAAAAATTGAACGGGGAGTTCTCTTTGACGCGCGCCATTAATTCTGGAGTAAGACTGGTGCGGAGTTCACAGAGTATTGTTCTAACTAGTGACGTTCATACGGATTTGCCAGCGGATATTTTTGAAAATTGTCGAAAGGTAAGCTCTAGAATGATGAAGCTCATTCTGTTGATTATTGTTAACTTGATCTAAATGTTATTTGCTCCTTTGGGTCACAGCACTGCATAGAAGGGAAGATGATATTTGCACCAGTCCTTTTCGGCTTGAACTGTGGGGCGTATCCTGCTGAACCGCATGGATCATGGGATGACCGGGGTTACCAAACGATCGGCATTTACAAGAGCGACTGGGATCGGCTTGGAGGTTAGGAAGGTTTTTTTTTTCATACTGTTTTTGATAAAACAGTGCTAAGGGTACTCGGAGTTTCATTGGTTATGTTTGACACGCTTTCCAATTTTTTAGAAAACTGGGGCTTTCCTCCCAGCAATCGGATGTAAAACTGAAGCTTCTCGTGCCTTGGTCACTCGAGTTTTCCGATGGGTCATGCAATTTCCTTTTTTAACTCCGTGCTCTCATTGATTCCTTTCTTATTGGGCATTGTCGTTTGATTTTGTGACAATTAAAATGCGCCTTGATCTTTTTTTCTCTACCACATGGCGAATTCATCTCAGAAAATCGAAACTGCAGCAGTTGATCTTTTCATCCCTCATTCCCTTTTTTCACAATCCTCTACCTTTTTATAGGAATGGATAAAGGAACAGCAGATCATTTAGCCGCCTGGGACCTAATGGATCGCATTTTATCCAGCGGTTTGCACGTGGCACGTTTGAAGACTGAAAATCTGTTTCGCTTGTTTTATCCCAAGCCACGTGATTTAAACGTAACATAGCTTGTCAATTTTATAAAAGAGAAAGTTGATTGAGGACAAAACGACTTTACAGCAATAAAAATGCTATAAATTGACATTAAGTAAACAAGAGAGAATTCTGTCACTCGCTTTCGTAAAAAGGACAAAAAATTATTTCGTTCTAATTCTTTTGTAAGCCTTATTTTACAGCGATAAGACCGAAATCTGTGTTCAAGGATTACCAGATATAAAGTCTTGTTTGACATGAATATGAAAGCAATCTTCGCAGTAATGAATAGTACTTAAGCAGAGTATGCTGGTTCGTAATAAACTCAATAAGTGATGAATAACATACTGACCAGCTCCCAGTTGGCTTGTTAGCTCAGTTGGTAGACTGATTGCACCGATATCGCAGAGGTCAAGGATTCGAATCCCGCACAGGCCTGAATTTTTTTGTCAGGCCTTATTTTCACTTCTGGTTAAGTTGTGTTCATTACTGCGAAGTTCGCTTTCATGTTCATTTCGTTTCTGATTATTGCTTATTTCTCATTGGCTACGAGAAAATTCCGCTGGAATCACTCTCTTCAGACTGACCTCAACAACATTTTACTTTTGCTGTGCGAAAAGGAAGCCGAGGGGTAACTACAAAAAATCGTTTCCATAGTATTAACTACTGCAACGATGTCCTTATCGTTTCTTCAAAAACGGCTAACGTCATCATAATAGCAAATCCGAGCAAAAGTCCAAGGTTTTGTAGAAATATAACTCGCCCTTTTTTATCAGATCTTGATGTTATGCTGGCGAACATCTCCGGAACCTGAAATGGGAATAATGAAGCTTTATTTGTCATGGTAACAGTAACTTTAAAGCACAAAAGGATGGAATGCTAGCTTTCTCCATTTCTTTTTGTCGATCTCAAAATTTTCCATCTTTCTTACTCTGTTGAAACGCTCGATGCTTTCGATGCTGATCCTGACAGTACGTGTATGCGGCTCGCGTGTCAGAGATGAACCTAGTGATAGCCTGACCCACCGCAGAGTCTCTTTGGTTCAGTGGAAGAGCGATGGAGCACGAAACCCGAAAGTCTGAGGTTCGATTCCTCGTTAGGACTCAGAATTAGTCATTCTTTGTCCCAAGCTCGTGACAAGACGAAAACACATAACTTACAAAATTTCATTAAAGCATGTTCTTGTTTCTTCAATTTGACTCTTTACACTAAAACATTGGAGTCTCGACTTGGGAGTCCAAGCATATGTTTGAGAGTGTTATCATGTTGCATCATGGGAGCAATTACATTCCATTTCATGAACAAGGAATATACGGTCACTACTCACCATTTCTGCCAGTGCTACGTAAAGAAACATTCCTGCAATGACGGCAAATATCCAGGGTGTCATATTCAGACTGGCGCTTAGGGTCGCTCCTACAAGGATGCCCGCGTATGAGCATAGGTAACAGAAACATAACAGACCCAGGGCCTCGCGGAAACGCAGACCAGACGAGACAAAGATGGCAAAATCACCTAGAGGAAATTAGAAAAACGAAAAAAGGATTTTGCAGTGCTGCTGCTTCTGACAACTTAATCGATGGAACCCCATGCATATTTTCCATACCGTAATATGTAAATTTCCTAAGATGCTGACAAGGAGAATTTGTTAAACTAAAATGGCTTCCTGAGTTCGCGATCATTTCCTTTATTCTCATGGACCTTAATGCTTGATTAAGGGGTAATAATGTCAGGAGAAATTCCATGCTGATCATTCTTAGAGGTTAAAGAGTCAATGTGTAGATTGGGTTGTATTTCATGCAAGTTGTGATTCTTTCAATGTCTTTTGTTCTCAAAAAATTATACATGCCCAGTTTACAATTTGCCCATTGCATATTTTCTCTACGTGCACGTGAATGAAAAGAGTTTTCAACCCATGGGCGCAATACCCACACCAAATGCGTAGGAGCTTGCAAATGTAGTGAGGCTACACTCGCTTAGCATAAAAGATTGATATGGAATTGGTCATTTCCTTACCTACTGCGTGCGGTATTTCATGAAATAACACAGCTAGTGTCGTACTGAGTCCGTCCCCTAATGATTTTGAGAAAGCTGCTCCTATAGCTATTCCATCGCACGATGTGTGTAGTACTTCACCCACTAATATCGTTCCTATGAGCGTTTTGTTAATTTTGGTCGCAGACTGCTCTCGCTTGGCTTTGGTTTCTGCCTCTAGCAGGCCCTTGTTCTCAAGTGGATCAGGTGACGTAGTATGAGAGTGAGAGTGACCACCCTAGAAAAAGAGATTGTGTTACTGTCATAGTGCGTGACTTAGTCACAGCAGACAACCATGCCAACCACAGTTTTGTTCTCCTTACCTCCATAACTTGAAAAAAGAGATGGAATAGGTAGAAGGAATAAATACTGCACACAACCAAGAAGGAACGCCATAAAAGTACGTTATGAGTAGATTCTGTACCACCAGCGTCATCGTCGTGATGTTGAGATAATGCCTAGAGAATTTGAGATTGAAGTACTGAAGTTGAGTGCCAGAGGTAATCAAGAAATGCATGTGTTTTGCCTCACTCCACTCTGTGATTGGTAAAGAAAACTCGTGCAACCCTCTCAACTGATCAGATGAAAAGCTAAGACTTTTCGCCATTGAGATAATCTGACATTATTTTGTCCAGGATACTGCCCTATACTCGCTATCTTTCAAATCCACTTTTGTGATTTTTTCAGTTTCGGCTTTTGGGAAACTCGTTTTTAACACGTCCTATTCCCAAATCCATAACCGCTTTGAGATTGAGCACAGTTCCAAGTGTTTATTTTTTAGAAATACACTTTTAAGTTGTTAGTTTTACTTACGTGCGGCAAGAGGTGGAAGATCGCGTCGCCGGTGAGACAAGCAGCTCCAAGAGCGATGAGCACTGTGATTGCGTCTTTACAATATCTACCAAGGGCGGGACATATAACAGCTGATGACAGCACAGACAAGAAGAAAATGACAGTCTCTGCTCCGCATCCCTGGAGAATAACTGAGGGCGATAACATCAAAGTTATTACCAATCACACGGTTCGTCAATGACTTCAACGCCACCATCCTGCCCAAGGAACAGGCATAATTTATCGCCTGTGTGGGAAGGACTTTCTTTTTTTTTTTTTTAGAAGGGGGGGAGTTAGTGGTATTTTTTTTCGTCGCCAACAACGTATAAACTATAGGGGACTGACTATTAACTGCCAATTAGCTGCCAATTAACTGCCAATTAACTGCCAATTAACTGCCAATTAACTGCAAATGTGCCACCGTGTAACTATAGCTGAAATGTAATGTAACTACTTGGCCGTGAAGGGTCTGGGTATGAGACGAAAATTGTGCATCTAGGCCCAAAAATTAGACATGAGCACGAGAACAAGAAACACAAAGCACATCATTAGGCCTATTTCACGCTAGTCTCTCAGAAAAAGCGCATCGGTGATCTATCTTGCCATGGCAGGCAGAGTGTGTTTTAAGTGCAAATTAAACTTTTGTGGCGTAAATGAGTCGGTTCTATTGACATAGCTTTATTGATCATATGGCAACTTGTCTTAGCAACGTGGCAACGATGCACGATATCAGCTGTATTTAAATTAATGTGAAATTTCATTTCCGACATTTGCCCTTTCAGCTTTGAGTAAACGCAGGTTCAATAAACAGACACTTTCTCAAGTGCAGATACTGCGGCCTGAAAAATATTTCCATTGTTCAACTTTCAATATCTTTTTTCCTATTCAATGCATTTCATTTTTAAGAATCGATTAGTCGCCCAGTTTGCGAGACATTCGAAAAATTACTGTATTTGCATATTTTTTTTATTTGAGGAGAGCCGGTAATTATATTTACTCTGCACACTGTCGAACGGAGAGCATGGCTTATTTTTCGCAAGATCCTGTTTATACAACGATTGCAATCATTGCAGAATTAGGAGAGATCAAACCATATTTTTCGTGTAACGAGGAGCACAAGGTATATTTTCCATTCCTCCTTCTCCCCCCTGTGAAATGGAGAGCACGTCGTGGTTTTTTGGAAGGTGCTGTTTATCCAACGATTGCAATTAGCGGAGTTAGAAGAGATCAAACAGCGTAAAGAAAGGTTAAAATATTTACAATTACATCAAATTGACTTTAAGATGTGTTGTGGTCGCACTATTTTTTAATCTAAAACTTAAAATTTCAAACCAATGATGTTGGGTTCGCCAATCTGGCTCGTCAACTGCTTAAATTCTCAAATAATTCATTTTGAATTGAGAGATCACTTTCAACACTCACCTCTGGTAATGGACATGGTCGAGTGCCGTTCCTTCGGTTGATACTGACGTTTCAAGCGTTCGGTTTTTTTAATCCCTTTTTTTGGCCGGAACGAGGCAAAATTTCTCTTGTTAAATTAAAAGAAGACGTCTCCACAAGTGAAGAACACTGAGGAAATAATAACACATAAATATCTATAGAGAAGCAGGTAGCAAGGTCACGTTTTTAAATGCTGTTTACAGGGAAGGGATTACAATGACTAAAGCCACCAGTTCTGAACCAGGTAAATCGCAGCTTTGAAAAAAAACGAAGTCTGGGTACGCGGCAGTTTACCTGCAGGAGATTAGGTGCATTTTAAAAGCACTCACCGATCAGACTCGCGGGCCAGTATGTTTTAATTCTCATTGGGAGAAATATCGAGTGCTTACCTTAGTTAGATTCAGTCTTGGCTCAAATATACAGTTTCGCAATCAGAGAATACGAGTCGTATATCTCTTATTTCCCATTCACCTTTTAAATGTCCTTTTCAGAGTGGAATAACCATGGAGTTGACTTTTTGACTGACCGAATACGAGCCTTCAAAATAAATTATGATGAAAAATAGGAGACAAAGGCTAAATATTCCAAACGGTACCCGTATTTATCAAAAGGCCTGGTAATGATATTTCAGCGTACACGAAAAAGCGTTCTAGGAGAAGGTAACGTAACGTTACTTTTGCGAAAGTGTTCTTCATCCTTACATTTCCAATAATTACCAACGGCGATGTTTTAAGGGGGTTTGCTTTCCACTTGTTGACCGCCTCTTAAGTCGAAATTATTTCCTCTCAGGTGGTGTCAAGAATGATACACAAATTTGGCACAATCTTACTAGACATGAAAGTTGCCATAGCAATGCGAGTCATTAAAGGGAAACTCGTACGCGCGCGTGCAGCTTTGTTGTGTGAAATTAATTTGTTCGCAGAACGATGCTCTTTGAGAAGCAGACATTGAGTCTTTAAGTACCAGTTATCGCTTGGCAGGGAGGGGAGGGTGGGGAGCTGAGGATGTTTGGTACGATCAGGTGGTTTTCAAAGGCACGGAGGAGGATCAGTCGTCTCTAACAGAGTATGAAGGTGGAGGACTGTAGCAAATTGGTCGCTGATGAGACGGAATCATTAGAATACTGACAGAGCCGTGGGGGTGGGGTAGGGAATCAGATAAATTTTATTTTGACTCAACCAAAGTCCTCCACACCCAGGCCCTCAAAAGTGACCAGTTGATAACGCAAAACTGGATCCTTTAAAAGCGCAACGCAAGAGGCCTTTCCTCCAAGATACTCATACATAATTTACCTTTCATCTTAGTCTCTTTGATCTGAGTTACCCTCGGTCAAGATACTATCTAAATGCATTTAATTTCCACTTGTGATTCAGTTTGTCTGTTTTTCACGCGAAAGGGGGGTCCATTAGGGATCTTCAAGTCTTCAAGTCATTATCCCTTAAAAATTTTAATTTTTGTACTAACGCTTGCTTGAGGAAGGAGGATATTCTGACCAAAACCGAGTAAGACATTAGAATCTAAGTCACTCCACGATGCAGATTAAGTTTTGAGACCTTCAATAAAATACGAAAGTTGAGTCATTTTCAAACCCAAGGTAACCCTCTTCTACTTTAAAAGCGGAATTTAAAAAAGGCGAGGAATTTTTAGGTTACTACAGTCACAAGTCACTGCAGTCGTTCTTAAGATCTTGCTTTTATTGAATGACTTTGAGACCAGCTCGTGTTAAAGTATCTTTTCTTAAATGAACACACATTGTACCCTCGGGATGCAACCTCGTTTCAATGTCTCTCTTCTACATGCCCACGCGGTCCCGCAGTAGGAAAGAACAGAGACCCTGGAAACTAGGTTGCGCAGAATATTGAAATTATTATCTTGTAAGCTATGATACAATTTTATACAGAACAAGAGTTGACAGACACACGGGTAAAATAGTCTTTTCTTTTAATGGAAAAGAGAATTAAACTACTCCAGCGATATATAATTTCGAAAAAATATATGTTTAGACTCAATTTTCATTGAAAAAAAAAGTATTTGGTAAGTAGCCAGCTTTATTTTGATACGTCAGAAATCAAACTGATCGCAAAAATTAATTGGCTTTGTCAAAGAAGGCAGTAACAAACTTAACGTTTCGATAGAACTAACAAATGTTGTCTTATTTTTCCCGATGAAAGTAATTAGGCATGATTATCATGTACTATAAATTGAAAACTAGAATTACAATCGACCAATCACACAACAAAAAAAATTGAAGCTTAAATAAGCTATAACGCTCTATATACACCAGCTATTGATAAAAGCTGAATAGCAAAAATATAACTCAATTAATGAGCTTATGATACCAGAAAGTGATTTCTATTTCGCAACATATGTACAGGAAAGTTACAAAATAAATCAATTCATGATGAAGCTATCTACAACATTCGACAAAATTCTTTGGGACTCTGCTGCATTGAAAGAATTTCGCGCATAACCTTATTTGAAGAGAAACAAACATAGCTGAACAGAAAATGGGAAAAACGTAGAATCGAAGTTTCGTCATTGCCACGAGCCTAGTCTCATATCCAGACCTTCCACGTCCATTTTAGTTACAATTAAACGATAGGATCTGGGGACGAGATTACTACGAACCAACTTGGGATCAATTTCAGTATTGAGCAAAGGCGCACCTACCCCCTCCCCTCCCCCCTTCTAATTCAACATCAATCCTACCTTGTTCTCAGTTCACTGTTGCTGAGTTAAGGGAGGGGTAGATGTGCAGTTGCTCGGATACTAACAATAATCCCCAACTTCCTTAATTTTAACTGTGCAAAATGAGAGGAGATCCCGGAGAAAACTGGCGATTATTTTGGATATCAACACCTATAGAAGGTTTCTGGTAAAATTTAGCAACCTTTACACCAAATCACGTTTCTTCCGGAATGTCACTGACAAAATAGTTGATTTAGAGTGGCTACTGAAAAATTTGCCAATGCAACGAGTTTAGTGATATCATGGCGGAATTCTGAAGTCGACAATGTAAAGAGATCTTTTGGTTTTTCAGTTCCAAAACAAGCCTTACCTTTTTGTACAGCAGTCTTGAAGACTGTGGTTTTACTCTCTGAAATCTACATTTTTTTGAAGTGTTGTCGACATTCTTTACCCAATGCGATGGTGGATGTTTATGCGAAGCTACTGTTGATTTTTCGTTTACATTGCAGACTCCGTGTGACAAAGATCGGATCAACACCTTAAATTTTGGTAGAAACCTTTTTGAGAGCTATACAAGTAGATCCTTCACTTTCTTCAAAAGTTAAGCAAAGCAAATAAAAATAGTTTCCCGAGCAAAAGTATACACAAAACTAAATATTTTACCCTTGCAAAAATTCCAAAAATATACATGCGCTTTTCATTTTTTTTTCTTTAAGCCTTTTGTTTTTTTGTGTTATCAGCGTCCATCTCGAGCGATGTAAAAAAGCAACATAAAAAAAGCAGATAGAAACAGAAACTATCGGAGAGCAATTTCCTCTTCGGTATAACCGTCAATGCTTTCTCCAATTTCACATTAACTTCTTCCTTGCCAGTTAAGTCCAGCCTTCGATATAATACTGCGTAATGGCACTCGTTTTCTTGCAGAAATCAAGTTATCAAGTATTAAACCATTTGAGTAAAACACAAATGCACTGTTTTTGATGAGCATTAATCCACCTAGAAGGTTTGAACCTCCCATGCGTCTTAAAGTCTGCAGTTTCTTTGGGTAAAGCTCGTTCAGCGTTTAAAGCAAAAGTGAATCTTTATCAAACTTGAAGATTCTTGGATTGTCTTCCAGAACTGTTTCAGCATGCATGGATTCATCAGCAAAATGTGACTCAAAACAAAGTAAAAAAGATTGATCTTTCTGATGCAGAGAAAAATATACCGATAGCTCGAACATGGATCCTTCAATTGACGAAGCGCACATACTGGGCAATATCGCGCTTGTTGCCTGAAAGGTCTGATATTTTGGTCTTATGCAACTGATTAAACAGCAAATGCTCCTCTGCTTACTAACCCTCCATTATCCGCTCCTCGCAACAAAATTGCGACGCTTCTGCGCCACTTTTAAGTTCTTTTCGTTTTTTCCGGTATAACTCCCTTCATTTGCAAAGACTCCTTATAATGCGTATGTAAATGGGTTTGCAAACTCCCAGACTGAGAGAACGCTTTGGAACATTGCCAGCATTTGTAGGGTTTCTCTCCTGTGTGAGTTCGCATGTGTCGCTTTAGGTCCGTGGAGCGTGCAAATGCCCTCGAGCACTCTTGACATTTGTACGGCTTTTCACCGGTGTGATTTCTCAAATGTCTTTGAAGGTCTGTAGAACGAACAAATGCTCGAGAACACTGCGTGCATTTGTAAGGACTCTCGCCTGAAATACAAAGGCAACCGTCAAACGATATTTTATCGCGACCAAATGTATTTAAGTATCACAACTTGAGTCACCTTATGACCCGTATCACCCCGCGTGCTTTTATTGAAACTTTAAGATAAAAATCCCCGTTTGAGGGCCGCACGAGATGGAAAAAGCCGCAAGGCCCCTCGAGATGCGAACTGATGAGAAAAAGAAGTTAAAGAAAGAGGGATAGTCATGTGATAGAAAGTTTCTTGACTGCGCTAGTTCGGGCTGAAAGGGAAATTGTATGGCTCATGATCATAACGCACGGATCTCGCTATGCTCGGTCCTTACGTTGATCCTCGAGCCAAATATTTCCCTTCCAGCCCTCCCACCCAATCAATAAGTACATATAACTTACCTGTGTGTGATCTCATGTGCCTCCTCAAGTAACAAGGGTATTGAAATGCTTTACTGCAGTAAGAACACTTCCATGTGCGACCAGTCTTGTCAGGACAAACGTACTTAACATGACGCTCTAGGTAACTCTCGTATGCAAAGATCTTGCCGCATTTGTAGCACGTGTAACTCTCGTCGTCTTAAAATCAAGAGAAGAGAATCATCAGTTTAAATGCTATCTACTCGTGAAAGTTTTCAAGAAATAACTAAACCAAGATGTTGATGATGGTTTTGAATCTGAAATCAAAGTGTTCAAACTCAATTGAATCCCCTGCTCATTTTCGTCCGTTCCGTTCATCTCCATCACCTTCTATCAATGTGGGCCAAAATTTTCCTTGGCTAAGTCTACGATTTCGTCCATAAAGCTCCCTTCTGTCCCGAAAATGTTGGTCTAGGCCATTCTTTACTGAACTTACCCGATTCCACTCTGCTAAGCTTCTTCTCAAGATACCACCTGAACAATTTTGTTCGTTTGTCTTCTTTCAAATGGACACTTTCTTGCAGGTATTTTGTAATCTCTATCTGCGACACGCCAGTCTCCTCAATCAGTTCTTTTTCCAAAGCCTTGTTGTTTTCCATAAAATCTCTGATTTCTCGTCCAATGATTTCTTCTTTGCCCCTAGATGTGACATAGGTCTCTTAGTTAAGTAGAATGCCTCTGATGGATAATTTTGATTGGATTGATTATCAACTTGAGTAAGTAAAATATTACTGCCGGAGATTCGTCTGGCTTCCATCTTTAGCTTTGGAGCGAAAAGGAGAAACGCCTCTTCCTTCGAAAAGGATGCTGGTCTGTCTTACGTCACCTCCCTCCCCTCCCTCCTTATTTATTCCTTACTTTTTCCCAACAATTTTGTGGTGCCGATTTACTTTCCCAGATGTACAATTAACTGTTACAGTATAGAGTCTTGCGCCTATAGACAACGCGGCTTCTCAGAGCTCGAATCCAGGCTTCCTAACCCGACGTCCGCGCGCTAACCTCTGAGCCATCGCGTCAATCGATAGGAGCTCGGCAAATTTGACAATTACCTAGCACAATTATAATTGAGGGAGAATCAGATTAATTCCATTGCGACGCAACCAAAATCCTCCACCCCTCTCCGGAGATAAATAATGACAGGTCCTTTGTGTACTCTGTTCACAAAATATAGTTCAATTCCCTAAAAAATATTTTTTTCTTTACAAGGCTAATAAAAATTGTGATAAACTGGTGTTGTTTTTATCTAAAAGTTGTTTCTCAAAGAGGTTGGCGGCATGTATCAAAACGGTTTACTGAAGGAGGAGATAACATTGAGTGAGATCAAAGAAAATTTTTCAAAACTTACTGTAGCATTTTTTCCAGCTCCTCCTCAAGTTTGTGGAGTCTTGTTGAGTTGTTTTCATTCACGGGATTCATCGAACGTCTCATAGCTTTACTCTTTCTCTCCTTTAGATCCTCGCATTTTTCCTCGGCTGTTTCATTTTCTTCAACTTTGACCTGTTCCCTTTTTACACTTGTTAAACTGTCGCTTACACGTCGTTTAAACTTCGTGTCATGCACTTTACGAGGTTCCTTAAAAGTCTCACTTTCGTTTAATTCAGTTTCATGCACGTCACCATCATTGATCTTCCTGTGGTCTACAGTAACGTTCTGGGTACAAAACTCGTAGTCTGCCCGTCGTAAGCACAGCTCAGCAAGCGTGTGTAATCCGCGCGTGTCGAGCGCGGGAAAAGGTACCGGCTGATTCCTCCCGTTATTGGTGCGGGGAATGTAAGAGTCCGCGTTGGCTTCCAAATTGCACTGGATGGCCACATCGCCTGAAAAAAAAATTAAAGTTTTGAACACGAAACTAAAGAAAAAATATGCACTTACACAACCCACAATTTCTTCTCTGCTTTGGAAACTCTTTTCGGTGGCCAGTTTACATCATCAACTCAGATGATAACACCAAATAATCTTGTATTGCTCCCCGCCGACGCAGCACCACAGTTTCTTTAGAAACTTACCCTTCTATTGAAAAAAAGTTTATCGAAACAAAGCAAAAGAAAGCTCTTACAAGTGCTCTGCCCTTCCATGATCTGTCCTCTCGGTGAATTATCTCAGTGTTCAAAGCCAAGAAAAGTAAATTTTTGAGGGGGTTTTATCTTCAAAATGGAAATATCTTCGACGATGAAGCTACACGGTCCTAATAACTTTGTACGTTTTACGTTCTGTGCGTTTACGCTGATCGCAAGTTCAAGTAAAGAGCTACCTCTCGCAAAATTTCATATGAAAACTCCTTTGATTTTTGCTTCAAAAATTTGTTTTTCTCAAGGAAAACCTGCAAACTTAGAACCGTGGATGATTCAAAAGCTAAACCGGATCAATTCGATAGGGTTCTGGATAAAACTCCACCAGAAAAAGTCGAATCTATTTATCACAGCCGGAAATCTCCAGTGAAATTAGATAACTTAAGATCTTTTTAAATAGAAAACCGCATACGAATGTTGTTTTGTTATTTTTTGCATTAATCTGAATTTATCATATGACACCATTTCCTACCTTACCTCAATTTTTTCCTCTTGGAGTGTTTGAGCGTGTGATGACGTGATGCGGGCTTAATTTTCACTGCATCGAATAACACAATTAACTTCCGAGCGACACCGATATTTTCGAAATTTTTTGTTAAAAAATAGAGAGGAAATATTTGTAAAAATTTCAAGGTCCTGATGTGAGCATTCCCATGATTTAAATTAATTCGATCTGTCCCATATAGTGAAGATAAAAGAAAACAACACTTGTCTTGCCATTTGATAGTGTAACTTTGATCACCTAACCCAATAACAGAAAAATCTAAAAATTTGTTGCTGCGTAATTAATGGTTCTGTTTCGGAAGACATGTGAAGAAAAATTGGATTTTCCCTCGCACTTAGTCTCTCTCCTATCGCATTTCATATCTACTTCTAAGTAGTGTGAACAGAGTGTACCTAGCTCAATATTGCGCTGGAATCTCCTAGGAAAGAATCCTCTTTTTACTGACGAGAGTAATTTTATTGAACAGGTTTTAGCATTTTGGTCGGTTTTAACCAGTTTAGACAAGTTTACAGCCCGGAATCGTGTCGAATCTAGAGGCTAGGAATTTTTTATTATGGACTACTTGTGATTTTCGGACCGTGAGGATCTTCCCTAATTGCCATTTTGAAGTTCAGGACTTTACAGGTGGTCATGTCAACAAAGTTTACCAACACTTACCGGTGGCTGATGAGCCCGGATTTGTCTGTTTCTCTGCTTCCTCAGCGATGTCTGATAACTCCTCATTTTCTGACAAACAAAAGAGAATTTTTTCTGCAAAATGAGTCGAGAAAGCTATTCTAGGAAGTTCGATTTAAAGAGTTTTAGAACAATAAACGCAAGGTTGAATTATTGATGCCAGGTAGTGATTTCACTACTTTTGCATACTCGCTCACTGAAGTAATCAGCGCTTGTAAAATCTCAAAGAAATTTGAGCGCACCGAAGAAAAAATCACGATAAAAAAAGTTTTTTTTTCTTTAGCGTAAGAAACTAATTCAATATGAAAAACAATTGAATTTAACTCCTTTCCACCAATTAGTCAGAAATACTAAATCTGACTGACTTTCGCTGACCCAGCGAACCGCGGACTGACGCCTCAACAGAAAAATTAAAATAACTCGGAGAAACTGTTATGAAAATGAACAAAATTGCACTAGAAATGATGACATCGCACAAGCAAAAGCCTTCTTAATGGAAAGGCTCAGAGTTTCTTAGCTGAAAAACACGATTGACCTTTAATCTTGAGAAACCAAGTTGATCCCGGTGCGTTGGTATAACAGTACAGGTACTTACCCTGGTGTATATCCTCGGCTAACTTCCTCTTGTTGCGAGAGGCTTTTTTCACAAGGAAGGATTTTGGCATATCCTCTAGACTCGGACGCGTTCTTTCTCTTCAAACCAACTCCACTGCTCATCGAGCTTTAAGGCAACTTAAGGAGGAATCCCTCCCTCCTTGCCTCAAATGACGTTATCAACCGATTAGCCCTGTCTCCATTTGCGTCTCTGAGACTCACAAACCCCCATCAGGTATCACCATTAACAACGCGTAACTGATATCCTTACGATTTGCGCACGCGCAGGAGCAATCTGGCGTTTCAAAATAAACCTGGAAGTGCGCGCTCAGATTAAAGCTTGCAAACGTCTTCTAAAACTCGATCGAAAATTCTAATTCAAACCGTGGTAGTATGTAATGAAGATAACTCTCCACAATTTTCGTGACAATCGACAGTGATGGTAAAATGTTGATGTTACACCGCTAGCTGTTTGGAGAAGTTTCGGTCCATCTGACCAAGCGGATTGAATAAGTTAGCAATTACGTCACAACCAGGTGTACGGTTAGGTAATAAAATTGACTGTCTTACGGTTAGAGTCATGCTCCCAGATTAACCGACTCTCAAATTTCAATTACTCACGGTTGGTGCCATTCACCCCTTTTTATTTTAGTCAGTATACATTTTTTTTAAAAGATTTTGAATCGGCTTCCTGCCGACGTCCCTTCGAGGTCCGCTAACATGCGGATATCTCGATATTTACCGGTATGATACTTGTTATTGGCCGGTTCTTGAATATCCCGCGCTCGACCCGTTTTTAGCAGTTGTTACGGTGTCGAGCGGCGAGCCAGTGAGTAAACTTACAGGTGGCCGACAGTAACATGTGTAAACAGCGACTAGGCCCTGTGTGTTCAGTGTGATAAGGTCAGAATAAATTGAACAACACTAGCAGAGATCAATGTCAGCGTGGGTTGAGTGTCTATTCTACATGGATGAAATCACTGTCGAAATTCCCTCTTGTTTTAGAGATAATTTATCGAACTTTTCGTTAATCAAGATTGGGAAAGAACGCGATTGATTTTTGACGTAAGATGATCTGTTAATCTCCGACGTTTCTTCAATGCATAGTGCGTCTTTCAGCCGGAAGTGTTGTTAATACCACAAGCGACTTTTTGCCTTCCCAGTGTATGGCTATTTTCTGCGATAGATAGTTTGGTTGAACACAAAGTTTTAAAGCTGAACACGAAGTTAATTTTGTATTTTAACCAGTTGCACTATTAAGCAGTGTTATGGAGCAAGATATCGTGTCAGAAACTAGGATCATTCTAACTTCTTTCAGAAACTTTTGTGCATGTGACGAATTCCAATCAATATAGTCACGATGGGTGAAATTCATACTAAAATCAAAGCCGTCTTAAAGTTTACATAACGAGCTTAGTTACTGACCCTGGATTTACTGAATGAATTAAAAATGTTGACAACTTTAAGAATTTAGATGACAGAGGTTAGCTGCCGATAAACCATTGCGCATCAAGAAGATTCTGTCTCCATGAAAACGTTAATTGAACATTTGATTGTAGAGGCAAGAATTCAATGCTCTCCTGAGTCCGTGCGGAAACGTTTTTGAAATCTTAAAGTGAGTTTTGTTTCAAGAGCAATTTAAATTGCTTCCTCATATTTATTGCACTTCGTAAGAGATATATTTGAATCAAGCAGGTCATATGCATTAACAGGTTGCGTGTTAGAATTGAACGCGCATCGTCACTTGCAACACTGATCTTTCCCTTTTCAACTATAGAACTTGAAAATAATTTATCTGTCTACAAAATTGGAAACTTTCACCTCTAATTTCAAGCTTAGATTTGGAAATTACGTCCAAATTCTTAGAAAAGAAAAATTCACTGTTTTCCCAAAACAATCCAAATAAACAATTGTGGTCTCAAAGTTTATCGATGAGCATTCAGGTAATTAGGAAATAGAGAGAATGTTGTCCAATGCAGCTTCTCGGCTCAAACTTTCAGCGTTTATTCTCAATTAAGAAAACTTTGTTTTTACGATTTTCAGCTATCCACTTAAAGGAAAACCTTCCAGAGGATGATTCTTGAGACGTCATTTAAATCTCCGTGTTTAGTTTCTAATTGTGAATTGTTTTTTAAGGCGAGATGACCGTATGATTAGGCAGTCAATGATCCGTGATAAATAGACAATTAGTGGGAATGTTTTCCACGAATTTGTCTTTAGCAACACTTAAATAATCTATTTTGTACCTAACTAATTGGAGAAGCGTTGCAGTAGCGGTGAATGGCTCCACCACTCTGTGCTTTAATTAACCTCTGAATGACTAAGAGAAACCGGCTTTGATTTGCCACCAACAACTTAGAACTCTTTTGTAATGCCCCCAAAAAAGAAGCAAATTTTTGACGAATTGTTTCGGTTGTTGTGTTGATAGTTTTCTTCAAAATGGAACATAAGGGACAAAAAGAAAACCGACGGATTTGTGCGAAATAATTGAAATAAACCATGTTCATATCAAGCAAAACAAATGGTAATGGTCGGTCAAATGAAAATAAAAAATTGCGTGTAGCTGGTACCCGCTTAAAAATGATACGCTCATGCGCAGTGGCCTCAGCGGTTTTTTCACGTTGCTCCTTGCACAAAGGAAACGAAATTAGCTTACAAAGGATAAATGGAAAGCAAACTCTGCTTCAACGTTTTAATTGACTTCGTACTGGATCTCAAAACAAATGCTTCATGAGGAAGCGGGCGATGTTGAATTGCACATGGCCTCTTATCGCTTCTGCCATCGTCTTTGTTTTCTTGGTCTAATAACGTTCTCTCTCTGTTCCGTTGTGTTCATCATGTCAAGAGGTAAGCACGGCGAAAGGATCCTCTTGCTAAGGGGTATTTACTTTCCATGATCTAAAAACATCCATATTTTGCTTGGAAGATAATCGTGAAGACCCCGTGCGTCGAGATGATCGCTTATTAAACATTCATTGAAGCGTAAAACAAATTTATTAACATACTTCTCAAAGTGGCGCCTGAAGTCGCGCGTTCGATCGAGAGCCATCAGCACTGTCATTGAAATAGTAAACATATCAAAGCTGTCCTTTGCTTATCAACTCAGATTACAAAACTTAACTGTAAAAGAATCATTGCTTTAAGGATATTGCACAGTACATTGGGTCGTTGAGATTTCCGGGTTCAAGCCCAGGACGGGTCGTTGAGTTGTGTCCCTGGAAAAAAAAGAAAAAAAAAACTCCAACCAGGGAGAATAGTAGGTAAGGGGGGAGTAAAATTATTCCTGGTCGCTTATTTTATGTCACGTAAAATTTTCTTGCCTAAGCAAGATTTGGCTTGAGCTTAGAATTGTCTCGATATGCCCTTACTAATCTCTTCTTTCGTTAGTGCCACTAAAAATATATATTTTGTCCTTTTAATGCTGATTTTGATTCGAAATTCTCTTTAATAAAAGTAACAACTATACTTTTGATAGGTTATTTGTCCTTCTTCGTCAGCCGAGGATTTGAAATCGTCGAAGAGGAAAGTAATTCGATCGAACGAAAACGCGAACTGCCCATCATCACCAGCCATACAGGAAACTTCAGTAAAAGAACTTGTAAAGAAGGGGATTTTGAAGGTATCTTACTAGTTATTGTCTTTGTGGAAATCTTCTATGATTCCATTCCGTTACTGGAGCGACTTTACAGACATCGTTTTCCACATATAGTTTATTGCGGACCTACAAAACCACCTGGAGATCAAGAGTACAAGATGATCGTGGTATCTATGCTTCACGGAGTCACAGCTTACGAGTGTCTGAGCACTGCGATCAGAACACAACCTCAATTTACGGGTTATTTGTTTATTAGAAGTGATTTGTTTTTAAATTTTTGGAGCATTTCAAATTTGAATAGATCTAGGATATGGGAAAGCTCTGAACAGCTTGGTTACCAGGTCATGTTTGAGCAACCGCGCGATTCCTGGATCTGGTGGTACACGCCATGGGGGCTAAAAGCTTGTGAGGAGGCCTATAAAGACCTTATTTTCCTGAATGACGCGCAGAAGCGTGCAATAATTGATAGCAAAGGGCAAGAGGAAAGTTCGTGGGACGTGGAAAACGCATTAAACGCTCTGCTATGGAATGGGCGTGGCTTAAACATGTGCTATCGAGGCTTTTCAAACCTATTTTATATTCCTTCAGAACAGGCCACTGCCTTTGAAAAACTGTCCACTGTTTTTCAAAAGCATCAGGTGTATATGGAAATAGCAGTTCCCACCATGATTAAAATGCTCGATCTGTCCGAAAAATCAGAGAAAATATCAGGAATAGATATTGGATTTATTTACGGGGAGGAGCGCGCACAAAACGACGGTAGTTTATTTTTGCGATATATCTCGCGCAACATAAGTTATATTAGACCTGTTGTGCTAATGCGTAAATACTTTGCAGAAAAAAACTCAGTCGGGATTGTGGAAGTGTTGTTAAATCGATTTAACCATACAAACTGTTCAAATAGCTAGTTTATAGTGCGATCAATTTTTTATATCTAGAAATTAATTGTTCCAGGAGAAATATGTTCTAGAAACCACAAGGTTATTATCTCTACCATTAATAAGTGTTTATAAAAAATATTACTCGTTGTGTTCTGAGAACCTGAGGGGTGAAAATCCGACTCGGGTTTCACAACTTTGCTGGTGAATGACGTCCCTAAATTCAACTTACGTTCCAAGAACCACAACGCTCACTAAAGAAACTTCTGCCATGATTATTACGAAGACTACCTTTCTGGGTTCGTTTTTATAGCTCTTTGAATGTTGAAATAGATTGCATGGAGATCAGTGATAAAAGGACCAGTGAGATTCAAAATAACAGCACACGTAGCAAAGATTAGCCACTTGGCACACGCATTCGCTCCGAGCTTTATGACAAGTTTCTTCAGTTTTTTGTCCACCTCAAAAAGCCCATTGATTAAATGGACAGGATCCTCTCTCATCACGCTTTCTCCTGGCAAAGAATACTTCCTTGGGACTTCAGTTTCTTATTCGTATGCCATGAGGATTGATGTTCTCAGCCACAAATTTCCAAAAAAACTTTTATTCTGATGGCAAACTTTCTAGGTTTGTGTATTTCTTTAGAATAATCGATGTCGTCACGTGATCTTTATAAACTGTAGCTGGTTTTTCCTAAGCTTAGAATAGCGAATTTATACCAAAAAAACAGAATAGAGGGGGAATAGAACTAGTGACCACCACTTTCAGAGAGAAGGACAATTAGTAAGGAGATTGCTGATAGTGATTCATAGAGGAGAAATGGTAATGAGTGCTAATTTGAAAGACTGCTGACCATATTATGTTCCAAGAGAGGAAGACTGGTGACCAATGTGATGAAAAAGTTCCTTCTCATACATGTTCTTCTTATCTTTAAGCATTGATTTTCCTCCTCTCGAAGCGTAGTAATTATATAACAACCAGTCGCAAGGCATTTCATAGTAAAATTTCTCGAAATAACGACCCAGCATTCGAAGATTTTCGTCGTGGAAAAGCTTTCCTATAAACCCCCAGATGCTGAAATTCAACACTTCCCACGTGACATTTCCTCTTTGATCAATAAATTTTCGTATTTGACTCAAAGTGTTGGGCTCAGTTGTGACATCATCTTCAAGATGCAAGTAGTAATTTGCAAGGCCATGACTGTAATAAAACATAAACACGTAATCCATGCTCTGTTTTGAACGCCAGTACATTCTGTCAGGCCCGTCGCCAAGAGTAGACGGAATTCCTTTCAAGCGAGGATAGAACGAGGGAGGAGCCGAAATTACATGAATTAAATTCATCTCCATGTATTTACTAAAGTTTTCTAATAGTTTCTTTTTGACGATCGCGCGGGCTGATTCTTCGGTGTCGGCGAGAAAAACAACAATTAAGATGTCTTTAAGGTCATCCTCCGAAACACTACTCGTCAAGAGCGAGTTTAAAGTTGCATTCAAATAACTTTCCGTCTTGTTCTTGTAAGTTCTTTCGACGGTTGGAATTCCAATGGTTAGAAAAACTAAAACAAAAAGATTAGAAAATAATTGGCAAAGTTACATTTGATTAAATAAACCGCAATAAGGGATATAATCGTGATGCCTTCCATTTTGTACCTTTTCTAGTAAGTGGTTTTCCCAGCTCCCTCACACTTGTCTTCGTGATGATCTCCCCGTTTGGTGAACAAGACAAAACCTCCTTCACATTACAGCTTGCCTTACAACTCATACCTGAGAAGAGAACATCCGTTACTCTTAGACGTATACTTAAAATTATTTCTCCCCATTAACTCTACCGTAACCCATTCATGTTAGGGACCTTTTAGCAGCCAGGAAAGCAACGCCGAGGAAGACTTCGATTCAAAAGTGAACTTATATTTTTAGTTAGAATTTCGCGAATGACTGGATATGTTAACTGTCTCTTACAGCGCCACGCCTCAACTTCAACATAACTTAAGTGCTCTGCGTTGAGTTTTAAATCGATGCTTGAAATACCGTCTAAGTTCCCGTTGTCAGATCACGAAAATGTTGGTGATTTTGCAGAGGACGGAAATGTACAAAGAAATATACAAAGTTTTAAAACACTCGTGCTGGGCCATTGCCCTGCCTTTTATATCCCTTGTTTTGCCACGTCCCCGTTGCCGTCGCTGTCGTGGTTACTAGTGTAACAAGCCAATGAGAACTCGCAAAATCTCAAAATGAATCATGCTCAACAAAGTTCATAGATAAATTAATTTACGATTGGTCTTGGTTTTGCGACTTGTTGGTTGTGCGAAAATCAGCACGATTCTTTGTCTTAATTCAGAGCCGGGGGCGAATTTTGAACCAATCACAGTACCGTTTCCTCGAAAAATCCCTGACTACTTACTGACGCCCGGTGGTTGAAATTTCCAGTTTAGATGAAGCATCAGTCCCGCTGTGAAAATCAGGAGAATTGTCTTGGAAGGCGAATTATTTCCTCTTGAATAACCAAGACATAACTTCAACTGTGAAGAAACAAAAACTTGTTATAACATTTTGTAGTACTCTATTCACAGACCGTCCATTTTCTCTTTTTTCATCTTCAAAGGTGCGAACGAAACTGACAGCCAAGAAGATTTGATGAATGCGAACACTTGGGAGAAGGGGTTGAGTAAACTAAGAATTTTATCTTGCCCTCGCGTTTTGGTAGACTAAGTTTGCAATGAAAGCATTGACACTAAAAATGGAGACTGAGCAATTATTGGATGAAGTTAATTGTTGAGCATATTATCATGATTTATCAACACCGAGCTCTGAGTTATCTGCGGAAGCCAAAGGCTGAGGCAGATAACACAGACTCGAGGTTTGATAATTCATGATATCATGCAAAAAACGAATTCAATAATATTTTTATCATACATTTTTAAACTATTTGCAAGAGAAGATACTTCTCTCTGCGTTTGTAAAAGTATGGGACTTGGAAACTAGGCAGACTTTGAACTCAACTTGATGACTCAACATCCGCTGCAGATACTGGTTTATAATGTCAACTTCACACGCTAAAGTATACTGACTGTATGCTCTCTCGACCAATTAGAGTTTTCAAAGTAAGTCTATTTGTAATAATAGAAATAACACCATAGGCAAATTCATTCAGTTTACCTTTACCATCCACCTCATGTTACCGACGTTTTCCCTGGAGTGTTTAATCAAGTGCAATCATGTATCAGAGAAGAGACCTTTTAGTAACGACTTTCTAAAGCACTATTGTTCTCACTTTCCAGATTTTTCTAGCGCCAAGAGGTCCATCTGTGGCTGTAATATCAAAAAAAAACTAATGATTTTCTCTCTTTCATCTATACCTTTTTCCAAGAGAGCGTTGTGAAAGCTGAAAGAAATTGCGGATTATGAAACTTTATACTGAAACATTTTCAAATCATAGAAACCCTTGAATGTAGCTTTCAAGAATAAGTCTTAAATGGAGATTTAAAATATTTCATGAAGAAATCGGTACCCGTTGTCTTTCAACTTTTTGCGCGCTAAAATGTTCTGGATCAATCTCAGTTGCAGAGCAACTGCGCAACCACCCTTCCTCTGACCCAAAAACGAAAGCCAAGTCTATTTTGAAATGTGTCTCCAAAATGCCTGGAACTAACTCACGTATGAAGTAGTTTTTTATTAACAATATTGGAGATTTTTTACGTTTCTTACGAAGTTTTTTTTTTTAACTAGCCTTCGAGAAAAAGGATTTAATAATGATTCAAAAACACCGACAAGAAATCAAATACCCATTGTCTTTCAGCGCCCATGATGAATAATTTCTCGATTGTTGCAGAAGCCAACAGATTGTATAGCCTTTTCATGCTTGAAACAATGTTATTTCGGAATTCAGTCAAATTTTTTTAGCTCTCAAAATTTATTTAATGGCCTGAATCACCATCATAACACAAATCAATAAAATTTTAGAGATGGCGATTGTCATCATTCGAAAGAAATTTATCGGAACAAAACATTTGGTGAATACGGTATTCGCCATAGTTGGTCTGAGAACCGCGTCCTACCTTCCGAGCGTTGTTGACACACTTGATCTGTAGGAGTCTTCACTTATTTCAGTTTTCCAAATTCAAAATTGTCTCTGTGTAGCGAAAAACCTGTCGTCTGCATCAAATGCATCTTCTTTCGGTCACCTCCGAACTTATCAAAGGTAATTTATGCAAAATTCACGCTATATTTGTTAGAAATAGCGATCAGTGAGTTTTCGTTACCGTGGATTTCAATTTTTTCCAGCCACGTCGTTTTTAAGGACATTGAATTTCCAAAAATTGTAATTAGCAACAAGTTCAGCGTCGAAATAGCGTGAATCTATGAGATAAATCACACCCTGGAAATGTTGATTTTTGCTTGCTTTCTGATAGAAATTCCCCAGAGTTATGCCCCGCTTTTGATTGATTGATGACTTTGTAGATTCCTTCAGCATACTTATTTTACAAGCAAAATATCTAGTTCTGCCTGGCTCCTAAGAAAGCCTGCTTTCCGAGGTTGCCGTGTCTCATTCGAAGCTATGGTGACGTAGCATGCGTTTGAATTCATTTTAGGAAGCCGCACAACGCAGATCTTGGGATAGGCCGATCCAAAATGTCTCCACTTTCCGCTTCGCACTCTACACTTGGGTATGTCGGCGCAAGAGAACACTTCCTCTTGATTACTGCCAATTATCATAAGACCTAGTTATTGTTCGACAGACTCAGACCCCGTTCACACAAATGCGTTTCCGAAACGCTCCGTTTTCGTCCTATTAAAAACGCATCGATTTCTTTGCGTCCACATCAGCGTTTTCATAGCGTTTTTGAATATCCACACTAAGACACGCGAAAACGCATACAAAACGTGATTTGATGTACTCGTCAAACTGCGCATGCCTGAGCGAACGACCTTTGGCTTCCCTTTGGCTTACTTGTCCGAGTCGTGAGTTGTGATCCATTTGAGAGAACTAATGTTCAACAAAAGGTTGAATGACGCAATATTAAGCTACAAACAAGCGATTAAGCAAGGCAAAAACATTAAAAACATATCCATACGCTCATCCGTCTTATTTGTTTCGAATTTGAGACGGGAGGCCTGGAAATAAGGTTGCACGACGCTATGACGTCATCCAACGTCCTCGTTTTCCAAAGGAGGACGTCTCCGTTTTTGACCTTCCATACTAAAACTACCCAGCTGATAAAGCCAAATCATCTTATAACACCCTCCACCGAAGCAGTGCCACAGTTTCTATAGAAAATTTTACCCCTTATATTCTCACTGTGTTGTGTTGCCTTACCACGGAAAGTTCACATCAAACTTGTGCTCTGTTTGAGATAGCGGCTCATATGAGCGTGCGACAGACAATCTGAAGCACAAAAGGTTCAAAATTAGAAAAAAACTTTTATATCACAGTCACCCACTGGAAATAGACCGCTCAATACAGGTCGACCACTGAAGACATGTTCCACAGGTTTGGGGTATTAAAAAAAAACGTAAACTGAATCTCGCTCAAAAATACTATTTACTTTGAATCTGGGAGAGAATTGATTAATTGATAGATTATTGCTAGTTTTATTAGAGTGATCCCGCTTTCAGTGACCGTTCAATACAGGTGGAGGACGATAGAAACAGGCTATTGGGACTTAGTATAGGGAGACCAGGACCGCTAAATAGAGGTGACCGTTTAGTGCAGGTTCGACTGTAGAAACACGTACAGATGTGAACCTTACGCCAGTACAAGGGCTTACAAGATAATCATGGAAACATCGAATTTAAGAGCGTATGAACAGGGAACTAAGAATTTTCTTTCTTAGTATAAACTACGCAACAATTCATACCTAAACTACACAACTAATGTCTGGCGAATCGTGACAATTTAAGACAGTGCAAATACATTTGTTTTGAGCAACAGTTTGACCTTAAATTAATTAGAAAAAAACAAGATACGCATGAATTATTTTTAACAGGTACCGTGTGTGTTTACGATAATAATATTTGTGCGTGACCTCAATGATTCAGAATCAAAGTAATGGGTATCTATGGGTCATTTTTTTGCTACTTAAAAAAGAAAAAAAAAACAATTTCCACTCATGTTTAAGCAGTTCTCTGACTCGCCTCAAATATAAGAGACAGAACGTGATTTTATCGTTTAGGTCAGATAACTGTGGCTGGTACCGGGAGGTTAATTTGCCAACTTGACCGACGAGAAAATTCGGCTTGGATTTTTTATTTTTCGTATGTGGAATTGCTCGGGTGTATGGTGATGAAATGCTGTCAACAGACGCTTTCATGGAAACTGCGAATATATATCATGGTTCATCTTGGAATTCTGTCAAAGATTTTCTACAATATTTCTCCTCGTTAGGTTACAGAACGACAGTGATATTCGTCTTATAGCAACTAACGAACGTTATACTCCGTTAAAGCAAACAAACTAGGGAAACTCTTTGGACGAAAACTGTCGATCATTTGCCGGCTAAACAAAATCAAGTTATGCCATGGCCACGATGTGGATTAGGCTGGCTTTGCATCTTACTAGTTATCTGTAGTGTTGTCACAGTTGTCTCATCGTACTGCGTGGCTCTTTCTCATGGACATATTTATCCCTTTCTGCCGGCGATTAGCGAAACTGGCGTCTTATTTCCGGAGAAATATGTCTTTAGAGAGTTAACAAATTTAACTGCGTTTTTGTTCATCTCCAATGCGTTTGTCCGTTTTATGCAGTACAAGCTTGTGGCTGAGCAGTGTCGAGAGGAGCATGTAAAACTGCGACGTCTCAACAAACTGGCTTTTGTGGTCGCCATCTTGGCAGGTGTCGGAATGACCTTCGTGGCTAACTTTGAAATAGAAAAGGTATGGCTAACACAGTTAATTATATTAGTCTTAAAACCTTCCAATTTCCTTCTGATATTGTTTCTGATTTCTAAAGCGGATATATTTATATGTAATAAGTTAGTGAGTGGCGTTTGAGATTCATGACACCAGAAACTCGCAGATCGTGATACGAATTTTAGATAAAGCGACTGGTCATTATTTATCGCCGATATGGAGGACTCTCCTCTGTCCCCCTTTTCCTCCCCCCGGTGATAAATAATGATTGGTCTTTGAGTGAAATGCAAGCAACTTCACGCTTATATTAACTCTTGAAACTCAGGCTTTTTCTGTCTCTGAAGCTAACGAGAAATAGAAGAGTCCCATAGTTCAAACCGGAGATGTCCTCTCCGGGCGGGAACCTTTTTGTCTTACCCCAGGTATTATCGTACCCCGAAATTTCGAATCTCGGTGGGCGGGGGGGGGGGGGGGGGAAAGGAAGACATACAGTTGGGGAGGTGCCGTAAAAGAAATCACCCCAGGATGTTGAGTGATGAGGATAATTTAGTCATTTTTTAGAGAAAGATATCATGGTTGACTAGAACGTAGATCGAAAAAAAAGCATTTTTGCTCTTACACTATTCAGGACTGGTCCATTCACGACATCGGTGCGATGACAGCCTTTTTCAGCGGTCTTTTTTACTGTTGGTTACAATGCGCAATGTCATATAAGCTACGAGACCACGGTGTCATCAACAGCTCCGCAGTGTGTCACTCCAGAGTCACGGTCTCTCTCCTCATAACCTTTTGCGTGGCGATATTTGGCGCGTGCCAGACCAAGGCCAATTGGGAATGGGACCAAGCTCGGCCTCATTATCATTTCTTAGCCAAACTCAAATGGAGCCCTGAAGATCCGGGATATTTTTACCACGTGGTATCTAATGTTGCAGAATGGTGCATGTGTGGAGGAATGCTTCTGTTTATGTTGACGTTTGCGCACGAGTTCCAGCAAATAGAGATAACGTCCGATATTTCGTCTACTGATTACTGGTGACGATTTATATGCGGAACTCAGCCCACTTCGGATCTACTTTTTCAGTATTGGATGAAATTTAATTAGAATACGGTAATAAATTTTAAAATTACGCGCTCCAAACAGCCAGGAGCTTTAAAAGAGTGAAGTCTTAACATGTGAATGTTAGCCTTAATGATGGCATTTTCAGCTACAGTTCATCAAACGGAAGAGCGCCAGATTAGAACGAGGCTAATCTCGTACTCAGATCCTACAATGTAACTGTAACTTATAACCGCTTGGCTGGGAAAGGTCTGGATACAAGACTTGCTGGGGCCTTTCTACGTCCAGATTGGCTAATATCCTCGATAATCAGGGTACTGAGCTACAATAGTTGAAGGACATTTTCATAATAACGTTTCAACCACTCTTTTATTAGAATTCTTTTTAAAAATTAAAACCTGGATCATAAAAGCTTTGAAGCTGAACTTTGTCGAGTTAGCGCTTAGTTTGACCAGGCGTGGACACAACTTGAAACTTTTCTTTTGAGTTCTGATGATGTCTTCCTCACTGACAACATTTTAGCAAAATTTCTCAGAAGCATGAAGGTGTCCAAACACTCGTGAAAAAAAAAAAGTCTGCTAGAATGACTGCTAGGTGAGAGCACAGAGTGCAAAACAAGAGAAATATTTCATTATTATATAATCATATTTTTTACCCTAGCTATATCAGTACAGGTTGTGGTTCAACACCATTCTATTTTTGACTTTCTCTAAGCTATCATCTCCAAAATATAGATAATACAGACATATATTTTCCTATGTAGCAATATTGTTTTTGGAAATTCAGTTCCCCTAATATTAATTGTTTAACATTGTATTCACATTGCTTTCAAAAATACTGCCCCAGCATAATTCCCTGGGGTCTGTTTCTTGAAGGTCCTGGCAACTTACTGGCCTGTAAAGCTGTTCTGGTTTTAATTCCATTAAAATTTTAATTTTAATGGAATTTTAATGGAACTTTTAATTTAATTAAAAGGTTTAGAAAACATACAAAAAAAAACTATTAGCCAAAGAAACAAAATGGACTCATTAGGGTGCCAGAAACTGCTTCTCTATTGTTTTAATGATTTCCAGCCCATTAAGTTACTAGGACTTTGAAGAAACTGGCTGTAGATCCTTCACCAAAACCATTGGCAAAATTCCACCAAATTCACCATTAACGTTTTTTGCATCCATTGTGGGACAGAGGTGACAGAGGTGACCTTTAAAGCATTAACCATTTAACTGTTAAGAGTGACTAGCATCTAATTTCTCCTCGCAATATCACCACTGAATCACACGCTGATGTCACGAGAGTAAAAGAAATGATCACCAACTAAAGAAACTCTTGATTGTTACACAGATTCTCCTTGTCAGCACCTTAGTTAATGTATGGAGAATATGACACTGATGTTAGACTGTAAAGGGTTAAACAAGTCGCTGCTCCCAACATCTGCCCCACCGCTGATTGTATGCTATTATTCTACCATTAATGAAGATCAGCTTCAGGATGACATTTCTAATTTGTACAAATCACTTCTTTTTTGCTGCTGAACAGGAATCTGAGCTCTAATTTCTTCAAGATAGTTAACATCTGCAAAAAAAATGGGAAGAATTTAAATGAATTTTTGGAAATCAAACTTTTTCAATTTTATAGCAATAATTCTACAACAAGAATAATACAAAATCAGAAGATCTAGTCTTTGTCTCTGTGATATTTTTGTATTTCCACAACCATCTTTACTTATGCCATTACAAATTCAATTTATTTTTTGTTCTTTGACTTGTGTAATCAACTCCTTAACAAATAAAATCTGCAAGAGAGCTGTACAGACCATGTGTAAAAACAAACATACCTATGTCTGAATATAAGATTTGCTCTGTATGGTCTACTTTGGCAATCACTTCACCCCTAAGAAAAACCATCCACAATGCATCATCATTTTATCAATAAAAATCAAAGTGACAAAGCATGAACCAATTATAATAAATGATGGTTGATCCATGCAGTTAAAAAAGGAAATTTGATTAAGTAAGGAATGACAACTGACTATCAAAGATAATTGATCTCCAGTTTTCTCAGATGATCAGAATTATCTCTGCGTCTGTTTCCTAAAGGAGGAAAAATCTCAGAGGAAAAAAAAATGCGCAAACACAAACACACCCAAAATACTCAACACTATCTAGGAAATCAATGACAAAAAAGTCATAATAATCACAACACAATTTCTGTTCTCATCCAACCGCATCTTTCTTTGGCTGGTGATAAACCACAGACTTACAAATGACCTTTTCACCATTACAATCCTTACCCTTACAATCAAGAGCTTCAGTAGTTGGTGCTCGATTTCCTTTATTCTTACGACTATAATAAATGATTCAGGGGTGATATTGTAAGGGGATATTAGATGCTAGTCACTCTTAGGGGTCTACAGGTTTATAAATTTTTACCATGGATTGACAACTGTACTGTGGCCCCAGGCAACATATGTTGCTTTTTCATCTCTGGCTGGAGACACAGCTGCTACATACAACTGAAAAAAAAAAAGAGAGACAACTTGAAATTCATAATTATTTTGTGTTTCTTTTGTTCAATGTATAATACTATTTATTGTTAATAACTAAACAAGGGCGAGTTCAATTCACAAATATTGGATGATTAATTTTCCTAACCTGATTATCCAGCGCCCTGTGAATGAAAACAGAGACTGTTAAGTTTTCAGAACATTCTACATCAGAATTCAAGCAACAACAGTGGAAGCTGACCTGGTATCCTATTATGGTAAGGGCAAATACCTAAGTTAATTTCAAAATGGTGTTATGTTAAAATCTTAACACATTTGAAGATAAATTTAAGCAGTTTAGTCAGAACTACATTTTATGATGTTTTAGTTCATATGGCAGAGATGAAAATTACATGCTTTCTTGAACGCTCTTTTCTTTTAAGCCCTTAACTCCCAGAAGTGATTAACATGTAACTTCCCCCTGTAATATCCATAAATTATCCAGCAAACAGCTGTTGTCTTGATCTACCTGCAGTGGTAAAATCAACAGATTACCCACGGGTAAATGGCCGGAAATTATGGTAACACCAAATTCTTGTTACTAATTTGCAAGGAAATGTGTTGCAGCTAGAGGGGAGAATTATCAACTAGATCTTGGGAGTGAAAGGGTTAAATCTACAACTATACCCTATAATCTGTGAAAAACTTACCTTGCCCTAATGAGTGGTTCCCAATGAGCTGGTCCTGTGGTCATGTTAAATGCTCCAGGATAAAATAGCAGTTTACACCCTAACAAATTGAAGAAATTTTTGGTGATGAGTGCATGTTTTTTAATAAACTTATTAAAATACATAAAAAATTTTTGCAAAATTCAATAACAGATCTTATTGAACCAATTCAACCAAGGTACTGCAAGTTTCTCATTGACACACCTTGGTATTCATAATGATGAAAACACTATTATGAAAAAAGATGATAATTGCAAGGCTGTTGACAAGTTTGAAAGTAGGAAGTAAAAAAGATGGCAGACTAGTTGTTCTCGGCTTTGTAATTGATCAACATTCACCTTGCTGTGTGTAAACTTGAGCCATCTCTGGAAACCTGATGTCATAACAGATTCCAATTCCTATTTTACAGAGAGCTGCCAAAAAAATAACATGACTTCAGGTAAGATGAATATAGCTTCCACAACCACATAAACAATAACATTAAAAAATAATTTCAACAACGGCAGCATTCCCAGTTTAGAGCGATTAATAAAGATAAAAGATTTTAAACCAACATACATGTATCCATCATTGTCAGCTGTTTCCCACCACACAAAACTTCTGATTCTTGAAAGCGAATTTTTCCTGGAACATCAATATCAAAGAGATGAACCTATGAAAAATAAGTGATACCTGTTCAGAAAAATTCTTTATAAAGAAAAAAATAACAAACTGGATTCAAGTGATATCAGGGAGATTGACATTGTACTCTTTTCCAACAAAAAAAATTGAAATTTAAGAAGGAGATGGTGCTAAGCAAAACAGAATTTGGAAACCCAACACTGCCCACATAGATTGATAAAAATACAGATTGGAACAAAGCATGTAAAAGTGTAGATATTCAATGCTCCTCCAATTTTCTTGTTTCCCCAACTCTAGGGTCAAAATCTGAGAATTAAAATCTCAATATCAAAAATCTGAGGTCATTTATTAGGAAAATCTAAATGGCTTGGTGTGAGTTAAAAACAACTGCTATAAATTGTTAACCAACTTCTCAATCTGACAACAACTTGGGGCCACATTAGTGTGCTAACCTTCCTGTGTTTGGCAAGCATGGCACCATCAGGTCCAAAAGAAGTTGAAGTATTGTACAGCTTCCCATCAGAATCACTTTCAGGGATAGACCCTCCTATGATGTAACAACCTGTCTCCTTAGCAACAGATGATAGCATGTTTGTGGATTCCCCTGGAATTTGCTCAGCATAATCGGCAAAATACTGAGTGCCATAAGGTGAATTGAAACATTCCTGATGGAGTTGGATTATTTTGAAGTTAAATTTAAGAAAATAATAAAAAGAATAATTCCTTAACTAACCTTAGAAGGTGACAAATGAATAATGGGGATAACTATCTATAGAAAATGTGGTGCTGAGTTGGCGAGGGGTAATGCAAGATAATTTGGTGTTTTCAAACTAGGAGGGCTAACAATTGAAGCTACACTTAAGAAAATCTTTACAGTGGTCAATTTACATTATCAACTCAGTTGACAAAACCAATTTTCTTCTATAAGGGTGACACAGAAGGTGCTTATGAATACTGGAATCTCAAATTGGTGAGATTTAAAATATCATGTAGAGATTTAGTCTATGATTACCTACTATTTCCAAGGAAAATTATACCCCTATGAGTGACTAGCATCTAATTTCTACACACAATATCACCCCTGAATCACACAGAAAGATCATGAGAATTAAGGAAATTCCACCAACTGAAGAAGCTCTTGATCGTTACACAAATTCTCCTTGTCAGCACCTTAGCAAATGTATGGAGAACAGTTTGGAGAATATGCATACTGATGTTAGATTAAAGGTTAATACTCAATGCTTAAAAATTGATTCCAAAAATTGGTCTCTGCAATGTGTAAATAAATTAATCTCATATAGGACCATGATTGAAATGATGATAATGTTTCCTTAATATAGGGATTCAGTGTATTGTCTCTAAAACAAAGAAGAGAATGTGTTTTGAGGTATTTTGTCCGAGCTTTGGGCTTCAGAGTTCCCCCCCCCCCCTTCCAAAAACGTTCCCCTTTAAAAGGGGTAGGGTGGTTAATGTAGGAGTTTCCTCAAGTCAGTCATCCCATCAAAGGATCACTGAAAACATCCCATTTGACTCCAAAACACCACCATAATATGAGTTCCTATTCGATTACATGAATCTCTCATAACACTTTGGTTAACAATTTCATGGTGGAAATTTCTCCAAAAGGTATACATTACCGGCAGTGCGACAATCTTCGCTCCGTTAGAGACTGCCTCTTTGATCTTGTCTTTAGCACGCAGCAAATTCTGAGCCTTGTTTGCAGTCACTGCAAGCTGAATCAGCGCGATACGGAATTCTAAAAAAAGTCATATGTTAAAAGATGAAAAACTGAAAAATATTTTATTTAACGCTAACGAAAAGGAAATTTTACTTACTGGAGGCTGACATTTTCCTTCAGGTGAGTTTTACCGTATTTGGTATTATTTGGCACGTGACTAGTGCCTTGAAAGAGCGCGCGAAATTTGCGTTCACTCATCAGCATTGCGTTGCATAATTATGGCGGCTGAGAAGTTGTAATTTGTGAAAACGAGACATTTCAAGCGTTGATCTTATTCTTATGGTAGGATGACACCTTTTGTCGAAGGATGGGATTTTGTAGAGACGCTGGGTGAAGGTGCTTATGGCGAGTAAGTGTCGTGAATCCTGAATTTGTTGTTATTGTGAATGATATAGATGAATGACTACTTGTCTTCGATTCTTCAATGTTCTATATTTAGAGTAAAACTAGCAGTGAACAGAGAAACGGAGCAGGCGATTGCTGTGAAAATTATCGATGTAGAGAAAGCTGCTGATTGCTACGATAATGTCAGGAAAGAGGTGAGTGGGGTTTATCGAAACCGAGACAATGGATGTGAGAGATCATAGAGAAAATCGCTGCAGTAGTAACCTCTGTAGAAGCACGTGCATTAAAATACATATCATTTACAAATTGACTTATTGTGTCGGCAGATTTGTATTCATCGCATGCTCCAAGATGTTCACGTTATTCGGTTTTACGGACAAAGAACTGAAGGGAAGAAACAGTATCTGTTTCTGGAGTGCGCCGGCGGTGGAGAATTATTTGACAGAATAGGTTAGCTAAATAAGATCATGTAAATTACAGAATGTGATTTTTGCTTACTAACATGTTCTTCACCGATGCGGGGTAATCTTTTCCTTTAAGAGCTTCTCCTTCTCCAGTGCAATTGTCAAAATAAGCACATGCAATCATGTGTAGCTGTGGGAATGAGAATATTTAGAGAGAGTACAAGTTAGGGGGAGTGGCACGGTAAGGTTGGGGGAAGGAGCAAGAGGGCTCTGCCTCTCCCTTTTTGAGATTTCAAATTTTTTTCCTTTTTAATGCAGAAGATTTTTAGCAGATTTTAGTGTTTTGTTGGTACAGAGTGAGGTTTTGATTTCTTTCCATCTGGTCTCTTTCTTAATTTTCTGGACTTTCTCCTTGGTAGACTTCTCAATTATTTAGAAACAACAGCTTACATTGAAGTTAAACTGTCAAATGTCACATGGAAAATCTCCTTAAATGGATATGAGGTTCTTGTAACCGGCCCTTCTCTAGGACAGACATGTAAAGGCTGTTTTGATCATGTCTGTCTCACTGAGTTGACTTGATTCATGTACTGTAACATCAAAAATTGAGTACATCAAAAGTCCTTCAGAATTTATGCAAGAGTGAGTCCTGCCTTAAATGTAAAGTGGAGGGGCCAAGTAAATGTGTTCTTTCTTCTGGTAGTGTTTGTAAAAAAAACTAACCAACACGTACTTGATCAGATACAGTGTGAGTAACAAGATGTCCATTTTTCCTCCATAGAACCTGATGTTGGAATGCCTCTTTCACAAGCTCATCGCTACTTCAGGCAGCTTATTGAGGGCGTGGTATGATGGCGTTGTATGTTAGATAACTTGTACCGCTAGTGCCAAGTTCAGGATTATGTGCATGGAATTCTTAGACATTGTGAATGACTAAGTATTGTCTTTCTTTAATCTCAAGTCTGAGGCATATCGGTATAAAGGAAAAGGACTAAGTCTCCATCTGGTATGGAGTACACTGATGTTAGGGTGTGATGGGTTAAGTTATTACCAGACTTTTGAGATGTTTTCTTTCTCCGCATGTCACATACAGGAGTATCTTCACAAGCAAGGTGTCACACACAGAGACATAAAGCCTGAGAACCTTCTGTTGGATGCTGATGGTAAGAGAAAGTCAAACAATTGTTCAAATCATACCAAATTTCAAACATATTGCTGTACTAAATGATTCACCTTATCTGTCTGTTTTCTGTATTATAAAAGATAATTTAAAGATCACTGATTTTGGCTTGTCAACGGTATTCCGACATAAAGGAAAGGAACGTCTACTAGGAAAATGTTGTGGGACACCTCCCTATGTTGCTCCTGAGGTAGGAATAACACTTAAAGCTTTTTACTAATCTTCATTTCTCATTACATGTAATCAAACTGTGGCCCTGGTAGTTTCTGCCCTGAGATCAGTAGGGTGTTGTCGTCTGGGTCTTTGTGGGATTATTGTGCTGGGCTCAATCTTTTTAAAATTTAATTTTAGGATTAGGAACATTTTGTCTGAAATCATATATGGTTGTAGATAAATCTAGAGTGCTCATGCATTCTTAGATAAATTTCATGTTGTGCAAGTCCAAAAGGGACAAAACAATGCACAGACAGGAGCAAAGAAGATTGGTAGACACACTCAACTTTCACAGTGACTGAGTGATTGACCAAGTCTACTCAGGGGTAAAAATTGATTCTTTCAAATAGTTCAAAAAATTGTGAAGAACAGGGCAGCCTGTGATGGATTAGCATTCCATCCAGATGGAGTGATCATATACATGTACTTATGTACATGTGTACTGTTCTTCCATGTGACAAGAATTGGGACAAAGTCAACAGTAATCTGGGTTACTTAAGTTAAGGTGTGTCTCTCTGTAGGTTCTTTTAAAGGGTGAATATAGAGCTGAGCCTGCAGACATTTGGTCCTGTGGTATTGTTCTTGTGGCAATGTTGGCAGGAGGTAAGTAGTCACTTCTTATTTTTTAGGGTTGATAAAATTAATTTTCAATTATTTAAAAATATTGTCTAGAGAAAAGGGAATAAACCTCAGGACAGTTGATTGGACCACTCAACAAACACTTACTGGAAATTAAAAGCCTTCTTTTGTAATATGAAAATATAATAATGCACTTTATGCTGCTTCACTGCAGGTGTAAATCAATGTCCTTAACATAATATGCGAGGGTTTCTATAACTTTTAACATGAGCCATGGCTGATGGTGTGATAGGCACATGTGCTTAAAAGGTGCCGTAAGGCAAAATCCAACTTGTAAGCTACACAGGCAGTGGTAAGAGGTTTTATAGGCAGCAGTAGACCACCAGTAACAAGCTTTTCATGAAACCCTATAAATAATTCTGTAAGAAGTCAGTATCTTTATGAATGTATTTGAATTTTTTATCAAAAATAGAGCTTCCATGGGATGAACCAACAAAATCAAACAAAGAGTATAATGACTGGCTCAATGGCAGAGTAAACAGGACACCTTGGTGCAAAATGGACCCACAGTCATTAGGTTTGTTCATTTTTATTATGAAGTTACAAATTCAAATGTGGAAGTAAAAGTTATGCATAAACACATGTGTGGAAAATGTAGTGGTGGAGGTTAACTCTTTAACTTCTGTGAATGATCAACACAGAATTTCTCCTTACAGTATCAATACAATATCAACTGGATAACTGATGATAATAAAGAAAAATATCAATTTGGCTGAAAAATCAAGGGATTGTTCTTGCTCTGAGCCTTTCAATTAGTTGATCCAATACTAAATTCTCTGAACTAATATTATAAGAATTGTATGGTTGACAGTAAGGAGAATTTCAAATGTGATCTGGGAATTAAAGGGTCAAGAGCATGGGTGAAAGTAACTGAATGGTAATAAGAAAGCTAGAACTGGAGTCATTATCAGAGATGAGGGTTGTTCTTAAGTTGGATTTTAAACATTTGTTCTTGTTAATTGTGTAGTCATTTGTTCTGTGATGTGATTAGCTTTTTGGTTAAAGTATTATTGGTAATAAATATGTGATTGGTCAGTCTCTATTCACTGATAAAGTACAGTAAGTTTTTCTTTTCAGTTCCTTGTTATTGATCATGTTAGTCCCTCACTTGTGACAAGACAAAAAACATCTTTCTCTATTTCTTTATTGAGCTTAAAACTTACAATCTCTCTTGTTCTATTTACAAGACATGACATTATTGAAATTGCTGATCCTAGCAGTATGCTGGATGCATTTCTTATTGGAACTTTGTAATGGGCTTAGAGCATGGGAGCATGGAATCTGAAGGTCTGAGGTTCAATTCCTCATGGAGACTCAGAATTTTTCTTTGTCCCACGCTTGTGACAAGACGAAAAACATCTTTGTTTAAGTTATCCTTTGTAGGTTGGTGTCCTCTGTTGACAACTGCATGTATACCTTTCTTTTACCTGTAGATTTCTTGTCAGAAATTCTTGTGGAAAATGCTCAAAGGAGGTTAACAATACCACAAATAAAGAAAGAACGATGGTTTTCTAGGTAAGGCTGTCTGTATGATTTGCTTTTATGCTTTAATCCTTCAATCCTTACAAGTGACCAGCATCAAATTTCTCCTTACAATATCACCTTTGAATCAAACATTAGGAATATGAGAAAATGGGAAATGATCCCAAATAAAGATGCTCTTGATTATCAAACAAATTCTCCCTGTTAGTGCCATAGGAAATGTTAAGGTAACAGTATGGAGAACATGAATATTGATGTTGGGGAGCAAAGGGTTAAATTCCTCAAGTTTAAATGAACATCTTGCGAAATGTAAACTGAATTTATTGAATTATTTTTCAATTTATTTTACCTCTAGATCAATAAGTACATCAAGAAGTCCAAGAGATGGTTAGTGAATGTCCTTAAAATTTTTAATATTTCTGACCAGATTTATCTCACTAGTGAAATTGCTTTGAGTTAGCAAGAGGTTAGAGTTATCAAGAGTTTGAGTTATTGGGATTCAAATGTGTAAATCTTTCTGTTTTTAAGGGTGTTCTCCAGGGAACACACCCACAGGTACAGGAACATTTAAGAGAAGATGCACTGAAGCAGATGTTTCTTCTCCACAACGACCAAAAAGATACAAGTGAGTGCTGTGCTGTGACTAGCCATATCATTATATTCCTACTTTGTCCTTGGTAAATATTTTTCCAGACAGATGTGCAGCATTTATGCTAAAAGCAATGATTAGCATGGCAAATTTTTGATCAAGAAGTTTGGATGTGAGCTCTCACCTGGATACTCATAATGTGCATGTGTTTTAGGCAAAACACTTTCTGTCATTTGAAAAACTTCTTTGCACTAAGTTGTTCAAAGTACGATCAATACTAATGCAGATCTCACTGCCGTGGCAAGATACATGTGTAGTTTTTCTGGACAGCTTTACTATTAGCTTAGGGCAACCAAGCCCACAAGTATAAAAAGGTTCTAACAACTGTCACTGAAAATAAACTCTGTGTCATAAAATTTGTGGTTTCTCACATTTCCAAAATCCAGATAAGCTTCTTTTGTGAGTGTTCTGTGAACTAGGCTTGCAAGACTTTCCCTTACATTCTTTAGGGATCACATATCTGCCTCTCAGCCTGAGCCCCGCAGACTGGACAGTGGTATTGGGAGTGGTGCATTGGAGCTTGTTGATGACGAGGCGACAGTGAATGGATTGTGTTTCTCACAGCCTGTCCATCTGGATCACATGTTACTAAGCACACAGATGCAGTCTACTCCTGGAACATCACAGGTGAAAATAAAATGTTTTTTACATATTACATTTGTCTAATCTGATGTTTTTCAGTAGCAGCCAATGCAAACACCTCTTTAATTAGAGACCTTGAACAAGTACCTTCACATGAGTAATAATACTATATGGTTAAAAGTTACCCTGCGGGCACAAATCAGTCAAGGCAAAAGTTATATTTTTAACAACCAGATGACAATAATGATTTAAATGAGTACACATTTCTTTACTGCTCCCTTTTAGAGTCCATTCCAGAGTCTGGTTAAGCGTATGACTCGTTTCCACACAAAGAGGAGTGCAGACAAGACACTTCACAAGTTAAAGGAAGTCTTGGACAAACTTAAATATAGCTTTACTGTGAATTCTCCTCGTCAGGTAAAGAGATACACCTTAACCCTTTAAACGCTAACATCAGCATGCATATTCTCCATACTGTTCTCAATACAATTCTTGAGGTGCTAACAGAAGAATTTTTTTAACAATCAAGAGGTTTTTAGTCAGTGATCATTTCCTTTAATTTCTTGACCTTGATGTGTGATTCAGGGCTGATATTGTAGGGAGAAATTAGATGCTGGGTGATGTTAGGCATCAAAGGGTTTGATCATCTTGCAAGATAGTGTAAGAAAGAATAATGTTAGACCTGCAAAGCACAATTTTGAAATGTTTTACTGATCAAGACTCTTGATGGGAAATTTCTTATCTTTTCCTGTACAGTAGGAAGAATGTGTTCATAGGAAAAAAATCAACTTAAACAATTTCCTTTTCTTTAATACACTGTAGGTCACAATATTAACAACTGACAGACGACAAAATAAACTGAGTGTTAAAGTGAACCTCATTGATATGCATCCTTCTCTGTTGGTGGACTTCAGATTATCCAAGGTAAATAAATTTGATATTTTAGAATTAAGAAAAATGAATACAATGAGAACTATTTTTAGATTTGTAAAAATTTTGGTTCTATGTGGCAAATGGTAAGAGGATGGTACACTATACTATCAGCTAATTTGAACTCCTGCTAACTCCAACTTATGTTTCCATTGGAAGTTTGAGTTATGAGGGGTTCTACTGTTACAGTACTACAACATTCTGTGGCTAACTCTGGACATTTTTTCCTCTCAGGGTGATGGTTTAGATTTCAAGCGTCACTTCCTGAAGATTAAGGCTCAACTAAAGGACATTATTGACAGGTAGCAGGTGAAATTACTGTGGATGCCACAAGACAATGGGTGCATTTAAGGACTCTCTTGTGCCAAAACACATCCCAGCATGTACTGTTCCCTGTGAACTACTAAGAGCCCTCATTGTTGTTGTTCCTGTTTTTTTTTTAGCTTAATTAAACAAATATATTTAAAAAGATAACTAAGGGATTTATACAAAATAAAAAATGAAAGAGTTAGAGATATACCTGTTCCTGTTCAAAAGAAATTTTCTATAACTTACATAAGACCATGTTTTGTACATGTATTTAATCACATGCAAAGATGGAAGCATTTAAATTGTATTCATATGGGTTTGGGGTAAGGTTGCTTAAGTCTAAATAAAGTATTTTTATGGGAAAGGAAGTTGTCTTTTTTTGTGGACTTTTTATTTTGAAATCCCAATGATATAGTTTTAAATAAAATTTAAAGAGAAAGTCAGAGAAGTGTCCACAAATATATAAAAACTTCACCTTAATTTCAAGAGCAATAGAGTCATTGCAGCATAGATATTTGGCTACGAATTCTGTTGGTTGGATTTTCACTAAATCATACTACTCTGATTACCACTTCAATTCCAAGTCTGTCTCTTGTGAATGCTGGCTCAAAGTGAAATTGCATTTACATTTGTTGCTGCTGCTTTTGTTGTTGTTTTTTTATTGTGTGCGTGTGATAGGAAAAAAAGTTTACAGACGTATCTTCAAGGCACAACACAGTCTGGGAATTAAATCTTAGAGCAAAAAAATTTCAATCAGCAGTTAACCCTCTACACCCCAACATCAGAATCTATACTCTCCATACTGTTCTCTATACATTTCTTAAGGTGCTGACAAGGAGAATTTGATCTGCTTTAGTTGGCGATCATTTTCTCTCTTCTCATGACTTTAATGTTTGATTCAGGGGAGAAACCAAAAGGAGAAATTAAATGTTAGTCACTCTTGAGGGTTAAAATAAGGGTTTATTCCATAGGAGCATCAAACAATTTGGTGACATCATGAGCTTTTTAATCTTTACAAATAATTCTGTGTCTAATTGTCACATGCAATTATCATGTTAATGTACAAAATTTTTACAGAAATGACTATAAAAAAGCTTTTTAAATCTGCATACAGATCGGCATTCTTCCTTTTAATTTTCAAGCATAACAAATGACTATTCCATTGTTTTTATGAATTGATTATCAACCCTTTCACTCCCAAGATCTCATTAGTAATTCTCATTGCTGTCTGCCATGTAGTTCTTGTGATGTTAATTGGAAAATTTGGTAATGAATTTACTAATAATCCCCTATTGATGCTACTCTTTATTCTCATTTCTTGTCTGCTTGATATTGTACTTATATTGTAAGGAGAAATTCTCTCTTGGTCATTCAAGGGAGTTAAAGGGTTAATAACACTAAAATCAAAGATAAGTTCAATGCTGCTCAATGTCATAAAAAAACCTCACAAGGTGGTAACGAATAATAAAGGCAATAACACTTCCACAAATCTGCAAAGAAAAGAACTCAAAATTAGCTGGCTGCATAGATCTCTATATATTTGTAATGTTAATTACATCACTGAGGTTTATAATCTACATGCACCATATACATGTGCAAAAATGTTTCTGATTGATCGTTACCCATGAAGGAAACACAATATACCTAACTTGTTTCACAAAACGTTAAGGCTTGGAAAATTGTTCTCTATTGCAAATTTAATAAATCTGAGGGTAATCCTTGTATTTTACATCAACGAGGTCAGGCACAATTGCTCAAAAAGAAAACAGGAAAAAAAAAACATGAAAAAGAACTCAGGAAAAGTTGCCAAGTTTCTGTCTGGTTGTTCAAACCCATAAATGTTCCCCCAAGAAGTGTCCTCAACATGTTTTCTTGTTCTAAGACTATTTGCTAAAATTTGAAGAGGACTTATGATAAGATATCCCTTTGTGATAATTGTACAGCAACATAGAAAAAAATAACAATAGAAACTTGTTAAAGAAAATGACTGGCAGGCACAAATGGGGCTTAACCTTGAAGCAAGCAGGGTGGAAAGAGCCACATGGCTCTACAAGAAGGGAACTAAACCAAAAAAAAAGACAGAGAAAGAGAGTTAGGCTTGTAATGAAAATGTTTACTGACTGAGTAAACTTGAGTGGAACAAGCAAATATTCGGCTCTCAGTCCTAATGTATGGACTTCAGTGCCCTTGGTTCATACTTCGTGGCCTTGAGCAAATTATGTGACTGTAAAGTGGTCCTTCATAAATACTGATAGAGGTTTTTAATTAATAATTTTACCTGTATTCCCATGATAATTATTGTCAATGTTCTTTCATGTAAGGGTCCCAGCACTTTGATAACAAAGTTTATAAGTGTCAAGTTGTTAACACGTGTAGATTTTTTGTCTTCACCAACACCTTCCTCCACTGTAACTAATCTTAGAAGACTGAACACTGACAATATAAGTTTCCCTAACGGATGAAGGTCAGACATTTTAAACAAACTGTAACTCATTCCTAGCAAACCAGTGTCTGGGTTAAACCTATAAAAGGAAAAAGTTAATCAATAATAAATGAGTGATACAATGTAAATGAAGTAAAATTTTATAATCATCAACTTTGGCACATTTCAGACGCTAAACTTTTCACTTGCTAAACTTAATTAGAATTTCACATGACCCATGTCAATCCTTATTCCCGGAGGTGATAAGCTTATAACTTCTCATTACCATTCCAATACATTATCTTCCAAAGAAGCTATGAGAACTGAGATGCTTGTCAATTGGAGAGTGTTTTCTTGATTTAAAATGGAGTTCTCCTGTCCTATTTAAGTGTAAACATGTAACAGTCAATTGGGAGGGTCATTAATTGGATCTTAGGAGTTTTAAAGCCCTTGAAATTCTATTATCTGGATTCAGCTGCAGTCTCACCACTTGTTACATTTCCAAACTCACCTTGGTAGTCGATGTCTTGGACATGGTATGAAACGAAACAATTGAGGAATTGAGTAAACAAAGTTGATAACTTGTGGAATAAAGAACAGCAACATTGTTTTACTGAAGTGTCCTAAAATGCCAACTACTGCAAATGTCATTCCCGCAAAATAGCAAAATGTGTCTCCAACAAATACAGAGGATGGGTACCTAAAATGGAATATTGGAAAAATATAAGAAAGATGTGTTGTGGTTCACTTTTATTCTTGATTTAAAGTTTTACTAGTTTATTTCTGGGAAAGGTGGTAAGGATGACTTGAACTTGTAACTTAAAAACACTTAACATGTCAAATGAAAAATGATTTAAAAAAAATACAATATATGCATTACAGTAATGTAAAATTCAGAAGACTATGGACAAGGGACAAATTCTGGTGTCACAGAGGAAGCCAATAAGATGTGGAAAAACTGACCTGTGTGGAGTATTGCCAATTAGTTTGTGGTTAGAAGGTGATTTTGCATGCCTTGGTCTCCATTAGGATTGGTCATAATACAATGTAACACATAGTGTCTATAATTCAGGTGTTCATGGTTTTTGGAGTTGGACAGTAATGGTGACAGAAAGTGAAATTCTCCCAGTAATTCTCCTGACTGTCTGCTATACGATTCTTATTATATTACTTCAGAGAATATGATATTGGGTCAACTAATAATCACCTAATTGCTATTTTTCTTCATTCTCATTGATGCTAGGTATTGTATTGATATTTTAACCCTTTCACTCCCATGAGTGACCAAGACAGAATTTCTCCTTATAATATCAATGAAGAAATGTAAAATGGTTTCTGTGTTTACATAGCCTGATGTAAACACGTGGGAGGTTGGGAGAACATGAGATAGGCGTAGGAAACCACGACGCGAAGCAGAGTGGTTTCCAGCCTATCAAATGTTCTCCCAACCTCCCGCGTGTTTACATCAGGCTATGTAAACACGGAAACCATTTTACATTTCTTTTATAAAATAACTAATGAAAGATGAACGAAAACCACGTTTACATAAGCTCAGTAAAATGGTTTTATGGCCAATCAGAGCACACACACTATTTGAATTATTTTATAATTCAATATCAAGCATAGAAGTGATGAGAATAAAGAAAAATATTAATTTGGGGATCATTAGTTGATCCAATACCAAAGTCTCCAAATTGACATCCTAAGAATTCTATGGTAGACAGTGAGTAGAATTACTAATAAGATTTTGGGAGTTAGAGGATTAAGCAGGAATTCTGTCTTGCACACTCATGGGAGTGAAAGGGTTAATTCAGCAGTTTTCACTTAATTCAGACAACAACTCACCAGTTATGATAAAGTAATGCTGAACATGTGGCAATGAAAGGCATCATGAAATATGCTGAGAACAAATGAGCCTGCCAACAACAAGTTCCTTGGAGCTCAATGAAATTAAACATCAAAATGGAGACTGCAATGATGAGCGACTGTCCTGCCTCAACACCATTGATACCAGCCAAGATATTGATTGCATTTGTGCAGAATATTGCCAACATTCCCATATAAACATAGTATAATATTCCTGAAGAATAAAATGGAAGCATGTGTTTATTCTTTTAAATAGTTTCATTTCTTTTTATTCTTGAGTTACATAATGCTTTGTACAATAACTGAGCTCTCACAGGTCACAGAAACCACAAAAGCATTAAACCAACTGACTTAGGAGGCCATAATTCAAAACTGTGCTGCATAACTATACAACCTTACCTAGATCTACATCAAAGCCAAAAATGAATCTGATGGGTTTTGGTACAATGATTGTTGTAACACCAATATTGACACAGTAGACCATGAGGAGGGGAAGAGATGCCATTGCTGGCAGAAGAAGCCTGTCTCGCCACCTGAGATCAAGAACATCATCCGCAAATCCCAGGAAGATCATACAACAGATGGACAGAAGGCCAGTGATGAACATGACAAACTATTTAAGGAACAGTAATGTTGGTTAAAATAAACTACATTTAGGTAAAGAACCTTGCAAGATAAAGAACCTCAAAAATTCAATTCCATTTTTTTGTAGACTGTGATTAAATCTCAAACAGCACTGGACAACTGGGAGAATCAACAGTCTTTACTTGAAATTTGGTTTTCAAATCTTCACAGTTGTGAGGATCAAGAAGCAAGTTTTAAGACAAATTTTGACCAAACAATTTTCCGTAATTCTCAGTAACAGAACAGTGGTAATAAAGTCAAACAGCTTGACACATGATTCCTCTTAATTGCATAACCTGCTCAAACATATGTTTCATAGATACAATGTTTTTATACGCAGGAGAAGCTACTTATACCCTCACTTTTATGAGATAAACTCACCTCATGATGTGGAAAATCATAATCACCTTTCTCAAACCAAATAGAGAGAAAAGGGATTGGGATGAATAAAAACATCGTAATAAGAAATACTGCTCCACTAACAACTCCTAAACCCTCTGCGCTGTGGAATTAAAACATACATGTACATTATTAATAAACATTTGGGTACAGTTGTATAAAGGGTGAATAATGCTATCCAATGGATAAATCGTTATCCAGCATATAAATTTTAACAAAACATACTGAGCTATCCACTCGATATGGATTTATCCAGTGGATTGTGTTATCCACCTTTTGAGCAACCATGTCTTGATAAAAAATATCGACAACAGTTTTTGGTAGCAACATTGATAAAATAAATGATTGAAACACTGAAGCAACAGTTGATCATGTAATCCAACTGTGCAGGTGAAATGGTCCTGAAAGGAACTGTTTTTGGTAGTAGTGACTGTCAATGCTGCCAACAACTGACCTTTTCAGGATTACTTTCATTAGTAACATCCATAGTAACAAAGAATTTTCACCATCTTAATTCCAAGATATCAATCACTTATCAAGAGCCAGATGCAGTGAATACTGAAGAGTACCCATAAGCATCTCTGAATACTAAAGGGGGGTTAAAGACGCAGAATTATTAAAGGAAGAATAATTTGGACTAAAGTGTTTTGATTTTTGACAAAGATCAACACAGCTGTATTACCAAAAATTGTATTAATTTATTGATGAACAGAAATCTACAAAAAAAGCTTTTACAGCAAATATAGATTACAATAAGGCTATGATAATTAAGTAAAAACTTCGGAGTCACCTTAAAAAAAACTGTTCCACTCTCTAATCACGAGGATAGACAGTGATTTAATAACAAGTACTCGTATTGTTTGAATTGGAGTACGACTGATTAATTGCATGGCAAATCACCATGCAACATGAGTCAGCCATAGGAATACAGCGTCTGGAATTATACTCTTGTGATAACCTCTAGATCTCCATTACTTATCAGCCCAAGCCCCGAAATAAGATCTCTCAAGACTTACACTTTCTCCTTGTTGTCTTTCTTGTTGAGGTCTTTCCCGCATAGCCCAGCTTTAAGGAACAGCAATTTCATACCTGAAATTAACTTCAACGCCACAAAAAATGTCACACAGGACATGACAGAGTTTACAGTTAACGGATATATCATTCTATAGATCATTTTCGATTATCTTTTCCAGATTATCGCGTTTTAAAAATCCTAATTGAACGCTGGGAAATCTAAAATCTCAAAGCTTTTGTACCTTTGAGGATAACCGCTGACCGATGCCTGATCGAAGCGGCGTTGATTAGACGTTAGATATGCAATCGCGCGAGACCCGCGAAATGGACGCGAAATGTCATAATATGTATCTAAGCAACAAAATGATTGATAGCTTATTTTTCTAGCATGTGATTGGTTAAAAAACTATTACGCAAATTTGCAGTTCAAAAATTTTCGCGGATAAGCGAGGATTTTTGTTCCGAGAAAACCTAGAGGATACTGAGGGGAAACCTTTTTTTTTTAATCGGTTATGGATATGAAATAACGCGATAGTTTCATGATTACTTTCAATTCGAATTAGGAAAGGAATTCGTCGAATTTGAGCCGTTTTTTCTGAGCGCTTGCAACTTACAGAACTGTTAGAGCGTCCAAGAAAAAGCTGCCAAAACACGGCTGAACCCTGAAAGTGGGTGAACACTAGAACAATGCCGAGTGTCAAGGATTCAAAAGGTTCGAAGAAAAGTGCCGGTGGTGCATCCCAGGAGCATTCTGGTGGGTCAAAAGCTGATAGAAACAGGCGAAGTTCTCTGAAAGGTAGTACCGGTACTTCGCTTTTCGCTCATCCCTTGACTGGCGAAACTGTTAAAGAAAGGCAGGTACGAATCGAAACAAATAAATCTTAAAACAGAATGAAAAAAACTACTTACTTAGAGCGTTTTGTGGAAAAAAATTAATAGAAGGGAATCTTTTTTTAACTCTTTTGCTTCAATTTCAGTTTACCCCCATTCGTCATTTGCCAACTTTTAAGCAAGCTTAGGTATCAAAGAAATGATAAATCTTGTTAACCTGCTTGTGAAGTTTTTTGTAAGCCGTGTGAACCATTTTCTATAGCAAAAAGTGAGAGAAAACCGTGAAGCAAGGAAGCGAATGATAACGGACGAGTACAGATTTCTCATGGGAATCGTTGGAGGCTACGTAGATCTGGATGTGTCTGCAGTTGAAGAATTCGTACTTGATTCAGAAGAGGTAAGTTGAACTCTTTCCCCAAGATTTTGCCCGTAATCCTGTGATTCCTTTTGCAATAAAATGAGAGGAGAGGTAAAAGTACTCTATTTCAGGTATCTTAATGTTGTTTCCATGGTTTTCATGAAAACGCTGACGCTTGAAAGCTTAAGTTGGGATAATGAAAGGTTTTAACAGTACATGCGTAAGCTTCTTTGTGTTGTTGCCATGGCAACACAACCAATTGAAACGATGTCACAGATATCCTCCTTTATGTAGATAAATGTCGATCAAAAGCTCTGGGTAATGGGCTCCTGATGTTGGTAAAAAAAACATGCATATACAGGCTCATGTGGAAGGTGGTATCTTTTTTCAAATTAAGCTGGAATCTTTGTGTTCTCCAGGAGATTTGGTAACAGCCATTCCTCAACAGTCCTGATCTTATTTTTAGTGGTTGTTTTCAAGTGTAACTTCCCACACCTCTTCCTTCCCCCTTTTTTCTTTTGTCAATATATTCAGTGTTGATGGTTCCTGTAATGGAGGCTAAAATGACCCAAAACTCAAAAAGCTGTGGACAATGAGAATTTGGACAGAAACACAATTGGGGCAATACTTTGACTGAAATTTAACTTCTCCCTAAGTTAGGATTACTAACTTGAGAAACAAACCAACAACTTCATGACTAAAGAAGGATTTGGTCTCTTTTTCTCTAGGCAGTTTACTTGATAAACAGCTTTTTAAAGCCAAAGGGAAGAAGATCATTAATGTTTTTCTATCAGGAGGTTGATCATGAGGGAAGAAGTCGTAAGTATTCTCATGGACCTCTACTATTTTAAAGCAATTTAATGGAATCAGGAGATGAAATTCTGAGATGATTTATTAGAAGGTTATTTTGTTACACCAAGTGGTGCTATTGAAATTAGTAAACCTTTTCAATCTTACAGTTTGACTTTGTTTTTCAAGACACTGAGGTACGAGCTCGTACTGTAAAGTCTGGTAAAGTAGCAGTGCTGCTAGTAACTAGTGGTCTTGAAGAGAAACTGACTGGGACCCTAGTATACTGTGTGAAGGCTGATGCAAATAAAGAGCTTAAGATGAGAAACATTGCTGATGTAAGTACTCTCCTGGAGCTTGTGAAAAAATTTTTTTTTTTGTTCTAGTGTATAGTAATTCCAGTGAAGCAGGGGTTTGATTAAAAAATAAATAAATAAGAGGGCTAAATTTAAGCTAAAGATTCCAGTATTTTAAATTCAGCCAAATTTCAGATACAAAACAGTATGGGGTCTCAGCTTCTTTGTTGACTAGTGATGTTTATGTGATTAGAGTACTCATAAAACAGAGTTTTATAGTGTTTTCTGGCTTTGCAGGGTTAAAAGAGTTTTCCTTTTTTTAAGGAATTAAATGTTATTTCAATGACCATTGGGTCAATGTCTGAGTTGAAATGTGGATGAAAACAAACAGTATATGAAAGAGTGTTCATGGTTTAAATTCTTGCCTGCTGGGCCTGGTTTCAGTCAATGCACTGTACATCCTCTCATTTCATGGGATGTCAAAATACATGAATTTTTAAGTATCAGTTTGTCTTCATTACAAACTTACAGAAACTGTAGAAACTGTTTCTGGAAATTGTAATTGTGATTTTTTAGGAGGCATGCTTTGGGATGATAAATGCTGGAGAAGCAGGATCCTTTATTCCAGCCCTAAGAACACATCTCGCAAAGATTTATATACCAGCCATTAGAGCCATGTCCAGCTGGGGAGAACTGGAAAAGACACCACAAGGAGTAAAAGCCAGTGCACAGTTTGTTGAGTCATTGGATGGCTTTGTTCATTTTATTGATGGTGGGATATTTGAGATGCTTAATGCCAAAATGTAGGCCATGTAACACTTTTCAACATTCCTCATTATGTACCACCCCCTTCCTTAGATAGTGTAGTTGACTTGTTATGTTTGACATTATACTAAGAAATTAATTTACAGTAATTGATGGGAAGGAGATAAATGAATGGCAAGAAAACTTAACAACATTCTTTTAGGATGAATATTAAATTCAAATCAAATTCATATGTAAAACCACTGCAGCCATACTAAAAGGCATTAGAACGTCATGTTAGTATCTCAGATCTATGGTTGCAATAATTATAGCAAGTTCATGCATAATAAAAGGCCAATCTGATAGACATAAATTAATCAAATGAAATAAGAAATAGATAATACATGTAAATTAATGAAAGAATAGATTAATAATAACTAGGATAGATAAATAAAGAAATCAAATGGTATGAATGTCCCAAGGGGCTCCATCTTCTCAGCTATGTGTGGCAGCTTACACTGTCAGTGACCTTTGCCAACCAAACTACCTTGTGTTTCAGCTTTCCTTAATATGTTTAGCATATAAAAACCTCTAACTGATCTGTCCATTGCAGGAGCTCATGCAGCTCTTAATGAAGCAATCACTCTTCACCCATGTGAGTTAATTGATGTGACTGCTCTAGAGGGTCCAGCTGACTATCAGGCCATAGCAAACAACCAAGATATACTGACTGGACTGGATGAGCTGGTACACTCCTGGTGCAAACAGATTGAACAAGTTAGTTCTTATTCAAGCCTTCTCTACATGATTTTCATATATTTATTTCCTTTGCTCTTGTAGTTGTCTCAAGCATTTCCTAAAAGAATCAGTGAGGATAACTTGGTTATTTTAGCTTCTCAAAACTAAGAGGAATCTTTGCACTCATTTAGGGGAATATAACTGTTAGATCGCAGTATCCCCACCATAAAGCCACATCAAATAGCTTTCTTCACTTGTTGTAAATGTTGTAGATTTGTCATGAAAAAAGAAAACTCCTAGTGTGGAGAAGTAAGAGAAATTGTTCATAACTCCCTCATACCTCTCAGTCTGCTGACATAAACAAAACACCTCTTTTCTGAAAAAAGGATTCAAACAAAGCAGTCATTTCTCTCACCTTGTCTCTTTTGTCTAAGAGACTGAGGCAGTGGCTTGTTGAAAAGGGGTCTTTTGGATTGAGAAGAGTCTGCATGGTTTAAGCTCTGGCTGTGTTCTTTTGGAGCCTCTGGTTACCTGGGAGTAGGAAACTGTTAGGAAACTATGGAAAATGCTGAGTCTGTGACTCTCTTGGCCCTAGGATGAACTCAACTCTCCTCCTGTTTCATAGTTTGATTCACATGTAACAATGAAAATGTAATGTTTTTGTCTCACAGGTGTTAGCTGAAAGTGAACAAATGCGGAAGGAGGCAGATGACACTGGTCCTATGGCAGAACTGGAGCACTGGAAGATGAGGATGGCAAAATTCAACTCACTTGTCGAACAAATTAAGGGCGCTGAGTGTCGTGCAGTCATAAAAATACTCCTTATCGCCAAGTCGAAAACAATCAAGGTAACAAATTGAATCTCTTCAACAAACATGTAAATGATATGGGTTTTTACCACATGGAAGATCACTCAGTCTTTTGATTGACCTTTTTGTGGCTTATTAAAGATGCAGGTTTGTCAGTAGTCAATTTAAATACTTACAGAAAACTTAGTGACCAACCTGTAGTTTGGACTTAGACTATACCTTGGTTTATTGTTATAGACCTAAAGCAAAGTATGGCAATAGTGCTTACCAAACATAATGACTCAAAAAGGCAATTAACAAGAACTGTAGAAAAACAAGCAAACTTTAAAATAAAGAAAATGTTATTAGGTTGAGATTGGTGTTAGTTTTGCCTATAAATTATTGTGTGAAAGGGTCTGGTTATTAAAGAGAAAATTCAAAAGAGAATTTGATATATGTTTGTGGGTTGCCTTGTACTCTATCAAAGGTTTACCTATCCTAAGCAGTGTCTTACACATATTGGTATGTAACTCAATAATCTTACTTTGTTGTTTTCTATGATGGCAGTTTTGGCGTGAGCTGGATTGCCGTATTACAGATGCAGCTAATGAAGCCAAAGACAATGTTAAGTTCCTCTACACATTGGAGAAGGAATGTGATCCACTCTATCATGCAGACCCGGTAAGCAACAAATTTATTTTCAATGGAGCCTCATCTGGTTTCTTAGAATCATGTGTGCCCAATTGGCACATCAGGCCTGGTTGTTCAAATAATGCTACCTGCTTGATAAATCTCTATCTGGTGGATAGTGTCAAAGGTTTTGTTATCACTTATCCACTAGATAGCGACTTATCTGTTGGATAGTGTCATTTGACCTTTATACAACTGGGCCCAGGACAAGACCTTATTATAGGTCATTGGAAAAGTGTCTGTGTTTACCCTAAAATTGACTCACCTTGGAAACTGTGATTTTCCTCAAAGGTTACCATGATTGACTGCATTCCAAAACTAATCAATACCATACAGATGATACACAGCATATCAAGATACTGCAACACCTCTCAAAGGATGACATCACTTTTCATAAAGGTAACGGAGGCACTTTAATGTTGCTCTTGTGGGTGTGAGATTTTGGTTGCAACCTTCATTCAAAGGGAAATCAAAACTTCGGTGTTCATCATATTGAATTAAGGGGGTAGTTTTCTAAAGAAGCTGTGGTGCTGCAGCAGTTAAGGGTATTGCAAGATAATTTGGTTTTATGATAAAATGAGGTGACAATGAAAATTGGCCACTTAATCCTTAAACTCCCAAGATCTCATTAATAATTCTCCTTACTGTCTACCATGCAGTTCTAGTGATGATAATTTGGAGAATTTGGGATTGATTTAATTTATTAATCCCCTAATTGATATTTTTCTTTATTCTCATCATTTGCTTGCTTGATATTGTATTGATATTGTAAGGAGAATCTCTGTCTTCGTCACTCATGGGAGTTAAAGGGTTAAAAGAGTATCTTATGTATCACATTGAGGAGAATGTACAGTGGAATGGTTGTATTTTCCCTAGTTTTGACATTTTTATTTCAGTCCATACCAATAGTGTGGAAGCAAAAAATATTTAATTGATTTGGATCACGATTCTTTGATTGATGATCATGATCTCTTCTTAAGCTAATTTATGCTCTTCTTGCTGCTATTTTCCAGGTAACAAATCAAATGGTTACTGCATGTAAGAACTACTTAACTGATCGAGGTGTGAATCGTGTTTGGGATCAACCTAGACAGCCTATGATAGAGAAGCTGAAAGCTTGTCTGAGATTAAACCAAGAATATCAAAAGTGTTTCCAGCGGACAAAGAAGCGAATCGCTGAGGACCCAACCATGAGACCATTTGAATTTTCTGAGATGTACATCTTTGGCAAATTTGACGCCTTTTGTAAGCGTTTGAATCAGGTGGGTCCTGCTTTAGTTACCTTTCAGTGACGAACCTTTGGGTGGAACAGGCCAAGGGAGGAGGAATGGAATCCTAGAAGATTTTTTTAAATAAAGCAATGTTCAAAATTATGTTCCATGGAACTTCGACCAGAGCATAATTTAGGTAAGGCATGGTGCAATAATACTAGGCTCTTTGGGACTCCAGATCAAGGTTTTTGGGTCTCAAGTATCATGCAGTGAAACGAAGAGAGGATAAAAGAATTCAAATCAAACGACTAGATCTTAGAGCCTGTTTCATTTTGCTATTGCAGATCATAGAAGTGCTGGATGCATTGGAAACTTATTCTGTTCTGTCAGAGTCTAAGATAGAGGGAATTGAACCGATATCTAACAGATTCCAGTCAATGTACTCGGCGTTGAAGAAAAAGCCGTATGACCCGTTGGATCATAGGAAGCCGGATTTTGAGGCGGATTTCACTGAATTCAGGCGACAGATCAGCGACTTTGAGGTTTGTGAAACTCTTTCCTTTCTCGTTTGATAGATTATAGGTGTCAATATTGACTATTTTATCTTGACAGAATCACTTAAAAATGTTTATGAGTGGCTGCTTTGAAAAGATTGTCTCAATCTCACAGTCTTTGGATCTGCTGGGAAGGTGAGTAATTTTTCTTATGACTGATATGCGTACCTTAGAGAATTTCTAAGTGGTCGGTGGTAATATTAGCTCTTACAGGCTAAAGAGTCCCATCATTTTAAACCTCCTAAGGACAAGGTGAACATTATTTCATCTATCGCACCAGAGATCCGAGATATTTATGGCAACACTACAGTAAAGGCGAACTGTCGCCTTTATAACGGTTGAAAGCAATGTTCTAGTGAGTAAAAAGCTAATATTTTTGGCCTTTCAGATTTGGGAAGCTTGGGATTCCCAGTCTGCAGGCATATATTGAAGACCGTTATGCCAGTCTTCTCCATCACTTTGGCAAGGAAGTGGAAGCTATATCCAAGGTATGGTCCATCATTGCTATGATATGGAAAGTTGTCATTTAAATTGTCCTTTTTTGGTCAGGTATGATTATGGCTCAGCTTTTTTCGTGCTTTATTATTTTACCACGTTATCAAGTCCATGTGACAATTTTCCTAACGATCAGGCGTTTGTGTCAGAGTTTAAGAACGTCCTGATTGTCACACGTAGTAAAAACTGCTCCATGTAAAGCACGAGGCAAAAAATGTTTGTCCTTAATCAAGACATGCGTGTCACTGGTTGCTTTAAATTGTATTGCAGATGTACCAGCGGCACTGTGAAAATCCTCCTTTGCATCGCGATGTTCCTCCTATCTCGGGTCGCATCAGCTGGGCACGGCAGCTCATGAGGCGCATACGGAATCCTATGAACATCTTTGAGCAGCACCCAAGCTGTTTAAAAACGCCAGAGGCATATAAAATAATTCGCAACTTCAATCAATTAGCGACTGTGCTGGTCGAGTTTGAGATTCTGTATCACAAGGGCTGGCTTAAGCAAGTAGAGATAGCCAAAACAGGTGTGTGGCTATGTTAGAGTTTGTGACGGTCTACAGCATTTGGGATCAATGTAAGTATCTGAGCAACTGTACACTTACTTCTCCCCTAACCCAACAACAATCAGTTAATAACAAATTAGGGTTAATGTTGGGTTAGGGGAGGGGTAGGTGCGCAGTTGCTCAGATACTCAGTACATGCAAACGATACAACTTTGGTCGCGGCAACAGAAAATAAATCTCCGTCTTTTTTTTTTTAGTTTTTCATATTTCTTTTGCTCCATGGCTCTTAGTTGTTACGTCGACTAAATGATAAGTGGAAGACCCAGCTTTTGAACGGGTCACAGGATGACTACAATGCTCTCAACTGGAAAAATTAACATCGCAAACCATTGTCTGCCTACCTAGTACATTGTTGCTTGAATGAATAGTAACCCGAAAAGTCAGTACGCCTTCAAGGAGAAAAACAAATGCCATACTAAGTTCCATCGTGGGAAATAAGTGCCTCGTTAATGACGTAGTTCAAATAGATGTGTTATTAATTTTCTGAAAGCGAAAAATGATCTTTTCATATTTCATATTTTTAGGACTGCAAGCATCACTGCTAGTGCGACATCCGGATACGGGCGAGCTGTATGTAAACTGTGATCCTCAGTTGATACAATTGATCCGTGAAGCTGAGTACATGATGAAGCTTAACCTGCCAATACCTGAGACGGCACGTCTGATATTCTTAAGAAGGGATATTATTAAGACGGTGGATGGTAACCTAAAGGTTGGTGATTTATCAGAAAAGTATATCGAAGTAAATCTATGACAAAGTTCTCGAGCGTGATTGGTTTTCACCAGCCCGATTTGTAAGGGTAATAGGACTGAGTGGAATTCAAGTTGGTTTGTAACTGATACGAGTGATTAACAAAATCGGACGACCACGAAGCGGGAGTCCGATTTTTTTAAATACGAGTATGATTACTGACAGAACTGGACAGCACGAAGTCCTGTTACCACTTAATCCAAACTATGACAAAATTTGAGAAACAAACTAGCCATTGGTGATATGTCTTCATGAAACAACGGTTGAATCGGCTGAATGCGTGACCACAACACGCGTTCGTGACACGTACTGTCTACTTACAGAGGCATGATGCATTCACTGACCAACAACACTGTCCAATTACAAGTATGACGCGTACACTGTCCAGTTACAAGCTTGACACGTACACTGTGCAAGTAGTGCTTAAATCGGGCTGGTGATACATCCCCGAGAAAAGTAAATTAGTCAAGACACAACAAAACTGAATGTACTTCTTGACATGAAACGGAAAAGCTTTTCTTTCCAGTGATGTTACTGAATTTAATCATTGTAAAAAGCATGAAAGAGCACGAGGGAAAATATGGTTGTCTCGAGACAAATACCCAGAATCTCTATAGTACATGCACCTTTCATTCACAGATGATGCTGGAAGATGTCAAGAAAGTTCGCGCAAAGATCCCAAATATCTTTATGCCTCTGATGCTACCCCACATGCAAAGAGTAAGTTTACTAATCTAATTGCAGTTTCTGTTGTACAATGTTGAGACATATTTACGTTAATTTTTGGTTTTGTCAATTTTGCCCCGTTTAAAGAAAATCGAATGTACACGAGTCATTCCATTATAATGTTGAAAGTGTTACTAGATAATGTAGAAACCCACCCAAAGTCTCGTCAGTACTCTTTTCACGCTCAGGTTAATGGCAAAGCGGTCATTATCATATATGCGAGTCTCTCTTACAAGTTGAAAACACGAGTGAACAATGTTTTTTTACATTTAAACTAGCTTTATAGTAAGCTTGAGTTTAATCCTTTTGGCCTTTGGGCTTAAACCTTGAAAAGAAAGTTTTGTATAGCCATAATTAAGCAACTTTGTCTTGGCAGTGTAGATGTCAAACTATCACACGTTCTTCTTTGAGAAGAAAAGAGTCCCCTCTATGTTCTTTTTAGAACAAAATTTGCTAGTGAAGATGAGTTAGCTTGGACACATGTCAAGGAATCGTTGAGAGTTTAAGGGAAATCTCCCTCGTGAGGTTTTCTACTGCACAAAATCACATGGCAAGTTTTTCTTTGCTAGACCATGTATCGAAAATAATCTTTCTTCAACGAGTGTGCTTGCCACGGAAATAAATGCAATTGTAAGTAAGATTTAAGATTTAAAACTAAAACGTTAACTGAATGTTTTCTTTTGGTAGGTGGAGGTAGCGATTAGTCCTGGTGTGACCATGCTAAATTGGAATTCACTCAACATACCTGCTTACATCTCCAACGTGTACAGCCGGTTACGAGAAGTTGATCTGCTGGTTAAACAAGTCAACGATATCCGTGATGCACGCATCGATGCAGTCCTGAAAGAGATGAGTGAAACTGTGTTTTGTGAGCTACCTGGTGACGACCCTTGGACCATTGATGAGTTCGTAACAGAAACGCAAGTAAACTCGCTATGATATTTACCTTCAATAACGTTTTACTTATTAGGAATTCCACAAAATAAAGCATTGATTTTGAAGTGGACTTCTTGGACTCCTTGACTATAGTGTAATCGACAAAGGCTTTAATTTCCTGATTGACTGTTCATGACTATTATATACATGGCCAAAATGAATACGCGGGAGAACGTAAGGACCGCGTGGTGACTTGTATCAATTTTGCATTTCATTGGTTGGGTTAGTGGCGTCAGATTTTTAAGACCAGTTCCTGCAGATCCAAGAAACGAGGAAAAAAAAAAACAATGCAAACCCGACCGATCACTTTCGCCTGTCTTTTGCCTCCAATGGCTGTAAAGAGGAGATTGCATTTGGAAGATTTATGCTAGATCGTAACAGAGAATTTGTTTGTCATTTAAGAAACGCTGCGCGCCTCTTGGAAAGGTTCTGGATCATATGAGCTTGTGCGTCGAAGAGGCTGTTCACGAGTTGGCCAGCATTTTCGTAGAAAGCTTGGAGAGGATTGGTGTTTCAGCATTGGGACCCAGTTCTCCGTCTGCCAAGCCCTCGGAGAGAGACAAAGATCGCAAACTGGAAAGCTGCGGAGAGAACAACAAAGAGGGGCAGAGAGAAAGGACACCCAAAGTACCGGATGAGAAAACTATTGATGAAGAAATTGATGAGGTGATTTTGTATTTTAATCACCGCAATTTTAAGGCTCTTTTACGAGCCACAAGGAACGCTCTGGATGGTTTGAAACGCAGACTGTTTTGTACCAAGTAAGTTTAATCAAAATTATTTTATATTCTTCTTAGTATGTACAATTCTCTGCTGCAGCTTCAGTACTGTTTGTTCCTTATTTGAGACGTCTCGAAAGTGTCATGTTAAACGAGTCGAATAGTGTGACAAGCAGTGTTACCGAACAATTCGGAATACGGAATGCGAAGAAAATAAACCCGTTTGAAGCAACATTTTGCTCTTGTATTGTAGTTTTGAGTTTGCATGATTATAGGCGCATATTTCTTAAGAAAATAAGAACCTTTTAAGACCCTTTAAAATCTTCCTTTTCAATATATCGTACGCCGGCGAATGATGACTTTACATGCTTGTTTCACGACGGCATAAAACTTAAACTGTAATAGCATAGTTTTACCGCCAACATCTATTATGTAAGAACCTTGTTAGGTTTACTGGGATGATTTTACTGATGTTAAATCTATTGTCTTTGTTTCATGATTCACCTTTTTATTTTTTCTGTAGTACAACACGCTCAACATATGGTAAGGGGACGTTTTCGCTGTCCAGTGATTTGCCCGCAAACACTTATAACAAGGCTCCTTTTTTCAAGGCAGATATTTCTCTGGTCATTCCACTTGTGGTAAATATTGATTATCGAACCTTGATACCATGGTTTTTTTTACGAGTTCGCATAATCGTTCGGAACTGGCGCGTTAACACGAGTGAAAGTGCGATATGGAATCAAAACCACGTGAATAAAAACGACATTAGGCCGTTGAGGAGTGATAGTTTGCTTATTTTAGTGTATCCTTAAAAGATCCAATATTTCAAGGGGAACATATGATCCAGTACGCTATGATCGCTGTAATGGTAGTAGATTAACGTGCCGAAATGATTTGTGTTTTCCTTCTTGCAATCAGCCGTCTGAACGCGAACTGTTCCTAGTCAGCGATGAACATAATTGTTATAATAATTGGTCCAACTAATTTATTACAGTCTAATTTATTGGGAAATTCGACCAGTCATTATTATTTACCACTGCCTCATTGCGTTGTTTCCTTCAGTAGCACTGGAGAAAAGAATTGTGAAAAAAATTAACCTAAATTGCAGTGTGATCTTTTATGAGCTTGTAAATGTCAAAGTTAACTGTTAATATGAACTTCGTCATAATTATTAGAAGAAATATTTCACACCACCCTTATCTCTCCGCACAGGTTGTACAACCCACCCTGGACGATGTCCAACAGGCCCTTAACAAAGCAACCCAAGCGGTGCTGGATGTTACCCGGTCTGTGGCCCAGTGGGGGCAGAAGAGGTCTAAATGCACGGAAACTAGTTCTGCACAGGACGACGGTGCTCTTGGGCACATTAAACGGACAGTTCGAGCTAATGATTCCAGTAAGTGTCTTGTTTAAATTTTAATACCGGGCGTGTCTCAGCTTAGATATGTCAGGAGTGATCGTCTCTGTGTTTGTCAATGAAGGTATGTTAAGGTATGTTTGGTTTTGCATGCAGCGGAGGAGATTCCAGCATCCAAACTTAAGAACTACTACAAGAGCGTTGCAGAGCACAAAGACATTACTAAACTGCTGATGGTACTTACTTCAGTGATCAGTTCCACCAAGGCCGAGGTGATGACATGTCTTGACTCGTTCACACAGTTTCACCACGTGTGGGATGAAGACAAAGAAAAGACTGTAGCTGTAAGTACGCGTTTGCATCAAGGTCGTTCTAAAACTAATCATTCTTGTATCAAAGTTATAGATTGTCACATCTGCGCTTAAGTTTATCGCACAATTAGCTAAACTCTAAATATAGGAAAACCTCCAGGACATAGTCCCCTCATTTCTCTTGATGCTGGTCGAGTGGATTCGTCTCGTCAAGAATCGTTACCATCTGTGCAATTAATTAAATCGGCGTATGGGATTCAGGCAGACGCTCCAGGGATGTTTCACTCATAGATTCCAAACGTTAGAGTAACTTTTGGCTGCCGTTACTGAGATATCGATATATGCTGATTAGTATATTGTTTTTTTTCCTTCTCCGAGCATATCATGCCCACGTTAAGGAAGAGAACAAAATACTGACGAGTACCTGTTCCTTGATAAGCCATCGTACATAATTTTCTGAAGCCAAGTCGGGCACACTATTGTCAGCAAAGGAGAGGAAAAATTGGAAATAGACAAACTCTCTTGTGACACTTCAGAAACATCAACCTTCGTCATTTTAAAGTAATTAATCCACTTCGCCTTTAGCCAGGTTGGCACCGTTTGAAAATGGAGTAAACGTTTATATTTAATTGTAGATTAGAAATCTTAAAACTATCGAATGCTCTCTCAGACCAAAGAAGTTTATTGTGCACCTGGCTAAGTTAAGACTTACGAGATCTTATGACATGACTTGAACTCTTAAGTTAACTGTCAGACCAAGGGTCTGTTTCTCGAAAGTCCTGGCATAGGCAGACCACACTATGTGTTTGTGGTTATTGTTGACATGAGACGAACAAAATCTATGAGAGTTAGGAATAAGGCTCTGAAAATTGCATATCTTAATTACATCTCAGTCTTGATGTCTCAATAATGTTAAATGAAATGTTAATCGACGCATTTGTGGTATTTTTTCGCCTTCATGAGCTGTTTAAAGCGTCTTTTTACGAAATGACTTTTGGTTGGAGGCCGTCAAGAGAAGAGAAAGAGTCTCCCAAAATTTAAAGAATAGAAAAGCATTTTCTGGTATCCCAACCAGTTCATCTGCTTTCTTTAATTGATGATTTTATAGAATAATTCTACAAAACTTTTGAAACACCCATCTTGAAGGAAAAGAGTAACAGCTTAAAGGGCCCGTTAGGTTACAGGGACTTTCGAGAAACGCCGACCTAGTGCAGTTGAAGGCTTGCAACCCGTAGACCTGTTCTAACTGTGTGGATAATCTAGTATAAGTAACAGTGTGGCGTAATTTTCAGCACATACTGAAAGCCTTATGGTAGTGACAAGAACCCCAAATCCCGTGAGATACGATTGGTGCGTAAGAGGTGAATGATGCTGACTGAATTGGATACTCTTCCTTCGTAGGATTTCGTTGCTTCGGATCCAATTTTGTCAGAATTCAAATCCGAGATCTTGAAATATCAGGTTATAGAGCAGGACGTTGAAAACATTGAACCTTCCTTCAGAGTGGGTCACGGAGCTATTGAGTTATTCTCAGGTTAGACTGCTTGTAATAAGAACCTTTTGTTCTAGGTTTTCTATCATCAATCTGAAACCTCTCATTAGCACTAACTTTTAAATTGGTTACAATGACTGTACGATTTCCCTACGTTTTTCTGCAGAACCGTTTAAGCTCGCCTTACGAGTGGAGCTGAAAGCATGGAAGCTTCTTTTTGGCCACAGCATCAATAACAAATACAAACATAGCATGGACGAGATCACACAATTCGTGTCAGATTACAGCAAGCGGCTCGCCCGACAGATCAACGACTTGGAAGATGTCAGGAATGCTATGGCTGCCTTGGAAGATATCAGGCAGAATGAGATTCGAATTGATATGATCCTTGGTCCTATAGAGGTACTCCATTTACTCAAATTTACCATGAATTGATTAGTTCACTCTCTGGGATTGATCGTTGCTTGTGATCTGTCGTAATACAGACATGCGACAGACGTCTCAGAAATATTATTTTCTTTGTTTTGTCAATAAGAGCTTCGTTTTGAAAAGGGGTTTGCCAAACTTTTCCAAGAAAAGCTCAGCATAAATCACTTGCTGATTTGAGAATGCTTCAGAGTGGAAAACTGTTAGATCAGTTAAATGTATTGAGGCAAATTAGTGATGTTAAATCAACATCTACTAGCTCGTGTGATAACTAGATTTTCATACCACATTTTGACGTTGTCTATTATCTAGAACTGAACTGATACATTTGATTGTTAGCTCCGGCTGAATGCTCGCTTTTTTTCGGTATTAAACTTCAGGAAGCTTATTCCATGCTCAACAAGTTCGAGGTTTCCGTTTCTCGTGAAGAAGTAGAAGGCGTGGACACCCTAAGATACTCTTTTGAGAAACTTCTTGCCCAGGCGGTGAGTGATAAGACCTCTAATACCGGATTTATATGTGTACACCCATAGCAAAACAATACGTGGCTTTTTTCGATTACAATGAATAACAGTAGGAAATTTGTTGAAAGTGAAGTATAGTACTGTTTGAACCTTGTCATACTCGTTTGGGCTGCGTTGGATTGTTTCTTTTTTAACGTTATGACCGTTATCATTATTGTAAGTGTTACAAGATTGATGTTTAAGAGACACCGCTTCTTGAGTATTACTTCTTAAGCAAGTTGTTTCGACCCATTTTCCCCTCCAAAGCCAGCACACTTTTTAAACAAGCTTAAATTCGCGCTTTTATTTTTTTGTCGGAACAAATTCTCATTTTGGGACCCTCCGATGACTTGTCACTGTGCATGCCACAACCGTACCTTTGTTGCGTACTTTGATGACCATTGTTCTGTTATTTACAGGGTCAAGTACAAAGTCACTTAGTGAAGATTCAGCCCCAGTTCAAAGCTGACCTGCTAGAGAAAGTCGTGGTCTTTCGCGAAGCCTCCTCTAACTACATGAGCGACTACAGCGAGGTGTGCATTTCTACAGACAAACATTTAAAAATACTTTTTGACGAGGTTTTTTTTTTTTTTTTCGGTTTCTTTGTTGTCACTTATGCCTCGTGCTTACGGGTTTCAGATTGGGCCGATGGTGAGTGGCATTACTCCTCAAGAGGCCAGTGACAGACTCAATACCTTCCAGGTGATGGTCTTAATGAAATGCGTAAAAGAACAGCTCAGAGAGGTGCTACAAGCTTATTAACCAGTAACTGCGGGAGCGGCAACTGCACTATACTCCATTTCGATTGGTGCACTTCGAACGAAAAGAAAAGAAGTAGAAACCACGAGACATGGCAGCAATGGAAACAGTTTCGCTGTAATTAAGAACATTGATGAACACGTTTTTTAGGAATGAATGCGAAATTTAATCAAAATCTTGAGTGGGATGCACACTGTAGAATTATACGTATTTGGTCCATTTGAAGAGTAGTGTGTAGTTATTTTTTAAGGTTATTTTCCTGAACTCTTTTCAACTTAGTTGTAGTGAGTATCATATTACCAACTACTGGATTGATTCTAGTTTCAAATGTGGAAGACCGTGTGCTTTAGTTATCAGACTCCCGGAAAAGAAAATTACGACATTGGTGTAGCCGAGGCAACGATGATTAAACTTTTCCAATCACAATTATTGTTTCAATCTTCAGAGTCGTTTTGATGAACTGTGGCGTAAATACACCACCTACTCCGGCGGCGAGCAACTGTTTGGCCTCACTGTAACTGAATATCCTGAATTGGTTCGCACCAAGAAGGAACTGGGATTGCTGCAGAAACTGTATGGACTGTACAATGCTGTTATTGATGGAGTCAACGGCTACTATGATATTCTGTGGATTGAAGTCGACATTGAGAAGATCAATAATGAACTGCTTGACTTTCAAAACAGGTCTGTCATTATCATTTGGATAAACGTGTAGGAGTGTTCAAAAAGACGACAGATTCTAATTGAATAGTTTTACGAGGATTTCAATTACGAAGATTCAAATAATTGTCAAAAATTATTTTAGCCTTATATTTTCCCCCTCACTGCAAAGTCATGACATGTAAACTAAGCCGGTTTGTTCATTCTAAATACCTCTGTTTCTGGGTGAAGTACTCATCAGTACTCGTAACTTTGATTTTAATCACTTCTGGGGATAGAAGGAGAAAGGCTGATTTTGAGAGTTGGCAGTAGCTACTGATCTTTAACTTCGCTAAGTGTCTTCACCTCATGCCACCAAGCTTGCTCGCGTAGCAGCCGCGATCAATGACATGACCGTGCGGTAACCTTTCACCTTTAAACTCCTTTCCTTGTTTAAAAAATTATTAGAATTTGGTGTTAGATCAAGATAACAACTTCTTCCTGATAAGTCTTAGTATTCTCATTACCTGTTGGCTGGATAATGTGCGGATATTACAGGGAGAAGTTACCAGTTAATCACTCCTGGGAGCTAAAGGGTTAACTTCCTGTTTTTTACGAATTTGTTAGATGCCGTAAACTTCCCAAAGCGCTCAGGGAGTGGCAAGCGTTTAATGAGCTAAAGAAAAAGATTGACGACTTCAACGAGTGCTGTCCACTTCTGGAGTTGATGGCGAACAAGGCCATGAAGGATAGGCACTGGGAACGATTAGCTGCCCTTACAGGACACACATTTGAAGTCGAGTCGGAGAACTTTTTGCTGAGGAATATCATGGAAGCTCCCCTGTTGGAGAACAAAGAAGATATTGAGGTACGTTAATAATGCGTATGCAAACCACTTTATATGAATGTATTTGGTGCAAAAAGTGTCTTTGCCCAGTCTCCAGAACTATCCCACATGGCTTTTTTGACTGTCATTCAGTTGAGGGTGGCGCCTTTCTAAAATGTTTTTTCTCCAAGTCGCTGTGACCACGAAAGGGGCGTATAAATCCTGGAAATTTTATCTGAACAGACGGCCGTAAGAGGCCTTAACAATACACGTAAGCGACGATAGACCGCTGGTATCTGGTGAAAATTTCTGCTGGAAGGCATCACTGAAGGCGTTTAAACTTTGATTTATTAAAAAGTTACTTTGACTGGGGGGAACTCGGTCACTCAAGTTTGATCAGTTTGATAAAAAAAGAAACAGAAGAGTTCTTAAATAGTCTTAATACCTAAGAGTTGGACTCCTTCAGTAGAGTTTGAGTTCTTAGTTTAAGTTATTTGTTTTAGGACATTTCCATCTCAGCCGTGAAGGAGAAGGACATTGAGGCCAAGCTGAGCCAGGTTGTAGCGGAATGGAAATCTCAAATGTTCAGCTTCGCAGGATTCAAGAACCGTGGAGAGTTGCTGCTGAAAGGAGGTGAAACATCTGAGATTATCTCACTACTGGAAGACAGCCTCATGGTGTTGGGTTCTCTGTTAAGCAACAGGTAATTTGAAAATCGAGCTGATTAGGTTTCGTGTTGCGTTTAACCTACTATTTTAAAATGAACATAAAATGTTTCATTAAAAAAAAAAAAAATAGAATTCTCAGAACTTCGTTGTTTGTTTACGTAACACGTAGGACTTACTTTATGTTATTTACAGTACAATACATTTAAGTTGAATAAGGATCTTAAAGAAATATTGCTACCAGCAGAGAAGTTGTGAAATTTGCGTAAGTTGGTTTAAAGAAATCTATATCAAACTCTCTGGCACATGGTATTTGTTGATGAAAATTTCCCTTCAGTTGACGGTATTTAACTCTTTTCTGTTTAGATACAATGCACCGTTCAAGAAGGATATCCAAGGCTGGGTTCAGAAGCTATCCAACACTTCAGACATCATCGAGAACTGGATGATAGTGCAAAACTTGTGGGTCTACCTAGAGGCTGTATTTGTAGGTGGAGATATCGCAAAACAACTACCACAGGTATAATTTCAGCTGGTGTAAAGGTCTTTATTTCAAAGGAAAATAAATTTCTCATCAATTGCAGGGAATTATATGCTGTTGAGGAGCAGCAACTCCTAGTTTATATAGCAAATATTATATTGCACTATCTTGAATTCGGTGGTTTTTTCGGACCCTGTCTTGGAATGTGTCCCTATTCATAGACGTTTACAACAAAACGCCAACTAACCTGCAAGCGAGTGTCAGCGTTTAAAACTGTTCTGTTAATCGGCTCACTGTTATGAGCTCTCTTACTTTGCTTTTAGGAAGCCAAGCGATTTGCCAACATTGACAAGTCTTGGGTGAAGATCTTAACGCGTGCGCATGAGACACCTAACGTGGTTCAATGCTGTGTGGGTGACGACACTCTTGGTCAGCTGTTACCTCACTTACTGGAACAACTGGAGCTTTGTCAAAAATCGCTTACTGGGTAAGATATTAGTCTTTTGATTTTCATTTCCTGAGTATGAAATACTAGTAGCAAGGAATACTGAGGGTTGTATTTCTCAAATGCGTTATTTGCTGTTGAATCATTGGTGGAGCTGAGGGAAATTTGTCCGCGTTGCTCTCAGGAAATGGTTTTGAATAAACTATAACTAAATTTCGAGTATATTGTATGTGCTTTTGTTGACCAAACATTTCTTATTTGTTTTCATGCAGTTATCTGGAAAAGAAACGACTTGTGTTTCCCCGTTTCTTCTTTGTCTCTGATCCAGCGCTTTTGGAAATTTTGGGACAAGCCAGTGACTCACACACCATACAGGTTTGGTGTACAACTCTGTTCTTTCACGAATCATGGAAGTAACATAGAGCACTTTTCGATGAATCGTCGTGACAGAAAAACTGAAATAGGCATAACATGTACGCAAACAATATTTGTCATTAGGCGGCATTAAGAACCCATATTAAACACAAGTAACCGACTTTTGGGGTCGGAAAGAGCAATTGACTGAATTGAGAATAGGATTACTTTGGTTTTTCATCTAGTTGGTTGAGAAGCTAGGTGGCGCAGCTTTTCTAAGCCCATGCCTGAACGTAGCGAGCAAAACGGATAAAATCGCGTACTACGATGTCTACACTTAGCTTTAAATATACCCCATCTTTATCTGCTGCTAAATTTGCTTTTACTTTATTCATGCCCGATATTTATTTTTCTATATTGTAGGCGCATTTACTGAACGTGTTTGATAACGTGAAAAACGTGGCATTCCATGAGAAGGATTATGATAGGATCTTAGCCATCATCTCATCCGAGGGAGAGACTGTACAGGTATGGATGGCCTGGCTCTTAAGGACACTTGTTGATGTAAGGTTGCAAACAAAAACAAAATAATCATAGTGATCAATAGCATCAAAAGTGAACCACACAGAGAACTAAATGAAAATCAAAGTGGACATCTGTGACCATTCTTTGCTTGGCTAAGAGGGTAACTCAAGTTTTCCAGACCATTAAATAGCATAGAACAGAAAACAAATGCAGACGCGGGTTACTTTGGGAAATGTGTCGAAAACTGCCCTGAGCAGCTAGGAAGGAAGTTGGGCTATTTCAGAAGTTCGATCGTAACACTCAATAACTGCCTGTCAACAGCTGGAATCACCCGTCATGGCAAAAGGAAATGTGGAGTTGTGGTTAGGGGAACTGCTCAATCAAGCTATGCACTCACTCCATGCAGTTATCAGAGATGCCTATCACGCCACCAACGACGGTGGCTTTCAGCTCATGAGCTTCTTGGGTCAGTTTCCATCGCAGGTACGTCTCTATGACTTCCTGCCATTTTATATGTGCTACTGTGGAGTTTTCACGCTTGTGACCCCAAAGCAACCCATGACAGAGTGCGAAATTGGGGAAAATTCCAGCTATAAAACAATGCTTAAAGACTGGTCATCCCTTAACATCCTAGTAATAATTGCTATAAACTTTCTTACTGTTTTTGGACGTCTTGCTGGATATCCATCATCCTATTCTTCAGCTGCACGATCTTCTTTAAATCTTTGATGTCGCTGCACATTTTAATAGCTTATTACTGGAGATCTCAGTTAGTGTTATGCTTTGCTATTACAGATACGGTGATATTACATTGTGTTCTTTACTGGTGGGTAGGTTGGCTTATTAGGCATTCAAATGATCTGGACCAGAGATGCCGAAGAAGCGCTTAAGAATGCGCGATCGGACAAAAAAGTCATGGCTACGACGAACCAGAAGTTCTTGAATCTGTTGAACTCACTGATTGAGGTTACGACTCAGGAACTGACCAAGATGGAGAGGACCAAGTTTGAGACATTTGTCACGATTCACGTACATCAGAGAGACATCTTTGATGATTTGGTACGATTGTCCTCTTTTCTGTGTATTTCGTGAAAACATCCATGTCTTCCGCTTGTCTGTAAGGTTACAGAAAGGTTTGTCACAAGTCAACTTGTTAGGGCAAGAAGTGTTGCTGAAATGGCATGTTTCACGGGTAACCTGTCAATTGCAGTGTGAAACACAAAATTTGTTCATAATCAGTTCTCAAATAACGAGATGATGTAATTAAAACACTGAGTTTGAAGAACTCTTTATGGTAAATTATTTTAAAGGTTAAATAGTCTTTAGTGATTATTTGGTAAAATACAATTAACATGGGCTGTCCAAAATCACGTATCCTCTTTTTCTAAGTACTTTTCCAATTAATTACCATTTAAGTACTTTTTTCTAAAATTCAAATAACGCACGGTGTGTATGTCCATACTGCTGTTATCCAAGTGGCAAATCTCTGAATGTTCAGTTGTCAGTAAAATGCATGCGCACTGACCGACTTTTGCTACTTTCCTTCATTGTTATCGCAGGTCAAGATGCACATCCGCTCAGTGACAGACTTCGAGTGGCTGAAACAATCTCGCTTCTACTTCAAGGAAGACATCGATGATTGTATTATCTCCATCACAGACGTTGACTTCAGCTATCAGAACGAGTTCCTGGGCTGCACAGACAGGCTCGTCATCACTCCTCTCACGGACAGATGTTACATAACACTTGCTCAGGCACTGGGCATGTCTATGGGTGGTGCGCCCGCTGGACCTGCTGGTACTGGCAAGACTGGTAAGAGTGCTGTCGCAACCTTACGTCTTTAAGATTTGGTGTAAAGATTCAATAACACGATACACTCCTCGATTTTCATTGAGAGCCGACTCTTAAAATATTCTTCTGAAAATCTGAGTGCTAAAATGCTCCTGGTTTGGTTTTGGAGGCTCGTGTTGCCCCCAGGAATTGTCAGACTATAATGAAATTTTTGTTGTGGAACTGCGTCAGCACCATGAAAGCCTATTTTCTGAATATGGTTTCGTACAATCGCTTTATACCGTAGTTATCACGCTAACCATTCTACTTGTTATCAATTGGAAATTGCTTGGTTTGTTCTAGAGACAACTAAAGACATGGGAAAGGCTCTTGGAAAGTACGTGGTCGTTTTTAACTGCTCTGATCAGATGGACTTCAGAGGCTTGGGTCGCATTTACAAAGGTAAAATCAGTCATATCGATATTATGAACAAACCTGCTCGAGAAATGCAATCAAAGTTAAGTTAGACAATGGTAGTAAATCTGTCATCGCGCCAGACGTTTTGAACTAATTGCGATTCTTTTTGTTATATAGGTTTAGCACAGTCTGGAAGCTGGGGTTGTTTCGATGAGTTCAACCGCATTGAGCTTCCTGTGTTATCAGTTGCCGCACAACAAATCTACATCGTCCTAACAGCTAAGAAGGACCGAAAGAAGCAGTTTGTATTCAGCGATGGAGATGTTGTGGATCTTAACCCAGAGTTTGGTATTTTTCTAACCATGGTAAGTGAGCAGATTGGATTTCGTCACTGTTTTGTTAGAGTTCTTGTGATTATTGACTCAACATGCCTTTTTTGTAGAATCCGGGATACGCAGGCCGTCAAGAGTTGCCAGAGAATCTCAAAGTCCAGTTTCGCACTGTCGCCATGATGGTTCCCGACAGACAGGTTCTCAATTCAATTTGTTGTGTCGGTTTGTTTTTCTCTTTGTTTAAAAGAAGTGAATTTGTATTTGTTGTGATATTTTAATATTCCAGTCGTGAAAGGGTTTATTTATAACTTAAAAGTACTTCTTATTTCAGATTATAATGAGGGTGAAACTAGCCAGTTGCGGTTTTATTGAAAATGTCATTCTGGCTCAGAAATTCTTTACGCTCTACAAACTGTGCGAAGAGCAGCTCAGCAAACAGGTTCGTGTAACGTTATTGAAAAAAATGTAGATTCTCTCTGTGTGGGTATGTTTAGGGAGAAGAAGAGTCCATTTAAATCTTTCCTCTAGCAGCAGACGCCTGTAACCGACAGAGAGAACACTACAATCCTACAAGGTTAACTACTTTGTTGAACAACGTGTATTGTTCTTTATAAGGAGCGACTCCAAAAGACAGTACAGTAATTATCTTCACAAAACTTATTTTAGCCTGCTACAGTCTCTATCCTAGCTCACCACTGACACAAACTCATAGTTTTCTCCATAGCTCCTTTAATAAACAATTTTCACAGTAACTCTCTCTCAGAATAGCTTTCCAAACAGTCGGTTACCCCCGACAACAGCAACTACAAGTACTATACGACTGAGTCCTTATATACATTTACAAAGTATTCCAAAACACTCTGGAAGCTTACAAAACAACTATTTTGGTTAGTTACATTATAAATGCGTGACCTAATAAAATGGTCTAGAAGGTTCCATGGTATGTATGTCAGCATGACAAAGCGTTCTAGAAATTTCGAGATATTTATCTTTACAGGTATTATCCATAACACTTTATTTTCGGCTGGCCTAGTGAAAATGGTTTTCAATTGCTATATTGACTACCTTAAGAGACTGGTGCTTATAAGATAAGCTTTTGTTACTTGGGTTATCACTAAATGTTTGCCATTTACCTGGTGAAAGGGAGAAAATTGGTGCCGTGTAGTTTTTAGTCTTATCTCCTTTCAACATAAATTGTTTTGCTCGATTTGAAATGAAAGTCAGGTTGTTGCACTCTTTATGACAAGGGCTACCAGGGCAGTATGGGAAATCTGATTTTGATACCAGCAGCTTCAATAATTTGACCTCATCATGTAGTTTGTGTCCAGAATTTCAGTGCAAAGTAGCGATTCCATGAATTGAAGTATTTTTTTCCCAACTGAAAATGTGTAGGTTCACTACGACTTTGGTTTGCGAAACATCTTGTCAGTGCTGCGTACTTTGGGTGCTGCTAAACGAGCCAACCCACAGGATAGTGAAAGTACCACTGTAATGAGAGTACTACGAGATATGAACCTATCCAAACTGGTAAGATGCATGTAATACGAACAGAATAAACGAGATCGTTCGTGGTTGACTTGATTTGTTCCGAGACTTGAAGACTTGAAGAGGTATTGAATTCGGGAGTCTTCAAGAGCTTTAAAAAATAGTGAAAACTGAAAATTAATTACTGAAATAAAATGCTCAAAATAACTGCAACTGTTGCCTAATTACTAGGTGAGAGCTCGGCATAATTTCTGAATTTACTGAACTGACGGCTGAAATATTTGAATGATACTAATTTTGTGGCAAACCTCCCACATATGAATGTTCAGGCCATGCGATTTGAGTGGTGAAAATCCGTGAAAGGGTTCAGAAAAAGTCTAAAACTTGTTCTGAACTTTGAACACAAACATTGTACCTTTGGTTTTATGTATTTAGGTGGACGAGGACGAACCCCTTTTTCTGAGTTTGATCAATGATTTGTTCCCTGGAATAGTCTTGGACAAGGCTGGTTACCCTGAACTTGAGGAAATGATTCAGAAACACGTTGAAGAGGCAGGACTGATCTTCCATCCTCCTTGGATACTCAAACTAATCCAGGTATCGGCAAATATCTTGAGGAAAATTTTTAGCCTTGAACCTTACTTTTTTTGAAGAAATCATTTATACCAGGTCATTCCCAGATAAATAGTTAATGTGGGTACATTTAGACACATTTTTTACCGCAGTTGTAACGTGATTTGCATGGAAACGTGTTGAAACATGACGAAAATAGGGCCTTTTTGTATCGTTTAGTTTTTAAGACTTGGCTTTTTTAGGATTTCCATTAGTCTATGTTTGCATTGTAAAGGATTTGTGTTTTTAATCATCGCAAGCTGTTGCTTTGGTTTTTTGTTCATCCTAGCTCTACGAAACTCAGCGTGTTCGTCATGGAATGATGACCCTGGGACCAAGTGGAGCCGGCAAGTCAGTTTGTATTAACATCCTCATGAAGGCCATGGGCGACTGCGGTGCTCCACATCGGGAGATGCGCATGAATCCGAAGGCTATCACTGCGCCGCAGATGTTTGGCAGGTTGGATGTAGCGACTAATGACTGGACAGATGGCATATTCTCTACTTTGTGGCGAAAAACGCTAAAGGCAAAGAAAGGTTTGTGTCCACGAGCTACTCTTTAGGTATTCTTCAAATTGCACATGAAATGTAATTTTATGACCAAGTAATTTCTGTTTTGTGGAAAACTATCTTCAACTTGACCACGAAACGTGAATGCGGTAAAGTTATACCAAATCCATCCAACTTTGAAATAACTAAGAATTTCCTTTTGCCCATGTCTAGCCTTTGTAATGAAACCACAGAGAAGTTGGGCAAAATAATTATGAAGTATAATCGTTTGTTTCACAAATTTATTCATGCTGTTACTCCTATTCTGGCACTGAAATAAAATGGCAACTCGTAACAGCGCGTAAAAGCGGCTTCGCATTGGTCAGCAGCTGTGATTGGCGCATTATGAGGATGTGTTACTTCACGTTAACGGTAAAACTGACCGCTTCAGTTTCGTTCATTCGAGCACGATGAATAAAAAAAAGCCTTTCACAATGTACACAGGGGGCAAGTTTCTAAAGAAACTGTAGTACTGCGTCGGTGGGAGAGTATAGCAGGCTAATTTAGTATTATCAACTGAGTTGTCAACGTAAATTGGCCACCATAAAGAGCTTCAAAGCTGACGTTTCGAGCGTTAGCCCTTCGTCAGAGCGAATGGAGGAATTTTTTACCTTTCACAATGTAGATTGACTCTACTGTTAATGGCTAATTAGCTCTCTTGGGTCTAATACGGGATTTTTGCAGGGGAACACATTTGGATCGTACTAGATGGTCCTGTGGATGCCATTTGGATCGAGAACCTGAACAGCGTTCTGGACGATAACAAGACACTTACACTAGCCAACGGAGACCGAATCCCTATGTCACCTCAATGTAAAGTTGTGTTTGAGCCACACAACATAGATAATGCTTCACCTGCCACTGTATCGCGTAATGGAATGGTGTACATGAGCTCCTCGGTTATGGACTGGAGACCAATAGTCAAGGTGCTTCACTTTTCTCAATGAAACGTCCTCTGTTGAAAAAAGCTGGAAAAAATATTCCGTTTAACAATTTGTAGATGAAACTGTTGAAAGAATCAAAGAGGACGCATCGATCCTCTGTTACCCTGAGTTTGGCGCCAACCATGACTTGTCAAACAATCCACCATATTTCCATCCTTAAAAACAAAATCGCCCACATTTTCCTGCTTTCCTGGTTGACTTCTTGTTTGATTCTTAAACCTACGTAGGCTTGGCTGAACAAGAGAGAAGTGCAGGAACATGACGTGTTGGAACCGTTGTTTGAGTGCATCTTTGATGAGGTTTACACTTACGTCAAGCAGAATCTTTCTCCAAAGATGGAGGTGTTGGAATGTAACGTCATCAAACAGGTAACTGTGCAGCTCTCTCAACGTAAATTTCCTACGTGAAGGAGGGGGGGTGCTTATCAATTTCGAGGGCTTCTAAAGTAAAGGGGGGCTCATTTTACTCGGCGTATTTAAATTACAAAGCACCAAAAAGGATGCAATGACGGAGAGCACGTTTTCTCTGTTGCTTGAATTTGAGGATTCTTTATCTTTTTCACGTTTTCATCGGTCAATCTCCAGATGGATGGCAATGTTGGTTGGCTTAAGCCATACTATACACACTTCCGCTTGTCTGGTCTAGTTCATACTTGCTGGGGACTAACGTCGTAGACAAATAAAACTTATGAAGGGTCGCTGAGCCCCATGAACATCAGCACCACAGCAAGATAACTCAATCCATTCCTGATAACGGCTGTTTTTGTTCGCATTTTGCAGTGTATCGACATACTGGAGGGTCTTATTCCAAGCAAAGAGGAACACGGTGTTCTTAAACCAAACCACTTAAGTCGACTTTTTGTTTTTGCTCTCATGTGGGGAGTGGGTGCTCTACTGGAGATAGAAGACCGTGCCAAGATGGAGGAGTTTCTTGTCAAACACGGAAAGCTTGCTCTGCCTGATATCGACGCAGGAAGCCAGGACACCATCTTTGAGTTTGTGGTAGACAACTGTGGTGAGCACCGGTTATTTATTACCTTTCCCATAACACAAAAATTGATTCTTAAGATCTACGCATAAAGTAAATAGTAAACTTTGAAACATGCGCAAATTGACTCCTCTTAAGCGCCTTATAAAGGTTGTTACGGTTTTGAAATTTGGTGTCGTTGAAGGCATTAGTCTTACGGCCGGTAAGATATCTTCGTAATTGAGAATGTGGGGAAATTATTATAATCAATATTTTATATACATGATATAAAAGTTGTTTTTTGATTTACATAACACAAATTGTTGAAAATAGGTATTTCAGATCCTGGGTAGAAATGTCCAAAGCTGATGGTGTTGTTAATTGTACTGTTAGGTAATTGGGAACACTGGTTGAACCGAGTTCAAGAGTACAACTACCCACCTGATTACAAACCCGAGTACTCCTCCATCTTAGTACCAAATGTTGACAATGTCAGAACCAGCTTCCTTATGGAAACTATCGCCAAGCAGAGCAAGGTTCGCGCTTTAGTGTGTTTACCCCAATATACTTCTGGAAGGTTGGACCACTCAGATTTCAAAGAGATTTCATTATTATTTGCATTCTTTCGGCCAGATCAGTCAACTTTTAAATTTTATTCACTTTTCTGATGGAAGCTGAACGAAAGCTTAAACCTTAATTACAAAAAGAGCTATTCGAGTTTAACTGACGACTCTTAGGTCCTCATAAGTTTCGCCTTGTTCAAAAACCGTAATTTCCGTGTCCGGCGAGGTGATTTTACATGGATAGACAACTGTTCACAGCTGCACAGAAAACCTGTTGGAAAACACCGGGTTTATTACCAGGTTTTCTTTAACGGGCACCCGTTAAAGAAAACCTGGTAGTATAAAGTCGTGTGTACTTAACCGACAAGAAAAAGAAAGCTTGACACTAAGTTAGATTAAGATTTTCGCTTCCTTTTTTAAAAGGCAGTACTGCTCATTGGGGAACAGGGTACAGCAAAGACAGTGATGATCAAAGGTTACCTTGCCAAATACAACCCTGAAGTGCACATGAGTAAGAGCGTCAACTTCTCTTCTGCCACCACACCTTTACTCTTCCAGGTCAGTTCACTCAGTGTCAGATCTATCTTTAGCTTCCAAATAATAGTTCCAAGCTTACTCTGACCGCATTTTGTTCCTTTTATAGCGTACAATCGAGAGCTACGTGGACAAACGCGTGGGTACCACGTACGGACCACCGGCGGGGCGCAAAATGACCTGCTTTATCGATGACGTCAATATGCCTATTATAAATGAATGGGGTGATCAGGTTAGCTGGTTCTTATATATTTTAGGTCACCATTTAGAGCTTTGCCGCAATTTATATCGTTGGCACATTTAAATCTCTGAGATGTGCCACGTGCTTGATCTTGCCATTTCGTATTTACCTTATTCTGAGTTAGACCTTTATCCGCGCGCTTGTTCTAGGCGTCAGTGCAACCCTTCGTTCGAATCTCTTAGATTTTGGAAATTAATGTAATGATTGCATACGAATATGCGGTGTTAAGGTTAAGTGTCCTAGATCAATCCGTGACTGCACTGGTACTACCCCCACCATGTTCTCCAAGGGATTTTTTAAAACTCTCTTGCCACCTCTAACTCAGTTGCAAAAGCAAATTCAGTTACAACTTGGTCATGTGACTTTTTTGGGTCTCACAGAAAAGTGCTACCCCGTTGATAATGAAGCTAATCAGAAAAATGCAGGAAAAAAAAAGAGAGAAGTCAGACTTCAAAGGAAATGTTATTCCCCAACAAGAACAAGATGAATACACCTCTTTCACTGCTGATCTCACTTAGCGATACCCTTCGGATGCCTTTTTAGGTAACAAACGAGATTGTGCGTCAAGTAATGGAGCAACAAGGATTTTATAATCTGGAGAAGCCTGGCGAATTCACACACATCGTGGACATTCAATTTATTGCGGCCATGATCCACCCAGGAGGAGGAAGGAATGATATTCCTGAGAGGCTCAAGCGTCAGTTTAGCATCTTCAACTGTACCTTACCTTCAAATGCGTCTATTGATAAAATATTTGGTAAGTTTCTTGAAAGTTTAACAGTCTTTATTACCTCAACTGTTCTTACTACCAATTTTTATGCATGTTTGTACCTATAGTATTTAAGTTTGGATTATTTGAGGCTAGCTACGATAGTTATCGCTATAGAATTGATAATTTACAGTAGAGAACACTTCGTTTAGGCTTCAAGTTAAGGTTTTAGCACACATTTTGTAAAACTCAGTCAGGAAGTTATTAAAAAGCATCACTTTCTTTATCGACCGTTTGTGAAAAAAATCTTTAAGGGAAATTTAGCTTTGAACCAATTGAAACTTTTAAATGTACGATGTCTAGATGTCGTTCATACACTCAAAAACTAGTTTAGGCCTAAGAGAAATATTTCGTCTAATTTTACAGTTTGTGAACAACTGAAATAAAATTTGATTTTGTAAGTTAGTCCATCCAAGTTAAGTAAGTTTTATATCCTTTCCTTTTCGCTGCCAACTTAATTTCCAACATAGCTTTAAGTGGTTGTTCAATATATTAGTTATTTGTAAATGTCTTTTAAAATTATTGTCTTTAGTTAGTGATCTTATATACGCTTACTCCTAACGATCCTTCCATTCAAGGTGTCATTGGTACTGGGTATTTTTGCTCAGCTCGATTCTCAGATGAAGTTTGTGATATCGTCGATCAGCTCGTCGCCTGCACAAGGGTTCTTTGGCAGAAAACCAAAGTAAGAAACTCTTGTCTTTGTAAGACGACTTAAATTTTTATTATCTCCACAGAAGATGCAAAGATCATTGCCCGGCCGTGGTGGATATTTGAATTTTAACTTTGAATGGGTATACATCGTTGGATTCCAATGTTCTGTTTGTTATCTAACTATGGATGAAGTATACAAGCCAAGCACAAATCAAGAGCACCAAATACAGCCATGAACTGCTTGTAAACCCAGCTCACGTGAAAGCTATTTCAAGTTACTACCTGAAAATAAGTAATGATAAGTGGACTGAGCGGAGTGCAATTTTGGTCTCAGCAGGGCTCAGCTAAGGAGTGTAAAATGGTTCCAAGTAACTCTTGATGAACCTGAAAAAATTAGCATTCGGAGTCAGCTAAGCATCCCTTACGAGGGAGAGACAGTATGCGTAATCGTTTCGTTGTTCTATACGGTCTTAGTTCAGTTGTTGAGATTTTGGATCTCTTGAAAACCTGCCCCCATTCCGTGTTTGAATGGTAACAATTCTTTGACTTCCTTTAGACCAAGATGTTACCTACACCCGCCAAGTTCCACTACATTTTCAACCTGCGCGACTTGTCACGTATATGGGAAGGCATGCTAAACGTAGCTGGAGAAGAAGTCAACACTAGGAAGCTTGCTCTAGCGTTGTGGAAACACGAGTGTACTCGAGTGATAGCCGATCGCTTCACGAACGACGCCGACCGCAAGTGGTTTGAGAAGACGATAACAAGAGTAATTGAGGAACATATGGGCGAGGAAGGTGTGGAACAATTGATGGACGAACCTTACTTCGTTGATTTTCTCAGGTGTGTACGTAGAAATAGGTCTTCCGAGAGTTGGTGAGTCTACCGAAACATTTGGTGTTAAGTTGAGAGGGTGATCTTGTTTACTGAACTGAAAAGAACTCTTTTAGTTTGAGCTGTAATGTAACGATCGATAAGGGTTTTATTCCTTGCCTTAGCTCTGTTTATTAATTGTTACTCAGTCCTTTGATTTGTTTTTGTTTTTGTTGTTTTTTTTTTTGCACTGTTTGTTAGTTATTCACATTCTGAATATTTATCTGGCTGTTTTCATCATTTTGCTATGCTGAGGCTTATCAAGACTAGAACAGCTGTCTTTGGTTGTTAGCGCTGTGGCTTAATTTTTCATCAAACTTCTGTCGGCAGCCACCATAACTGTTGCGATAGAGAGCGTGCTGTGGCTTCAACGTACCATTTTTACCATATCACCATTTTGCTGTTATATAGTCTTAGTTTGTGGTATATTTATACCAATCTTTTAGAATAAAATGTAAACCTTTCACCAGCGAATTGTAGCCACTTGTTGATTAGAACACATAGCACCAATATAGCACTGTTTACGGACGTTATAATTTACCATACATGGTATATGGCGATGAACTTGTAGGCACTATCCTAATCTGGATGAAGGCATCGAAAGCTCATGCCTATAACGCCTGGAAATTCTTGATAAAAAGGTGAATTCTTTTTCAGGGATGCACCAGAACCGACAGGAGAGGAAGCAGAAGATGCCGATTTGGATGCACCCAAGATTTACGAAATGGTAAATTAAAGAGCGCACGAGACTAGATGTCACCAAGACTAGGTCAGCTACCATGCGAAATCGGCCGCTAAAAGACACTTTTTTATTCCTGAGCAACGAACTGCTTTGGGGACATTTAATTTTAAAGTACAATTGAAATGAAATTAATTGTTACAGACTAATGTAATCATATCAGAATCTATGGTAAGATCTATAGAAATCTCAAATTATGAAATTTCTGATTTCGAAGAGCACAGTCCTTGCAGCCATCCGTGATAAACATGCTTATAAATCTTAAATAACGATCATGTATATGGCACTGTGGTGTGTAAAGGTTTTTTGAGTACCCTGTTTTGAACCCTGTTCTTGAAAGACCTTGCAAATGAAAAAGACATGCATTGCTATAGTGGCTCTTGTGTTTTGCAGGTGCCGACGTTGGATTTTTTGAATGAGAAGCTGGGCCAGTATATGGCGATGTATAACGATACCGTTCGAGGAGCAAACCTAGATCTGGTGTTTTTCAAAGATGCAATGACTCATCTCGTAAAGGTAAACTTTGTTTTCCCATGTGGGGGGACAAAAAGCCTTGCGATAGACGAGAGAGGAACCAGTTTGTCCTCTTTACCGTGACTTCATGTAACATTCAGTTGAGATGAACATTCATCTGCCTGTATGTGGTATAATTATCTGTTTCACATCAGATAGTGCAGATCCGAATGTTCAAAACCTAGATACTTTTTGTACTGTTCTGTGCGCCACGTGGGCTATTCAAACTGTTTTTTCTTATCAGATCTCCCGTATTATCCGCACACCGTGTGGCAACGCCCTTCTTGTTGGAGTAGGAGGGTCTGGCAAACAATCTCTTACAAGACTTGCCTCTTTTATCGCTGGATACAAAATCTTCCAGATTACACTTACAAGGTGAAGCCATACTCAACTGTTACCACTCGGTTTTGTTTTGCAGCATTCACGGGACTAAAGGTCTACATATGTACAATAAAAAAAATAACTTCTCTCTTTTCATGAACTGATTCAAGCTTTATTGCCCATTCAATTCACTTTACAGGTTTGAGATTTATTGGTCATGATTTTCAAAGGGTAAGAGAGTGGTGGTGGGGGTAGGGTCTCGTTTTCTGGAAATTAGAAGAGGCGACCATTCCCTGGCCAGCCAGTTTTACAAATTTTTTAATACTAGTTTAGTTTAACGCTAGTTTTGCGTCCTAGGACGAAAGCTCATCGCAGGTTTTTGCACTGCCGCTACACTCTTACTGAACTATAGCTACTAAGAGCTCAGTCAATTCAACGTCACATCTGTTGGTCAAATTTACAGGTCATACAATGTCAGCAACTTGATGGATGATCTTAAATACCTGTACCGTGTCGCAGGCTCTGAAGGAAAAGGCATTACATTTGTCTTCACTGATAATGAGATCAAAGACGAGAGTTTCCTGGAATATCTGAACAACGTGCTTTCTTCCGGAGAGGTATGAAGCGTTTTACTATGGCTGTGGTCTTTCCTCCGAATGTTACTGCTTTTGATAGAATTTTTTTCAAACTGATGTCCTATTTATAGTCGTGAGTTTTCTTTGGGAAGTGGACTTGTGAATGCTAAATACTGTTGTAAGGAAAATTTGCCAATAGCACATGGATTTGTCGAGGAAAAACTGCTACAAAAGCACTCTCTCTCTCTTTATCCTTTAACAATTTCCTTGGTAATTGTCATTGTATGTAACTGATTTATACCAGTCCCGGACAAGTCTCCTTTTTACAATAGAGGCTAGTCAGGCTGTAGAATAGAGGACGTTTTAAGGAAAAACTTGTCACATTTTTCAATCTACACCTTTAGGAATAACTTCCAACGTAAATGCGGCTTCATCAATGATTTCTTCTATCGTCAGGTATCTAACTTATTTGCTCGTGACGAGCTGGACGAAATAACTCAAGGTCTCATCGGAGTCATGAAGAAGGAGATGCCGCGAGTTCCACCAACCAATGATAACTTGTACAGCTATTTCATCTCGCGCTCCAGAAAGAATCTGCATGTGGTTTTATGCTTTTCACCCGTAGGTTTTACTCACTTATTCCTTAAAGTCCCTAACAAAACGGGAATAATTTAGGGCTCTTATTGGCTTGCTGCAGTTCAACAGTGTAATGCAGGAGATTCATTTGTAAGACTCGGTGGAAATTGGTAGAAGCGGAATAATGTTTTATTTTAAAAAGCAATTATTTCAAGCAAGATGAACGAATTGTAACTTGTACCTCTCTGGCATTGTTCGACTTTTAACCCTTAAAAAGTGTTTATTGTAGAACAGTAGCAGATCGGTATCTCAATACACGAGAAATAGATACTTTCAGTGGTCCTCAATTTCAACCATCGTTTACCATACCTTACCACTCTCCTAAACTGGGTGAGAGAATGTCATAGGGGCTCCCTTTCATGTCTTAATTTTGATTACCTTTAAGAGTATTTGCTGCATCTTATTTTCAAATTGGCGTTTTTCAGTAGCTCTCGAGTTCGTCCTCTATTAAATTTTACTGCAGGTTGGAGAGAAATTTAGAAACCGCTCTTTGAAGTTTCCCGGCTTGATCAGTGGTTGTACCATGGACTGGTTTACCCGCTGGCCAAAGGATGCATTGATTGCAGTGGCAGACTACTTCTTGTCCAAGTTCGACATCACGTGCACGGCGGCTATTAAGAATAGTGTGGTGCAGACCATGGGAACCTTCCATGATGGAGTGGCTGAGGCCTGCGTCGAGTATTTTGAAAGGCAAGAAAATGTCAAAATGTATTGCTACTGCGTTTATTTTCCAACTTTTGAGACACTTTATGACTCAGAGGTATGGGTACTCATAGTTGATTTATTTTCAACATACTTCCTCAAAGCTCAAATAACCGGCTTTAAATTTCTAACACTAGTTCCGATATGAAGAAACTTTTTGTCTCATCTCTTATTTGCTTATGTCACTTTCCAGGTTCCGTCGTCAAACACACGTGACTCCCAAATCGTACCTGTCATTTGTGGACGGGTACAAAACCATCTACGCCGAGAAGAGATCACAGATTGGCGAACTCGCGAACCGTATGAACACTGGACTTGATAAACTGGTAGAAGCCAGTGCCTCAGTGGCGGAGCTGGCAAAGGAGCTAGTTGTGAAAGAGAAGGAACTTGCCGTTGCCTCAGTCAAGGCTGACAAAGTATATAATTATTCCTTAAGTGTTGTCGTGTAGATGTGATTGTCGACTTGGTCATACCGATTGCGAATTCGAAAATTGTACGGGTTTGGCTCAAACTGTACAATTTTGGGGGGCTTAAGCCAAGTTGCAGATTCTCCAAACTGGTAGGGCCGGTTAGCTATACAAAGTTTAGCCACTGTTTAACCAAACCTCGTCCTAAACAATCGTCACTTAGCTGAATCTTTTATCTGAAAATTTATTTTTGTGAACAGTGTAAAGAGGACCGAAAGCTAACAGTGGAAGGAAATGTATAAAATTAAATCAGCTCTTCTTGTAGAGAAAACCTGAGGCCCACTGATTGCGTAAAACCGTGGTTTGGGTTAAACCTCGTGTAAATAACCGGCCTGTAAGCTGACCGAGCGTAAAATGTATCTTCTTTCTCATTCTGCACTGGACGTTTTTTATATCGTATATTGTAATACTTTACAAGACGAATGTCATGTATAAGCTTTCGTCGTTGCCTGGCTTCCCAGCGAGTTCTTGGTAGTTCGGTTGAATGGCGTATCTTATCGCGAAATCATAACTGGCTGAGGTTTAGCGCTTCTTCGTTTCTTTGCCCATCGCTCTCAGTAAATGATTAACTTCTTCCGTTATGCCTTTGCGATTTTCATCGATTCTTTAACGAGTAAAAAATGCATAGCCAAAATAACTGGTTTTTGAAGTATTGCTCTTTGCCTTATTGCGTCACTGCAGTCATGGGGTATTCATGTGCTTTACCTAGGTACTGGCGGAGGTGACCGTTAGTGCTCAAGCCGCCGAGAAAGTTAAAGCCTCGGTACAGAAAGTGAAAGACAAAGCTCAAGCGATCGTGGATGAAATTGAGGCAAGTGCCTGATTAAGTCTGTGTCAGTCAAGGTTGTTGGCTTTATTTGCTCATTTTCGATCGAATGTCGAAAGGTTATTATTGAAAACAAAATGAGTGCAACGTTTTTAATTAGGCTGATAAAGCTGTTGCGGAAAAGAAGCTGTCAGCAGCCAAGCCAGCTCTGCAGGAAGCTGAGTCAGCCCTACAGGTTGGTGCAAATGGAGCGTGGTTAATTTGTATTCAGACTAATTAGGGCAGAACTCCGTCATTATCCTCTGTTATATGTCTGTCCTTCGTTCCTTAAAAACGATCTTGTCTGACTTCCTATTCGTTATGACCATATAATTTCTTATGAAACACCAATAGCGGTATCTGGGAGGTTTGGCGGAACAACTTTAAGATGTGTCACGTGACTCAACCGGTTACATTTTTAATTTTACAGGACCTTATACTCTTTAGGTTTGCCATAAACTAATTGAATTTGTTCTCACTAATTCAGCCACTAACCATTTCTCTTCCTACGCCCTATGCCTTACACACTCTTCAATCCCTGTAAAGTAGATTTTACTGGAGCTTATTATTCCAGTTTACTGCTACATAGTTATAGGGTTGGCCGAAAGTATTGTTTGATGCCTATAAAATATAACTTTACATCCAATTCAAATTTTACATATTGTGGGTACTTCGGTGGAATTTTACGATTTAGAACCCGTTTTGAATTACATTTTGTGGGTATTTCGGTGTGGTATTTTATCACGTTTGTGGTTTTGCGCACGTTTTACTGCCTATTCTATAGCCTATTGTTTTGCCTTACGACAAGTAAAATTCCAGGAACGAACTGCAATTCAAGCTCCTTATCTATGGTAACTAATTTGTTGTCTCGCCAGACTATCAAAGCTGCTGACATATCTACTGTTCGTAAACTGGCTAAACCACCTCATTTGATCATGCGCATCATGGACTGTGTGTTACTTCTCTTCAGACGTACAGTATCCCCATTTATCTATGATGCAGAGAGGCAGTGTCTTACACCCAGTTGGAGTGAATCTCTTAAGGTGACACCATTCATATTTACTCTCTACGATGTGAGACATTGTTTAGGTTTTGCAACTATCCTCGCCATATATGTTATTAAATCGTAACTCGGAATGAGGTAATCTTCTGTCTTGAAGGTCACCTATTGACTGAATCTGTTCAATATTAAAAACATGCAGCGATTGGATGCTCGATCTGGACCTGTAGCAACTTGTAAGTAATTCGTTGAAAGAGCCTTATGATTGGATTTACCTGATTCAAATTTCTATGTTTGTTCCTAATTATGCTCTAGTATTGATCTATATTTCTTTTACAGAAAGAAAAGTGCTAAAATCTTAATGCAAAAAAAGAAGATAAGAGTAATAGTTCGCCACAGATCGCCATGCAATCTTACAAGAAAAAGATAATTTACCTCATGGCCGCGTCCTGGCCTGAATAAAAGAAGTAAATCAAAAGAAAGCTGACATTTTGTCATTTGGAGATTTCTTAAAGCTGAGCTGAGAAATTTACAGAGAGCTTGTTTTTATTATTATCATTACTATCGTAGTTATTATTATAATTATTATTTTCATTACCATTATTATTTTTATCGTTATTATTTTAATGATGATTAATATTATTATTATTTGACTTTTTACTTTTTACTATGTTACAGTGAATGAACACTAATGCATCAAATTTTCGTATAGCTTATGAGTCAGGGAGGATTCCTTCAAAATTTAGTAAACTTTCCAAAAGACACAATCAACGAGGAAGCTGTTGAATTACTTCAACCCTACCTTTCGATGGAAGACTACAACTTAGAAACTGCTAAAAAGGTTTGTCACTTTGGTCGTAAAGAATGCTTTACAGAAATGTCCAGGGCTTCCTTTTAATACTCACTTCCCGTTCCTCTGTTTTTCTTTTAAAGGTTTGTGGCAATGTGGCAGGATTGTGTTCGTGGACATGTGCGATGGCTTTTTTCTATGAAGTGAACAAAGAGGTTTTACCTCTGAAGGTAAGCTATGGAGGGGCAAAAGGAGATATTAGATCCTTTATTGTTGTTATGCAGACTGTCTTCAATGCCTTTATTAATGACCCAAGGCAGTGAAATGGTACACAAGTACTACGGTCATTCCGCGTAAAGAAGTTCTGAAGATGAATGGCTTATTATTCCAACTAAGCTGTACGAGAAGAGAAGAAGGAAAGAGCCACAAGAAGAGAGAGGAGCCGCCTAGTTGAGTGGCTGCATCCAAGAGAGTTGGTTTATCTCACTAAAAGCTTTATGGTTATTAAATTGCACATGAGCATTAACTCAGAACTGGAGTCCCTTCATTAGGCACTGATCGGTGACTAGATTTAAGAGACTTGATATGACTCACAATTTAGATTCGCGCCATCAGGAAAAACAAAAAAACAAAACTCACACAAGTTTCCTGTATGGACAAATATTTGAAAGCACCACGTCACGCTGGCAAACAAAAGCATGCCATTGGAAGGAAATGAAGGAAACATTTGCATTAATTTTTTTAATGGGTTATTTCTTTAATTGTGTCTGTTTTTTCCAGGCTAATCTCGTCGTACAGGAGGCAAGACTCAAAGTGGCTGCCGCTGAACTGAACAGTGCACAGGCTCAATTGGATGATAAGCAGCGGGAACTGGACAAAGTGCAAGCAATGTACGATGCCGCTGTCAGGGAGAAACAGGTGACAACGGCGTCTACTAACGTGTATTTTAAAATATTCTTCTAGGTATTTGGTTTAGAGCCTATCGCTATGTGGAACGACTGGAGCACATCCCGGTTTCCTGTGTTGAAATTAGACTAATCTACAATCATGGGGCTCCGTGCAGGTCTCCAATTTCGTCTCTGCAAGGTGCTGCTAGTCGTTTCAATTACTGTGTGGAGAAATTAACTGAAAAGTAAATGTCAGAACCAGCAGAAAAAGCGATCAAGATGTGATGGAATAATTGACAGAACACTACTCCAGATAGATGCTTTTAAAAGAAGTTTATCCTTGAAATGTCCTCTGAAAATGGCTTTCTATTACTACGACAGGAGTTGCTTGACGATGCTGAATCATGTAAGAACAAAATGCAAGCTGCTTCTGCGCTCATTACAGGCTTGGGAGGTGAGAAGGTTCGGTGGACTCAACAGAGTAAAGAGTTTCAGGATCAAATTGGCAGGTAAGACAATCGGGAAGCAGATTTGTTGTATTGATTCTACTTCATGACGTTTATGATTGGCCTAGAAAACTCACGCCACATTCTCAAACAATCAGTTGCAAAACTAAAATCCATAAGCACGTGATCACTTAATTTTATTTCCCTGCGCTTGGTTTAACTGCAAAGTAAGTGCAGCTATTTGTGATATTTACCGGCTTTGCTCAGATTTTTGTAGCGATCACTATTTTTGGCTTCACTACACTCAATGAAAAATAACTCCCGAATATAAGGTACTTGTGTTGCTGTCATTTGATTTGAAGAATTTAGATGTAATTTGCACATCTTTCTTTGTCTACCACGTAAACGTTCGTAAATAATCTTTGACCGTGCAGAAAAATCCTTTGATATTTGATGAATATGTGTTAAATATAAGAACGTGTTGGAATGAATGTTTGTCGGTTTATTTACTTCTAGGCTCGTTGGAGATGTGTTGCTGGCCACAGGCTTCCTTTCATACTTAGGACCGTTTAACCAAAACTTCCGTAACCTATTGCTGAGCAGGTGGGAGAAGGAAATGACGAAGGACAAGATCCCCTTCTCAGAAAATCTGAATCTCATCAATATGCTAACAGATGCCGCTACGGTGTGTGGTGAAATTGTTTTTTGAGTGTGTACTAATCGAGTTCAAACGATCTGATACATCGAGTTTCAAAAGTTTGTCTTCCAGCAATACGGATCTGCTTTGGGATTGGTTCACCTTGCTCCCATATTGGTTTAAAATATCGCGTATATAACTGTACGACCATCAGGATAAGTACAAAGTATGCAAGATCAATCACAACTTAGTCTCCTTTGTTTGTAAATCCTTATCGCGATCCATGTATTTCGCTCTATTTCGATGCCTGAAAATGAAAATTTTTCAAGGAAGAAAAAGAACAGACAAGAACAACAAGCCAAAAAAAAAATTCTAGAAAAATTGACTTAAGATGGAGGAGACTTGATTGGATTGAAACGACAAATTTCATATGAGGCGTTGTAATATTCCTTGAAGAGTAATATTTTGAGGGTCCCTTGGCTGTATTTGAAATTTGTTGTTTATGCACTCGAAGGTGGTCGAGATTATTTCTTTTTGGTGGAAGGGAGTCAAATGAGAATCGTTTTTAACCTTTGTGCGCATCGATTATTATGTTATTTAATGAGTTTGTAAGCCAAGCTCCTCTTTACAGATTGGTGAGTGGAATCTTCACGGGTTACCTAGCGACGAGCTCTCTATTCAGAATGGTATCATTGTTACCAAGGCAACGAGATATCCTCTTCTTATTGACCCGCAAACACAAGGCAAGGCTTGGATCATGAGTAGAGAGAAAGAAAATGAATTGCAGGTGCGGGAAAATTGTTAAATTTCTCAGAGGTAGTATAGTATGATATCAGAAGTATACTCAAAGTTCAAGACTTTTCTAAACGTTTAGCACGTGCAGAAATTCTGGTACTCAAGAAATTAATTCCGTGGAGGAGCTTAAAAGAACACGATAACAATTTTAATGATCATGTGTAATTATCTGTCTGGGTTATACACCCAACAAAGGCAAGTTCGAGAATGGACATGAAGTGGAATTTTTTACGCTTAAGGCTCATTATATTGATTTATGCAGTCTGAAGCTGCTTTTCAAGATTTTCTTCTGACTAAAAATGAGATTAAAATTTCCACTACAAAGTATTCATATTGCCATTAAAGCTGCCAGTTTACCCAACAGTGTCACTCTCGTGGAATGTTTCTCTAACTGACAAGGGTATTAGATCTTAATCGTATTCTCAAAGGGTTTTTAATCTGCTTTTACTAGGTGACATCTCTCAACCACAAGTACTTCCGAAATCACCTAGAAGACTCTTTGTCTCTTGGGAGGCCCCTTCTCATTGAGGACGTCGGAGAGGAGTTGGACCCTGCTTTGGATAATGTGCTCGAGAAGAACTTTATCAAGTCTGGTTCTACGTATAAGGTTCGAAAACTTTTTTGAGTAGAGAAAATCATCCGAACTGGTAAGGAAAACCCAGCAAGATGAGATATGTTTTAGCTAAATTAAGACGACTTTGATAACCTTAGTTACAAGTACCGCGGAGTAATAATTGCGATGAACGTGTTTAAGATAAATACGTTCACTGTGGAAAATTTTATGGCTTACCTTATATACCAAGAAGCAACGTCTTTGTTTGAGTCAAGCGTGGACCGGTTCTCAAAACGCTTCAGAGCATTCAAATGTGTAAAAGACAAGTAACGGTCAGTAAATGGTCAGTTTATGTATGACGACACAATCTTATACAATTTAAAGCACGCGCAAAGAAAAAGAGCGCGCGCTACTTCTGCGAGGCAGCCCACGCCATAAGCGGGGAGCAATTTCCGCATTTTCGAACTTGGAAATATGAGAACTGTGGTTTCTTGGCTCTTTTTCTACAACACGATCACTGTTAGTTGTAAGGCTTCTTTGGTCGAGTCTTGCTTGCGCAGCACGATAAAACTTTTTAATGTAACAAACTCGTTGGTAAATATCTTTTCGTTTCCATTTCCTAGGTCAAAGTGGGGGATAAAGAATGTGATGTCATGAGCGGTTTCAGAATGTACATCACGACAAAACTGGGAAACCCGTCATACACTCCTGAGGTACGTACAGATTAAACCAGTAAACAACCAGTCTTATACCTCCGTCACAGCCAGTTGATTCGCGAAGCCAAATTCAATTGTTTGAACGTGCTTTGTAATGTTAGTCTATACCTTAATGACCCGATTGTGCGCATTGTAAAGTCTGCCAACTCTTGTGCGTTTTTTCAGGTTATTAAAACCTGCAAACTTCACATTTCGACGAACGCACGCTGGCGCCTGAACCAACTGTAAATTCGTTATTTTAAGCTTGGAATAGGACTCTTGTCTCTCTCTTTTAGGTCAGTGCACGAACAGCCATTATTGACTTCACAGTGACAATGAAAGGCTTGGAAGAACAGCTTCTCGGCAGAGTTATCAACACAGAAAAAGAGGTAAACCGCGCGACGTATGGCTTAATACCACCATTGAGCATGTCATTTTTACGTTTCAGGTTCTTTTGTAGTCTTCTCTAATCTCTTCAGCCTGTTTTCCAATTTTCTTTTGAATCTAGGAACTGGAAGCAGAGCGAGTGAAACTGATGGAGGACGTTACGTCAAACAAAAGAAAAATGAAGGAGCTTGAGGATAACTTGTTGTTCAGACTGACAAGTACTCAGGTCAGTTGGTTTCCTGTGTAATTTTGCGTTATAAAAGAATTTATTCGGAATCACTTACGCTCTTCTGCCACTTTGCAAACAAAAGTACTTCGAACTGCTGAAGACTGCTTAACAAATCATTTTGTTAAAGTGTTTGGTGTTATTAACTCGTTACTCCTAATCAACAGAATTCTTTTTAATTGTCATTTCCCAACCCATTTACCTGTGGAATGATCTGTCTCAAATCGTGATATTTCTGGGATTTCCTCAGTTTCGGTCATGATTATATAGTTTTCTGTGGTTTTTCGAGGGTCTTTATATCTTATATTAGCAACGGGTCCTTTAGGAGGGAAAATTGAAAATTAGTAGCAACTTGAATTTTAGTAGTGGAGTGTGCGCAAAGTGGTTCCTCTCTCATTGTTTCCAAGGGGATTTGTAATTTAGACTGTTACCTTTGGTGAATATAGGAAACTACTGTAGGAGACCCTGAGAGAAAACGCCGGGGAAAGGATTAGAATCGAGAACAATATTGACCAATACGCACTGGACGCAAGGGTCCAGAATTGAATACAAGCCACAGTTACAGACGGCAAGCGCTCTCAGTACCGCAACGTCCCTGCCCTTCTCCCCATCTCCTCCCACCGAGAGCCATAACGACCCTGTCGAGTATGTAATGCGGTGATATGGAGAGAAAGGTGCTCCTGTCTATTACATTTAAAAATTATTTGATCTGGCAGTTTTTTTTCCCATAGGGCTCGTTAGTTGAGGACGAATCTCTGGTAGCTGTACTGAAGACCACCAAAGAGACAGCAGAGGAAGTGAGTGAGAAGCTTGCTGTGGCTGCTGAGACAGAAGTCAAGATCAACTTAGCTCGTGAGGAGTTTCGTCCTGTAGCTACGCGCGGCTCCATTCTATACTTTTTGATTGTTGAGATGAGTATGGTGAATGTTATGTACCAGACTTCGCTGAAACAGTTCTTGGGAATCTTTGATTTGTCCATGGCAAGGTTAGTGATGTGATTACTCGTAAGATTAAGGGCACTGTAATTCTCAACTTCAATCAGGTTAATCTTTGTGTTCGTCTTTCGCCCAGATAAACAGTGGTCTCTGAATGCTAAAATCATCAGAAGACTTACTGACACAGCCAACTTAAGGAGGAGCGACAGAGACACGTGTTTCGTTTTAGATTTCAGTGAAAAAGAGGAAATTCATGTAAAAAGATTCATGTTAAAGAAATAATTTGGAATTTTGAAATAATAAGGTTATGGTGATGTGTTTATTAAACAGAGAGGGAGGTCATAGTTGAACAAAGACAAGACTGACGTTTTTTTTCTTTCCAATCACCGATAGGTCCGAAAAGTCACCGATCCCAGCTAAAAGAATTCAGAACATCATCGAGTTTCTGACGTATGAGGTGTTCAAGTATTCATGTCGTGGCCTATTCGAGAACCACAAGTTTTTGTTCACCTTGCTTCTGGCCCTCAAGATTGATATTCAAGGCGGAAAGGTTAAGGTGCTGGAATTCCAGACTTTTATAAAAGGTAAGCGTGTAGAAGAACAAATGAAGGAGGAAGTTAGAGACAAGAGGGCTAGACAGAATTATGGTTCTTGTATTGCCAAATGTCAGATACTCACCTTTTCGTTATTATTATATTATTATTATCATTATTATTATCATTATTATTATCATTATTATTATTATTATTATTATTATTATAACACCTTGTATTAATTCTGTCCAGTAGTTTTTAGTTGAACTTCTCAAGCTATCAATTTATTGAGTTGAAAATCGATGTAAGGACTGAGAGTACGATAACCTACTTAGAACCTAAGAGTTGTACAAGTTACTTGTGAGCGTTGCCAAACATATAAACGTTAAGTAAATGAGATTTAACTGTTGCAAAGCTCGAATGAAAATGCATCCAGTCACGGGAAAGCAAGTATGTAACTCGTTGCGCGGGAAAACGTATTAAACTAAGCAAGAGCGGTAAGAAAAAGGCCTAAAAGCCAGTTCATGACGTCACGAGTTCATTGATGTGTTCTATGTGATTGGTTGAGGTAGGAAACAGCTTCCCTGTGGTTGTTGAGACTACAATGCAGCAAAAATGTTAAACACAACTAAAATAAGGTTAAGCGCTAGAGTGGGTGATAACCTGTGATTGTTCTGGTTAAGGTGGCGCGGCCCTTGATCTTAAGGCTGTACAACCCAAACCCAGCAAATGGATCATGGACATGACGTGGTTGAACTTAGTTGAGCTCAGCAAGTTACCTCAGTTTTCAGGCGTGTTAGACCAGGTGTGTTAGACAGCTAAACAAAATAGGTAGGAGATGAAGGTAAAGGTAGCCAAGGAGAAGAAGACTGCAGATTATTAACGTGACTCTTACGAAGATAGAAAACGACTGTTCCTATTGAAGCAGAATAAATGTCTTAGAGACTTTCGACAACTTTTGAATGGCTATAGTATGAAAACAGGGTTAAAAATGGCAACAAAGAAAGTCTCTTTAGGCCGCATTTTGAAATGAGTTCATCATGTTGTCGTTATCTGAAGGAAATAGTTTATTCGTCCTTAAATTTGACCATTTAAATTTGATCAGTTGAGATGGATATTCCTTTTAAGGATTTTTAAGAAATGTAGATTCTTTTATACCATTATTGTTAAAAGCCCCCGCTATTAAAGACTGATAAGGAATGCACAACATCTTTAAGGTTCTTCGTAACGATTCCGGCTGGAAGCAGTGGTTCGATAAAGACGCACCTGAAGAGAGCACCATTCCTGATGGCTACGATAGTTCCTTGGATACCTTCAGGAAACTGTTACTAGTCAGGTAAGAAGGGGTGTTATTCATTCTAATTTATCTAATTTATTGTGGAAAATGACCGTGTATGCTCAATGCTAATCCAAGATAATGGTCCTATGCAGGTCATGGTGTCCAGATCGAACGCTGCACCAGGCCCGCAAGTACATAGCTGACACCATGGGTGAAAGGTACGCTGAAGGCGTCATTCTCAACTTGGAAGCCACATGGGAAGAGAGTGATCCCCAAACGCCACTCATCTGCTTCCTCTCCATGGGCTCAGACCCTACAGGTGCCATTGAGAACCTGGCGAAACGCAAGGGAATCGGTACGTAACAAGTCTGTTGTTGTATTGTCAAGTTCATTGGAACTCAAGGGTAGCAGTTAGCGTTAGAGATGAATTTTTGTGGAATGGTTTCATGGTTGTATTTGTAGAGTGTCGTGCAGTCTCCATGGGCCAAGGGCAAGAAGTTCACGCCCGAAGACTTCTCCAGCAGTCTATGGCTGGGGTATGTTATGCTCTTCCATCTATGTAAAATATTTTTTTGTGCCCTTTTTCGTTGTCGTGGCTTGAAATATAGACACACAGCTCAATTTACCGAGAAAATTCAAAATATTTCGGGTAATAGAATTGGCGTTAACCATCCTTCTTCCCATTTAGATTTACCGCTTTTCTGCGATTGAAATGATGAAGTTTCGTTGTTAGTCTCTGAAAGTGTCTTTTATAATTTCCAGGTTATGGTAGCCTAATGTTTATAGTTGGAACCAAATTTTGTAACTTTTGTAAAAAGGTGTTTCAACAGCTTGGTTGTGCTCTACCTCCCCAAATGGTACACCTTTAGAAATTATAAAAGTCTTCTTTTAAAACTGTAGGGAGGCTGGGTCCTCTTACAGAACTGCCACCTCGGATTGAACTTCATGGATGAGCTTCTGGAGACTGTGACTACTTCAGAGTCTTCCCACGAGGGCTTTAGAGTCTGGATCACAACAGAGGCACACAACCAGTTTCCCATCAGTCTTCTGCAGGTAAGGCTGTGGTTTATACCTTCCAGTGTGAATAATGAAAAGTTTTTCCTGTCTTCTATTTCCTGAAACTTTTTTTTTGTACTTGTTCTTGAAAATTTCGCCTTCGTGTGTAAAACGGAGGATGAATCCCCGACTTAGGAGACATCTGGAGATGTGCGAATAGGGCCGGAATTGTTGTTGAGGGCTCCAAGATACTCAAGAGATAAGAAGCATTGCTGTCGCGAAGGACTTGATCTCTTCTTAAATAACTAGCTTTATGTTTTGTTCTAAACGCTTAGCTGTTACAAAACACATTACATGTTAAAGAATTTTCCCATTTGTTCACAAACCCAAAGAATCATTTATGAATATAACTTAAGTACGGCTGTTTCTCTCGTAGTCTTCAATCAAATTTACAAATGAGCCGCCACAAGGTGTGAAACCAGGACTGAAGAGAACTTACGCTGGCATTACTCAAGATCAGTTGGATGTCACTAACATGCCTCAGTGGAAGCCAACTCTGTATGCTGTTGCTTTCTTGCATACTGTCGTTCAGGTCAGGAGAGATGTACTCTACTCAACTCCTTACCGGAAACGTTTTGCACCGGTGCAGTGCACATTGAACGTATTGTTGTTAGTTTAAAAAACTACATCTACCCTTTCACGAGTGTCTCATTGCTGTCACGGATATGGGTTGGCTCATTCATCCCAGCTATTGAGGTCGACACAAATGCTGTCGGAGTTTGCACGTTCATTATTTCTTTTACTGCTCTCCTGCTGTCAAAGCCTCCAAAAGCTGCGGCTGTTTTTCTCTGCCTTAAAGGGGATATTTTGAATATACGGCTTCTTAGTTCGTTATTGGTTTGAAGTACTTTTTCAACATATTTTGTCAGTAACGTATTCCATTTCAACAGGAAAGGCGTAAGTTTGGTCCTTTGGGCTGGAATATCCCTTACGAGTTCAATCAGGCCGATTTTGCCGCGAGTGTGCAGTTTGTCCAAAACCACTTGGATGATATCGATCCCAAAAAGGTACTCAGCTCGCGATTTAAACTTACAATCTCCTTTTCGTTATTTTAACGTCACCTTAACTGTAAGTCCTTTCTCATTTGTACAGGGCGTGTCTTGGAATACAGTGAGGTACATGCTGGGAGAAGTGCAGTACGGAGGAAGGGTCACGGATGATTATGACAAGCGCCTGTTGAACACATTTGCTAAGGTAATAGCATTGTCGAGAATTCCTTTTTTCCTCAAACCACTTCGTGTCAGTGACCTTCGTTAATTTCGTTTTTGTGTCCTGTGGTTTTCGATTCTTACAACTATTCGACGATAAAACAGTTCAATATGCGGCTAAACGGAATTAAATGATCGACAAAGAACCCCACACATGTGCAAATGTATAAGCATGGCCCGTCAACCTTAGGACTCAATTGTCGCCAACATTTTTCAGGGTAAGAAAAAGTCTTTATTCGAGACTCCCATAGCTTTCCTGACACACGACATCATTACCTTTCGATCTGCAATCAAGGGTGTTAATCTGTGAACCACAACGTCCTTCTTGTACTAAGGAACCGCGACATATGTCATTGCATTAACGTCGTGGTTTTGTTTCAGGTGTGGTTTGGAGAGCACATGTTCACTGAAGACTTCTGTTTCTACACTGGTTACAAGATCCCTAAGTGCCGTAGTTTGGAGAATTTCTTCGAGGCCATTCAAGCTCTCCCATCTGTGGACACGCCTCAAGTGTTTGGCTTGCACCCAAATGCAGACATCACGTAAGTTAATCTTCTTTTCATTTTCACAAACAAACCACGATTCACAAATCAACATGATACATTCCGATTGCTATCTCTCAGTATTTTTATTTGGGGAATTAATCTCTTTCATCCGTTAAACGGAACGGCTGACGGATGGCAAACTAGGAAACTTAATAGGCATATAGAGTGTAGACAGGAAATGTGTTTGGCTTATTTCCTCTCGGCAGTTTATCTTTACCAGACTCGAAATAATTTCCTGTCAGGTTGTCTCGTCAAACCTATTTTTTATCGGACACAATCCAGTTTTTGCGAGAGAAATATCCATCACGTAATGAATATCTCAATAAATCTTCCTCCCCCCCTCCTACTTAATAAAATTAACCTATTCACTCCTCTTCTTGCAGAAGGAGCCTTGAACTCAATGCAGGAAAAGCGATACAGCCGTAACGTTCGGCAAAATCAATGTTAATTTGTTGTTTCAGATTTATGCATACAGTTAAACATCATTACCTGCTATAGTTAGCAAGCTGATAAACTATTCAATTTGGGACACAAGAGTCCGATTTTGGACACTAGTGTCCAATTTTGAACACTAGCGTCTGATCTTGGACACTAATGTCCGATTTTTGACGCTGGCGTCTGATTTTGGAGACTAGTGTCAGAAAACCTATATTTGACAGGACATTGCCTATTGAGCTGCCGTAATTTCGAGGTCTGCTTTAGGATGTCCTTTCACTTACCCGTAGTTTTATCCCCTCGTAATCCACAGCATCCGCGCTAACATTCCTCACCCTCATTCGCCACTTCTATTCACTCCTTTGCAACAAAGAACTGCTACCGTCGTATTTCCTGCGACTTGGTCTCATTTCTTAGTTTATTTCTTCAACAAATTTTCTAATATCAGTTGTTTTGTTATCTCTTTTCTTGCCTTTCAGATATCAGAGCAATACAGCTAAAGAGGTTCTGGACACCATCATGAGCATCCAACCTAAAGACTCAGGGGGAGGATCTGGGGAGACTCGTGAGAGTGTAGTCACCAGACAAGCAGATGACATGCTGGATAAACTTCCGAATGATTACGTACCACACGAGGTAAGAAAGATGTTTGTATCGTAGTGAAAGTTTGAGTTATTTTCCATGAGATGCGAGAGAAACGCTTTGACATTCTTCGTCTGTGTGCAGGTGAGAGCGCGACTGCAGAAAATGGGAGCTCTTGCTTCCATGAACATCTTTTTGAGACAAGAGATCGACCGTATGCAGCGAGTGATCACTTTGGTACGGCAGACCTTGACTGACTTAAAGCTGGCTATAGAAGGAACGATTATAATGAGCGAGGTATTTAGGAATCTTTTAACGTTAAACGAAGCTCTTTTTTTAAGTGGCTGCCCAATTTGCCAGTGAACAGCACAATTGTGCAATCATCATTCAAAGGAAAAAATTGATTGACGATATGTGCTAGTGAGAAAACGTTTTTTTAAAGAATGCGAATACTCCATTAGTTTAAATAGAAATTATAGGGATGATCAGTTTAAAATTACGATGAAATCGCTCAGTGATGTCGCTGTTAATTTTTGTTTCTAAACTTGAGCTTTATGTTCGTTATTTTTTCCAGAGACAAGTAAACAAAAGAAAAAGAAAAGCAAAACATAAACTAAATCAAATTGAACTCAAGGGAAAGCTTATAAAACCAAGTTCGGATGTCAAAATGTGCTTGAAACTAATTTTATATCCTTGATAATAGAATCTACGAGACGCACTGGACAACATGTACGATGCTAGAATTCCTGCGCTGTGGAGAAAGGTGGGGCGTTTTTTGTTTTTAAGAATGATAAAGAAGATAGTAGACAAAGTCTGACTGAACTATTTTCGTGAATGCGGTGTCATTGTACGGCAGGTTCATTCTCAAGAATAATCAATTCTGTGATAGCGGACACAATTTGCCTTTTTTTTTCCCTTCAGATCTCGTGGGAGTCATCGACCCTGGGTTTCTGGTTCACAGAGTTTCTGGAGAGGAACAACCAATTCTCCACATGGATTTTCAATGGCCGACCCAGTGTGTTCTGGATGACTGGTTTCTTCAATCCTCAGGGCTTTCTCACAGCAATGAGACAGGAAGTCACGCGTGCGCACAAGGGTTGGGCCTTGGACTCTGTAGTATTGCACAATGATGTCATCAGGGCAATGAAGGAAGACATAAATTCCCCTCCATCGGTGGGTTTCGGTAGTATTTATTTATTGGTAATAACATACAATTCCTGGGGGTACTTTTCCCCCGATCCCTTATGACTGCCATGTTGGATTGCTAACGTAGATAGTGGCTCTAAGGTGTCCAATGTCGTTTATAGTTCAAGGGAATGATACATTTACGCTGACTAGCGCTCAAACTTTTACATTCACAAACCTTTAATATGCGCCCCTTCAGATAAGCATCATAGACCTATGTCTTTTAACAATACTTTCATGTTACTATCATAACAGGAAGGTGTGTACATATATGGCTTGTACCTGGATGGTGCCGGCTGGGACCGCCGTGGCTGTAAACTAATTGAACCTCAGCCCAAAGTTCTCTTCACCCTTCTCCCTGTGGTACACGTGTATGCTGTGAACTCCACAGCACCCAAGGATTCCCGTCTGTACCAGTGCCCCGTATACAAGAAACCGCAGAGGACTGATTTGACTTACATCACCCCGCTGTGGCTCAAGACTGTGCTGAGTCCCGATCATTGGATTCTTAGAGGGGTCGCTCTTTTGTGCGACATTAAGTGATTGGAATCTGGTGTAATTTTCCACTTCCATTTTTTTCTACTTTTGTGCTACACTTGACCTTAACCTTGGCACTCTTAGTTTGGTATATTATTGAACTTCGTCGTTTAGATTGCGATTTTGGTCAAATGTTATGACTCTCAATGTTCTTTTAATCTGATAAAACAAATAGTTCTGCAGAACGTTTCGGTCTTTCTTTTATGCTATATGTAAATTTAAAGAAACATTTTTCAAGTATCAAAGAACGAAATGTTTTCAATAAAAAGTCTGTTTACGAAAGGCTTGTTGTTATATTTCTGTTCCTGAACAATGAAAGAAGAAGATCTTTTTAGAGACTACATAAGACTTTCTACAAATTGTAAAGAACGCTTTTAGGGTGGCACCAGTATCTTTTGTTAAAGTAAATAAGCCTTAGACTCGACATAATACCTTATGGATCTCCCATAGAGGAGGACGGAATGGGGGGAGGGGGGTTGGGGGAATCTCTTGCTTCCATAAACCATTTCGGTTCCTAATCCGACTTTCAAATTTAAAAAAATCTCCATATCATGAACTCCCGCCCATCTCTCTAAAGTACTAGCAGCCTCCATTTTTTGGTTGGTCATTCAAGTTTCCTACTAGAAACAAGGACTTAGGAAAGGCGCCCTCATCGAGGCCGCCACATATCTTCGGTGCTACTCTTTTCAGCCCTTCGAAAGGACTTCTTCGAAAGAAAGAGACTATTTCCAGGCTACCATCTCCCTTATACCTAAAACTCCTCTCTTTCTTGGCGAGCTAAATTATTGCCTCGATTTCTTTCCCCTCCTTTACCCCCTTGGGCAACCTATGTTGGACTAAATGTCGCGAAGAAGAATGAGTAGTAGTTAGGATGGCAGCGCCTCATGGGTATTATTCAAAATGGCGGAAAGTTTGAGATGTCCATGAAAACAATCTTCTGGTGTCCTATTTTATATTATTGGTTTGCTGCTGTAAATTTCCACTTTCACCGCAATTATAAGAATACACAATGGCAGGGGCCAGACAAAACCTGTTTAAATGGAACCGACAAACAAATCCCAAGACGGTGAGCTCATAGCAGAGAATTGACACTTCGTACATTTCTGATTTCAACGAATGCTAACTTTTAGACTCCATATTTCCAACAGTACTCCGGACGAAGTGAGGTTCAGGATTGGATCAAGGTAAAAGTTTAAATCGCTGAATTTTCATTGCTTTTCGTTAGCAAACTTCAGTAACTGCTGAGGATAATAGTAGTAAGTTTATGTGTATTGTCACAGCACAACATTGACAATTTTATAAATCCATACGTGAGTTATTGAAGAATTGCAGAGGATCTTGTGTCCTTTATATTTATACAAAAATCCCTTACTGATACTCTAGAGAGTAGAGAGAGAATCAACTCAAGCTGCCAGAGAAGTTTTTGGAAACAATTATCAAAGTGTTCTAGAACAAGTCCATGTTGACGATGATGCATTGGTGGAAGGTAAGAGAAACAGTATTTTTAATATTTATTTTCTTAAATATCTCAGTTGGCCAGAATCTTATAAATATCCTTGAGTATCCCTTAGAGCTCACTCATCTTAAAATGTGTAGCAGTGTGCACCACCTTAGTGCTTTCTTATTGTTGTTGTTTTCATTGCTCTGTGTTTCCAAACGTTTGAAGTAAGAATTTATTGAGAAATAAAATTGTTGTTGTGGAAAAAAATAATTTCATAACATTGCATCATGGAACTGTTACTCAAAGTGGGTTTATTTATTTCCCCCATTGCTTTCAGCACAAGATTTATTGGATTCCTGGCTTCATGAAAAGAAACATCAAGATGATCAATTTAATTTAGAAGTGCAATTTAAGCATGAAAAGTGGGCACAGCAAGGCAAACCCTTGGAACAAGTCACAAGAAACTCTGTTACTGATGATGATTACAGTGATTATAGGGATATGCCTGACCTGTTCTTACAGTCACATGACCGGTCAACACTGAACAGTTATCATAGCAACCAGGTTCCTAATGCTATGGGTAAGATATATTCTTCACGAGAAAATTTGTATACTTAGGTAATAACATGATTTGGAGGGAGGTTTAGTGTTAATAAGCCTGTAATGCAAGTGCAGTTTGTAGTCTATGAAAAATTTACATGTGCTTATGACACCAAGTTGTGAGACCATGTTGTTACTTGTTAATAACTTACATGAAAAAAAAGCATCACAGAAAGTCAAGACAGACAAGATTTTGAAAGCGTGTGCGCCCTATTTGTAATTTACCCATGTATTATAACCATGCACCCTTGTTACGACTTTGCTCTCTTGCACACTTGTTAGATGAGAATGCACTTGTTTTCAGCCCATCTAGAAGTGCCCAATTTTTTCATGCACATTATTAATGGTATTAAAGTGAATACACATGTATTAATAAAGATTACTGTCACTGGAAAATAATGAATTTTTTCAGGTTGTAGACTTCAGTTGTCATGTTTATATTGCTTTTAGGTGCAGAATATGATGAAGACCTTAATGATGAAATATCAGTTCAGCATATACTGAGGGACATGTTAGACAAGAACATTGTTGAAAAAGAGATCTTGAATGACTTAGGATTTGATGGCAGTAAAAAGAAAAAGACCCAAGGCCTAAGATGGAGCTGCGACATAAACAGGTACAGTGGGCCTCATATGAATCAGTCACAAATTTATAGAAGTTGTTACATGTATCTTTAACCCATGATATTCTTTTAGTACCGGTAATCACCAATGTACTACTATCGTTGTTTTAAGCTGGTTGTGTAATAGAGAAGGAAGTTAAACCTAATTCTAATGATATTGTTTTAATAATAATCAATGTACAACCATTATTGGTTTAAATATCATGATAGAAAGTTAAAATTTTTCTGCAATGAAGAAGGAAATTAAAGTTAATTCTGATGATATTCTTTTAATAATCATAAACCTTTACACTTAATATCATTATGCATATTCTCCATACTGTTCTCCATATATTTCTTAAGATGCTAACAAGGAGAATTTGTTGAACAATCAAGAGCTTCTTAAGTTGGTGATCATTTCCTTTATTCTTATGACCTTAATGTATGATTCAGAGTTGATATTGTAGGGAGAAATTAGAGGCTGGTCACTCCTAGGGGATTAAAGAGTTAAATATGATAGAAAATTGAGCTGGCTCTACAATAAAGAAGGAATTTAGAGTTAAATCCTATGCTAGTGAAAATGTTTCACAATTTTCTTTATGGAACACAAAACACAAAAGCAACCAAAAATGTCTTTATAATGTAGGTCAAGTTACTGTACTAAAATCCGTGACAAAATAGTTGATATATAAAACCAGGATGGTAGAACCCTGGGATGGCATACCAATTTTTCTCCCATCTCTTCATCCAGACCCCACTAACATCCCTCTGAACATTATAGCTGTTTTTTTTTTGTTTTTTTTGTTTTTTTTTTTCAATGGCAATTGTTGTAACTCCTAAGAATTTAGGTTATGTTATGATACAACAGAAAGAAAAGTCACAGTCGCTCTTGTTTTGATGTATTTCATCCAGGGCAAAAATTCAAGACACAGGAGATACATGTTTATTTGTTAATGAAACCTGTCAATTAAAAAAGAGCATTATGAACAACTCCACTCCTGAGAGCTTAAATGCAAACATAATTCTACCATTGTATTAGGTGAAAGAGAAAAGTCAAGCAAGACAGAAGGATATAGAAAAGAAACGAAGAGAAAATGCAGCTCGTAAGCAAGCAGAAGCAGAAGCTCGTCAACATTTGCTCAGGGAAGAAAGAGAGCAACAAGCAAAACTCAAAAGAGAAGAGGATCAAATACAAAAAGAAATGACCAAGATCCGCAGAGCTATGGAAGAGGAGAAGAAGGCTACCAAGGAAAAACTAGACAAGTGAGCTGGTTTGAAGTGCTTTGATTAAAATTATCTGTAACAATATCTGTACAACCACAAGCAGACGTTGTTTAAGTGGTGTTATCTGATCGCTATATTTATCTGATACGCTGTCATCAAGCCATGGTGAAGGCTTGTTTGTGGCAATGACCATTGCCACAAATTGCATGTGATCCTGTTGTGAATGATTTTTTAACAGTTTATGTCAGCAATTTTTCATATTAGCAATATCTCAAGGGTCTATAGAAAACTTTGTTTGAGTAGCCAGTCTTATGAAAAATCCCAGCGGTCTAAGGTTAAAATTTATTTCAGATCAGGACAACAAAGTGTTTTACTGCTAAGTCCACAAGTGTGTACCTTTAACCCTTTCACTCCCAGGATCTTGTTAATAATTCTCCTTACTGTCTGCCTTACAATTCCTGTGATGTTAGTTTGGAGAATTTGGTATTGGATCAAATGATAATCCCCATGTCATATTTTTCTTTATTCTGATCACTTGTCTGCTTGATGTTGTTGTTATTGCTTCATAGCGAGCGGCGCAAAGAGAAGGAAGCGGAGTTGCTGGCTCGGCAATATCTCGAGGAAGAGCAGAGGAAGAAGGAAGAACAGCTGAGGAGGGACGCAGAAGATAAAGAGGAGATGAGGAGAATGTTGTTGGAACAGATGGAGAAGAGGGCAGCAAAAGAGGCCAGCAGCAGTCTTAGGGTATACTCAAATTATTTTACCGAATGAAATTGTTGAAAGATTTTTTTCTTAGAGTCTGTAATTTTACTTAGTGTTATTCTAGCTGAAGTTTCCAACGTCTGACAAAGGGCTAACGCTAATACATCAGTTTTATAAACTCTTTACGGTGGCCAATTTACATATCAACTCAGTTGATCAGTATCTTTTAATACCCTCACTGACGCAGCAACGCATTTTTCTGTAGAAACTTTTCTCCTTTATCAAATGTCACCCTGTCTTATGTTTTTATTGCTAGACTGCGTGTGGTAACGTCTCGCCTGCGAAGCGTTCTTTTCCGTTTCCTTTTTGCTCAAAGGAATACGGGTGAGAACAGCAGGAGTCTTGCAAATGTATAGAGCAAATAGGAACAAAATTGTGCTCTTGCGCGGCTCTCGCGCGGCGCTCTCTCCTTGCACGTTTTTCCCGCGTGGTTTGAAGGAGACGGAAAGGAGTGTAACCTGGCAATATAATTTTTTAGATAGCACAGACAGCAAGTAAAATGTGGTCAATTTGATCGGAAAGGATTGTTGTACAGGCTCGCTATTGACGTACACAGCACAGAGAGGCAGTGAAATGTGTTCAATTCGATTGGATAAAGCGAAAAGATTGATGACAAGGGATTTACATGTTTGTAAAGGAGTAGTTTTCGAGCGTTTTAACGTCCAGTTTGACCATTATCTCTCCGTTATACGTGTTTTCCATTCGTATTCGATCTCTGTTTGTCTAAAGGTGAAACTAGTCTCTTTCCTGCAAACCGGTCAAATTGGTAAACTGCAATGTATTAAGGTCTCAGGTATTTTTAGTTGTCTCTGCGTTATTTGGTGAAATTACATTATAGTGGTTGAATATGCACTAAATACCAAATCAGTCTCATTATTTTCTCTTTTACTTGATATCAGATTCTCCAGAGACACTTCTCAGCTTGGTATTCAGTTGTTGCATCACAGAGGATCAAACTTGGTAAAGCAAAAGCTATGTCTGACTGGCGTTGTAAACTAAGAGCTTGGAATGCATGGTTGGCCTACGTCAATCACATAAGATCTGATAAGGAGGCTCAAACCATCACCATGGAGATGAAAGAAAAGCACAGGTACAGTATATGTAATTTGCGTTTGCTTGCCGATTCTTTCCAAATAATCCTTCTCTAATCTCAAGGACTGGTCGCAAACAGAGAAGCAATTCAAGTCTAATGAATACTCTTCACCTTATAAAATTTCTCAGCCAAAAATTTCTTGATGTTTCAGAAAGGAGCAATTGTCTTTGAAATTCCATCGTCGTCATTTGTTGCTGCGCTGCCTTCGGTCGTGGCAACAGTGGGTGAAAAGAGAACAAGAAAGAAGACAGCTTCAAGAAGAACACGAAAAAAAGACACAAAAGATGGCGGCGTTACTGCAAGCAGCAGCTACTGGCAGATTGTGGAGTGAGCGGGGGGAAAATACTAACACGGGGTTAGAACTTCAAGACATTGAAGATGATAAGGATGTGCAGAGCTCAAGCACTGCGAGAAAACTGGTAAGGCTTGGAGATTTAAGCGCCGCTGGAAAATAAGCTGTGTTTTGCGAAGCAGGGAGGTTGTTTTTAGTAAAATTTCTTCGCTAAACCACAACCACGAAGCACGATTCGTTCTAAGCCGAAACTTCACGCCTAAACCGGTAATGCAGGTTGATATGGTAAGAACGTCAGTGACACACTCGACTGGTCCCCTGTGCCACGTTTTCGTTCTTACCACATTTTGACGTCATCTGTGATCTATTGCTAAACAGACGCACAGCAACTTTGAATCTATTTGTTAAATGAACGACTCGAGGAATGGTGCATTAAAAATGGGGTTATTAAAATTATGATTGTTGTTTGTACTTCTTAGGACGAAATTTTCTCACAACCTGCAAGGACGGTAAACCATAAACATTCCTTGACAAATGTAAAAGATCCAGAGGAGGATTCCTCAAGAAGGACTAAAGTTAGTGACAAACCACCAATAATTAAACCAGCTTGGAGCGAGCAACAGAGAAAGGAGCAATCCAAGAAAGAATTCCAGACAGGCAGAGAGGCTAGGAGTAAATCCAATCGACAACGCAGTTACAGTGAAGTGGAAAACATTGAAACACTTTATTCTACAACCAAAAATAGAGAAAAAGCGAAAAGTGAAGACAAGAAAACTAACCCAGGTTTTTCAAAGAGTAAATCTGATGAAAGACTTGATTCACAAGAGGCGGAATCTAGAGAACATGTTTTAACTGGGCGATCAGCCAGTAGTGCTTCGTTGGACAATGGCAGACCCTCTATACCTAGTAAGTACACTTCACGAGAAGCCGTTGTCAAATCACAGAAGCCAACCACAAAACCGTTACATCTGGGTAAGTTATACAGTAAATCTCGTGGACGTGAGTCATATTTTGCATCATATTATGGCAACATGAACTTTTCTGGCAACCGATGACTGATTATTCTGCCCTAGTTTCGCTTCTAGCCGGGAGCGAAGAAACCAGCGTGAAAAGCTTTCTCCACTCGTTTGGTATGTTCTTGTCGACAAAATTCACCTCAACCACGGCTCATTTGCAATAACAATTTCAAACACTTCCTCCCCAGTAAAAAGAATTCTCGTTTATTTCTTTATTTTCTCATCTTTTCAATCCTAAATTCTTTCCTTATTATTATTGCTATGTAAAAGTCATATTTTGATGGTAGTGCATCAAAAAAATATTATCATGTTGATTGTGATTATCTCGACAAGTTTGGATAATGATTTTGCAACAAGATTCTATCTAGGCAACGACCAATACTAACTTAACTTGGCTTCCTTTCAAGCCATGGAGGAACGTGCTCAGAAACGCCAGGAGCGAAAGAAAGCTTTGGACGAAAAAAAGAGAAAGGCGGAAGAGGAGAGACTGGTACGTGAACACTTTGAAAAACTCTGAATTGTGCGCATTTCTGCTTTTAACCGTAAAATTCAAGAGTGAAGAGCATCTAATTTCTACAACGTCACTACTGAAATCCTGAAACATTCAAGTCGCGAAAATGAAGGGGATGATCACGAACTATAACAACTCTTCATCGTTTCACAGATTATTCTTGTCAATACCATAATAAATTATCGAGAAGAGTTAGAGAGTATTGTATACCGAGATTGAAGTGCTAAGGGTAAGATCGACGCACATGGCAAGTCACTGCAAAGGGTCTTTATCACAAGTCTCTCCGCGTGTTTTGTTGACAACATGTCGCTTTGCTTGATTTTATTACCATCATGAACACTAGGTAACGATAAAAAATCTCAAAAATTTAAGGTAGTTCCTGTAAGAAAAACTTATGGTTCCATTGGTCATGCGTATGACAAGAATCGTTTGAGCCCACAAACACCAGGTTTTATTGTTTCTTCCTCCAGCGTGACTTATTTTACCATGCGTGAAAGATTGTGTCACACATAACATTGTCAAACCTTTTTCAGCTTTTTCATGCTTACACATAGTATTATTATAATGGCAGGAATTTCTCAAAAAGGAACAAGAGCGTAAAGAAGCAGAATTGTTAGCGGAGAAACAAGAAGCGTTACAAAAAAGAAGAGAAGAGAAACGCATCGCTAGAGAGGTGAGAAACTCGTTATCTATTCAATATCTATTTTCTCCCAACACGAATCAGCCGATGATCATCATCCTTGATGCACTGCGGGAGTTTCGGACTTTGTAAAGGATAACCTAAACGCTTTTGTACGTGAATTTGTTATTTGAACATCGAGGTGCGATATACAGAGTTCTATTGTCTCTTTTTCACAGCGAGAGCTCGAGAAACAACGGCAGTCAGAACAAAACCGACAGCAGATTTCCCTAGCAACCCAGCACTACGCTTGTGTCCTCCTGAAAAAGTACGGCTTGTCACCGTGGAGACATCTAGTGGAGACGACGCGGGAAAATATGTCACGTGCAGTATTGCATCATAATAGACTGTTGCTTACAAGATGTTTCCATCCGTGGCTGGATTTCACAAGAAGAGCGAATGAAAATAGACTTGAGGCATCAGAAGCGTTGCACCAAAATATTTTGTTGCGACGAATGTGGAGACAGTGGAGAAAGGTCAGAAAACAACAACCCCAATCACAACCAGATTACTCTAGATAGCGTGCGGGAAGACGCTCATTATTAGCGCTTCGGGACGAGTGTTTCTCCGCACGAGGGAAAGTATGAAGCCTTGAGCAAGGTCAGCGGGCGAGAAATCTGCAAGGGGTTAACCCTTTTACTCCCAGAAGTGATTAACGCGTAACTTCTTTGCCTTTGATATCCATACATTATCCAGCATACAGGTAATGAGAATACTCAAACTCGTTGGGTAGGAGTTCTTTACTTGTTAAAACACCAAATTCTCATAACTAATTTCCAAGGAAATCTGTAGCAGTTAAAGGGGAGAATTATCAATTAGATCTTGGGAGTTCAAAGGAGAAGCACTGATAATTAATGCAAGACACTCGGCAAACCTCTCCCGGACACTTATGAAAACTTCCCGTGGGCGGAGAAACTCGCGTCCTGCAGCGTTATTAATGAAGGCCTGCTCGCCAGACTTCACTCGATTTTTTCCCCGTTCCAGGAAGTTTGCTTGATTTTACTTTAAATTCTAGTTGGTAATTTTTTTTCTGATTGGCTGATGAGGTAACCTTGGTTGTGGTTGAACAAGCAAGCGAGATATGTATAACCGGCGCAATGTGACAACTATTTTTTTGGAGTCGAGTATCGTGCTCTTTTTTTTCTTAGTTAAAACTCTGGGTTCGACTGTTTAGTTTGAATTACATCCTACTGTCGTTGGACACTTTGGTCAGGAATCCAATAAAATTACTGTTGTGTATGTTGCAGTTTGGCCAGCATGCTGTCAGACTGCAGTTGGTCGCCGAAGATTATTGTTCCTCGTACCTTGTGAAAAAATACTTCAGACTCTGGCAGGACTACGTTACCGAGCAACAGATCCTGTTATGGGAGAAAGAGAGGGCAGCCGAGGAACACAATGAATGGTAAAAGCAAATAGAATGTCTTTCATTGGTTTCGGAAAGAATTTTTGATTAGTTTTGTGTCCTTTTTCAGTTTGGTATTTGTTGATCACTGTTGTAGTGGTCACGTGTTGTATTTTTTAACGTGCGTGGAAACAGATCGATGCCTTCCCGCCTTTTTTCTTGGCGCGTGTGGCAGCGTAGGATTGTTTTCCCGCGCTTTCCTCAAGCGCCAGTGGCAATGTCTTTGTTTTGAGTAGATGTTTCGGTTACATTCATAGGCGATTGAAGAAACTCGCGATGATCAACTGGAAAAAGTACATACCAATGTTGCGATCAGAACGAGAAAAGGAAGTCAGGAGGGCGGACTTGAGGAAAAGAGTTCACTCATGGCTGCCTGATTTTCAGTCGTTAACGGAAACATCACCCTGATCATCCTAAGAGCGCCGCGTGACCTCTCCCCAGACTTCCACATCTTTGTTCACGCAAAACTAGGACCAAGAATTTTTCCTGATCGTCTGGCTGCAGGGCGAGAACTTGGATTCAAAATCTCGCTCGAATTCTTTCTTAGAAGTATTTTTATTTACAAACAATACATCTCGATTACGTTTGTCCATGAGAACAATAGAATACCCGACAAATGCGTACAACAAATCCTTTTACGCATTCATAATAAATCAAATTACATTTACCTATGGTGAAAGGAAAAAGAAACAGCCTAACTTTTGCGGAATGTTCAGTAAAAATCTGCCGATTTCTACCGCTTTCATCGCAATATTGAAAATGAAGCTACCACAATGCAACGCAATCGGAGTGCATACACCGCTTGGTTAAAAAAAGTTGAAAGTTTTCTTTGGCCTCAAATATCATCCAACTTCGGTAGTTTCTTCGGAGGCTTTATCTCGATTTAAAATGCAAAAGGAATGCATTCATTTCGGCCAAAGACGTAAACGGTTAACTCAAAATACATGTAATGCCTCGGCAGAACCTCGTTTGCGAGCTGAATGCGAGTAGAGGTTTGGGGAAGAAATTAAACGAACACGAAAGATCGCCGTCCAGAACCTCGTTCAGTTAGGAATGATGTGATAAATGACTTGACGGAAAAGAATTCTGATGTGTGCGATAGAAATTGAAAGAAATACATAGGCGGCAAAGAAGGTTTAACGTTTTTAACCCCACCTAGACCTACCAAACTTGACTAAAATCGACGAATTAACTGGTATTTTAACCGACACTGGACATGATGATTTCTTTCAAGCTACCTTCTCTGAAGGTTAAATTCCGACATTCTCTGAGTTAGCGGAAGGGCTATGTACTAACGCTCCAGCCTCGAGCGGAATTCCAACCGTAATGTGAAAAATATGAATTTGGAAAGTCCATTACAAAAGCTTAAATGAAATTAATTTTGTTCCTTCCACTGAAGGAAAGATAAGGAGAGACGGTTATGCGGATATAGCGGCGCCATCTGATAAAAATGTATTTCGGTTTTATACGTCAAACTTTCTTACCGATGACAGATGTGAGCATGCAAAAATGAAACAATTCACTGGTTGCACGTAACATCCGATCTCAGTATACATTGTTTTGCAAGAACCGTTGGATTTTTGACACAAAATTGCAATCAAGATTTTTTACAGTACTGAATTAAAGATTCTATCTCGAAACGGTAAGCTATTTCATTTTCCAGTAAGTGCGATTTGCGTCATCGAAGACAAAGTTGGCAAATAAGAGGAACGGCTGGGTTGATAAGTGTTGTAACTTTTAAAGACAACACATTGCTATCTTCTTTTATCTCGTTAGGGTGTTAATCTAAATAAGACGGAAATATTGTAACAATCACGTGATGTCATAATCGAGAGGATCTCGCTTCATGTAAGTGAGAAATGATACATCTTTTAGGGAGGGAAAGCTTAATAATGATCCTGGAGCGCTCTAACAAAGAGGAATTTTCCTAAGAATGTACAAAATCGGTCATCTATTTGAGTTTATATTTCCTCTTTACTCGGGCAAGCGATTTAAACTTGAAAAGTAGTGCACCGGGCGATTAGCCGAAATATCAAAAGTTGAAATTCTATTTCTCCTCATAATCTCGGGCCTTGTCACATTGACCAAGTGAATGGAACAAAGTTCCTAGGTTTCCATAGCTCTCCTTTTTATCCCTGTCGCCAATTTCTTTTCTGATGGCGAGTGCCTTCTCCTGATATGATCGGGCCTTGTAAAATTAACCAAGTGATCGGGACAAAGTTCCTAGGTTTCCGTAGCTTGTTACTTTCCAAGAATTTGAAAAGAATTTTCAAATTATTGAAAAGCCTTTTTTTCTGAATAGGTAACGTTTTTTCCACATATTCTTTTCCTGAATCTCATCGAAACTTCCTTCAAAGAACGTGTGATTTTTCCTTCTGATGTCAGGTACTTCTGATTACTCGGAATTTTCCGGAGGCTTCACTTTCCAATAGCAATGGATAATTGGAGTGGGTATAAGTTACCTGTTGCCAGGACGCAACGTGTAACTTACTATTTTTATGGGGAAAAGAAACAATATTTATTTAAGTTACGCTCATTACATTTGCAGTTTATGAAAGGGAACAAAATTGGCCCCATCAAATTACACCCTATTAATTTTTGTTCGAAATTTGGGCGATCGAAAGAAATGAACTTGCAGTTTATGAAAGGGAACAAAATTGGCCCACTCAAACTACCCCCCATTAATTTTTGTCTGAAACTTGGGCGGTCGAAAGAAATGGACTTCCAAAATCGAAAGAAAATTGACTCGGAAAGAAAGGCTTTGCCAGATTGGTATAAATTTTCTCGATGATTTTTGGCTTTAAGCCGTATCAGTCCGTTGGCTTTCAGTTTGATGACGTGACAAGAGGCAAAAAAATAATTTTGATAAATTCCCGACTTTTAAACGTGGATTTTTTCTACCAACGCACCAACCTCGCGTAGAATTCCAACCGTTATGTGTAAAATATGAATTCCGAATGTCCGTCACAAAAGCTTAAATGAAATTCATTTTGTTCCTTCCATGGAGGAAAAATAAGGAGAGACGGATATTTGTTATCCTACTTTTAGAGCGGCGCCATCTAATCTTCGTAAATGCATGTATTTCGGTTTTGTACGTCTAACTTTTTTACCGATGACAGATGTGAACATGCAAAACTGAAACAATTCACTTTGGTTGCAGTTAACATCCGCTCTCAGTAACCATTTTTTTGCAAGAACCGTTGGATTTTTAACACAAAATTAATTACAAGAATTGTTACAGTGCTAAATTGGAGCTTGTATCTTGAAAAGGTAAGCTATTTGTGCTCGATGACTATCTCTTCAAGAGTTGTTCATTTTCCAGTAAGTGCGATTTGCGTCATCGAAGACAAAGTTGGTAAATACAAAGAACGGCTAGGTTGATAAGTGTTGTACCCTTAAAAGACAACAATTTGCTCTCTCCGTTTATCTTATAAGGGTGTTAATCTGAATAAGAATGTACAACATCGGTCATCTATTTGAGTTGACATATTCTCTTTACTCCGGCAAGCGATTTAAACTTGAAAAGTAGTGCTGCGGGCGATTAGCCGAATTATCAAAATTGAAAATTCTGTTTCTTCTCATAATCTCGGGCCTTGTCATATTGACCAAGTGAATGGAACAAAGTTCTTAGGTTTGCTTTTTCACTCCTGTCGCCAGTTTATGTTCTGATAGCGAGTGCTTTTCCTGATATTCTCAGGCCTTGTAAAATTGACCAAGTGATCGGAACAAAGTTCCAAGGTTTCCGTAACGAGTAAAATTGACCAAATGATCGGAACAAAGTTCCTAGGTTTCCGTAACGAGTAAAATTGACCAAATGATCGGAACAAAGTTCCTAGGTTTCCGGAACGAGTCATTTTTCCTTCTAATGTCAGGTACTTCTGATTACTCAGAATTTACCGGAAGTATCTTTTTCCAATAGTAATGGATAATTGGAGTGGGTATAAGACCCATGGAGTGGGTATAAGTTACCCGTTGCCAGAATGCAAGTAACCTTCATGAGTAGTCTGAGTAGGTGAACCTGTTGTTACCAAATTTTGATAACTTGAAGGAAAAATGTGAAAACATGAACTTATAAACTATCAAATTATATTTTAAGAAGTTGGGGATTTTAATTCTAAAACGATCCGTGATGTACGGCCGTTAACACGAATACAACAGAACTAGAAACAATTTGAAAATTAAATTTGTCTCTAACACTCAACGGATGATTGCGCCGGGCGATATCCTTAGTTTTCGCGTGACGCTATAAAATCCAAAATTACATATATTACGGCATGCAAGGGAACTGACGTTTTACCCCGAAAGGGAAAAACCTGTGAAAAATGAAACGTTTCGCCAGTCATCAACATGACATCCAATGCTGTTCCGAAATGTATAATTGACTGGCTGAGGAAGATATCATGAATGTATCAAAATGTTGGTATCGAGTGATTGTTTGTAAACTTATCATTTTAATGGCGAAAAGAAACAATATTTGTTGACGCTCATTACATTTGCAGTCTATGAAAGGGAAGGCAATTAGCCCCCTCAAACTACACCCCATCAATTTATATCCGAAATTTGGGCGATAGAAAAAAAATTGAGTCCTAAATCTTGGCTTTATGCCGGTTCAATCCGTTTACAGTTCAGTTTGATGACGTGACAAGATACAAAAAAGATAATTTTGATAAATTCCCGACTTTGCACCATGGATATTTTTTCTACCAACGCACCAACCTCGCACAGAATTCCAACCGTTATGTGAAAAATATGACTTCCAAATGTCTATACAAAGGCTTAAATGAAATTCGTTATGTTCCTTTCAATGAAGGAAATGTAAGGAGAGATGGATATTTTTTTATCCTACTTTTAAAGCGGCGCCATCTAATTGATGTAAATGGTTTGGTTGCAGTTGACATCCGCTCTCAGTATACATTGTTTTGCAAGAACTGTTGTATTTTTAACTAAAATTTTCCATCAAGACTTGTTACAGTGCTGACTTGGAGCTTCCGTCTTGAAACGGTAAGCTCTTTGTGCTCGATGACTTTCTCTTCATGAGCTGTTTATTTTCCAGTAAGTGAGATTTGCGTCATCGAAGACAAAGTTGGTGAATAAGAGGAACGGCTGGGTTGATAAGTGTTGTACCCTTAAAAGACAACAAATTGCTCTCTCCGTTTATCTTAGAAGGGTGTTAACTTGAATAGGAAGGAAATATTGTAAGAATCACGTGATGTCATGGTCGATAGGATCTTGCTTGCCTTCATTTAAGTGATGATCAACAAATGATACCTCTTTTAGGGAGGGGAGGGAAAGGTGAATAACGATCCTGGAGCGCTCTAACAAAGAGGAATTTTCCTAAGAATGTACAAGATCGGTCATCTATTTGAGTTAATATATTCTCTTAACTCGGGCAAGCGATTTAAACTTGAAAAGTAGTGCTCCGGTCGATTAGCCGAAATATCAAAAGTCGAAAATTTTATTTCCCCTCATAATCTCGGGCCTTGTCATATTGACCAAGTGAATGGAATAAAGTTCTTAGGTTTCCGTAGCTTGTTGCTTCTCCATCCCCGTCGCCAATTTCTATTCTGATAGCGAATTCCTTCTCCTGATATTCTCGGGCCTTGTGATATTGACCAAGTGATCGGAACAAAGTTCCTAGGTTTCCGTAGCTTGTTGTTTCTCAAGAATTTAAAAATTCTCTTCAAATTCTTGTAAAGCTTTTTGCCTGAATAGGTGAAGTTTTTCCACAGATTTTTCTTTCCTGAATTTCATCGAAACTTCCTTCAAAGAACGAGTGATTTTTCCTTCTGATGTCAGGTACCCCTGATTACTCGGAATTTTCCGGAAGTTTCACTTTCCAATAGTAATGGATGATTAGGGTGGATATATTTTTTAACGGGGAAGGCGGCGGAGAGGAGTTTTATAGCAGCATCTAACGAGGATTTCGGAGTAAACCATGATGTTTCATTATCATTTCTGTTGGGGGAATTGGTTACAAGCAACCGAAGATCCTTTTGGTTACCCTTCCGAGAAGTCTGAGTAGGTGAACCTGTTTTTACCAAATTTTTGATAACTTGAAGGAAAAATGGGAACTGTGATCCATGATATTTAACAAAAACAGTGAAAACATGAACTCATAAACTATCAGATAATATTTAAAGGAATTGGGATTTTTTTAATTCTTAAACGATCCACTATGTGGGGCCGTTAACACGAATACAACAGAACTAGAAACGATTTAAAAATTAAATTTGTCTCTAACGCTCAACGGATGATTCCGCCGGGCGATATCCTTGGTTTTCGCTCGGCGCTATAAAATCCAAAATTAAATATATTAGGGCATACAAGAGTATTGACGTTTTACCCCAAAAGGGAAAAACCTGTGAAAATGAAACTTTTCGGCAGTCATCAGCATGACATCCAATGCTGGTCCGAAATATTAAAATAGCTGGCTGAGGAAGATATCATGAATGTATCAAAATGTTGGTATCGATTGATTGTTTGTCAACTTATCATTTTTGCAACGGAAAGAAATAATGTTTATTTTCTTTACGGTCATTGTATTTACAGTCTATGAAGGGAAATAAAATTGGCCCCCTCAAACTACACCTTATCAATTTTTGTCTGAAATTCGGGCGATCGCCTACTCAGTGGAAAATAATCGACTCCGAAAGAAAAAGCCAGATTGGTATAAATTTTCTCGATAATTCTTGGCTTTAAGACAATTTAGTCCGTTTACTTTCTGTTTGATGGCGTGAAAAAAAAAAATAAAAATAAATAATTTTGATAAATTCCCAACTTTTCACCATGAATTTTTCTCTTCCTTTTTCTAGGAAAAAGTTGACCTCCTTCGGAAGATCCAAGTCCCTCTGCCTTCATCAAAATGAATAAGGAACATTCCTAACTTTTCAAGGTAGTATACAGTAATGATGCCGACTGTTTTAGGAATCCACACAACACTAGTATCTTTATGAAAACTACAAAAGAAAATTATAAGAATAACAACATTGACAGCATATAGAAATCTCACTGTTTCCCCCTTTGAAAGGAAACTATGACTTCTTCCATTGAATAAGATACTTTACAATACTTTTCCACAAACATCGACGAATAATGCACCTTTAATTTTACAAGGGGTTACACAATCAAAATGCAAGATCATCAAATAAAGTTCATGTCGATTATGTACGGACAATTATAACCACTCCATAGAATACAGGACCTTTATTCAGAGATAGCCAATATGGAACATTCTCCCAACACATGCAAAACCTGTGAGTCATAATATACTTTTAGTAAGCAGATTAAAGGAAACCTACTATCTGATTTCATTTCTACAAACAGAAACTTGTTGTAAGGAGATGCGATTATTATTAAGATATGGGCTAGGCAGTTTAAAATTAACAGCAGTATGATGCAACACGAGCTCCCTTGAGGGCCCAGTATATCGGATTTGTTAAGAGCATTACTCCTTCTTAGATAATTGTATTGTATTACTGTGAACTAGATATGAATCAGCAGATCAAATAAAACTTCTTGTGTTCTGTTAGCCACTTAAATTTTCCAGTTGGTCTCTGATTTGCACGATTCGCGTGACAGAACAACGAACACTCCAGTAGAACAGACGGCAAAGTTGTGTTCCTCTTTGATGGACAGTGTGACAAAAATCCATCAACGAAAATAGACGCTGGAGTCCAAACTCCGCAGAAAATATGAATTAAACTTGTTAAATGAACCACAATATTTGGCTAAAATAAAACTCTGAAACTTCTTAAATTCAAAACAAAGGGTTAGAGAAATTGCGCGAACGAAAGCCTAAAAACAATTAACTAAACTCCGTTGAGACAAGCGACAAAACTACGCGAAAAATGTCCACGTCAGTTTTCCAATGTCAAGGTTAGAGTTCTTTGACATGATTTACTATTTGTGATATTACGTGCGCCGCGCGTGAATACAAAAAGACTACAAGGCGGGGAGGTGAACATAAAAATTGCAATTTGAAATTTAAAACCAAAAAGATTTTCTACAAACAATCCAAGTATAAGTTTTCACTAATTTCTCGTTTTTTTTCAAACTTAGAGGAAACAGGGTCAAGATGAACAGCATAAAAGAAGCTATATCAGCTATCTCCATAGGTATAATGGTCGCCGAGTTCCTTCGCAAAACTAGTCGCGTGTTGCAAGCCATCGAGGTGTACAAGGAATGTTTGATTATATTACACAGTCAAACGCAGGCTATCGATAGTTCATTGGCAAACTTTACATTCCGAGAAATCTACGAAGAATTAATCTGTGCTTACGTTTCTATAAAGGATTACACAAGTTCAGAAAAATACCTCAGGGAACTCCTCCTATACCTAGACTCTAATGACACCGCTGAAAAAGGATGGCTACATTTAAGGCTGGCAGAAATACTTCAGATACAAAGTAAATTAATGGAGGCCTGGAAATTTTACGAATCAGCAATCAACATCATGAAAACGATGGGAAACACGCATGGCTTGGCAAAATGTTACGCAAAACTCGGAATAATGTTCCAATCGCATTGTCAATATGACAAAGCCATAGAATATCAGGAGAAAGCACTCGCTATCAGAATAGAAATTGGTGACAGGAATGGAGAAGCAACCAGCTACGGAAACCTAGGAGCTTTGTTTCATTCACTCGGTCAATATGGCAAGGCTCGAGAATATCAGGAGAAAGCACTCGCTATCAAAATACAAATTGGTGACAGGAATGGAGAAGCAACCATCTACGGAAACCTAGGAGCTACGTTCCAGTTACTCTTTCAATATGACAAGGCCCGAGAATATCAGGAGAAAGCACTCGCTCTCAACAAAGAAATTGGTGACAGGGATGGAGAAGCAACAAGCTATGGACAATTAGGAACTTTGTTTCATTCACTCGATCAATACGACAAGGCTCGAGAATATCAGGAGAAAGCACTCGCTATCAGAATAGAAATTGGTGACAGGAATGGAGAAGCAACCAGCTATGGAAACCTAGGAGCTTTGTTCCAGTTACTCGGTCAATATGACAAGGCCCGAGAACATCAGGAGAAAGCACTCGCTATCAAAAAAGAAATTGGAGACAGGAATGGAGAAGCAACAAGCTACGGAAACCTAGGAACTTTGTTCCAGTTACTCGGTCAATATGACAAGGCCCGAGGATATCAGGAGAAAGCACTCGCTATCAAAAAAGAAATTGGAGACAGGAATGGAGAAGCAACCAGCTATGGAAACCTAGGAGCTTTGTTCCAGTTACTCGGTCAATATGACAAGGCCCGAGAATATCTGGAGAAAGCACTCGCTATCAAAAAAGAAATTGGAGACAGGAATGGAGAAGCAACAAGCTACGGAAACCTAGGAACTTTGTTCCAGTTACTCGGTCAATATGACAAGGCCCGAGGATATCAGGAGAAAGCACTCGCTATCAAAAAAGGAATTGGGGACAGGAATGGAGAAGCAATCAGCTACGGAAACTTAGGAGTTTTGTTCAAATCACTCTATCAGTATGACAAGGCCCAAGAACATCAGGAGAAAGCACTCGTTATCAATAAAGAAACTGGTGACAGGAATGGAGAAGCAACAAGCTACAGGAACCTAGGAACTTTATTCCAATCACTCAGTCAATATGACAAGGCCCAAGAATATCAGGAGAAAGCACTCACTATCCATAAAGAAATTGGAGACAGGACTGGAGAAGCAACCAGCTACAGAAACCTAGGATCTTTGTTTCGATCACTCTGTCAATATGACAGGGCCCGAGAATATCTGGAGAAAGCACTCGCTATCAATATAGAAATTGGTGACAGGAATGGAGAGGCAACGAGCTACGGAAACCTAGGAACTTTGTCCCAGTCCCTTTGTCACTATGACAAGGCCCAAGAATATCAGAAGAAAGCACTCGCTATAAGAATAGAAATTGATGACAGGAGAGGAGAAGCAACAAGCTACAGTAACCTAGGAACTTTGTTCCAATCACTCTGTCAATATCACAAGGCCCGTGAATATCAGGAGAAAGCACTCGCTACCAATAAAGAAATTGGAGACAGGAATGGAGAAGCCACCAGCTACAGTAACTTAGGAACTTTGTTCCAATCACTCTGTCAATATCACAAGGCCCGTGAATATCAGGAGAAAGCACTCGCTATCAATAAAGAAATTGGAGACAGGAATGGAGAAGCAACAAGCTACGGAAACCTAGGAACTTTGTTCCAGTTACTCGGTCAATATGACAAGGCCCGAAGATATCAGGAGAAAGCACTCGCTATCAGTATAGAAATTGGTGACAGGAATGGAGAAGCAACAAGCTACGGAAACCTAGGAACTTTGTTCCAATCACTCTGTCAATATCACAAGGCCCGAGAATATCAGGAGAAAGCACTCCCTATCAAAGTAGAAATTGGTGACAGGAATGGAGAAGCGAACAGCTGCGGAAACCTAGGAACTTTGTTCCATTCACTCTGTCAATACGATAAGGCCCGAGAATATCAGGAGAGAGCACTCGCTATCAGAATAGAAATTGGTGACAGGAATGGAGAAGCAACCAGCTACGAAAACCTAGGAACTTTGTTCCAATCACTCTGTCAATACGACAAGGCCCGAGAAAATCAGGAGAAAGCACTCGCCATCATGATAGAAATATGTAACAGGAATGGAGAAGCATCAATCTACGGAAACCTAGGAACTTTGTTCCAATTACTTGGTCAATATGACAAGGCTCGAGAATATCAGGAGAAAGCACTTGCTATCAGTATAGAAATTGGTGACAGGAATGGAGAGGCAACCAGCTGCAGAAACCTAGGAGCTTTGTTCCAATCACTCGGTCAATTTGACAAGGCCCAAGAATATCAGGAGAAAGCAATGGCTGTCAAAATAGAAATTGGTGACAGGAATGGAGAAGCAATAAGCTACGGAAACTTAGGAATTTTGTTCCAATTACTCGGTGAATATGACAAGGCCCGAGAATATCAGGAGAAAGCACTCGCTATCACAATAGAAACTGGTGACAGGGAAGGAAAAGGAACATGCTATGAAATCCTCACGGATTTGTTTATCTCTCTTGGCAAGTATGCAAAGGCTGACGACTATCGAAAGAAAGCAATGGAAATTAGAAAGGGTATCGATGATAGATGCGGAGAAGCAGCAAATTACAGACAGCTTGGGCTAATTTCAGAAAAGTGTGGTGAATATGACAAGGCTCAAGAATATTACGAGAAAGCCCTTTCAATTCACATGGAAATCGGTAGGAAAGAAAGAATAGTAGTCAACTACAGCGATTTAGGAATGTGTCTCCTCACGCTTGGTAAATATGACATGGCCGAAGAATACCTTAAGCAGGCTCTCCTATTAAGTAGGGATATTGGACAAAACTTGAACGAGTTTACCTGCCTTTTACAGCTATCGGTGTTAAATTTGTCACAAGGTCATCTTGAAGAGGCTTCTACGTATCTTTTTCAAGGCATCGAAAAGTTCGAAACTTTGAGGGGTTTTCTTAAAGAAAACGACCAGTTTCAAATATCTCTTTTAGAAAGGCACGGCACCTTTCCTTACAAGTTGTTCAGTGAGTTGCTTTCTTCCACTGGAAAGCCTCAAGACGCCCTTTACGTCGAAGAACTGAGAAGGGCAAGAGGCCTGGCCAACTTGATGGCAGCTCGGTACTCTATTCAAGAGCAGATCTCAAGCGATCCACAGTCTTGGAGTGGCATTCAAAGGATCATCGCAAAAGAAGCAGACTGCGCATGCCTGTACATTTCGGTTGGTACAAATGATGTACGGTTTTGGATATTTAAAGCAACGGGAGCTCTTCATTTTTCAAAAAAGAAAGTGAGCTTGGACAAAAACAGGATGACCGGAATAGTCCCTGAGTTGGATGAGTTTTTTAAAGAAGCCTTCCACACCCGCTCTATTTTACCCGAACAGAATTGCGAAGATCGATCTTTAGATGACACCGAACTGATGTCATTTCACTACGGCAACCGCTCAGTGCTGCGTGACTATGATGCCAAAGATTTCAAAACAAGTCTTCACTTGTGTTACAAGATAATTATCGCTCCTGTGGCCCGTTTACTGAAGCAGCCCGAGATCATAATTGTCCCTGATTCCTGTGTGTACCAAGTGCCATTTGCAGCCTTGGCTGACGAAGGAGGCAAGTATCTATCAGAGACATGCAGAATTCGGATAGTTCCCTCTCTGACGACTCTCAAGCTTATTGAAGACAGTCCTCTAGACTATCACAGTCAGATCGGGGCTCTAATAGTGGGTGACCCTGTGGTTGGAAAGGTGATTTACAAGGGAAAGTGCAGAAATATGATACCATTGCCGTGTGCAAGAAAGGAAGCAAAGATGATTGGAAGACTTCTTGGCGTAACGCCTCTGATAGGACATTCCGCGACAAAGCATTCTGTACTCCAAGCGATAAATTCAGTGAGCCTGATACACATTGCTGCCCATGGATATCCCGAAAGAGGGGAGATTGCTCTCTCTCCCAAGCACCATTCCCCACTCCCACCTTTTCCTCGAGAAGAAGATTATCTTTTGACGATGGCCGATATTTCAAAAACTCGGTTGCGAGCTAAACTAGTGGTGCTTAGTTGTTGTCACAGTGCTCGTGGACAGATTAGAACCGAGGGAGTTATTGGAATTGCCCGAGCGTTCTTAGGATCCGGAGCTCGTTCAGTGTTAGCAGCACGATGCACCCTGGATGACATAGCCACAGAGCAGTTCATGAATTGTTTCTACAAACATTTGTTCCGCGGTGAAAGCGCCAGTGAGTCTCTCCATAAGGCCAGGAAGTGGATGAGAAATAACGGCTTTGAGAAAGTTTCTCAATGGGCGCCATTTATGATAATAGGCGACAACGTCAAATTTGATTTTGGAGACTGGCCGGAGCCTAGCGCAACTCAAGAGCCATGACTTTGATGAAACCTCTGTAGCAGAAATAATTAGACTTAGTAAAGCTCGGAACTATTTAATTACTAGCCTGTAGAAAGAGGACTCCTTCTTAGAGCGAAGGACAACTCGGATCGATACACAGTGGAAGGCATTTCTGTAAATGCTCATCACACATCTAAGTTCAATAATCTGAAACAAACCAGCGTATGGTGTTATCTCTTTATAAGAGTTCCGAAGTTAAAAAACTCCATTTTTTATAAGTCATTGGTTCAGTGAACGAGCCAAGCAAAGTGTAACAATTTTTAGGTTTCGAACGTTATTAGTTCGTCAAGGAAAGAAAACTTTTAATCCTTTTTCAAAGGCGATTAGTTAGTCAATTCAAGAGACTTTTAAACAAATGTGTGACTTGAAAAAGAAGTTTTTTCTAAGCTTAATTTTTTTGGAAATTTGTTGCAAAGCTTTTGACAAGAAATATTGTGGTTCAACATGCCAAAATAAATAAATTTAAAGAAAAGAAAAAAGAGATACACTTTTACAGTAATGCAAACCCTTGTATTCTCAGGGATACCCCTGTAATGTTATCAATTTAATCGATACCCCTATGCGTAGATACCGTTGTATCCTCACACAGACTCTTGTATGCTCATGGATACTTCTGTATATTTATTATCCTTCACTTTTGCACTGCCACTTCTATTTCGTACCGTTTTATCAACTGAACACCTGGAAAAGGTTACTTTATTATCAAAGGAAATTTTATGCATGGGAATTCTTTTTGTTGACCAAAAACTCAATAGATTCTTCGTCTGCTACTTTTGTGCCATATCTCTAGGTTACAGTACAATAAATATACAATGAAAACCGAAAGAATACGACAAAATTTACATGCGAGAAAAATAATTCATAAGACCGTTGAAATGTATTTGAAATACACAAATACACATATGCAGTTTAGCAAGATAACTTTCCTAATACTTCAAAACACCGAATCAAAATACATTATCTAGCAAACTACTATGAAGACTACTCAAAATTAAGGCGGAGGGTCTCTCGTAACCAGGCCTTCAGGTATGGCATACGAGCAAGCGTTTCTGGCTTTGCAAAGGTAGAATTTCCAACCACAGAGAGTACTGTATGTATTGACATCTCCCATATATATATATATAAATTAAATTTTGTGGTGTATTGTTCAAGATCGTCGTACATTACTGAAAGTTCGTTTAATTTCTCCTCCATGGAAACATGTTGTGCCTTGCAAGTTTCTACCGGATCTCCGACTCTCTGCTGTAGAGAGGCATAGTTTTTCTCCATCGCTTTTATCCTGTTCTTTAGGTCTTCGTTTTCCTTCACTATAGAGTCGACCGTGGCTTGTGTGAACTTGAGACTAGCTCGTAGCTCTTCATAATTTCTTTTCAGGACTGTCTACTGTTCGAGCATTAGGCTGTTATTTGTTTCAATTTTCTTAAGCGCCAATCGTCGCCAATGTTAAATCCTGTGCTCGTTTTTCGTTAGGTTGACTGCCACGTGCAGTGGCCTAAAATGCCGCTGAGTTTTCTTCGTTAAGTCGCTTTGCGTTTGGTGAATTTGTAGATTCTTCGCCACTGGCACTACTAAGATCACTCCTCTTACGTATTGTTTTCTCTCAGGGAGCCACAGAGCTCAAAAAAGTGCGTCCGCCATGTGCAACCATGCACTTGTCCCAGTCCTGTTTCCTTTGATGGCTTGCACGACTTCTCCTCCAGTTCCTTGATTCTTCTCCCGATAAATAGTTCGGCGTAATCGTACATCGTGTCAAAATTATCGAAAAACTTTTTAAATTTCTGGGTCTCGTAGATCTTGTAAAACCAAGTAAGCAAAAAATCGACCTCGACCGCATGCGCCAGAAAATCTCCGAGGGCTTTTATGAATGTCTGTGCCTCTTCGTTGATTTCCTCAAACGACAACTAAACTTTGTCAAACAATATCTCCGCCACAGACTCAAACGACCATTTGAAAAGTTCATTATCGAGTTCACTAACTTCGTTTTCTTTGTCTGACCCACCAGGCTCTCGAACTAATCGTAATCGGTGAATAAAATCGCTAATAATTTTACTGAAACCCTGAGTGTAGCTGGCGACTTCTTTCGGTCGAAGCATTCAGGACGCTTCGTAGCTTACATCATTCTACACCATTGACAAAGAAAACGCCAGGAATTTCATTCCTTATTTCCCGGTAGAAATTTAGAGATGGAAAGTCCATTCTCTCAGGATATTTGGGATCCGATCGAAGTAACTTTGCAACGTCGGCAGGATCGGATAAACTAATAATTTCGACGCCTGGTAGTTTGTTGCGGAATACTTTCCCATATTTCTTGACATTTTCTGCTTGGATTTTGCTTTCCAAGGGGCTGACATTTCGTTTCCACGAAAAACATCCAAGCTGTTCCGAAACTAGAAGACGGAGCGGACCTAGGATTTCTGAAAAAGGTTTTGTTTTTGGTGCATCCTCGACTGAAATAGACGAAAGAGAACACATTGGTATCGATGGCAGAAAACCACGGAGACCATGGTGTATGAACTAAATAGTCCGAACAGATGAGATCGAGAGAGAGTGATTACTTTTCATTCTAACAGTAAAGGCCATCTTAAAGAACTTCAGCTATCACTACGCGGCAGATCGAATGACTAACTCGCACTGCTATGGAACCTGGCTTTGACGTAGCGAAGGTCTAATGAGAATGGTCACGCACTTCACAGCAGGGTTACATAAGTAGCTAGCTCAACAATCAATATTACATTAATAATACACTAAAACACTATTACATTAATATTACATTATATTATTATATTAATGATTATTATATTAATCTATTATTATATTATGAATTTTTTTTTCTCTTTTCAGCCTTGTTCTTGCTGTAACTTTTAAAATTAGTAATTAGGATCGGAGATACTAGCTCGTAAGCTACACTGAAATCCGAGGATAAATGAAGCTTATGTATGTATGTATGTATGTAACGATTCGTTACGTAATCTAAGATTCAACTACACAGTGAAGTGCTTCGATAACGAAAGAATCGGTTAACCTAAATTTTTTGCTCACTCGAGCTTCACATCTTGTGCGTATAAATCAGCATAACTGAAAGGCATACGAAAGGGAAATTTTAACTAGGAATTGTCTATCGAATTTTCGAAAATTTGCATAAACCTGAAATAGGTTTTCTCAGAGAGCCCACTTCTTTTGTTTCCTTTGTTTTCTATGCATAAGCCTATAACTCATTTAGTGTTGAGGTAGATAATACTTTTACTGGAAACTCTGTGCGAGAAAACGGCTCTTAAATCGATCGACGTAAAAACGCTCGACTTTGTCTCATCATCGTTTTTCACACTCCAATATTTTTATTCTGGTGGTCACCCAACTTTGTGAACTGTGTATATATTTTTCAGTAACCAGTTGCCGCCTGCTGCGGAGAGAACTAATCTGAGGAAGGGCTAACGCTCGAAACTTCAGCTTTGAAACTCTTTACGGTGGCCAATTTACGTTGTCAACTCAGTTGATAACACTAAATTAGACTGTTTTCCGATTGGTTTAGTTTGAATACTCAAAAAGCTCATTTACATCTCTGATTTCGACTCGAAACAAAGAGAGGACATTACGAACATCTCCATGGAAAACAACGTCACGGAAAATAAAGATTCACTTGGGTTCCGTTTCAATAGCATACTGAGGTGAGACACTCAGGCACCTGAAAAACTCTCACATTGAAAACAATTCCCACGGTATCATGATCAACGAGCGCTTTTCATTCAACTAATTTATTCTTGTTATCTCGTCACCATACTCCCACCAATAGCGTAGCTCCACTTTCTGTTTATAAACCCACACACGACCCACAATTCCCCCAATCGCTCTGACGAAGGGCTAACGCTCGAAACGTTGGCTTTTTTATTCTTTATGGTAGTCAATTTACGTTTTCAACCCAGTTGTTAACACTAAATTAGTCGCATCTTGGTTGTTTTTATGTTTGCCACATTCTCGGCCAACTCGGCTTTCGATTCTGTGTTAAGACAGTTAAAAAAAGTTGAAAGTTTTCATTGACTTTGAATACCATCTAACTTCGGTAGTTTCTTCGGAGGCATTATCTTGATTTAGAATGCAAAGAAAATGAAATCATTTCGGCCAAAGACGAAAACAGTTAACTCAAAGCACATGTCATGCCTCGGGAGAACCTCGTTTGCAAGCTGAGTGCGAGTAAAAGTCTGGGGAAGATATTAAACGAACACGAAAGATTCGCAAAGACACAAGTTAATATTTCATGCTATTATTTGTTGTAACGCAAAATGAATACGGAGATTGAACTGCTTATCACCTATTACGCGCAAGGGTGCATGTCGGGCTGGGTAAGTAGTTTTACATATGCGCACGGCGCACGGCCTTCCCAATCCGCGACGTTGGAAATATTTGTCTTTCATTGGCCGAGAGATAAACATTACACAACATGATTCTCATCTGAAAGCAGTCTTAACTCGTATATTGAATTTTTTGTAGTTTATTTGTCAAAGTAACTACGAAGAGGTCAGTGATACCTAGTTTTTAGCCTTTCCTTTTCCTTTTTGCTCCAATTTAGCCGTTGATTCCTTTTGTTCTTTGGATTTTTTCTCTTCCCTCTGAGGTTTTCTTTTTTCTATTTTTTGGCCTTTTCCGTTGAAGGGTATGTTTATGTTTACTGGGTTTGAAATAGCAGCGCTTATGGTTTTCATTTGCGATAACATGAACGGTGAACAATGTTTCAGTGGCGAGTTTGTTGGAGGGAAGTCAGATTTCTTTGTACTTCTCTTCCGTGGAGTGACATATTGATTTCTAGGTGCCCTCCCTTTGGTTTTGTTTCCCCTGTCCTTGCTGCTGTCTGTCGCTTGAGCTCTATTAAAACAGCTCGCTATTACAAATGGCGTAGGGTTGCATTTGAATTCCACAGGTTTTGAAAGCTCGTTGCACGGGAATTCGTCCACTAATAACTGGTCCTGGTACAGAGCATTCAGGTTTGGCAGGTTCGTCCCCTCGCAACCGTTATAAGAGACGCTTTTGAGGTAAACCTTCAGTTTTCTCAGACGGCGCTCGTCTAAAGAATGATACGGTAATTTGTTAGTATAGGAAAAAAAGATTATGACCTACCTGGTATTCTTGGCATCGGATACTCCACTTCCCCTTCATTTTGCCGTTTGCACACTCAACCATTTCCGTAAATTTCAAGCTTTAAAACATAATTCATGGGCTTTCTTCTCTCTTCACTCGGGATGCGAGTTAATCACCAATGCAACTCCTCCCCACCTCTCCGATTCCTTTGACCACATCCTGAGTAGGAGGGGGGAGGGTTGGGAAGTACACAGTAATGGCTTCAATTGGTACCATCGGATGTGTAAACCGTTGTTTCACGGGGTGTGAGATTCTGCAGACTGAATAAGTATGCAGCCCTTATCCCCCGCCCCTCTTACTTCTTTGAAAATGCAGTGTGACCCTTGTAGCCACCCTCACATACTTTGGAATTTTTGAGCGAAAGTGGCCTTGGCCTTCTAGCGTATGAGGGTTTTGTGTTAAAATGGTTTTGTGTTACAACGGTTTTTTGTAGTCGGACCACCCCATGCAGGGTTGACATGTAAGACAAACTATTTGAAAAATAAATTAAGAAATCAATGGCAGTTGAATAAATAAAGCACAGGATAATAAAATATTCAGACTCACCAAAAACTAATAATCTGTTTTTTCTTATACAAACCTTCATACACAAATATCGTTGTAAAAAGAAACAAATGGATGCCAGGAACTAGAATTTTAGAAGTAAGTAAAACTGCAACACTATCTTGCAATGAACTAACCTGCTGCTGTTTGCTCAGCACTTGTTGAACCCTCTGCAACACTTGACGTTTTCGGCTTTCTATACTTTGTTTCTGTGGTGTTCTCTGTAGCCGGAGTTGAATTCGTCTTGCCGGAACTTTGACATTTTTTTCGTGTTTCTTTGACATTTCCTGGTTTCTTAGACTTTTTAGGACTTCCCTTAGCTGGACGGAAGATATGGACAATTGTGTAAAGTATAAATCGCGTCATAGTCAGTTAAAAAAAAAAAAAGGTTCACCGAAACAGAGATGAACAAAACCAAATCATTCTGTGCAATGTTTAACAGATCTTTCAACTTACAAAGAGTTTTTCTCCTAGTGACTTTCGCACCTTTCATTTCACTTTGCTACAAAATCTTGGCAGTCGAAGTCATTTTTATTCTACCGTTACGCTTGCTCGCGCTTCACTGACGTTATATTGAGCGACATTCGAAATAGTCTGCGACTCGGCCCTCATATCAGCTGCACTACGCGCGTTCCTCCGCCCGCGCAGTAGATTTGAGACGGGATGAGATTTTCCAAGGGTCTGTTAGACCCCTTACAGATCTCTCGCCAGGTCGCGTAGGTCGAGGCCTCATAATTTCCCGTTGGTGAAGAAGTGCTCGTATAACTCGTGCCGAAGCGTTGAAAAGGAGTGCGTATCCGTAGGCTACATTCGGAAGAGATCTAGCTCACTAATCGGCTTACAGTAAAGAGACCTTGATTCCCAAATGCTTGAGAGTATTTGTTTTTACTGGGATGGAAATAGTTATATTCCAAAAAGGTTGAACTCATAAGTAGAGGGTCTATCTTGCAACACTGCGCTTTTTTCAGTAATCATAAAATACTGCCCCAGATCATCGCAACGGATTAAATTATCTCTACAATTAATAAATATTTTAACCTTTGGATCATTCAAGTGATAGTTTCAAAACGTTTCAAATATTCATGAAAATATTTATTTGAGTGGTCTCAACATAACCCTTATATAAAAAAATTACTAGATGTTCCTTATATTTCATCCAGCAGTCCAGTCCCTGTATAGTCTACTTAATTTTCAAGTCGGCGCGAAGATTGACCAATCACAGCGCTTGACCTCTTGGCGGGGAAATTTGCTTTGTTTTAGTTATTCGCGCGGTAACGTAATTTCATTCACTGCTTGTCTCGTAGAAAGAAGAAACTTAGTCAACTTCTTTGCTTTAAAACTCTTTTATTTGCCCGTGATAATGTCTGTGATGAAGGATATCACCAATCTAAGCTCAAACACGGCGGCAAGCGGCCACGAGAGCTCTCCGGAGAGGGACATCTTCGTTTCTTTGACCTCTCCGAGCCCGAGAAAGAGAAAAGCAGAACATGTGCAAGCTAGCATGCAGAAATTCCTACAAAAGCCCGAAACACTCGGAAGTACTAGCAATGAGGACGAAATCAGCGGTAGTGAAGCAGATTGTGGAGTAAATTCAGTGTTTATGACTCCTGAAACGCCGCAGGATGGCCCTCCAAAAGTGAGCAAACCAAACCGAAAGAGGCTTCGTCTTGGAGGCCCGCGTAACGAGAGTCAATCACCCGCTTTATCTGTGACTCTTAACGGCCTGACCAAGGCTCAACTGGTGGATATATTGGAAACTTTAGTGGCAGAAAGACATCCAGATCTTGAACAGGTAAACTATAATCTGAAAATCATCTTTTTGAACTTGAGTCAGATCGCAGAACGAAAGAAAGACGCCATTTTTAAACAATTAGGACGCATCTTTTATTGTTATGTTGATTTGATTTTTAAATGCTGTTAAAATTCTTTGTGCTCCGGCTAATAAACATTTTTTCTTGTAAGGAATTACGAAGCCTCATCCCTGAACCAGATCTTACAGAATTAGAAGAAAGATTGAAGCGCTTGCAAAGAAACATTTACAAGTCCTTCCCTTACACTCGTTACGGTTCCTCGCGAGATGCTTTTTGTTATCGCCGGGTGAACACTCATCTAACAACTTTCAAGGTGAGTGTTTGAATTGCATGAACCAATGCTATTGACTACTCTACAACTTCATTCTTTCAATTCTTACTTGTGTGACAAATCTTGTGTCAGTGGGAAATTGTGGGCAAGCAGCACATAAATAACAGAATCTTTCTCGAAGATTTTGATATTTTCTAGTGCAGTCTTTTAGGGATTCAACTAGGACAGGACATAACTATCAAATATTGCTTTCATCAAGCCCATAAGTTACCATTTTTCTTTGTTTTTCCCTCACCACACTATCAGAACTGCTGATCACTAACCAACTTACTCATAGTCCGTGAACTAGCTAGTTTCCAAAAAAATTCTCTTCATTAAAAGTAACTGTTGTTTGGAGGTCTGACATCAAAATTTGCAAGTCTTCAAACGCTTTGGGAGAATTCACATATTTTTATTTGTCCCATGTTGAAAAAAAACTTTGCTTTTTCAACAAAAAGTGTAAAATTGAACAAATATCTTAGATTAAACGGTTCTGGTAATACTATTTCACAGAAGGAATGTGTCGCCCAAGGCCAGACTTTACTTAACTCACAACTTTGGGAATCAACTGTGAACTATGTTCTTCTGGCTTGGGAATATGTTGAGGGGATGCCTGACTGGGACAATCCTGTACACAACAAAAGCAAAGAACAATGCTATAAGGCCCTGGCAGTCCAGTGTAAAAAAGCCATAATGAAACTTAAGAGCAGCCTCTCAGAAGATAAATGTAAAGATCTGCATGAAAGGTAAGCCTTCAAAGGCATGCTATACGTCATATCTTTATGAAACTTTAGTTCCTTTGCTTTATCTTTGTAAATTTTGAGTTTCATTCAATACTCTTAGAACATATTACAGTCCTTTTTCATTTGGAGGATAGAGAGCACAGTCCTGCCAGTTAAAAGTAAATAAAACTAATGCTGTGCTCATCCCAAGTGTAAGCAAATTTACCAGTAACATAACACCACTCACATTTTGAAAAACCAGATTTAAAGTGTTTCTTGAAAAAGATTTGAACATTTATCTTGAGTATACATGATGATACCCAGGTCTGCTTTTAATCACTGGAAACAATTTATAAGCTATGAAGCAGGCTTTTTAATTAATTAATGTAAAATGTTTTTCTTCCTTATAACTAAAGGACAATTTTTCCAGCCCTTTAGATGAAATAGACTAAGCATTTTCAACCTGGCACTTCATCCCTTTTCTTCCTAGGAGTGACCAACAAGTTATTTCTCATTACAATGTCAATTCAACAAGACTTAGAAAGAGAAGGAGCAGAAAGAAAAACCCTGATGAGGGGAACTTTTTGATTCAGCAATAACTTTTAATGGCTGAAATTATATTAAATGTATAGAGGAAAGTGAGGAGATTTGATTTTGAGAATTTGGAGTGAAAAAGACAACTCTTAGAGCCAATTGAAATATATCTTCTCCTTAACCCTTTAACTCACTTGAGTGACCAAGAGAGAATTTCTCCTTACAACATCAATACAATTTCAAGCAGAAAAGTGATAACAATAAAAATATATCAATTACTGGATTATTAGTTGATCCCATACCAAATTCTAACTTCAAGATTTGTGTGGCAGACAGTAAAGAGAATTACTAATGAGATCTTGATAGTAAGAGTGTTAAAATTATAATTCTTTATTCTGGGGACATTTGATGGATAAACAAACTTATCAGAAAGCTGGTGTTACCCACACAAAACACTAAATTCTGGTAAGTGATATTCAATGAAGGGTACAGCAGATGGAAGAGAGAATTAGAAATCAGATATTGGGAGATTAAAGGGCCAAACAAGGGCAGGGATTGTACTCTTGTTAAGATTCTAACTATGGAGTTTTGTTCACCATCATTAAATACTTTTGAAACAGTAAGCATTACTTGAATATTTTTTTCTCTTGCAGGATGAAAAAAGCCAGTGAGCAAAATAACCAAATGCAGCCTTGTGTTGACCAGCTATCTGTATTGAAGTCAAAATTTTAGATGAAATTGATGTATAAGAAGCATCCTCTCCATTTTTAATCCTTCTGAAATTGGGATGTAATTTGTGTTCAGAATTTTAGTATCTGCCCAGAACTTTATATAAAAAATTGGGATGTGAAGGTAATGTTCATGTACATTGGTTTCTGTTTGTATTTGATATATCGATAGAGAAATTTATATTTTTATCACGAGGAAAGAGATAGAGTACATGTCTGTTAATGTCTTAATTGGTATTGTATAGAAAATAAACATACTTGAAATAATCAGAATGCAATGATTTTCAGACATTGTTTAAGGAGAGTGTGCAATTGCAACTTCATTGTTTGAGCACCAGTGGTACAATTAATTCTTTATTTTTGATTGGATGGCACCGAGAAACGGAGATATAAGAAGTGGAAATTGCATGCAAAGAAGTCAAAATCAATGGAAAACTAATATATTACAAATTGAAATTACAGCATGCCCAATCTAATGTAAATTTTGTGAGTGACTTGCTATTCAATGGTTTGAACTCTCTTCATTCTGACAAGTAAACTCATAGTACTGTAGGTATCAATTGTGCTTCAGTTACTGATCAGTGTTTGTAGTTCAATGTTATTTTATTTTGCAGACAAAAATTAACACACTCTACTGTCACACTTAAAATGAATAATATCAAATGAATAAACTTAAGCCTGCATTCTCTCTAAATTTAATGCAAACTTGTGCTTTAGAATATATATCTGCTGCATTGATTATTTTAAGGTTAAAATTTAAAAAATTCTAAAAAAACTGTCCAAGCTAATAAGTTCAACTAAATACAAGTGTAGTGCCTTTTCATTTTCAAGTGTTATACTGACTGCTCAAAATACATCAAATATTTTAGCTCTGGTGTGGTTTTTCTGAAAGTGTCCATGTGATTATGGGCTCTTTGGCATCATGTGACCACACAGGTAGAGCATACCATAGATATTCCCTACTACTCTGTTTTTCAAAGCCTATGTCCAAATAGTGAAAGCCTTTCTGTGAAGGTTGATTCTTGATTATACTGAATTGCTATGGTTGCAGTGGAAGAAAACAATCCTATTTATTATGTAAGTCAGATAAGAGAGATAAATGAAATGTGCATGCTACACAAATGTTTTTGTATTCCATTCTTACCCTAAAACCTAAATTGTCAAATATCCTCTACTTTTAAATATTACATCTTCATTCTTTAAGTGTTTATACATGTATTGTCCTCCCTTGTCATCTAAGAGGACTCTCTTGGGCTGGACTTCAGTCATCAAACACCAAGAACTTTCCACCACTGACCTTGCTCAACTTGGACAGTTTTGTTCGATGGCCATCCATAAAGGTGTCAACCACCTCTATGCTCTCTAATTCCATTGGATCCACTTGGTAGGGGTTCTTAGACAATACGAGCAGATCTGCTTTCTTGTTCACCTCTAAGCTACCCAATTCATCATCTTTGTGGATTTGCCAGGCTGCATTTATGGTGTAAGCCTTCAAGGCCTCATGGATGGAAACACGGTATTCTGGGCCATATACAGTCTCCTTATCATCCCTGCAGGTCCGAGTAACTGCCGTCTTTAGGTTTGCCATAGGAAGAGGCCCAGGCCCTGGAAAAGTTGGATGGTCCTGGTGAATGGACCAAAGAAGACCATGTTTGCTTGCTTCTGATAAGGGTGTCCAATGGTCGGTTCGTTCTCTCCCAAAGATATATTCTGCATATGATTTTGCATAGAAATAAAGATGACACACAAAGAAGGACAAGGCAAGCTTGAGTTCTCCAGCCTGTGCAATGGAATCTACGGTGGCCAATCCAAGATGTTCAATGCGGTGACGTGTGTCCTTGGGAACTTTGCTTACAACCTGTTGGAAACAGTACGTGAAAAAGTGAGTGGGAGGGAAGTTCATCCTTAAAGTCCCACTAGCAACCCAGAGAGAATTTCTCCTTTCACATCAGTATGATATCAAGCAGACAAGTAATGAGAATAAATAAAGTATCAATCAGGGGATTATTAGTTGATCCAATTCCAAATTCTCTTAACTAACATCACATGTAATGTATGGCAGACAGTAAAGATAATTATCAATGAAATCTAGGGAGTTAAAAGGTTAAATAAAAAACAGAGGTGACTGTTGGGTGAACATTTGGTGCAGAAATTGACCACGAGGAACCTTGTCTCAGTCTCTACTGCTTCATTATGGCTGTTCATTGTTCTTTAGGTTGCACTGAATATACACACAGGAATGCTGGGTGCAGGAGGAGTTTTGTGTTAATGACAGGAAATGTACTGCTGTCTGCCCTCAAGAACCACACTGCCCAATGGTGTATGGGGTTTTGGATAGAGTCTATCACCCTCCCCAATTTTCTAACAACCTCCCAGCCACTTCAAGGACCATTTTCAGAATTGATAAAACTGCTCTACCTGTTCATACACCGTAAGCACTTGATCAATGGCTCGTTCCCCATGAGCATGAATTGCAATCTGGGTACCCTTCTTATGGTAGGACTGAACAATTTCCAAAAGCTCATCTGTGGTATAATTAAGGGTGCCGTATTGTGGAGCTTCGGGGAATCCAAGTATCTCAGTGAGATTGGAATTCAAATATGGCTCCTGTACTGCAGCAGTGCAGCAGTACCGCAGTGAGGGGAGCCATCTGCAATAACCTTCACACCAGCTACCCACAGCTTGTCAGACCCCTCAATGATTGGTTCATCTTGGTCTAGGCTTCCGTCCATTGAATCATCGATTCGTAGCAAGCTAGGACAACATTGATAATGAGAGCGAGTTGAAGATTTCTCTTCCTTGATAGAATTTTCAGGACCGTAGACCACTTGGTACAGGGCTAGGCGGATGGGACAGTCTCTTTGTTCAGACTCCTTCAAGAGGAGGGTGTCAAACGCTGGGTTTCTTTGGTAAGCCATTTCAGTGACTGTTGTGAAGCCCCGAGAAGCAAAATCTTTCCATTGGTCTTTTATTTTTGTCTGTAAATCTGAAAGTGTTGGTTGTGGTGCATAGCTTGTGACACGTTCTATTGCATACACCTCAAACAGCTGACCAGTCAGATGTCCTTCATCATCTTTGACAAACACTCCGCCATCCGCATTTTCGATTGAGTCATCTACATTAGCCACCTTTTATCACCGACAAGAAAACACTGAATGAGTACTTCAGTAATTAAAGGCACTAAGTACTATTTCTGCTATGGTCCCTGATGTTCTTTAATGAGAAAGTAAAGGATACATCCTCTTCGATTATCCAATTCCTTTTAAGGGAGAAGGTAGAAATTTTAAGCAATTTAATTTCTGAAAACAGTAAGCACTTAGATATTGACGTTTTCTACCAATCGAATTCGCCTTCAGCTATCTTCGTAGGAACTTTTCGAGCGCATCACTCACAGAGCTCCCGCGGCGCATTGACATCAATTCTTTTTCGCCTATTCTTGCACCCCCCTCCCCTCCTTCTGTTGGACTCGCGTGTTAACTCTTTGTAAACAATCTGCATTTTATCACGTCCACTACACACAGGAGGCCAAATGTAGATAAGTCACGACTGAATAATCTGCTCTCATTATTACGCCCAAGGGAAAGCTTTTTGTCTTCGTTCGTTCTCATTTTGTTGAATCGAAGGATTCGGAATCTTAATCGACAAATTAACAACACTGACAAATCTTCAAAATAAGCACACTAGCTCAAAAGCGTAGATGATAACCTACCTCAAAAGCTTTCCGATTTACCCAGGCAACATGACCGCTCTGGCCAACCACAACGACGGGGACTTCAGAAGAAAATTCTTTATCCAGAAAGTCCGCAGAAAGCAATGGCAAGCTAGGGATAAGCTCTGGGTCCCAACCAAAGAACAACGCCCATGGGAGAGGAGAGGTTTCTGTGTCGAGTTTACGAATAGTCTCCTTCATTTTTTCGTTTACGTCGTTATATGTGTGGTAATCATAGCCACTAATGTTAGTGTACGCCGTGTTAACCAGGACCAATGCCGTAGCATGCGTGTGTGGCTCAATGAAGCCCGGGAGAAGGGTTTTTTGATTCAGATAGATAACTTTCGTCGTCTCACCCGCTAGGGCAAACACTTCATCTAGTTTTCCTACCGCTGTAATGATATTTCCTGTGACGGCTAGAGCTTCAGCAGAAGGGTTTTTTTCATCCATAGTGATAATACTACCACCATATAGGATAACATCAGCTGTAGAAGACATTTTTAAGCGAGCGTTTCCCACGAAGTCTTTCAACTGCGAGGCTCTAAGATCAATGTTTCAGAACAGGTTTAACCTGAACAGCTTAACCCTTTCACTCCCAAGATCTAATTAGTAATTCTCCTTACTATCTGCCATGCAATTCTTATGATGTTAGTTCAGAGAATTTGGTATTGGATCAACTAATAATAATTGATATTCTTCTCTATTCTCATCACCTGCCTGCTTGATATTGTATTGATATTGTGAGGAGATATGATATGCCAAGCCTCCAAACAAAGGCGCTGGTGGTAACGCCGATAAGTGGTGATAATTTTAGAAATATCCCACCCAATTGTATGGTTGGTTAGGCATGTATGCTCCGATAAAGCTGAATTTTCCTTTTTGCAAAGAAAAACCGCTTTTTGGTGCTCTTTTAACCGTGTACCAAACTGACGTTTGGTCTGTCCGATGTATTCGTTGTCACAGTCATTGCAAGGAATAGAATAAATGGCGTCGGTTAGCTGTCCGCCCACGCTCCTTTAAATCGTGACGATGGCGGTTTGCTTCCTGACGCCTATTTACACCTCGTCAGAAAAAAGGCCGCTAATTAGTGATCATATAAAAGGACCTCTTGTTGCAGCGTTTAGATCACCCCTGATGAAGGCACTAGACAGGAGTGTCGAAACGTTGGGTCTATGAATTGTAACTTCTTCGGTTACATTCATTAAATCTGCAAACCAGAGTAGCATCAAACTGTGTCTGTTAGTCCACCTGGTTGCGTGTGAACTTTAATATAGATTACTGCTTATAAGTTTTTCAGCTTACTCAGTGGCGTGTATTTCCTTTCAAGGCGGATAATGCACTGACCACTCAAGCAGCAAGTGCTGCGAGGTCATGGAAGAGTGAATACCATATAGTTCGATACTAAAGTCGGATCGGAAAATAATATTAATAGCAAACATAAGACCCGAAAGCTCTCTCTTGTTCCCATGGTCCTCTACCGTTCTTCCCTGAGAAAGTACAGAAAGAGAGAAAATCTTGGGAACAAACTTGGGAGAAATATTTGGCTCACACGTTTCAAAATTCCCTCCACCATTTCCTCTCTGAAAAAAGAAAAAGAAAACTTAACTAAACAACGAACCATGTCAATAAATGTTTAATTCCTAAAATTCAATCACATGTGAGGTTTTGTCTCATATTCCAGACAAGACACTATATGATTAATGTTGAAAAGTTTAGGGGGGAAGCTCTTACTTCATGTATGCCTGTTGGTTTTTAGTCGGTCGCATCGAAGCATATAGACAAATTGCATGGGAGAAGAAAATACAAGTAAAGATAAAGATGAAATCTGACGTTAGTCTTTGAGAACACGGATTGAATTTCTACTTACACTACAACACTACATACAAGTTACCGTTTACTTGTTCATTTCTCTCCAGAGACTTTCTCAGGCGTAAGATCGGGCTCATGGTTCACCAAGAACTTCCCATCGAGGATCTCCATCGCGCTCAATTTGGACAGATTTATCGGGAAGCCGTTCCGAGAAGGTTCACACCACTTCTATGCGCTCTAATTCTACTGGTTCTACTTGGTAGGGATTCTTAGACAATATGAGCAGATTCTTGTAGCCTGCAGGACAAAGAGTATCGGCGATCGTCGCTTCAGTACCGGATGAGAGTAGAGTGACAACAATGACACGTCTTTCAATCAAGCTGATCGACGCTCGCCGGTCAGGCCAATCTTCTGTTTTGTTGAGTTCTTGCCGTGCAAGATGCCGAGAGTTTCAACAGTGATACTTCTGTCGCAGAATTCGGATTGCGAAAGGTTTGACCTTTTAGGACGAGGCTCTTTGTTTGGAAAATGAATTTGTATGATCGATTCCACAGCTTATTTGGATTTATAATAAGAAAATAAATCTTAAAAGAAGAAGGGAATTAAAATGTTTGCTGGACTAAAATGTCATGCATGAGAAAAGCGTTACCCAAAATGAATTTTTAAATGCACCTTTTTATTCAAAAAGCGTGCAAAAAGAAACCAAAACCACATTTTGTGCTGTGACGTACATTCCCACCGCGTTGGCTTAAGTTTTTTAATCCATATTCATGAAAACCTCAGACTTTGCCTCGTTTCAAACTATATGTGGCCACGTAAAGTTGTGAAGCCGGAGACAAGCTGAGTCCGAGCTGCGTTTTTTCCAAGTCACTCTGCAAAGAAGAAGCAAAGTTACTTCATTGAGCTTCAAGTAATTAAATAAAAGGTGAGCATTAACCTGTACGTACCTTTTGCGCAAACTTTCGCGATAAAACAGTTTTAGAGTACGAGTGGAAGGGTTTCCACGTGCGTTTAGGTTTCCGCCTCAAGTCGCCTCTTCGACATTATTTTTGCTCAACGTTTCGGATAACAGCAAGAAGACTCAGGTATACATGCTTTCGTATATCAAAAATTATATAAGGCAAGAGTTCCTTTTTTCTTGCTTTCAGGACCTAAGCAATGCCACTTACCAAAACTAAATTCAATTTGTATTTAATTTAAGTCTTCGTTCTCAAAAAGACAATTGCTGGTTCAATTTGTCTAATTCGAGATTTTGAGCTTATAACAAGCAACTATGCAAACAATTTATTTGACTTTTCAGTGTTGTATTTTTGACAAAGGTGATGTACTCCAGCATAATGCTAAGCCTTTTAAGGAGAAGTGAAACATTTTTGGTGCATTCTTGAAAACAAAATATCGGCATAGAGACGAGAAAATGACTGCAAGAGATCATTATCGGCAAAGAAGTTTGATCAAAAATAAAAAATTTGGCTTTGTTGAAAACTGATTTGAGCCCCAAAGAAGTCATACTTGCGCTATTGATAAAACATGTGAGTAAACTTTTGTGTGAGAATTCGAGTTCCACTCGTGCAGTTTTCAATTAATTGTTGAAAATCCAAAACCATGGTAATCACAACTCACAATCAGAACAAAGATAAAAATCATCATCAGCCAACGACAAGTCGAAGGTAGGAAGCGCGGGAACACGCGAGTGACCGAGAGGAGATTGGTTTCTAGTTTCGCATCTGATTGGTTGTTGAGATAGAGGCGCGAGTTTTCTATACCAAGTAAAGCAAAGCTAAGGCAACCCAGGATCACTTTCGATACTTATTAAAAACTACTCTTAACCAACCCTTTACGCCCTATGATCAGTAGGCATATTCCCCATACTGTTTTCTATACATTTCCTAAGGTGCTGACGAAGAGATTTTGCTTAACCATCAAGAGCTTCTGTATTTGTTGATCATTTCCATTACTCTCATGACCTTAATGTTTGATTTAGAGGTGATATTGTAAGGAGAAATTAGATGCTAGTCACTCTTAGGGGTTAAAGGGTTAAACTAAACCTCAATTATCATAAAGTTTTATTTATTCAGTTTATTTTTCAAACGGTCAGTTTTATCGAAACTAGATTGCAAACTTAGTATTTATTTTGCCTGCCTTCATTAGTAACAAAATAGGAGGTCCCAGTTAGGAAAGTACACGGGAAAAATGAAAAAAAATAAAGACAACAATAAAAACTACATCCATTCCGCCAACTACACAAAAAAAACTAACTTTATTAGCTGCAAAAATAAAATGAGAACCAGCAATTATTATTTTGAGAACTATATTGATTAATCGCTGTTTAGCTAGCTAACGTTCTTACACATTGGAAGAGAAGGTGACGAAACATCTTTGGCAAAACACAAACAAAAAAATATTGCTTTCGGCAACCGATGATTAACAATGTTCAATGAAACGAATACTCTGTACATTCAACCAATGACAATTTTACTGATTTGGACAAAGAAGTAACGAGACTTGTTTACAGAGAAAAAAAAAACAAGAATTCAAGATTTCAAGATTTATATCCAACACGGACAAATTTCCATGATATTCTACCAAATCATTTGGACATGAAATGTTGAGTGACACCTTGAATTTACGAACAGATGAAATGTGTTGTATTTTTTTTAGTGAACTCCTTTGGACGGACGAATTGTCTTGAAATTTCTACAAAATCAAATATATTGAGTTTAGACTAAAGATGATTTGCCATTGGCAATCATTTATTTATAGGAAATTTTCAATAATTTTCATTATAAACAAGGCCGAATTGTTTTGATATTGTACTTGACAAAAGGCTGAGGAATTTTAATTAGAGATGTTTCCTGCGCCTCTTTCCTTTCAACATTTAGAAATAATCTTAAGGAACATGGCAAGTCATTATCACTGAGAATCAGAGCTAGAAAAATCGCTCAATGTTAAGTATAAAAGAGAAAATATAAAGAAATTTGAAATAATTTCAACTTTAGCTCTTTCCACAAGATTTTCTTACTTGCCATGTTGCTTAGGATCAGTTGAGAAGTTTTGCTACATTTTGGCAATTTTTGTTCAAGGTATAAACAGTTCAGTGAAATACAGAGTTGGTTTGAAACTTCGTGTATGGAATACAAGAAAAATGGTAATTTTAGAATGACAAGCAAAAACTCCTACAGTTCAGCTCTTGAGTTCAGCTAAAAGCCGCAAGGACGCAGATTGGATGGACCAATAAATTTCGGCGGGAAAATATCAGTCATAAAAACCACTTAAAACAGCGTCGCTCGTGTTAACAACATAGACCAGATTTGGTGATAAATATTTTTGCAAGATTTTTTCTAGTTTAGATGGTTAATTTTTTTTTAGAAGAGAAAACACTCAAATTTTCGACATAATGATCTTAACCAACCCTGTATTTCATGCTTTGTTGGTACTATAATATAAAACTGGCCAGAAAAAAAGCAAACTGTTTTCGCAAACAGAATCTCGTACTAGACTTGACTAAAATAATGAAAAATCTTTCAAAATTGGATTACATCTTTACGACTGAGCAAACAGATGTACGAGATTTTGTTTGTTTACCATTTAGCGGGAAATTTTACATCAAAACTACTTAAATTTTTTTGCGAAAATGTTGTTAGGGGAAACTCCGTGCAAATTGTCCCAAATGTTTCCGCCAAAAGTCTTAG